AACGTTACGTTACGTACGTACGTACGTCGTCGTCGTCGTACGTACTAAACAAAAACAAAAAAAAAAAAAAAAAAAAAAAAAAAAAAAAATAAGGCGCTCCAGCACGCAAGCGTCTCCATGCAACCTTCTCTTGGAAAAGAAGGCCAAAGCGTGAATCGAACTTTATCGAACATGATCGAAAGCGACTTCTCTTCGTTGATGCAAATTGCACCACCTAGTATTCCAATAATTAGATCATCAGAACATCATTATCTCAGGTGGCAATTATAACAAACCACATCCGTTTTCAGTATAGTACTATAGAAATGAAAACATATTGTTCATAGAGCTCGGTAAGCTGCATTTTGCGCAAAGGCTGCGACAACAGTATCTCAATGAACGAGCAAACGTTATTTTACGGTATACCGAATCATAAAAATATGAAGTTTAGGAAAAGGAAGAGAAGTAGGTAAAATCATAGTCAATTGGTGATGGCAGCAGCAATGAAGTTCATGCTTCATTAAATACAACTGACACTTTATCTCCAAAGCCGAAGAACTGTTTTCCGTAACTGAGACTCGTACCGTGCAATTTCGCATTGATAAGGAATGGCAGTCCAAGAGAAAAGACATACGCTTAATAATACAGTCACTGTTAACAACAAGAAAGTCATGAACACAGAGGCTTTTATACGGTACCCAGAGGAAGCCAACTCAACTATTTCATTACGTAGAGACCCATCGGTTGTTTTGCTTCAAGGGCATACAGTTCGTTTAGCAGGTGAATAAAATGACGACTTTTGCTTGTAACATGCTATAGCTCCAATTGTTGCAGTGAATGCATGAGGTCTCAAAATGTTAGTCTCAATTGTTATGTAGAAAAGAACAAGGTCCTCTCCTTCAGAGTCTTTCCGTATATTATAATAATTTCCTCCATTTCTTCGGTCTGGCAGCTTTCATTTTTGATCCGACTTAACAGTTAAAAAATTCCTTCCATCATATTGTTTGTGATTATGTAGAAATCAAAATCTAACAAATCTTGTATGACACCAACCAAGTTATCTTTCATCTTTTTTTATGCTTGGGTAAACAAATCACATAAGGCATAGTGGTTCTGTTTTGGTTTGTTAGAGTGTGTTCGCCGCCCATTGCTAGGCTGGTTGTCATAGCAAGCACAGAGACAAAAGTACCACCACAAATAGAAACTAGTGTAGGCTTCAGTTGGATGCTTCAAGAGATTCCAGACATTTCTAAATTGGTTATATGAACGTGACTGGTCTTAAATAAATATCTTGGAAGTTGTTCGTTCTGGATATGTCTCCTTCACTTCATTTCGATACTGTGTACACGAATTGTCACTCCATACACCAACAAGTCCTTCTGTCACTTCCTTCTCTCTTACAGTTATTTTAGTGGATTCCATCATTTTGGATTATAGTCGTTATTAATCAAAAGATTTTCTGTTGAAAAACTGATATAATACTTCATTGGCCATAAGTGCAAAGCAATTCGATTGCATATTGCTTTTTTTTGTCATTGAAACCGGTTCATTGATCGTTAGTATCTGTAGATATTTTCGAAGTTTATTCACTTTTCTTTGATTCATTATGTTGGTAAGTGTTTTCTGATGTCCTTATTTGCTTGATCTATTTTCATTTCGTTTTCTGGCAAAGCATGCGCTCTAAGACAAAGTGTGCCGTTTTACCAAAAGTGAGAAAGACTAATAAAATATTTTGCTAAAGTTTTTTTTGAGCTTCAATAGCCCTTAGCTAATGTTTATATATGAAGAGAGTCCTACTTGTTTTATTACACTAGTTATAGGGGACATAGATATCTGAACATTCTTTACTAACAACAATCAGTCCGAAGACGCCGCCCTGGACTTACTTCGCCGCTTAAATCCCAAGGACATTTCTAAAAATTTAGATGCCATTCTAGCTGTAGCTCCCGATTTGGCTGATGTCCTTCTCTCTTCTGTGGATCAACCCTTGCAAATAGGTACTTGCTCTGAGTCTGGTAACCAATATCTACTTTGCGACTTCAATCGTGATGGCGATTCCTATCGTTCTCCTTGGACGAATAAATATGACCCTCCTTTAGAGGATGGCCTCGTTTCCAGTGATCGTGTGAGAAAGTTAGAGTTGGCACTCAATGAAGCTATGCGTGTATATTTAGATTTGTACTATGAAGGTGGTGTTAGCAGTGTATATCTTTGGGACCAAGACGATTCCTACGCTGGCGCTGTACTTATTAAAAAAGGTTTGTTTTTTATTGCTTATCCATTAAGTTTTTACAGAGTCTAACGTTCATTCAGCCTCAAGCTCTGGTACCTGCGGTTGGGATTCTATCCATGTCTTTGAGTGCTTACCCACTTCAGAAACGGACGTTTTTGACTATCGTTTAACTAGCACTATAATACTTTACCTCGGATCTTCTGACAGAAGTTCGTCCCTTGTTTCTGGAGCATTAAATCTTTCTGGCCATTTAACTCGCCAAACTTCTCAGCGTATGCCTGCAAGTGAACAGGACAGCGAAGTCGGAAACATTGGACGTCTAGTTGAGGAGATGGAAACTCGAATGCGTAACTTCCTTCAAGAGGTTTATTTTGATAAAACCAGAGACATCATCAATCAAACTCGCTCTATCCAACCCATTTCTGAAAACCCAGACAAAACGGCTCTTCGTTCTGTTTTGAACAATCTTTCCAATTAATTGTCTTTTAATTTACTTTTATCCTTTTTTTGCTCTCTCTCTCTCTCTTTCTATAAGACCGTTCGCTAGCTCTTTTTACACTTACTTTTACACAATTAGTTGACTAAGTCTTATTTGATGAAAATAATCGTCATATGATGAAAGTATAAACACGACAAAAATCAACATTAATAAACATATGTAAACAAATTAAACAAATTAGAAGGCATGAATCATAAACTAAAATATACATAAATGCTCCTTCTCTGAAGCAGTATTCAGGAAGAATAAAAAAAAGAGAAAAGAATATCGTTCTGAAGCAATAGTATCCCAACATATAGAGATACTGCTGCTTTAAGAAATAAGCTGGAATGCTTTGGAAGAAGGTTTAGATCTCACATTGCCATAACTAAAAGCATAGGGATTATGAGCACACGACAAGCGATAAAAGATGTCGAAATCCATTTCCAGCTGAGGAGTGCTGGCAAAGCTTCTTACTTCTACTGGTTTAGACCGTAATTGAACTAACCAGAATCCTGTACATTGGAGAAGTTCCATTTGTTGTATTTGAGACAATCCTTTAGGAATAGTGAATGCGCCACAAATCGATGCAAGCCATCCTATGTTGTACATGAGATATAGCGTCTGATCATTCGAATAAACCGGGAGCATTTTTTGATCTGGGGAAGGTAGTTGAATTGGGCAAGGAAGAGTCACGCTTAAGTACTGCGCTAGAAAAATGCAGATGAATGATAAAGTCAGAGAAGATTCTGGATTCAGAAACACTCTTTCTTTATTTTTTACACATACATAAACTCCAGAAATCGTAACAGAATCGTTTAATTGCCTAGCTTGTTCCAAGAACGTCTGGTTTCGGCGTTGTACATTTTCCTCATAACCAGAACCGGATCCGGATACACTCATTGTCAGCTTTGAAAGCTGATATGCTAAGCTAGCATCAACGGAATCAGCACTACGTTCGTGTTCTGGAGATTGTTTAGGAACAACGTCAAAAGACAGCAATAGGACGTCCCTGCGCCAATGGAGCTGATACATATCGAGAACCTTTCGAATCAGTGTTTGTTGAAGCTTAGCAAGTCTAGCTTGCAGGGTCTCAGACTGCTGAATAGAATGAATATATCTCTCGGCATACAGATCTCGATTCCTCATGAAACTGTCATTCAAATCTTTGCTCTTCAGATCAAGGGACTCTCTCCTCCTAGTGATCCCATGTTTTAGGGTATGGATCCTTTCGTTGAGAATGGATAGAGCAGACAGCTTATCAGATTGGATATGAGACAATCTGTCAAGCTTATTTAAAAGCATTTCTTTTTCGGAAATTCGCTCTCGATATAAGACATGTTTTCCTTGGTGTTGTCTTATATGTTCCAAACGAGAAAATATCTCCTTCTGATACTGTTCCTTTGATGTATAAAAACTTGTCAGCTCTCTTCCCAGGCACTGTTCACAAATGGAAGGACGTCTTGTCTCGCAAAGTTGGCATTTCGTAGCCTTCGGCATGCAAAGAAACTATATGGATCCTTTTCAAAGGGAAAAGGGATTGCCGTGAATGTCAGTATCTTGTGTCGAGAACTATCAAACAACGCAACGCAATTAGATTGGAAGCGATGATGGTCTTTGCTTAGAAACCGATTTTATCAAACAAAGGATCTTTACAAGAATCTGAAAAGAAAGCTAGGAAGAGTAATCTGGGCGACAAAGAGTGAGGATGCACGAATCTTTGTATGTAATGTTTAAATTCTAAGAATTATATACTTGCATTTCTTTCTTTCTATTTATTAATTCCAGACCTATCGAATCCTGTACGATGATTCAAAAGGCACCCCTAACAAGATTCCAGATATATATGTACTTCTGAACTATACGTAAGTAAAGAATCAATACTTTTTCTTGTCAAAGTATCTATTTAGAGAAAATCCTAAACAGGGAAGCTGATCTCCAATTGCAATCGGATTCTTTTTTATTTCCTTGAATGAAGGTAATGGTTCGTGGTAAGTTGAATCTCAATTCAACCGAACAATACCACCCACCCTGCCCTCGTTCGTTAGGCATAGTACAGCGATAGTGTTTGTTTACGTACCCATTAGATGCGAAATGCTATGTATAATTACATCCTATAATCTTGATTACGATGGTGCTCAATTCTTTTATGTCAAAAAAAATCCATGCATTGATATGGTACTCAGTAAATAAATGAATAAAATCAAAAGAGAAAAGAAAGAAGCCAAAAAATCGGTCGCTTTCTATCACAAGGCCGTCGTCCAAAATTTGCATGACTCATTAAATTCGTAACACATGAACCAATCCATGGCATATATCCTCATGAAATTCCTAAAAAAACCTTTTTCTGACTATTTCTCTCTCCTTTCTTCCTGCTTACTGAGTATGCGTAAAAGGAGCAGCTTGCGCTAGGTTTCGTTCCGTTTCCGTATTATGTTTACTGCGCCCTGCGTAACTTTTCCTTTTCTTTTTTTAATTCTGTGGTACAGTACTTTAAATAAAAAATTCACCACCACCCACATACATACCTCAAGCAAACCCCTCCACGAACAACTACCAGGCGTAGCGTGTTCTTGTCTATAGTACCAAAATTGCTTTATATTGCGAAGCGAAGTAGCAGGTAACATAAATTTGACTGGCTATTTCTCCTTTGCAGAGTTGTTTCTTCTTTAATTACATTTTTTAAAATTGAAGAAGTTTGAAATCGAAGGTTAGAAATTTTTGCTTTCTCAGTCGATCATCAAGAAAGTGTTTGCTCCTTCAAAGCTGTTGGTGTCTGCTAATCGCAAAGAACTTGGGCTACTCTAGGTTTAATTATTTGTCTTCTTAAAGTTTGTTTTTTTTTTCTTATAAAAATACTTTTTTGCCCCTTCCTTGACTCGACGCAAACAGCGTGTATGCTTCTTACAGCTCATCCTTTTTCTTGTTCGAGCAATTACTGAAGCAAGCATACTTTTATTTTCTTTTTCCCTAGAAAAGCTTGTATAAGACAACAATTAAGCTTTACTTTACGATCATCGTTGATTTTTAGAAAATCACAAGTAACAGCTAAAATTGGTCGAGTTTTTTGTCTTGCCAATTAAATCCGTTGACAATTTCTTGTTTTCCCTTTTAAAAAAGTTTTTTTTTTTTCTTTGCTGCTAAGAACCGAAGAATTCGTTCTTATCACGCTCTGCTGTACTCTTTCTTGTATACCTTTCTTATTACCAACATCTTATATCAATTTTGCACAAAATGGACGGCAAACGAAAAATGGATCATGCTGAAAATGGTCATTATGAGGATCTTCCCTATGACACCAAGCGCAAGCCAGTATTTCCCCCTTTCATTGCAGACTCTCTCTCAGAAGCATCAGAAAAAGCCAATGAATCTGGTGGCGACATAAATGCTCGTCTTCAAATTTTGTCGGAAATGTCGAAACGCGTTCAATCCACAACACCTCTTTCGAACCTTGAGGTTTACAAACAAGCTGGAAACATTGCTCCTGGCTTAGCCGCCCCTAGTATGACGACTCCTGAAAGCTTCCTTCCTCAATCTTTCCCTGGAACGATTCCTTCTGTTCCCCCTGTAAATCCCTACGCCACTCCTTTTGCCAATCCACAGATACCCTATGGAGGAGTGCCGAATTTCTTGGACACTCAAAATTTCAATATGCAGCCACCATATCCAGGAATGGTTGGCACGATGCCCTCTTATGCGGATGAAGAGGAAGACGCTAGTGACTCCTTACCTCTTTCGCTTTCATCACAGTCTCTCGTTTCGCAGACGCAACCTCCTAGAACATCTGCTCATCGCCCAACCATGCGTGAAAGATACGCTGCTAGCGGCAATGTGACGAATGGACTCCAATTTACTTTGCCCATCTCTTCTCGCAAAACGTATGAACCTGAAGCCGATGATGACAGTAATGACGATATGTACTCTGACGATGAATCTAATGCTGATCGTTGGGCATCACGAATTGACACTGCGGCTTTGAAAGAGGAAGTTCTCAAGTATATGAACCGATGTTCAACGCAAGACATTGCTGATATGACCGGTTGCACTCTAGCCGAAGCGGAATTTATGGTTGCCAAACGACCCTTTGCCGACCTTGAGTCTGCTTTGGTCGTTAAACAACCTCGTCCCGTAATTCCCAAGGGTAGACGTGGTAGACGTGAAAAAACTCCCTTAGGTCCTCGACTCGTTGGCATTTGTATGGAAATTATGCGTGGTTACTTTGTTGTTGATGCTTTGATCCGTCAATGTGAACAGTTGGGTGGAAAAATTCAGCGAGGAGTTGAAAACTGGGGTTTACCAAGCTCCTCTACTTTTGAAGAAGGAGAAACTTCTATTGTTAGTTTTGATCAAATGAAAAACATTGGCACTCCTTCCAATGCTAATTTCATAACAAGTCCCCCAGCTTCCTTTTCGCAAGATGTGAGTTTACAAGATTATCAGATTATAGGTATCAATTGGCTGTATTTGCTTTATGAACTCAAGTTAGCAGGTATTTTGGCTGATGAAATGGGTCTTGGAAAAACATGTCAAACGATTGCCTTTTTCGCAATGCTGATGGATAAGAATGTTAATGGTCCTCATTTGGTTATTGCACCTGCATCCACCATGGAGAATTGGTTGCGTGAGTTTGCAAAGTTCTGTCCAAAACTGAAAATTGAGCTGTACTATGGTTCTCAAATCGAACGTGAAGAGATTCGGGAAAGAATTAATTCCAACAAAGATTCCTACAATGTCATGTTAACAACATACCGTTTGGCTGCAACTAGTAAAGCTGATCGGTTATTTTTGCGTAATCAAAAATTTAACGTTTGCATTTATGATGAGGGACATTATCTTAAGAATCGTGCTTCCGAACGTTATCGTCACCTGATGAGTATTCCTGCAGACTTTCGTGTACTGTTAACTGGTACTCCCCTTCAAAACAATTTGAAAGAATTAATTTCGTTGTTAGCATTTATTCTTCCTCATGTATTTGACTACGGTTTGAAGAGTTTGGATGTTATTTTTACGATGAAGAAGTCGCCAGAGAGTGATTTTGAAAGAGCACTACTTTCAGAACAGCGAGTTTCCAGAGCCAAGATGATGATGGCGCCATTCGTTTTACGCCGTAAAAAGAGTCAAGTACTGGATGCTCTACCCAAGAAGGTACGCATTATAGAATTTTGTGAGTTCTCTGAAGAAGAGCGAAAGAGATATGATGAATTTGCGAACAAGCAAAGCGTCAATAATCTTTTAGATGAGAATGTCATGAAAACGAATTTAGATACAAATGCCAATCTCGCAAAAAAGAAGAGTACTGCTGGTTTTGTTTTGGTTCAACTTCGGAAGCTTGCGGATCACCCAATGTTGTTTCGTATTCTTTATAAGGATGAAATACTTCGAAAAATGGCTAAGGCAATTATGAATGAGCCACAGTATAAGAAGGCGAATGAAAACTATATATTCGAAGATATGCAATATATGTCGGATATTGAGTTACATAACCTTTGCGGCAAATTCTCTACAATTCAACCCTTCCAGTTGAAAGACGAACCTTGGATGAATGCTACTAAAGTCAGAAAACTGAAAACTTTGTTGGAGAACGCCATTGCCAGGGGAGATCGTATTGTTTTGTTTAGTCAATTTACACAGGTCCTTGACATTCTCCAATTGGTTATGAAAAGTTTGAATTTGAAATTTTTGAGATTTGATGGATCAACACAAGTCGATTTCCGACAAGACTTGATTGATCAATTCTATGCTGATGAAAGTATCAATGTTTTCCTACTGTCAACAAAGGCTGGTGGATTTGGTATCAACTTGGCTTGTGCCAATATGGTGATTCTTTACGATGTGTCATTTAATCCATTCGATGATTTGCAAGCGGAAGATCGGGCTCATCGTGTAGGACAGAAAAAAGAGGTGACAGTTATTAAATTCGTGGTTAAAAATACGATCGAAGAACACATTCAACGTTTGGCGAATGCCAAGATTGCTTTGGATGCCACGCTTTCAGAAAAGGATAATGAAAAAGCAGAATCAGAAGAAACCGATTAAACGGAAAAAAATACAAAAAGAAGAATGGTTGTAATTGCATTTACCTTATTTAATTCGTCGGGTGCATTCTAGTGTATACTTCATGAACCAGTGTTTTATTATTTTGTTGTACCTTTTTTGGAAATATACCGAGCAAAGGTGGGAGATTTAATAAGTCTAGTAAAGCTAAAATATTAATATAATTATAATATTTCCTAGAAAAGTCAAAAGCATGGGATAAGTGTATGGTAGAGTTTGAGATAACCAAGCAGAACATATTAGAAAATAAAGCGAAATAAAAAAAGTAAAATAAAATTAAAATAAAATAAAAAGATAAAAAGGATTGTACAATATGTTCTTAAAGTTACAAGTCTTTTTTCTTTTTACGAGTTTAGATCTCCATGTATGAGATTGTTTCATATAAATATCAAAAAAATTTGACCCCGCCAGGAGTCGAACCTGGAATCTCCTGATCCGTAGTCAGGCGCCTTAACCATTGGGCCACGAGGCCTTGTCTGGTATAGTGTTTAATGAGCATATTATATTAAAATTTTTGTTAAAATATTTGTTAAAAAGAAGTTATTCAGTTATTACAAAGGAGAAGCAATGGTTTCGGTAGATTTTCCTTTTAAAATTGGTTTGCAGAATTTTCTAGAAGTGTTTTGTTTATAGAAAAGAAGTAAAGTCTTTCGAAACGGTAGTTTCAACTTTGCAAAATAATTTGACTAGTTCCAGATGCTTATCAAGTAAGAGGTAGTTTCCGCATAGAAAATGTACAAATATACTATAAATTATAATCAATTACTAATAGATCATCATTCATAAACAATTAAATAACAAATAGAATCGAAATGTTGACTGACTGAAGTTTTAGTCTCCAATTATATTAACACACGGTAAACAAACCAATGTTCGTTTGATGATGACTACCATGAATAGATGGAAATGGAAAGCAACAAATTTCGTTTTCAAAAATAGTTCTTTCCTCTTGAGTCTTTTTCTCTTCGTGTTAAGCAATTTCAAATGCCTTTGTGCTTATTTCTACCTTTCTAACAGCAACCATAGCTTTGTTTTGAGAATCAAAACAAACATAGATTGTCCCCTATAGGATAATAAAAGAAAAAAGAATTCTCTCACTTTAAGATATTAACAAGTTTGAATTCAGCTCGTTATTATTTCCAAGAAACCTTTGCGCGCTACCGTATTCAATTTATGATTCAATAAATATACGTAATAAATACGTAATAATATGGTAACGCGAGTTTTTTTAAAAAAAGTTTATTTCTTAAACGAGCCAATAAAAATTCTGACTGGTTTTTCTAAACATCACCACCAAAAACTGATTCATGAAAACAGCCGCTTGCTTAGGAGATGGTAGAACAAGGCATGAAAAGGGCCTCAAAATGGGGCTGAAACGACACAGAAATGGGTGGAAACAATAAAAAATCATTGTTTAGTAAGAAGAATGAGGAGAACTGATACTCGCTGACAAAGCAAAGAAAATTTCTCGTTATTTTCAGTCAATCTATGGTCATTAGTCATCAAATCATTCAGGGCTATGTCTTATTGTTTTCTGATTGCTCACAAATAGATTTTTCCATAGAATGATTTTGAATCATTTTGATTAAATCATGTATAAAAAAAAAGGTTATAAATAGGTGTGAGTATCCCCGTCCAGAATTCATCATCAATTGTAGTTGGCTTATTCCAAACACTTACTATTGTTGATTTGTTATTCTAATTACTAGCATTGCCCATTATCATGAACAACACTGTTGCTATTATTTACTACTCTACTCACGGCCATGTTGGCAAACTCGCAGAGGCTGAGAAAAAGGGTATTGAAGCTGCTGGTGGTAAGGCAGACATTTACCTACTCCCCGAGATTTTGTCTGATGAAGCTTTGAGCAAGATGCATGCCCCTAAGAAACCCAATTACCCCGTTGCTACACCAGACACTTTGACTAAATACGATGCTTTCCTCTTTGGCTATCCCACTCGCTATGGTACCCCTTGCGCTCAATTCCGTGCTTTCTGGGATGGTACCGGTGGTCTTTGGGCTAAAGGTGCCTTGCATGGAAAATACTTTGGTCAGTTCTTCTCAACTGGTACTCAAGGAGGTGGTCAAGAAACCACTGGCTTCACTGCCTTGACTAGCTTTATCCACCATGGTATGATCTTTGTTCCTTTGGGTTACAAGAACACCTTTGCTATTGCTTCTGAACTCGATTCCCCCCATGGCGGCTCTTCTTATGGTGCTGGTACCTTTGCTGCCGCTGATGGCAGTCGCTTTCCTTCTGAAATAGAATTGAAGGCTGCAACTATTCAAGGTGAAACTTTCTACCGCACTGTTTTCCGTATCTAAAACAGCTTTACATTCCTGTTTCAGAGCATACGAACGAATTTATGTTCTACGTCTACTTTTGTGATTACCTGACTTAAATAGTCCTAAATCAATATTTGCATTATTAATCTCTAATCTTTCGAAACTATAAAAGCTATAGCTTTGATTCCAACGTAGATAATCCATGTATATTTCTAAAATTATTGTTTTTGTGTATATATATAAGTATTTCTTTCTTTCGTTCCCTTGCAACTGTACTCACTCTGCTTCAACCCTGTGTTATTTTTCTACTTCACAATATGAGTTCCTGTCGATAACAGACTACCTACCTACCTACCTTAATTGCCATTTTCACATTATTCTCGAAAACACAGTCATCTCCCTGTAGGAAATCGATTCAAGTTTTATTGACGTAAAAAACATTCATATTTGCATGTTGGATGATGGATGATGAAGCCCATATGTGAAAAATGATGGATTACATTAATTTCTGCCACCCACACGTGAACATGATGTTGACTACAGCGCATATGCTGTAAACAAATGGATATCATTTCATGAAGAGTGTTTCATGAAATCAAAAAAGTTTTGAATTTGTATGGAAAATGCGAAACGATATAATTTGGAACAGAATGGTACAAAGTAAAATGTCTTGCTTGAAGTTTCCTTCGAGAATGCCCTCTTTCCTCAAATGAATATGTTGATTTCATGGGACCTTTGCGCGCATTCGTCATTCCTACTCTTTGCTTGAATATGATTTCATGTGTTTCCGTTCTTTTCATTTTTCGGTATCGTGTCGTCTGACTGGCATAAAAGGCAATCCAATCCTCTTCTCAATTAGTTTTTGACTGAATATCACTATAATCCAGTTCTGTTTGTGTGTTCTGAGTGATTTTTTACGTTGACGAGCAAGTGTCTACTTTCTTCTTCTTTATACTTTTCAATCGAATAAAATATCACACTTGTACTTTACAAATGGTGAGTTTTATTGTCTTTGGCGCATCGGGTCATTTAGCCCATAAGAAAACGTTTCCAGCACTCTACAATCTGTATTTGAGAAACACTGTGAACCGTCAGTCGTTTTATGTGGTAGGCTATGCCAGAAGTAAACTATCCGAAAATGACTTTCGAAACTCTTTAAAAGATTACATTCAACCACAGGGAGAGGAAACTAAGATCTATGATGAATTTATCAAGCGAGTTTCTTACTTCTGTGGTCAATACGACCAAGCAGACTCATTTAAAGAGTTTAATAAGTATCTTCAGGGATTAGAGAAAAGCACTGATCCCTCAAAGAGTCTTCGTATTTTTTACGTGGCTTTACCCCCTTCAGCCTACGTTTCTGTAGGAAATCTCATTCATGACCATGCCTATCTTCCAGATGGGAAGACCAGAATTATCATTGAGAAACCATTTGGCGATAATTATGATTCTTCTATCAAACTCAAAGAAGAACTACATAAAAAATGGAAGGAAGACGAAATCTACCGTATTGACCATTACTTAGCTAAAGACATGGTAATCAATATTCCTACCCTACGGTTCGCCAACCCACACAGTTTGGATGCATTGCTTAATAATCACCACATCAAATCTGTAGGAATTTCTATGTGGGAAAGTGGTGGTTGTGAAGGCCGTGTAGGCTACTACGACATCAACGGTGTTGTTCGAGACGTTCTCCAAAACCACATGGCTCAAATTTTCACGGTAGCTGCTATGGATGAACCAAAATCTGAAGGTCCAGATGATGTTCGTTACGAAAAGGTCAAAGTATTAAAGGCCACAAAGCCTGCTTCCTTGAAGGACTCTATCTTGGGCCAGTATACTGCTGGTCAGGATAAGCCAGGTTATAAGGATTTAGAGGGGGTACCAAAGGAAAGCAAAGCTACTACTTATGTTGCAACCACATTATACGTAGACAATGAACGTTGGAAAGGCGTTCCTTTTGTTTTTGATTCAGGAAAGAGCATGTCGAAAGGAAAGGTTGAAATCAGATATTATTTGAAAGGGAAGGACTCTGGTGTCTTTTCTGACGTTAATCAAGACCACTATATTTCATTTACAGTACAACCAAACCAGGAAGTTACTTTGACTGCCTTTGTCAATAAGCCCATGAGTTCGGAGCGTAGTTGCGTTAATGCCTCTTTGAATTTAAACTTCAAAGAGCAGTTTGCAGAAGAGATGAAACACAAAAGGGATGCATATGAAATCTTATTCGAGGATGCTATTAAGGGCAATCCTACAAAATTTGTCCGGTACGACGAAGTCGAGTATGCCTGGCGCATTTTTGATGAAATTTTAGATTCTCCTACTCAGCCTTTGACCTATCCTGCGGGTAGTAATGGTCCTAAAGAAAGCGAGCAATATTTAAAGTCTCATCTGAAACTTATACAGTAATTCATGTATTTGCGAATGATGACGCTTAATTTATGACCATGATTTTTCACGAGCTTAATGAAATTTGTTAAGACTATTTAATGTATAAAGGTTTCAGTGTATGATTAGATTCGATATCCCATCTGTTTTGATGGTATAGGTTTTTGGCAAAGCCAAAAATAAAGCGTAACAAAGTAAATAATTCAGTATTAAAAGAAATTATTTCTGGATAAGAAAAGCAATAGCTCATTTGAAGTAGGTATCTGAAACATTATTCATTCATTCAAAGCTAAAAATGCAATAAATATACATGTATAATCATGGTTTACGAAGTCAGTTTTCTTCTTTTGTACCAAAAACGGTAGGGCATTCAGCTAAAGTATGACTTGAATTTTCACAAACTTCACACCAAACGGAATTATTATCGGTATGTTGTGACACAGCATTGGCTGGGATACTATTTACGGAAGACAGGTTTTTAGCTTCCAAGTTATCATGGAGCGTCATTCTTTCTATCGTAGATTCAAGCTCCGTAATTCGATCAAGCAGCTTTTCTCGCTCGGCTGTAGAGCTATGCTTAGGTTCCGTGCCAGATGTAGTAAAACTAGTTTTACCCAAACGAGCCTCTAACTCACCAATGTAGTAATTCTTTTCTTCGCAGTCCGCCTGCAACGATTCAGCCTTGTTTCGTAATACCTCGATTTCAATTTCATAAAACTCTAATGTCTGGCGGCGTTGTGGATGGTTTTCGGGTAATTCTCGAGAAGCTTTACCGCGTGAATGACTTTCATATGAAATATTGGTCAAAGTTGGGGAGCCGCTTTCCATTATGCTCTGGTGTTTCCCATTGACAACCCCGTTTTCTGCAGGCGTTCGTGATTTAAGCAATTTCTCAAGGCGTTCCTCTAAGACTTCAATGTGACTTAGTGCTTCATTCCGTTCTTGACATAATGTTATTATTGTTTCTCCTTGCTTATCGCTGGAATATGCTTCCAATTGAAATTCAAGTTCGGATATTCGATGTTCGTAAGATTCAACTACACGAGATGTAGAATCTTCTAAATACTCGATAGTTGTTTTAAAATCATGACGCCTTTGAGAAGCTTCTTCTCTCATTTGTTGAATACGTTCCTCTTTCATGGTTATTCGCTCGCGTAGCTCATCTAGCTCATCCTGCTGATCCGTAAAGTTTGTGACTAAAGCCTGAAGCTGATCAACGCTTGAGAGGACTTCCTCCAACTGTTGTTGATGAGTTTGACGTTCGAAGAGTAGGTCTTCGATACGTTTTTGAAGGATCTTTTCCGTGGGGGTTAGAGCTGTCGACGAAATGCTGTTTACGTTTAAGTTGCTATTCGGAGGAAAAGCAGTTAGCCTTGGGATAGAAGATTGTAAATTGGGAGACATAGGAAGAGAAGTGGGAGCTGGAGATGCGATATAATTTTCACTACCTTTTGGAGATGATGAGGGCGAAGCAGCTATAGAGGAAGCTAATTTACACTTATCGACAGGTAAAAAAATACCTGTTCTATCTCCATTCCTTGTCTTAAAATACTCTTTTCCATCTACGACCCCTCTGTTTTTTCCGGATTCCGCGTATTCAGGAAATAATTCCAATCCTACAAAGGTGCCTTTACGGTTTTCAACTTCACCGACATAACGAACGAACCCTCGTTCTCCAGCGGCTGTTTCTGCAACACTTCCCAAAGGAAACATATCTGAGAATAAACTATTAGGTCGATAAATTCGGCAAAAGATGAGACTTGATTAAAAGAAAGAGAAATAAAAATAGAGGGAATTAGAAGCATAAAATCATGCAAATATTAGACACAAAAAATTTAAGGTGAAATATGGGTATGAAAGAATATAGCAACCCGAAAATTAGAAAATTCAAATATAAAAGAAGGGATATCTGAATTATTTTTTCGATTTAGGCTTTTCGTGTAAAAAAAAAATCACAAAAACAGAATCGGATCCTGCATTCAGCAATTCTAAGAGCCAATTCAAATTTTTGGAGCTAAAAACCAGTGTTTTTTTTTTTTTTAAATGAACCAAAAAAATATAGAAGGATGTATTAACTCAGAAGCGGAAGGGAGTAATTTAAATAGTCGAAAATGCAAACGAGTATTAACCTACTGGATCAAAAAATAACTTACAAAAAAAGAGCGAACAAAAACCTAGACGATTTGATTCCAGCTATTCATCAAGAGTTTTCCTTCAAAGTCAACCTGAACGGTGAATGGTACTTTAGCTGTAGAAAATAACAATAGCTATATTCAAGTGACGGTGTCACTTAGTTAAGTCAGGAACAATTTTAAAGGTAAAGGTAAATAAATTGTAGTAATAGTGGCATGTTCTATTTTACATGCTCATTTTAATTATATAATTGATCCTCTAGAATTCACTCGTAATAGTTTTATCTCTTATGTTGTTGCAAATCGAGTTTATCATAGTTGTACTCGTTAATAAAATTTATAGTCTAACAGAACCAATGCTAAACGGAATGTTTTGTAAAAGCCTTAGTTTTTATTTGACTCTTCCTGATGACCACTTATCTCTTTCTTGCTCCTTTTATTCAGCTTTTGCTGTTGCTGTCAGGAAGAACCTGGTACAAGAGCGCTGACGTGAATGCGTTCTATTGGGGTGACTTTTATTGAATTTAATTTACTAGAAGACAGTTATAATCTCACAATGTTCTCTAAGTTTTCATGTCAAGACTTACTTAAGAGAGCCATCAGGTTAAATTAGGAAAGATCAACATTATAGCTCTACTATAACAAGTCAGATCAATCTGTAAGCAGTGCATTCAAAAAAAAAAAGAAGAAAAAAAAAGTTTGTAAAAAATAACATTAGAAGCTACATACCCCTAAATCAGATGAATATAAATTGGCGAACGAAATTACAAAACAAATAGTTCAGTGAAAAAGGTAAATAAATAACAGCAGTAAAATTTTAGTACAATCTTTTCATCTCTTTTTGTCGCGCTCTTTTTTCTTTTTTTGTATTTCTTTCATTTTTCTTCCTACTTCCATATTTTGCCTTGGTTTCAATTTGTTTACACTTTTTTTCCATCATTTGATCTTGAGAAGCTGACAATATCTACAAAATAATTTAGAAAAATGAATTAAAAAGGTATTTCTACTTTACGTTTGCTTATTTAACCTGTAGTTAACCATGATTGCATTGCAAAAAATACCATCCTAAAACCAATATGCCTACGAAAACGAAAAAAAAGGCGACTCGTGATGCTGAGCGAAAGAAATTAGGGTAAGTAATAGTTTACTTAAATCAACAATTACTAACCAATTTTCTCTAGCTACAACAATGCTCCAGCTGCGAATGAAGCTGAATTAGACGATGATACGCCAAAGTCATTCAAGAGACTTATGAAACTAAAAGAATTTTCTGAAAACAAGCCAAAGAAAACCGAGAAAATAGAGAAAAAAAAGAATAAACCAAAAAATAATGAGCAATTGAAGCGACAACCTGGTGAAAGCATGCGTGAATTCAGTCTGCGAGTGAATCAAGCTATTCCGGTAGCATTTAAAACAGGAAAAGCGACGATTGATGAATTTACAGACAAGAAAGATAAAAAGAAGATTGAGAAGCACCAAGAAAAGCGTCAGCGTGAACGTGATGAAGCTGAGAAAAATCTGGAGGATAAGAGTTGGGAGGCAGATGTCTCTGGGTATGATTAGACGCTAAACGTCTTATTTTTTCTAACTATTGTAGAAAACGCATCCATGTAGAGTCGCATAAAAAACGAAAAGGCTCTCCCGATCCTTGGGCTGGCATACAGGAAAAGCCTGCTTTTGGTGAAACTGTACTAGCTCCACCCAAGCTTCCTCAACTGAACTTGAAGAAAAAAATTACAATTGAAAACGTTCCAAAGTTCAATAGCAGAGGCCAACCTGAATCTCTAGCCAGACGGCAAGCCCTTGGACAAGAACGTCAAGAACTAATTCAAAAGTATCGTGAGTTGATGCACGGGGGGAAAAAGTAAAGTAGTTATTAAATCATTGTTTACTTAGGATAATCGGTTTTAAGGTATAAAATTGTATTACTATTCCATAACGTTCATTACTTATTGCTCGCAAATATATATATAAACTCAAGCTCTTTCATCAACTTTAAACTCAACAAACAACATGTCTATAGCCGAACCAAAATTCCCTTTGATTGTTTTTAATATTTTCCAGTCTTCGTTTAAGAGTACATTTGTAAGAGAACCCGTAAGTAGCAATTTTCCTGCCAAATCACAGCATATTTGCTCTAACAACTGCCTGTTCAATGGATTTGCCGGCATATTTGTCGGAATCCAACTTATTTTTTCATTCACTAGCTTTATAGGTGAAACCTGGATCATCTTTGCATAAGCATTCAGCCATACTTGTAAAACAGAGAATAACGAATGAACCATATCTCTATTTTTTGATCCCTCAACGCCAGGAATAAATTCCTCAATTTCGCTCCCCTTGGTAGCTCCGAAACTCGACACCATAATAATTACTTCCAATAAAATTCGGGTGGCTTGAAGTTTTAGTATGCCCGAGCTGTCTTCGTTAATCAGAAACATCAAACAATTAAAAAGGGTTTCCCCAGAAGATCGAACAACTTCTTTGTTCAGTGATTCTTCTTGGAAAAGGAGCCAAAAAAACAAACTTTGTTGAGAATGTAAAGCAGGGAACTTGAGTGAATCTTCAAGGGCATTAGGATTTCGAGATAACAAATCTGATAATTTATCATAAATAGTCTTAAATTCCGTATTGTCCGTTATCCTTCTTATGGATGTGCAGCCTTCCATACGCTTCAAACATGCTTCAAAACGTAAATGATCATCCTTGGTGATAATACCGTCACGTAGGTTGAAGGAGAGAAATAGTTCAAGAAATTCTTGAATACTTTGATCACACATCTCGGTATATTTGAAGGACGACCTCTCCTCTAAGACTGGAACAGACTGTATGCGTAGAAACACAACCGTGCAATCTTGAATGATATTTGAATAATTGCTTGTCAAAAAGAACTTTGATAAATTTAAGAGAAGATTTTCAAAAGCCTTTGAAAGTTGCATGTGCGTATACTGCCTGAAATCAAGCGTAAACAGCAATCGCAGACTATGGTGCAGCAAGGTAGGGGAAGCTGCTTCTCTTTCTATGATGCTGTTCAACAGAGGAAGAAGCCTTAAATATATTACTTCCTTTTCATCATCTTTTTCAAGCTCGTTTCTTTCCTCTGGTTGTTGTTTTCCAATTTTTTTAGGAACCACAAACTCAGAATCTGACATATTCAGAAGGGAAGAGGCAAGCAGTTGCAGTAAAATACATTCTTGGCTCTCAGAAAGTTTGCAGAATTGTAGAACGCCATCCACTGTGTCTACAGACTTAGAACCGTAATCGTCAAATAATATATAACTAGCAATCCTCTCCCATGACTGATAATCATTATCCAATCTACACGCATTCAAAAATGCCTGAGTTATAGGAGTCGAATCTGATATGTTCCTTTGAAAAACATGAAACAGTTTTGAATCCGTCGGATCGTTTTTGAACAAATCCTGCAAAACTTCCACTGTTTTCGAGAGTTGAGCATATTTTATCCAAGAAATATTAAAAGAATTGATCTTTTCCGAGGAAAAGGATTCAGAAATAGCTTCCTCACCTCCCCAAGAATCTAATTTTTCGTCTGTAGCTTCTTGCACTACGGAACATAAAAATTGTATTGCCTCACGCTGAATTCTTGGGTTTACATCCAAAATAAGCTGCGATATTTTCATAACCTCGTCATCTTCTAAAAAACCACATGACCTGATAGTATTGCACAAACGAATTGAGGCTATACGAACGGTAGCCTCGGCATCTACGCAGCTTATTTCGATGATTCTCTCTTTAAACCTTGAAGTGAAATGTCTCAGTCCTCCAAAAAAGGATTCTGTTTCGAAAATCTTTTGCAAAACTTTGATTACCGTTAGACGAACAGTTGTATTCGTATCTGATAGCATCCAACCTAGGTATCTTAGGTAGGATCCAGAAAAAAAGACACTAGGGACTATATTAATCCAATTGCCAAGCTCTTTCAGACAATCAATTCGTATCTTTGGTTCAACATCTCTGTATCGATGTACAAAAACACTTAAAAGTTAGACAACTGAAATCTTAAAAGAATATTTACCTGTCAAAGTAGCCACTTAGATACTCTGATATAGTGTCTTGCTGCTTAATAATTGTTTGAAGTGAGTCACTCAATTCTTGAATGCGATTATTATTAGGGCGAGCCCTTTTTTCCTCTTTCGTCAACTGCTTAGATGCTATGGCGTGCTCAGATAAAAATTCGCTTGATTCTTCACATAAAGCAGACATAATAATCAAGCAAAAAACTGTGGCAGTATGTCGAATCGGCCTCATGGTAGAGGAAGACATTGCTACAATCCAGGACATGATATTTTCAAAAATACTGCTCTCATAAAGATATTTTCTAGATGAAAGCTGTGAAACAAAGTAGGTAAGGAACTGAGCGAGTTTTTTTCGAAAGTTGCGAAATTTAGGACTTTTAGAATTTAAAGGATATTCACGGGTTGTTGTCTGAAAATAAACGTCAGCTATTGAAGTAGGTAATCATCACGTACTTTTTCGACTGAGAGTTGAATTTGGGAAAGCGTGACAGAGACAGACTCTTGATCTTGCACGTCGAATTCATTTACCGTTCGATTACATGCGCAGCACTAACTGTTAGATTTGGAAAGTATTAAACCGAACATACTTTTAAAATAAAATTAACCAACTCAACCAGAGAACCTTGTTGATCTTTTTCATACTTTGTAAGCCATTCTATAACTATGTCCTTTACACTTGCAGTGTTCTGTAATAGGTCATCTTCAAATTCAGTTAGATAGAAGGAATCTTCAGCAAATTTCGCATACCGTATATTTTATTAGGAATCTCTTCTTGATGGTCGTCTTCGATAAATGCGTTCGCTTTCGATCTCTTGGCTGTTCTGCTTCTTCCGGAAATAGGCCTCTTCCGCTTTGAATTGATAGTTTTCTCGTAGTCATCGTCACTGTTTTCTTCTTCGGAAGAGGGATCAGAATTATCTCTTAAAGGATCCATTGTTTGAGACAATCTAATAGGAGATGAAGCTCCATCTCCAGTATCATCGCTAGATGGGGTAACTGAACGAGACATTATTTGATTTTAGTCTATGATTCTCGTAAGTTCAAATAATGCAGTTCTATATTGGCCTGAATGCATGAAAATGCTGACTCAAATTTCGTAGAGGTAATGAGAAATCAGACGCGTCGCGTCCTATAAGAGATTAACCTACTTCGCGGGACCCTTAAAGAATAAAAAGGAAAAGAGCAGTAACATAAATAATATTATAAATAGTACATTTACTTTAAGCACTAGAGTCATTTTAATAAACGTTACAGAGGGAGAAACCGCTCATAGGTGTTCATAGCGCACTATAGCTTGAAGATGGGACATGCTAGGAAAAGCAAAGTATAAGTAAGTTATTATCTAAGATTCTCTATAAAAAAAAAAAGGTTCCGAAGCAAAGATATCGACAATTAACTCTTCCAATGTTGTTTGTTTATTTATTTTACTTATCGTTACCCAACAAATAGTGTACGAGTAACGAACAAATGTCCTCATGGACTGAGTACGCGTCGCGTGATCCGCGTCGCGTCTTTTTAATATACTTACTCCTTCCAACCCAACTTAATTAAACCGGAACACACGACATCCGTTATATAGTGTTGCCAGGATAAACAAAACAACATGGTTTTAGACTTACCTTGTTTACCAGAAGATGTTGGTGGTTTAAGAGATATTACTCTGGCCGTAAATAACTCTCTTCCTCCTACTCCAGACTCCTCCCCTGCTGGCACATCGAAAAAACATAAACTGTACGATTTTCTCGACTTTAACGGGAAGCCAACAAAGCCGAAGAAACGTGTACTGTTTGATACTTCCGAAAACTTGCACAAGCCTCCCACTTCCCCGAAAAAACCTAGTCAGTTTTGTAAGGAGTTATTAGCTAGACAGCTTGGGGGAGCACGTTCTCGCATAAATCACATTCCTTCAAATCGTAAGTGTACTTAATCAATTATTTATGTTTGGTCGCTAACGATAATTATAGGTCATGTTGGAAGTAGACTAAACTTAGAAACATTTTATTCTCGTCCATCAGAATGCTTGATGATGCTCAATCAACTTCCATTTTGCCTTGGGTTTGCAAATAATGAATCATTACTTGCTGTATGCACAGAGACGGGTGCTTTAGAATTGTTTGATTCCAGGTACTTTAACCGGCAAGATGAAGAAAGTCAGCCGTCAGGTATGTTGAAAACGTATTTCTTGTTAGCTTGTTACTAACTGCGTATGTAGCGCGTCGGCTTCATGGATGGCTCGCTCATAATAATGCTATCTTTAACGTTAATTTCTCAAGCGATGACTCTTTGCTCGCTACATCCTCTGGTGACCAAACAGCCAAAGTGTTCGACCTTGCCACACAGCAATGCATCACCAGACTCGGTCGTAGAGGTCTTGAAGGATATCATTCTCATTCCGTTAAACAAGTTAACTTTTGCAATGATTCTCCTTACAATATAGTGACGTGCTCTAGGGATGGATCACTCATTTTTTGGGATATGAGAACTCATGGAATAACCGTTGATGGCGAACATCATCAAAAACCGGTCCTCAAAATAAAAAAAGCTCATGAAAGACAAAATAGAGATTGTTCAGTTACGTCTGCCGTCTGGTTACCGAACACTACTTCTCAAGTAGTGTCTTCCTGTTCTGCAAACTCTACACTTAAATTATGGGATCTTCGGAACATTCACACAGTTCGTCCACTTCCTCTTTCTTCAACCCCAGGAAGTAAAACTTCGAGACGCGATTATGGTATCACCAGTGTTTGTACCTCGCCTATGGGAGATCGTGTTTACGCGGCTTCAAGGGACAATACAGTTTATGAATATTCTTCCCAGCATTTAGAATCTGGGCCTTGTAAATTGTACAATGACCCGAGATTAAGAATTTCTTCTTTCTATGTGAAAGTCGCTTGTAGTCCCGATGGTTCGACGTTGGCCTGCGGAGGAGGTATACAGGATGAAAACAGCGGAGCGATACTTTTTGATACTACTCGAGACAATTCCTCCTCATCTGCCATGTTAGTTGGAGGGCATGCAAAAGATGTAACCGCTGTAGATTGGTCGAATGAAAATCAGCTGGCAAGTATATCGGATGATGGTAGCGTTCGCGTTTGGAATCCTTCTTTGCACGGTACGGCTGCTAATCTGAGAGAAAAAAATTTCTCAGAAATCTTTTATTGGGGATACAGCGAGCGTTGAATTTATATGAAAATTTTGTTTAAAGAGAACCACTGTCCATAATTTCCTTTCTTTCTTTTATAATTACCTAATTCTAAGTGAGTACTCTTTTCGCATCCTTCGTTTATGACCGAAAATTTTGAGCGTAATGCTCCTGGGATATTTGATGTTTTTTATGTCGTTATTATTTTACTAAAGTAATGCTAGAAATAAATTGCTTAAGATTCTACGATTGAGAGAAATTTAAATTTGTAGATGATTTACGATATATTTAGGAGGTGAGGTGTATTATTTGATTTGAATATATTACAAAAGTAGTTTACAGCGTTTTCTAGTTCATATATCAAATTTTACTTTTAACCTCCTTTATTAATATAAACCCAAACAAAGCGAGTATATTGGCAGTCTACACTTCCTGCAAGTGGACTCAGCGAAAATAGTTACTACAAGATCAACACATATAATGGAGTAAATACGAAGATCTAATAGAATGTTAAACTTCACTGATTATATTTGCTATGAATATCTAAAAAAAACGAACTGGAATGTTCATAATTTATACTGCAATCTCACACAGACAGCCGACAGTAAGTCTTCTGAATTTCTGTACAGTCAAATTAACATAAATCTAGACATCCTAAGATTTGACATCCCTTCTGGAATCAATTGTCAGCTTTCCTCATTAACGACCCCAAATTTTGTTTCAAAATGTGAGATTTCAGCTATGCCGATCCTTAATGGATCTCTTTCCTACATATATAGTAACGTGAATTTGGAGAATGCAAAAATCGATCCCCTGACGGAATTACAAAAATTCTATGAAGGATACAAGCATGTTGACGTTCCTTTTATTCATTACCCAAGGGAATTCGAAGACTTCAATCTTCCTAAGAAGTCTACTCTTCTTTATGGATGCATCTTTTTACCTTCCAAAAAATTAGATGCAATATTTGCGAGGAGATTGTCTCCATGGAGTCTATTTTCTGTGTTGGCAACCAACGAGATTGACGATCCACATGGAGGAACGGTAAGTTTTATTATAAATGGAATCCATTACTAATGATTACGGGTATAGATGTGCTTTCAATGGCAGCACGATACTGGTAAGAGGAGCCTGGAATTGATGTATGAGACGACAGAAGCAATGATAGGACTCAGAGCCTTATGGAATCTAAATCTAGAGGAAGACCATATGCAAAAAATGAACGAAACCATCGGAACTACTTCGAATATGCGCTGGAGTTTGGGTTTTGAAACATACTATGGCATTTTGACAAAATGTGCTGGTGCAAGTCTAGGTATGCGACTCCATAGTGGACCTTCTCATCTTTATTCACCGTTTATTTTAACCTGTACTTTAAATCCAATTGTTGGTCACATAACTTCCACCTTTTCGACAGCAGAGCCGCATGTAAAAGCGTTTAGTGCACAATACGATTTCAATATCTACTCTTATGAAAGTAAACTTCAGATAGGAGCTGAGCTTTGGCGTGGTAAGTTCTTTTCTCGCGCTGGAGATGAAAGAAATGGATCAAAAATTCAGTCATGTACGTCTGTCCTGAAATCTGTATTGTCCACAACGGGTGAAATCTCATTGCTTTGGCAGGCACGGATCCGGAATTTTCTGTTAACCTTGGGTACAACGGCACACATAACAAAAATTGATCCCTTATATTTTGGAATACATTTAGAATATTCAAATTGATTTTACACCTTCAGCCTGGTCAAATCACTAAAACAAGTTAAGAGAAAAAAAAAGATTCAGAACAGTTTTTCACTATATATTAGGAATATTTCTTTTCACTTTCTTTGTTCTTTTTTTGTTTCTTCTATGAAGCTTACGTCTGTGAAAATATAGGTCTTATCTTGCCAGAAAAATTACTGAGTAGTATCGATATAAAAAAGTCCACAGGAAAATTTAATTTTTATTTTTGATTTTACAGATGCAATAATCATCCAAATCATTACATACGAAAGAAGTAAACTTCCTGCTAATTCCTAAATTGTCTTCTCCCTTACGATTCGATTATTGGGGAAGAGCATTGCTAGTAGCTCCGGGAGCAATCACCTAGTAAATAGTTAGTCACTATGCCGTGAATGAAAGTACAATTCATAATTCCTTACCTCGTTGGCACCACGTTGGTCCTTCAATTGCTTTTCGTATTCTGAAAGCTGAGCTTCGTCTTCTACAGACATCATAAAAGGAACACCTAAAAGAAGAGCAGAGGTAGAGAGAACCCACAAAGACTTTCCTCCAAAGCTAGAAAGTCGAGAAACACCGGAAACAGCACACTTTGCACTGTCCGCAATCCTAACGCGCCATGTAACGGGAACAACTTCCTTCAAAGCAGCGATACGGTCAAATATCGTCTCATCTTCGAGTCCCTCAAAGTCAGATTCATCGGAATCGGATTCTTCAACGTCTTCCTCAGCGTAGATGTATTTATCCTTTTCGGCGACGTTTTGTCCCTGGGTCTGTAATTCAGTTTCGTCAACGACTTCTTCGAGCTTAACCATCCTGATTCTTATAGCCTTAAAATTTTTATGATGATGGAATTTGCAAAAACTTTACAAGTCTCAAAGGCCCAAAAAGTTGGTGTTTTGGTCTTACTCCACAGAGCGTCCTGTTCCGTCTTTGACTTAATACTTTAATGTGGTATCCACTGTATTGCGGTATAGCGTTTACTGACCTACGGTTATGGTGCAATCTTTATTATAACGACACCGTGTAGTGCATTAAATTGCTTAGCGACATGGTGTAGTTTATTAAGAGAACATGTTCGTTCCTCGGAATATCATCATCACTACGAATTTGTGTTTTCTTCAAGAACCAAACCTGGGGTTGTCAATAAATTTGGATTTCCGGTCTCATATTGAATTTTTGAATCTTTATAGTACCAAATTTTGAATATGAAAGTCCCTTTGTTAGTGACACTTTCTTTTTGGCTTTTTGCTTTGGTAGCTGCCAAAAATGTCTTCGAATTTACTGGCCTTTCTCAACTCGAAAATGGAATTCGCTCTGCTAAAAAAGGCGCATTGATTGAGTTTTATGCTCCCTGGTGTGGTCACTGTAAGAATCTTCTTCCAGTGTATGAAGAATTGGGACAAACATTTGAGGAGGACGATGATATACTAATTGGCAAAATTGATGCTGACACATATGGCGAAGTTGGGAAAAAGTATCAAATTCGTGGATTCCCTACGTTGATATGGTACCCAGCTGATGGCTCGGATCCTGAACAATATTCTCACGCCCGTGATTTGGATAGCCTTACACAATTTGTCTCTGAGAAGACCGGTGTCAAGAAGCTTAAGAAAAATGCATTTCCTAGTAGCGTTGTTGAATTAGATTCTGCTAGCTTTGATAAAATTGTCATGGATGACACCAAAGACGTCTTGGTGGAATTCTATGCCGACTGGTGTGGTTACTGTAAGCGTTTAGCTCCTACTTATGAAAAGCTTGCCTCAGTTTTCAAGAATGAACCAAACGTTGAAATAGCCAAAGTCAATGGTGATATTTATGCCGACATTGGGATGAAACATCAAGTCGCTAGCTTCCCTACGATTAAACTTTTCCAAAAGGGTCGTAAAGACAAGCCTGATGCTTACAACGGCGATCGCTCTTTGGAAAGCTTGACTGACTATTTAAATGAGAAAACTGGAACCCAGCGTTCTGCCGATGGCAGCTTATTGCCCTCAGCAGGCCGAATTACCATTCTCGATGATTTTGCTTCAGAGTTCGTGGATAGTTCTCGAGCAGCCAAGGAAGTTGTTTTCGAAAAGGTAAAACAATTTACCATGGAAAATAGAACTCGTTGGACTCAGTACTACAGGAACGTCTTTGAGAAAGCTTTGAAAGATGAAAGCTGGGTTACCAAGGAAGCAAAGCGCTTATCCAAAATTTTACGCCGAAGATCCATTGCTCTTGCAAATGCAGACGATTTTAAGGCTCGTCTCAACATTCTCCGTTCTTTTATATCTTCTAGAAATGATGATGAACTCTAATGTTGGATCAATAATGAGCTAGTAGATTAGAAATGAAGCAATAATGAACACAGATATCCATCGTATATCTTTTATTTTTGTAAAAAGTAAACAAAAGTAAGGAATGAGATGCCATCAATTCATAGAATCCTGTTAGGGAACTTACTGTTTGCCGATGGAAATTTCCTTTTACTAAATACAGTAAATTATAACCAGAAAAAAAGTGTATTTACTGTCATGTATGAATAAAACTAAAAGAGAAATATCAACAGTACTAACATTAGTTATTCGACATACTGTAAGATTTTACATCTTGTACTTCCTTGGACTAAGCATATCACTACCGTTGCTCTATCAACAAAAAACTTGTCCATTTCATAGACTCATTAGAAGTTCGGGTGTACTACAAAATTTTGTTCGAGATTTTAGATTTTTGTATCTCTAAAAACCAACTAAAGAATGGCTCCAAAAGTTAAGCAATCGCAAAAAGCTTATACTGTAGTAATCAAGCTTGGTAAGTACTAGAAGTGTGACCTATGAACTTTTGTAAATCTTAGAAAAGGTGAAGCAGTAGCTCCTTATATTTGTGTATGAATAACTTTCATTAACTTTATGCAGGCACTTCTTCTATCTGCGATGAGAGAACGCATGAACCACTTATTTCTAACTTGTCTTTGATTGTGGAGACTGTTGTCAAACTTCGAAAACTGGGCCATAATGTCGTCTTGGTGTCAAGTGGTGGTATCGCAATGGGTCTGAGACGATTGGATCTCCCCAAGCGCCCTTCTAAGCTTTCTGCTGTACAAGCTATTGCTGCCGTTGGTCAGGGTAGATTAATATCTCTTTGGGATAACTTGTTTTCTCAACTCCGTCAACCAATTGCACAGATTTTAATAACTAGAAATGATATAGCAGAGGTATGGGTTTACCCTTTTCATTTTGTTTGAAGACATACTAATGACTTGATATAGCGAACACAATATGTAAACGCTGCTAATACAATTTCTGAGCTTTTGCATTTGGGTGTTGTCCCCATCGTTAATGAAAACGATACGCTTTCAGTGCAGGAAATTCGATTTGGTGATAATGATACACTGTCAGCAATTACTGCAGGAATGATTAATGCAGACTATCTCTTTTTATTGACAGATGTGGAGTGTATGTACACGGCCAATCCTCGCTCAAACCCTGATGCAAAACCTATTCGTGTGGTTCATGACTCCTCTTCGGTAATCGCAGACGTTTCTTCCCCAGGAAGTAATGTTGGTACTGGAGGGATGAAGACAAAACTTATTGCCGCTGAATTAGGTACTTCTTCGGGCGTAAATGTTGTGATTTCCCATGGCTCGAAACCATCCAATATCCTTGAAATCATTCGACACGCATCCACGTCTGTCGATGATTTAGAAAAAGTTGAGGGCCTACCATTATATACTCATTTTGTTGCCAAAAAGCAAAATCGAATGCGGGATCGCCATTTTTGGCTTTTGCATGGCCTGAAGCCACAGGGAAGCTTGGAAATTGATGGAGGCGCCCACGAAGCAATAACAAGAACAAACCGCGCTGGTTTATTACCGGTAGGTGTTACCAAGGTAAACGGCCATTTTGCTGCTCATCAAGCAGTGAATATAGTTTTCAATGGCGTTGTAATCGGCAGAGCCTTGGTAAACTATAGCAGTACCGAAATTGAATTGATCAAGAGAAAAAGGAGCAATGAAATTGGAAGCATTTTGGGCTTTACGGAAACTGAGTATGTCGCTTACCGTGATTATTTGGTTATCAAGGATTTTGGCACTCAAGAACTTGCAAAATAAGCATGTTGTAATTTAGATGATTTCATTTTTCGTTTAATGATTCTTTGTTTTTCTCTGGTTTTGGGTTTCCATTCTTTCTTTTCGAGCAAGGAATCCTCTTGCTCTTTTTTCTTATTAACTCAAAAAACAGGCCAAACCAACTTAGAGTACTAGTCTGATTCTTTTTTGTTCAAAATAATAGAGCGATTTTAATTTTAAATTTGAGAATGCCATGATAGACTTGTCTTGTAAAATTTAAAGTCGAAAATTCTTTCATTCATCATTTTTTAAAGAATTCTCAGAATTTATAAGCTTTTTTATCTTTGAATTTGCTTTCATTTAAACAACAATAAGCTGCCTCCTTCCCTTAATAAATATTTATGCCATTGATAAGTTTTCTAACTTCACCAACAGCACTCTCTTCGTCAAAGATTAAAATACCCCTCCTCTCTCATTCCTTAGTTATAGCAGTTTACGATCCTTTTTTTTGAAATGTCTGCTAATTATAAAAGATTTTCCAAATTTTTGCTAGGTGGCCTTTCAGTTGGCTGCGTCGGTGGGTACTTTGCCTATAAAAATCAGAATAAGCCTATCGGCCTTAATCCGGAAGTTTATTCTCCCTTTACTGTCTCTAAGATTACCAAAATTACTCCTGATGCCAGTATATTCACTCTCACTCCCCAGGGTTCTACTGAAAATATGAAGAATTGGGATCCTATTACCAAAGTCACTATTCGCAACCCAGATATGCAAGTTCAGCGTCCTTATACCCCTTTATACATCAATGAGGATAATTTAAAGTTCTACATCCGCAACTATGAAGATGGACCTGTGAGTTCCCATATCCATTCCAAAAAAGAAGGAGACACCATCGAACTTCGTGGTCCCTTCAAGACTACAAAGCTAGATTTCACTAAGTTCTCTAGAATTGTTGGTATTGTTGCCGGTACCGGTTTTGCTCCTATCTATCAGTTAGCTCAGAACTCGAAAGTTCCTGTTGATATCGTCTATTGCGAACGACCAGGTCAAGAGCCTGCTTTGAAGGAGCAATTAGAGAAAGAATGTCCCAATGTTCGTGTCCGCACAATCCAAGATCGCTTGATAGATGTAGACGATATTATGAAATGGGATAATGTTAACGTCCCTTTAAGTGAGACTCTTTGTATCATTTGCGGAAATCCCAAATTTGTTGCTACGGTTGCTGGACCGAAGGCCGAATATGGAGCCAAGCAAGGTCCTGTAAAGGGACTTTTGGAAAATTCTTCTTTTGGCAAAGTTTGGAAACTTTGAGTTGAAGCACTCTCAGAGTATCTTGTTCATATTGGGTAACTCTTTGAGACCTCCAAAAAGTTTGTACTTCAAAAGTATATTCAATGAAATTGACTTCACACAACATAAAAAAACTGTGATGGACTAGTAAATCAAGGAAAGATCTGTCATCGACTTTCGTCAACATAAATTCTCATGAAATTGAATAAGCAAAAGTAACTATTATTGTGTAAAGGAAACGTATAGAGGAAAGAAAGACAGACAGTTACTGAAATCGTTATCTAACATTATGTAAGGCTGCGAAACATAGTCATCCATCCTTCCAGAGAAAAGAACTAGAAGGAAAAAAACGAATTAATGAAGGAACTCTTCTACTGCATCCGTAGTAATATCCTCAACTTCTCGTACTTCCATGACTTTGTGCACTTGAGATTTATCCTGAAACCAGACCTTGGCTGATGCATAAATCATAGATAAATCGTGAGGCGAGCTACTCGGTCTCCAATAAATCATAAAAAGGGGTGTACTCAAACGACCATCAGTTGTTTTCGTAGGGTAAGAAACAAGAATGTAACGAGGCTGCGTTTCAGACAATTCGTCGGCGATTTCTTCTACACTTTCTATTTGCATAATTTCTCCATCTGGTACTACTTCTTTAGAGCTTTTATCTATCTTAAAAATGTAGGCAAACAATAGAGATTTCTTGAGTCTCAAGCGAAATCGGTCGATCTCCTTGACGATTGTATCAGAAATACTAAACATACGAGCTTCAGACGACATATTGAATGGTACTGAGCAACAATATAAGAATGTTTCTAGTTGCTGGCAAAGCAAGAGGGTTGTTAGGCTATGAAGTATGTATAGCTCTGGTATTGGAAGGCAGTAAAAACAAAATAAGTGACTATTACAGGCACCTTCCACCTAATAATAAAGATTTTAATGATTTCAAAATACAATGTTTACTTAGAGAATGGTGGTCCCGGCAAAATGACTTCAAAATACTGGAAATCGCTAATCGCGAATGCAATGGTATGTCCTCTTTCTGTAAAAGCAATAGGTAGATCCAACCCATCATAATAAGTATATTTTTCAAGTGTAAAAGTTAGTGTAATTATTTACTCTGCATAATGAGAAACAAACCAAGTCAATATGAGGACCATTCCATCTATGCTATACTAGTGACAAATGACTCATAGAAGGAACAGAATCTTCCACTTCTGCTATTACTTTGTGTTTTGTTTCAATATAACGGTATATTGCAAACATGAATTAGCTTAACCTTCCATAATTATCCAAGACTTAGAATGTTTACCTACGGAGATCTGTAACTGAACCGTCTAACCAATTTATATGCTACAATGTTTGACAGTATAGCTTGTAACTCGATTAAGTCGCTTTCCAAAGAGTAGAACATGGAACAGTAGATTTATTTGTTTACGCCAAAGCTCATGCAAGAAGAACTTCCACTCGACCTTTCTACTGAAGTAGCTTGAATGAAATCTTACATTTTTTTTTTCCTTAGACTACTTTGATACCACTCACTGTCATAATGACTTTCAGGACATGAATGGTCTTTATTTCTTTCCCAATATGATATCGTATTCAAACAATTTTCTAGTACAATATGAATAAATAGAACTATCGCTCAACAGTTTTTTATTGATGAAATAATGATGAGAAATCATTTTCTTTCTAAAATATCATGCAGTACAAGAAAATTGTTATTATTCATACATCCAGTATGGCTGTCTAGCTGCTTAGCTTCAAGTATCAGTATCGTAAATCAAGTTGAACAGCTCGACCAAAAAAAACTTTTTCTCAAAGGGTTTATGAGAGCAGCACTGCTTATCCGAATTCTTTTTGAAAGCTTAATCCATCTATTCTATCGTTGAATCATCATCTTTTCGTTTTTTATTTACGAATGTCGACGAAGTAACATCTGTGTAATATCCCCTTTAGTATTATGACTTACTATAACATTTTTGAGTAACAGTTGAGTAATGTTATACCCTCTGGGATAGTATCATACTTGTTTGGCTCTTTGAGTGTTAACCCTTTCTAAACAGACGTGTACGGAAAAAGGTAAAATTCACTATTCCCTTATTTATTTATTTTCATAATATTTTTTTCGAACACTCTAGAAATCTGCTGTCGTCTTTTTCGAAATCGTTTGGACTTAGACGTTGTAAATTTAACACTCACCATCGTTCTGTTAAATTTTTGTTTATGGTCCAATTGAAATAGGAACCTTTAGTGAAAAAACAAGTTCGTTCGTTTACTTGAATTGAATTATAGAAGAAATGAGTTATGTGTCTTATATACACAAGCCTTCGTCAGTGAGAAATGCTGTTGTTTGTCAGTTTGTTGATTCGACGTCGTGCAATGTAATAATTGCCAAAAGCAACTGTATCGAGATTTACGAGTACAACGATGAAAAAAATCTTCAGCTTTTAACTTATACAAATATATTTGGACGTATTGTTGGTTTAAATTCATTTCGCCCTGCACTATCGTCAACAGACCATATTATTGTTGCTACTGACTCTTTCCATTATTTCACTCTTTTCTGGGATTCTGAAAATCAATCAATTGCAAATGGAATCAAAATACAGGATTGTAGTGTGCGTTCTCTCCGCGAAAGTCAATCTGGCCCTATACTACTCGTAGACCCTTTCCAGCGTGTCTTATGTTTGCATGTTTATCAAGGGCTTCTGACAATTATTCCAATTGTCAACTCTAAAAAACGACGTCTAAACAGTATGGACTCTTTCCTTCATGATAATTTTAATGTCCGCATCAAAGAATTGGATGTTATTGATATTTGCATGCTCCACACTCCTTCAGTTCCCACCTTAGCTGTTTTATATCGCGACAGCAAATCTGTTGTCCATCTGTCTACTTACACAATAAACATTCGCGAATGTGAGATAGACGAAGATGATTTAGTTTGTCACGATATAGAGGAAGGTAAGCTTATTGCGCACAACAATGGTGGTGTATTCATCTTTGGTGAAATGTATGTATACTACATCAGCAAGGAGCTTAAAGCTTCAAAGTCCTTACTCACTTATCCAATATCAGCATTCACAGGAATTTTGGTTTCCGATCCACTTGAAGATTTATTTTCCGTCAAGTATGATCCGAACCATTTCTTTGTAACTGATGAAAGCGGCTTTATATACCATTTCTATTCTGAATTCTCACATAATGGTTTGAAAATGGACTTAGAAAAGCTTGGCGAGTCTTCTATTGCCTCTTGTCTAGTTTCCCTTCCCCAAAATAAAGTTTTTTTGGGAAGCCATTATGGAGATTCCGCGGTTTTACAGTTAGATAATCCTGGTTTGGCTAACCAAGAGTTAACTGTACAGACTTTACAGATATTTCCTAACATAGCTCCTATAAGTGATTTTACAGTCGAACATGAAAGTTCTGGATCTTCTATACTTACTTGCAGCGGTGCTTACAAGGATGGAAGTATACGTGTCTTAAAAAATACTGTTTCAATTCAGGATATAGGCATAATAGATATGGAAAGTATTAAGGAAGTCTTCTCTGTCTCGTTTAAGGCTGATTATGACAACTATATCATTATAAGCTTTCCTAGTGAAACTCGGGTACTTTATGTCTCTCCCGAAGGTGAATTTTCAATATGTACTGACCTTTCTTGTGATTCTTCTACGTTAAGTGTCGGTGTAGTGGATGAGGGAAAGCAACTTTTGCAAATTACTACTTCTAATGTCCGCTTATTCAATGGAAGCAAACTAATATCCTGGTCTCCCCAAGCAAACATAACTAATGGCACTATATATGAAGATTTGGTTTGTGTTGCCTTAACAGGTGGCACTATAATTTTTCTTCGTATGTTGGAAGAAATTGCTAGGTATCAGTGTGATTCGGAAATCTCATGCCTTGGCTTTTTGGATGACTCTATTTGCTTCATAGGACTATGGTCTTGTTCAGTCTTGGGTTTAAAGATCAGCCAAGGTAGTATCCAAGAGACGTGTCAATATAGCCTAAAAGATGTACCTCGAAGTTTGACTTGTTTTTCGTTCAGTAATCAGGTGAACGATTTCCTATATGTAACTACGAATGATGGTCAGTTTTTGCAATATTCTTTCGGTGAACATGGTATTTACAACATTCAACCTAAGGTAATACGCCTAGGAAACACGCCTGTTAGCATAAAACCCCTAATTTTTAAAGATAAAAGCACCCTCGTTTCTATAGCTGAAACTCAGCAATTTATCCATATGGAATCAAAAAGATTGGTTTTTACTCCTTTTCCCTCAAAAGAAATCGTTAGTATTACAAGGTTCTGTCACCCTACCTTAAATACGGATCTTGTATATTGTACGGGTTCCAAATTAGTTATGGCTTCTCTTGGTGCCATTCAAGGGTTGACTATACAAACAATCCCAGTGGAAGGTTTCCCACGGAGGATTTGCTCTTCAGAAAAACACTACTTTGTCCTTTGTATGCAACTAGAGGATGCTTTAGGAAGTCAAGAACAGAGCCTAAAATCTTCTCTACGAGTCTTTGATAAATTGACATTAGAAGAAGTATGTCAGTTTGAGTTTGATGCAAATGAAATGGTAGAGAGTATAGTGTATCTAGAGACTAACTCTAGCATAATCGTTGGTACAGGATATAACTATCCTGATCAGGATACACCCGATTCGGGGCGATTGCTTATGTTTACTGTCAATAAGAACAACCTCAATTTAATTTCAACTTATAAGGTGCAAGGATCGGTAAACACACTCGAAAGTTACAAAGGTCTAATTGTAGCTGGTATAAATGCTACAGTTAGTACGTTTGCTTTTCGTGAAGGAAGTTTTCACGTCGAAGGTTGTCTTCGAACTCCTACTTATACCATAGACCTCTGTATTGACGATGATGATATAGTAATCGGCGACTTGATGAAGTCGATTTCTGTGATAAATTTTTCAGAAAACCAGCTGACCGAATTAGCCAGGGATTTTAAGCCAATATGGGTATCATCCGTTGATAAGCTAGACAAACATAAATACTTTGTCTGTGATGCTGATGGTAACGCATTTGTTTTTCTACGGGACGTGCATTCACCGCAAATAGCCGACCGTAAACGGTTGCGCTGCTTGGATCAGTACTACTTGGGAGAATTCGTAAACAAAACTCGAACTGCTACATTAACAAAGCTTCAGGCAGGAAGCTTTGTACAACCGAGACTCATCTCCGTCACAGTGGATGGTGCTATAATGCTTATTGGAGATGCGAATGATAATGCTGACATACTCTTGCAGCTTCAGGATAACGTAAGGCGCGTTTTACCTTCGACAGGCGGACTAAGTCATGAAGACTGGAGAAGGTGTCATTCTGAAGTTGCTGAAGAGCTTCCGAGTAAGCTTATAGATGGTAATTTATTAGAAGGTATCGTTGACATGCCTCTGTCTATACAGGATGATATCGTTCAAGGAAAGAACGGAGGACTACCCTTGAACATTTCTGTGAATGAGTTGGTAAATTTATCGGAAAGTCTTGCTAGATTACATTCCTAAATTCTTGCGCTAATGAACTTCTTAATGAAAAAATTGCGAAAACCGCAACATATAAATATATACATCTTTTTGGGAAATACAATAATTTACATTACTATTCTTTCGATAGTTTGTATGATTCTTCATTACTTTCTCGTTTTAGGAGAAATCGCTAAATATTTTACTTAAATGTAGAGTCAATTATTCGTTTGAATTTTCACAATTCATAATTCCTTATTCATAATTAATTCTGTTCTCTTTAGAATTCCACATCTTTGGTATTCGTATTTTTTATTTTGTTTATTTAGGGATTATTCCACTTCAGTATCCTAGACAAACGAGGGACTTGGGGAATTCTTCTACTAGAACTCCACCATATACGCCTTTCAAGTTTTGGATCTCTGAGTTTACTTAAAAGAGGAATATATTTTAGACGTTTAAACTCTTAGAAATATTCTTTTTTACAAGTAATATGAAGGTATGCCAGTTTACCTCGTTTCAGTGAATGAGAGTTATCTGTATGAAATACTAATGTTTCAATTAGTCTACCTATTTGAGAGAGTATAAATTAGTTGTTGTAGGCGACGGCGGTGTCGGTAAAAGTGCTCTTACGATTCAACTGATTCAATCCCATTTTGTAGATGAGTATGATCCAACAATTGAGGATTCCTATCGAAAAAAGTGTGAGATTGATGGAGAAGGGGCTCTTTTAGACGTTCTTGATACAGCTGGTCAAGAAGAATACTCTGCTATGCGGGAGCAGTATATGCGAACTGGTGAAGGTTTTCTACTAGTATACAACATAACTTCTCGGTCATCTTTTGATGAGATAAATACGTTTTATCAACAGATATTAAGAGTCAAAGACAAAGATAGCTTTCCCGTTGTTTTAGTCGCTAATAAGTGCGATTTGGAGAACGAAAGGGTCATTTCTCGAGCTGAAGGAGAGGCTCTTGCTAGAAGTATGAAATGCATTTACGTTGAAACTTCAGCAAAACTTCGACTAAACGTCGAAGAATCCTTTTACAGCCTTGTCAGAACAATCCGTCATTTTAATAAATCTGAAGAAAGAGGACTTCATACTAAACAAGCTACACAAGTAGCAAAATCTCAGCCAGCTACTAAAGCTTCTAAGGGTCCTGCTGCGGCTCAGAACCCTGATTCTTCTTCAACAAAATGTTGTGTCATATGTTAGATATTTCCTTTCTTTTCTATTTCCATTTTTGGTTTTGGCCGACTTTTTTCCCTGGGATTAAAATACGTATACGGGTTTTATACAAAATGCTTTTAGTTTTTTCACTCATTATTGAAAAAAAAGTTGTTTAGCCTTCGGAGTTTGGATTTATTTGGATCATTCGCTGTTTGCTATAAAGGAATGGGGCCTAACCTCCAACCTATTTTCGAGTTGATAATTATAATGTTATGCTGGTACACTTCTGCCTTTTGCTGTTTTACTGTCTATCTAATATGTTAAGCCTTTTTTTTCTCATAGAAGTAAGACATGTCTTAAAGACTTGTGGACATAATATACAAAAGTCTCTATATTTTATTGAATAAAACAAAGCTCATTTCTCTCATTTCTAATCAATACCCAAGTAGGATTTGCTTCGAGTGTAAACAAAAAAACTCGTACTAACCATTGGGATCACTTTTAAGTATCCGATCGTAAGACCAACAAAAAAACCTCTCAATCCAGCGTCTCTATATGTAGATTTTATAACGTTTTGTAATTTTAGGAACCGAGAACGACTTTCAACACCGCCTACTTGCATTTTTCTTCTACATACTTCAAAAGGGTACGAAATCGTTTGGCCACAAACACCAGCCAGGGCACCGGCTGTAAGTTCAGACCAAGTACTTAAATGCCGTTCATCCTTCTCAGAACGAAGAGCTCTTTTGATTACAGGATTATGGAAAAAATCGGTAGCAAGATCATGAGCTAAAAAAGACATTCCAGCATAGGGGAAAATCCCCATCAAGGTTACAGAAAATCCACGATAGAAGTTTGAAATCCTTCTAATTGAGGTACGTAAAGGGGTTTCTTTCAGATTGCCAAAATCTCGTTCGTGCAATACTTGGCTTGTAACATTCAAAAGTCTTGGCTTATTACTTGAACCTGTTATATATGCAAGTCGAACCCGAATTAATTCCAATGGATAAGTAAAAAAGACAGAACACATACCTATATGGTTAAAATGCAAATTTTCAAAGTATAGTTATCTTACCAGCTAAAGAACCCGAAAGAAATCTCCGACCATTGGTTTCATAATCTTCTGAGTGTATAAGCAGTCGCCGTACTTGCTCATAAGCAACAAACTTAATACCTGCGTAGGGAAAAATACGATATAGAGTAGCTGTGTGGCCTTGATACAAACCTCGAACACCGCTTACATGGTAAATACGCTTTATGGATTTAGTTAAACCATGGCGAGAGAAAGCATAACCTCGGTATGCTGCATGATTAGTCTGATAGAGAATCTTCACTCTATCCAAAGGTGCAATTACAGTCTTTGCAACGCAGCCCGCGATTCCACCTGCTATCCCGGACTTGATCAAGAATTCCCTGGAATCTTTCGGGGGGAAAGTCTCAATTGAATTGGTCATGGAGTAGACCGTTACCAATTATAGACTAAGAGTAAAGCAAAAAAGGAAGAATAACAAAAAGGAACGAAAACAGATTAAAGAATACAATACCGCTTCCTACTATCGTATTCTCGAAGTAGTCGGAGGACAGCAATGAAGCTAGCTTGATGTCTTAATTAAAAATGGACTCCAAATAATGAAGATACCAAAATTGATCAAAACCAATTAGGTGGTCAAATAGTACTTGAGTAGCTTAGACTGCTCAATATAATGATAATACTTTCAAATTATAACATCTGAGATTGCTCAATTTCTTAAGTTGCTCAGTATAAGCAGAAAAAAGCACAGGCCCTCTTGTATTATGAATTCCAAACTAGGTAGGTAATATCCACTCAACTTCAATACTATCTTTATTAGTTTCTTTAAAAAATTTGTAAATATTTCTTAAAATTATAAATAGAAGAGAAAAGCAATTGATTTTATGAAATCTCCGGAAAAGTCATGCTTATAGGAGGTAGGTATGTCAGCTAGTACTTGGGAAAATGGTTATAAAACAACTCCTAAAAATAGATCATGTGTGTGTTCATTGCACTAAATAAGTAATTTAATTCATTTCAAAAAGCTTTTTTCTATTTTCAGCCTAAGGTACTTATAATTTGAGCTTTGACTTAAGGAAGCTTTGCAAGATATTGTGAATCTTGTACCCACTAACTGGACTAGAATAGAATAAAAGAATTGAATTGAATCATTAATATTTAATATTCAAACCGTTTCAGAAAATACCTTAACATCTATATTTCAAGTGCTCCAATGACTACAATGTAAGTACGAGTAATACAATCAATGCAGACGAACGACCAGAAGGAGTAGAGGAAGAAAGAACGATACATGATACAGCACAAATAGTAAAAGTAAAATATATCGAAGAGATATGATTCATTTTCTCAGAGGAAGATTTCTAACCGATCAAAAGATTGAGCCTTTAGTAAGTAATCGTTATAAGCAGCCATGATTAAAATAATAAAGACAGTGGAACAGAGTAACTTAAACCTTTAAAAACACAAGTATCGGTAAGATGAATTTTATTTCTTCTTTCCTTTCTTTTTTTTCTTGGAGCTCTTACTAGGAGCAGCCTGAGGTTCTGACTTCACTTCGACAGGCTTATTGGGAGCTGCAGGTTCAGTTTCTAGTTTAAAGCTGTTAGTTATATGAATTGGTTTCATAGAAATGATGTCTGGAATATGAAACACATCTCAAAGGAAGCTATACGATTTAAAATGTTCATATACACAGGTTAAGGTTATATTCATCATTTCTCTCTTTTTAAAAAAACAAGAGATATACATACCAGATGGTTCAGGAGGGATTTCCAACTTGTTAGAAACATAACCAAGTTTACTTGCAATGAGCATTAACCGGCTCAACTCGGCAGCTTTGTCTGTTCTAAACTTTAAGCATATTCCTGCTGTACTTTCATATGCTTTTGCAACAAGGTAACTCTGTTGATCTTCATCAATTCGATAACGCGTAGTTAATTTTGTCTATATACCACTGTTAGACGGTATATTTTAAGTCAAAAGTAAAACAGTTCTTACTGTATCAGGATATGCTTCTACTAAGAGCTTAGTTTGTTCAAAAAAGTCATTAACGGTGGACAAATATACCATCCTTTATGCTGGCTGTTGGCAAATTCACCTTTACCAGTAGCGAACCTGCGCTTGGTCTGCTTTTTGACCGTAAATCAAAGTAAGCTATGCAAATTTAAATATAAAAGTATTTATAGAAAAGAGTTTTAAAAAAGATTTAAGCAGGTCTCTGAATTTTAGAGCTTTTGGGCTGTTCAGTTAAGACCCAGTATAATATATATCGATTGTATACAATTTCACCTGAAATATTTCATTTGGAAAAAGAGTTATTATTATCGTTCTTAACGATATCTGAATATCTATTTAATCTTCTGCTCACTTAAAATGAGTACAAAGAAAATGACACGAAAGCTTAGAAAGAATCGTAAGAAGTTGAACCGGAAATTGGAAAAGGGGACCCAAAATATAGAAAGTATGTTAGCAAGTTGTTCAAAAAATGAACCTGAAACGAATAAGGAAAGACAAAGCTCTTATTCCCGAACGGATTTGGACTCATTGAACATTCTGGAGAAAGAACAAAAGCACAAGGATTTAAGAAAGAAACAAAAAAATTTTTTACCTGAGATCGTGGTTAAACAACAGCGGCCCATATTATGCTCAAAACAAACAACAGAAGAATCCAAGCATAAGAATCGCAAAGAAAATACTATCACAGATGAACTGATTCTTCCAATTCCATCCTCCTCTCAAGAAGACACTGCATTTGCTGAGAATAAGCAAATGGATCTCATTTCGACTAATGATTATGAACTGCCAGGCATAGTTAAAAACAGCGACCCCGCGGATGGTTCGTATAGTCAAGAGAAAAAGAGTTTTTTAAAAGGTTATGAAATCAATAAGGAAGATCAATCGATGAACTCTGCAGTTGACTCTACTCCTATGAAAGATTCGAATGACCAGAGAACTTTGCCGGAGTTTGATGAAAGAGAGGAGCAAGAAACTGATTTCGACCTTTCAGATACTGAAGTTATATCTCCGTCCAAAGGTAAACGACCTTCTCAGAAGTTAATACTTTCAGACTCTGAATCTGATAATTCCGACTCATACTACTCATCAACTGCGTCCCTACCAAGCAATGGATCAGGTTTAGTCTCAAAAAAATCGAAAAGAAGGAAATATCTTCCTCGCTCTTCTGAGGATGAATCTGTTGAGTTTAATCACTCATCTCCGGAACGGTCTTCCAATGAAAAAAATTCAAATGAAGATGAAAGGGACCACTTGGACACGGAACTAAAGCAAGAAGTGGAGAATTTAGAGCCTGTACATGATGAGAAAGAAGATAAGCGTAAGCGTTTTAGAAACCCAGCTAAGAAGGCGTTTCATGAAAAATTGGCACTTATCAGAAGTAAGGAATATTTTTTTATGATTACTTACTAACAATAATTAGGAAAGCGTAGTCTTGGTGATTCTAATATAGAGACCGAAGAAGACATTTCAGAACCGGCGAGTGAAAAGGTGGATACTAGCGATGATGATTCTTCGAATGATGAGTCTTTTATAGTAGATGAAGAGGAAGACGAAGAAACGCTAGGTGCTCGTGCATTACTTCCTCCAGAATTTTCAATGACAAGCCACCAGGGTCTCCGAGCTCATTTTGCAAATTTCCTTCGACATCTCATTAAGCAAATACTGAATCTTCAAATAGATAGAAGCATAGATGAACATTTTCTTTTTAGTCGTAAAACGATTCGAAGGCGACTTTTTTCCTCAGTGGAATCCAATGTGATTTCTAGTATCTGGAAACCAAATTTCATTAATATTCTTAAAAACCGCCCGATAATGACGAACAGGAGATGCGAAGCTACATATGGGTGTGATGCTTGTAATATACATTCACGTTTATCCACACAGCTTGTGCGCTTTAAAGGCCATTTATACAATCGTGACACTTACAAGGTATGGGCTACAATTTCAAATACTAAAGCGCTAACTTTTCAAGGTTTTAGAAAATGATCTAGAGTATCATGAAGAATCCAAAAAAGATTGGCTTCTTGGAAGTAGTTGTTACGAGAGATCGCGACTTGCGCACAGAATTTTCCATTGGGAATACGAGGTAAGCAAGGAGATAACGACTCAGCTCTCACTTGCTGGTTATTATGAAGCGCGGGCGCTTTCAATAGACCAAATGTATCAATGTTTAGAGGAGAACAATTATCCGGAATCTTCTTGGCAAGAGTACTGTAAACTCTTAAAATTAGCTAGTTCATCGTTATTAAATGACTGGCGCTCAAGTTATCGAAAGCACGGTTAGTTGATTCTATCAGATACATCAATTTGTCAATTAAGAGATTATACTTTCTATGGAACATGGAGATCATAAAACTGCAAGAAAAGGAAGATAAACGAAGGTTGTATATAAACTTACAACTTTTAAGAAATTAGATATTAAATACTCTAACCATAGATATTGATTTACCCAAAATAAAACCCTATTTACTTTCTAGCTTTTTGACGGCGAGCTTTTCCAGGGCGACTTTTATTGCCCTTTAAGGCCTTTAAGCCTTTTCTGCCGAATTCCGTAGCAGCAAGACTGTCAGCGTCATTGCTCTTCGTACCACGTTTTCTACCTCCAAAACCGAATTTTTCGTCTTTCTTTTGTCGTTTCAAGTTAGGCTGACGGTCGCCTTTTTTATTAGCAGGAGCCTTGGCCTTGGCCTTTTCTTCTTTTTCGGCTTTCGCAAGTGTAACATCAAAATCATCTTCGGTGGTCAAATCAGAACCAGTATGCTTGCGCTTAAGTAAATTAATCTTTTCCAAAGTTTCCCTCTTTGTACGCTGACGTTCTTCTTGCTTAGCAACTTGAACCTGTTTGCCGAATTTTTTAAGCCCACGTTGTTTCTTGGCTTGTTCGGAGAGCTTCTTAGCGGTAGCTTCCTTAACTAATTCTTGGCGGACCTTCTCCATGTGGGCATCCGATTTCAGCATTTCGGCAAAGTAATCGGAAGGACGAGTTATAGGAACCTTGTGCTTTTCCAATTGAGCAAAGGCAGCTTTGGTACTCTCAACACCCTGCTTATAGAATGCAAGTTCTCTTGTAAGATCATCTTCTACGTCAGCAATTACAATAGGTTCCTTTGTAGTGACAGCCTGGTTTTCAACGATAGAAATGTCATCAGGATACTTGAGTTTTTCATAAATGCTTTCAAGAGCAATTGTGTTATTTAAAGCCAATTTCCTCTTACGAACAAGATCAGCGTCCTCTTCTAACTCGACACCTTCCAGGTCTGAAAGTTCAACTTCATCCTCATCCTCTTCCTCCTCGTCTTCGTCTTCATCCTGATCGTCTACTTTTGTTTCTTGTTGATGTTGAGGTTTTTCTTTCTCTGGCAATTTCTCCTGAACTCGAGTTTCACCTTGCTCTTCCGACTTTTCTTCATTATTGCTAGAATTTTTTTGGGAAACAGAATCTGAATTTTCATGTGATTCTGCTGAAACATCCGAGATCGGTTCCTGCTTTTGCTCAGCAACTCCCTTCTTCTTTTGGGTAGCTTTCATGCTCTTTTTTTGAGCTCTCCTTCCTTTAGCGTCAACTCCAGCCATCCTTTCTTTCTAATTGAATTTTACAGATATGTAACAAAAATGAGTCGTTTAGAAAGAAGCGAATGAAAAATTTCAATGAATCCGTTGGTCTCCAAAATGCTGTTCTTAGCAAGTTTTGGATTCTGCCTTTGCAGAGGATAGGGTCTTGTTACACTCGCTTAAAATGATTTACCAAAGGGGAACGAGTGTTTTAAAAAAAGATACAATTGTGCTACCGCTGCGGTAAAGGATGTTACAAACTTTAAGGAAGGATTTTTTCATTTGTAAAGTCGAAAACCCCTTCCCTATGAAGCAAAGCACTTGGGAGCGAGAGTATCGAGAAAACGCTTGCACCATGGATGGTATCATATTCTCATAGTATCATACTATCATACTATCGTAGTCCTTCTTGAATGATAATAACAAGGAAGTTTTTAACAAAAAAAAAAAAGAGAGTTGGGTTCACTATTAAAAAATCTCTTTTCAATTCGATGATTTTTCGTTCAATTCGCTGGCTTTTAGTTTGTTTCTGTGAGATGCTACGTACTAAACGTTTCCTGGTTGGAAAAGCAATGCGAATGAAGTATGCATAGCAAGATAAATGGATCAGGAGAATCAAAATCATTTCCTGTTTGATTGCGTTGCCAACAATGAAACTCCTATGTAAACAAAAATCCAGCAAACACAACACGGTGCCTGATTCTTTCTTCCATCTTACTACGATTCCTTGTTTCCTCCTTGTTTATTACTGCAAAACAAAATCCTTTAACACACATATATAACGATACATTAAGCTTCGTTACAGCTTGAATGTTACTTATGTGACTGTATTTACAGGTAACAGAAACCCTGCTTGAGGTTTGTGTTTTATGGTCACCACTCAAGTCCCTTTGATTCCATACAATGCCTCTGCCGGAATCTGTAGGCGATTTGGTTGTCCTACATTTTGAAACGAATTTAGATGACCATGGAATAAGCATCGGTCGGGCTCCGTGCGAAATCCATGAAATTTGCTGGGTCATTTTGGATGGTAAAACATTAGAAAAACAACATTGCGAGTCTTGTAGCATTCGGGAAGAGTCGTCAAAAGATGGAATCTGCGGAACGGTGTCTTCTTTACAAGAAGCGATACAATATGTGGACAATTCCATCCAAGAACGACTCAACTTACAGGAAAAGCCTTTCACATTTGTCGTCATGAATGGGCGAGAATTACGGGTTCTTTTACCCAAAGAGGCAAAAGATCACGGCGTTATCCTCCCTTCTTATATGCGTCACCCTCGTCTATTTGATCTCTCCAGTGAATATGCGAAATGGCAAATCCGTTCAGGCTCCGTTCCACCTTACACAATTACACTGTCACATATTTTTGGAAAGCTAGATGTTGATTCATTGCCTCCCATTAATGAATGTAAAACAATTCAGCTTTCCCCCACAGAAGTCCCTTATATTACCAAAGGCTTGACGCAATGCTGGCGCCTTGCTAATGCTACTACTCTTCTGCTGCGAAAAATTGAGCGCGAAGCCAGACTACCTTCTTTTCCTAATGTCCTCACTCAGCCGATCGATTGTCAAGCTGACGCGAGACTGTTTTACTTGGAGCGCTCCAAGGTGGTCCACATCGGTGGCCTAACCAACGACGTTACTCAATCCGAATTAGAAGGTTGGTTCACGAATCATGGCATTCATCCAATTGCCCTCTGGACTCTTAAGACACCCGAGCCTTATAAATCAACTGGTACCGGTTTTGTCCTCTTCGGCAGCCATGAAGACGCATCAGATGCTCTTGGCCTGAATGGGTTATGTATTGGCGATCGCATGCTTGCAATTACTCCTAGCTGCCCAAAGGTTTTGGATAAGGCATCGGAAATTTTGATTCCTTTCCCTTCCAGCAAAAACCGCCCCCGTCCTGGCGACTGGAATTGCCCCATGTGCGGTTTCAGCAATTTTCAACGTAGAATTTCTTGTTTCCGTTGCTCTTTCCCTGGTCCTGGTCATGCTTCAGCAACTGCTGCAACTTCGTCATTTCCTCCCGAGTTCCCTTATGGTCAGTCTTATGGCAACGGTAATTCGCATATCCCTCACAACTATGGCTTTGGTATCCATCATGCTAATGAAGTTAATAGCCAGGCCGATCAGCATCACAATGCAACAAACATTGTTAACAATCACTCTTCCCGTTCCACGTTTGGTGGTAATGTTCCTTTCCGGGCTGGTGACTGGAAATGTGGTTCTGAGGGCTGTGGATATCATAATTTTGCCAAAAACGTTTGTTGCCTACGCTGCGGTGCTAGCCGTGCAACGGCCGCTGTCGTCGCAGACCACACGTCGATGTCGTCAAACGCTAATAACAATACCAACGGTAATTATCCAAGCACTTCATCTGGTGTCTTTGGTACTAGTCCTACAAATGCATGTGTATATCCATATTCTCAGCTATCTCTTGGTTCTATAGCTGCTAATAATCACCCATATCCGAACCCTAATGCCAATCGTCCTGAGGAGCAAAACCGGTTTAAAGATGTCCCTAAAGCTTCTTTTGCTACTGATCAAGGTGATTGGCTTTGTGAATGTGGCTTCACTAATTTCCGTCGCCGAAGTAATTGTTTACGTTGTAATGCTCCCCACTATCCAAACTTACAAGGTCCTTCCTCTTTCCCTGCAGATTTCGGGACTTATGCCTAAAGTTCACCATATTAATTGCAGCCCTGCTGCTACATTCATTGAATGGGTGTCATGTATTTTTAATAATTGGGATAAACTTTATATTTGCTGATGTTTTCTGCTGTTTTTGAAACATATAAAATCTAATATCTTGGCTTTCCTTGTTGAAGACAAGTTGAGCGTGTTGTAAAAAAGGACTTCATGTGCCAATTTTTTGCATCTCTTCAAAATGTGGCCGTCTTATTTGTTTAAAGAATTGGGAATCACTTTGTTGTAATGATATGGAAGGTAAAAAATGTTAAAACATAAACAACTAGCATCGAATTTGGGTTTACGATTCACAAATTCAGTATCCATGAAGCTATGTTTACATACCATTTTTCTCTTAATATAATTGCTGTTATTGATGCTTAAGCCTACTTCGAGATTTTACTTTTTTCATTTGTGTTTGATCTTTGATTTATGGAAACAAAGATTGGTCGGGTTTCGTGTAATAGATTTTAACGGATAATATATTAATTCTATATGTTTGCTTTTTTTTTAATATACATTTAAGTTTCACTTATTAATTTTAGGAGTATTGTAAGAATCTATGTCGCCTTTCTAAAGGAATAGCTTTCACTAGCGATTGGTTTTACCTTCGCGAAGAGAACGGCAATTACTGGCTTTATAAAGGTGAAAACTAAATGTAACCATATAGAACAGAGTCTATCTGATTTGCTTCATTCTCTTTTAAAAAGTAGTACAGTATATTTAATGGTTATTCAATCCCTCTTTCACTGAAGCTCAGATTGCTCTGCTAGAGCAATATCGATTAATCCTAATTCTTTGAAAATTAACAAAAATTTAGTATTGAAATAGTTAAAAGCTGTTGTTCAATATGAACCAAGTCACTCAGTTTAGTGGTGATTCTGCAAATCTTGTGCTTTATTGGATTTTGAGACAATATCATGGGAAGTTTGATAAAATTATCTGGATAGATACACTTGGAATTTTTAATCCGACAGCTTTACCGTTACCTTCGTTGGAAAAAACAGCTATTATTCGAGCCTTCGACGCTGAAGGTATACAAGACGCCATTCATGAGTTAGAGAGTGATCTTTGCCAGAATGAGGATGTATCTTATGCCTTATTTATTGACTCTTTTTCCAATCCTCTTGGACTCCTCATGGCAAAAGCTAATATCTCTTACGCCCATGCATCTATGATGTCTTTAGGGAGACAACTTCGCATGCTAACTAGAAAATTTAACATTGCTGTTTATCTATCTACCTCTCTTGTTTATGTCAAACAGCTTCGTATTAACAAGCCTGCCCTGGGTAGCAGCTGGCCGTTCTGTCTGGATCATTCATTCATTTTACAGGAAGATTTAAAGCATAATAAATGCCAATTAGTCTGTAACCAAAGCAGAACAAGTCTTTTGGGAACTACTCAACTACTTTTATGGGTTAAAGGATCTTTTGTCCATGAGTCATTGACAATTGACTTATACCGATGCAAGCTTAACATTCAGGTATAGTTTACTGTCACCCAAGCATAATGCTTTCTTATGCTTTTATACAAAAAAAAAAAAAAATATATATATATTTATCTATCAGGTGATCATGGTACATAATTCCAGTTTAATCTATAATCTAATAAGAATGATATCCTTCATCACTTTCAATCAAAATTAGGAACTATTGTGCTCTGAAAATAAAAAAGTTAAAAGTATAAACTCCAAGTTCTAGAATCCAATTAAAAATACAAAGAAGAAGAAGATATTATATCGCGATAAAGTAATTGTTCTGTTTGGGCAGACTTTTCTTGTAGTTCATAATTACCTAAAACGGATGCAGCGTTTCGAAATTGTTTTAACAGTTCCGATAATCGTCTAAAAGTTCGAACAATACTTCCTTCATACAACCTTGTCATTTCACAAATCTCTAAGAAGGTGCCTCCATTTATCCATCTAGAAACGGCTTCCATCATGTCCGGCTTAAATTGATGAACATATTCATCTTCGTCAATATCTAGTCTGCTTTCCACGGATACTGTCACAATTCGCTTTGCAATGTCTAATATAGTTTTATATGTTGCAGAATACGGTTCCTTAAGGTTAAGCGTTGAAACATCAGATTTTTCCTGATATACAAAACAGCTTAGAGTAGCAGCAAAAAGATCGGGAGGGAGGGAATTAAAAATACCTTGAAAAATCATTTCAGTTATTAAAAGCTCATCGCCCGTACTTATTTCACAAGCAACTCTTCCCTTAATATCAATCACGTTATCAGCAGTAATGAATCCGAGGCGTCGAAGTGTTCGCTGTCGACTTTTCAATTCCTTTAGATGGATGATGGATTCAGTAGTCCCAATCTTCGAGCTCAAATCTTTTATACGATTTTTTAAGTCTAATTTTTCCGTATATTTGTGATACTCCGATCTAAACGATGGATCTTTATAGTAGGGGCTTTCTAAAAACTTGGGTTCTAAAATTTCAACTTTTCTAACATGAAGTTTCAACGCAGTTTCTTTTATGTTCATGTGTTCGACAGGATCCAGCAAGGGCATTTCGTCGTTCAACTTTTTTTGAATTTCAAGGACGTTTTGATAAGTACTTCTTCTGCTTTCATGAGAACTCAAATCTTTTGGAAGAAGAACCCTAAGAGAAGAAAAGTTTTCAATGACAGACAGGAAAACAGCAATGACTTCATATACTGGCTTTTCATTAGGTAAAGGTGCAAATAGTTGAGTAGATCGTAAATTGCTATTAGAGGTTGATTTTGACGATAGTGGGAGTAATATATCAATTATGTACATATCCTGAGGATCCACTTTTGGAGTTGAGGAATCCATTCTCTTAGTAGAATTCACAATAATCCCCCAAGGAAATAATGTATCATGAATTTTTACCTGCGCTAGCCTTCCTGGCTGTAAATATGGTAAGCAATTTTCTGGTTCCGTAATAATATGCTTAATATCTCTCCCATAACGCTCCAACTGCAATTTCAGATCATGGAATCTTCTTAAGGATTGTTCGTCTTTCACTTCAATAGATTTCTCTTTGACCTTGTATTTGTCGAGCTTGTGCGCAAGCACAGGAAGTGATTCCATTTTCTGAAATTGATAAAAACTCTTTCGTAGAAGGTCCTCTGGACTTATTCCTTCAATTCTCATTAGACTCAAAATCATATTGTAACTCAAATGAAAAGCAGAATAAAGAGATGCGGGCTGACCATTCATTAATGCACGAGCAGTTTGCTCATCTATAGATTGATCAACCATCACAATTGATAAACCCTTTGGGTCAATACCTCGTCTGCCGGCTCTACCGCTCATCTGCATATACTCTCCAGACGTCAGCCAACGAAAGTTAGTGCCAGAGAACTTTTGAGCATTTGTAAATAAAACCGTCCTTGCTGGCATATTCAAACCTATGGCAAATGTCTCAGTAGCAAATAATATTCTCACTAATCCCTCCTGAAAGAGGATTTCAACTATCTCTTTCATAATCGGCAGCAGTCCGGAATGATGAAAGCCAATTCCTCGCAAAAGAAACGATCTCATATGATTGAATTGCGGAATCTCTCGATCTTCCTTATTTAATTGAAGTAAAGCAGAATCTATAATTTCATTTATTAAATCCTTTTTTTCGTCACCATTGAGATCAACCTTGTTTAACTGAAAGACATTAGCTTCACATTCTTTTTTACTAAAGCAAAACACAATTAAAGGATCATAATGATTAGTTATAACCATACTAATTATGCGTTGCAGTGATGTTGTTCGCTTGCCCTTTTTTCTAGATTGGCGGTTTTCGTGTGACTCAACAGTGCTTTGAAGTACTTCCAATACCTTTGCAAAGCTTTCATCTTTGAAACGATTCTTTTCATCGACAACCATGTATATACCATCAGCACCATGGGGATATATGAAATGTTGTAATGGTGTTGGTCGATAATCAGTATATACAACATGGCAAGGCTGGCAATGTATGGAAGCAATCCAACGAGCAAACTGCATAGCGTTTGGAAGGGTCGCGGAGAGAAAAACGTAGCGAACCGCGTTTGGTAGAAGAATAAGGGTTTCCTCCCAAACCACTCCGCGATCTTTATCTTGCATGTAGTGAATTTCGTCGAAAATAACCCAGGCTACTTCATGCATAAGTTCGGAATTTCTATATAACATAGAACGCAATATTTCAGTAGTCATTACTAAACAGCTAGCTGATGGATTGATAGATACGTCGCCGGTTAGAAGACCAACATCACCAAACTCGGAGAGCAATTCACGATATTTTTGGTTACTCAACGATTTAATAGGACTAGTGTAGACAACTCGTTGCTTGTTTTTGAGGGATTGAGCGACAGCGTATTCAGCGATTACTGTCTTACCTGCGGACGTATGTGCGCTTACTAAAACTGATTCACATCTTTCTATACAAGCCATCGCAGTAGCTTGGAATGGATCAAGCTGAAAAGAATATGATTTTGCAGGTGGGTCGTTTGGAACATGCTGCTCAATGGGATTGTACTTGTAGTCAGGAGGCACGACCACCTTGTGTAAAGCAAAAGTTCTGTCATGGCGTTCATCTTGAAAAATTCCAGCTTGTGTTCCTTCTTCATTGAAATCTGATTGAAGGTTGTAAACGGTTTCCGGAGCATACGAATTATTCTCATTAGTTTCTGCTACTTTTTGTAGCTCTGATGTATCAGTTGATGCTCTTGCTTGATCATTTTCGTTAAGTCTGTTATTATTTTCGTCCATATTTTGACCAACGGATCGTTCACGAGAAAACACATCCGTGCCCAGGGAAACAAGTTTGTCCTCTTCTCCAGTCATGTCTAAGTCATTATCCATACAATATCATCAAAATTTAAAGACTCAAGTTGCTGAAGTGCAAAATAACGGTTTTTGTCAAAGGTAGGTAACCTGCAAATTCTCTACTTACAGTACTTCGCTTCAGTGAGCTTTATTTTAATATGATATATTTCAAGGTTATATGTACTCCTATTTTAGATAATTTAGTTACTTTATATTGATATTGATAAAAAAAACATTTTTAATATTGGATGGATAAATATATTGTTGCGATTAGGGGGTAGTAATTATAGTATGTACATTTTTAGTATATTAGTAGGACTAAATTAAATAAACCAGTTTCTTCTATCGGTGCGCGTTTAGATATTTCAAGAGAATGTAACCAAGCTGTAGATCCCAATTCTTGTTTTTATAAGCATAACAAAACGACAAGGAACGTAAATCAAGTCTAATTTCCCAAATCTTGTAATATCTGTTCAGGAAATTCTTCTTCATCGAACAGACGGACTCATTAATTGTTTAATCGTAGCATTGGGATCACTCAATATTCGATATGCTCTTTCCATCTCATACTGTACTAAATCCCTTGTAGCAGAAGTGACGACTGATGTTAGATTCTTGGTTTTAAGAAACGGATCTATAACCATCATATGAGATTCGCTGGCTTCTTTAACTGTACTTTTCATAATAGGGCGACCACAAGATATATCAACTGCATCTCGATTCCAATTAAAAGAGCCACTTTTTGAGGAGCTGTAATAATAAAAAAAACCAAGCAGCAAATCATTGACAGAGTTTTTGTTAAGCTTCGCTGTTTTTTTATATGGTTCTATGTTTTGTTCAAACCAACAATTTACTGATTCATGCGTCGAGTCAGACAACTTGTAAGAAAATTCGGAATTTTTCGCTTGGAGATTTGGTAATAATGGAGGCGAAAGTTGTTGAAGGTAAAATAGAGCCATTATGCACCACGTATAACCCGAAGGCACACTAAAATAGGATTTGTCAATCATGCGAAGTGATGCCCAGCTTTTTATAGTTGAAACAAAAACTTTGACTCTTTCATCTATACTTAAATATTTCTCAATTAAGCATGAATTTTGAGCGGCGAACATGGAATCAAAACTTAGGTCACAACGGAAACCTTCTGGTGTAGAAAGTTTAATTACAGGAGCCTTGGCATGTCGTATCGGAATCACTTCTCTATATCTTTTGAAAATTAACTTAGTAATAGTGTTAAATTTCTTTAAAAGGGGACTTTTAGAAGTAGCAACCAAATCGATATCTGAATGATTTGTCATTAAACCAGTCCTATACGAACCTAAGGTATAAACTTGGACAGGCATATTAAGACCTTCACTTAAAAGCTTTCGTATTTTTTTTATGAATTTAAGCACCAATTCCTCCCGTCTTTTATCGATCTTTTTGTCTAAATATACCTTATAAATATCTCTCTCTCTCGTTTTCTGAAGTTTGCTTGAAACAACCATAAAGTTGCTTTCCGACATTTTAAGTGGGTCCCACTCATTGGGATGGCTTAAAAATTCTTCTCCAATTGGCGTAAGCTTACGTGGATAAGAATCGGTAATCAGACCCAACTTTTCTAAATTCATCAAGTACCCGTCGACAAATGATTGCTCCAACTTGACCAAGAAATAGCTATTCAAAAATGACTGGATCTCTTTTTTGGAGCGAATACCCTTAGCTGATCTTCTCAAAATAAGCAGATTCATATGATCGACTGAATATGGTTGATTTTCTCCAAATAGTAGATTTGTTGCGTATTTCGAAAGTCCATCAGAAATTTCATTTTCTCTTTTTTCCGCATTTAGTAAATCAGAAAGGCTTGATGAAATTGCTTTTGCTTTATCACGGAACTGGCTTTCTTCAACATTGGATACTTGTAGTCCTTCTGTATTTTGCTCCGCTTTTTCAATATTTTTTACAGTTTGAGCTTGAAACTCAGATGATCGATCCAGCTTCAATGACTTTTTATGCTCAGCATCCTTTTCATCCTGAAAGTAGCTGTTTAAACTGTTCCGTAAATCGTCTATCAGCGCTGGGTTTTGTAGCTGTATATTGGTCGAGAATTTATATACAGAAACAAACACAGTTATAAGTAATTTCTGTTCATTCTCAATCATGGGTTGCATTGTATCTTCATCTATCTTAAATAAAGGAACAAATTCTTGTGAAGATAAAAATTTAGCGATGCCACCCATTCGTTCAACCAGCTGCAAAAGTGGTGTTGAAAATAAAGAAGAATTCTCCATATTTTCCTTATGGTGAAAAGCTGAAAAAATCTTTTCCGATGAAAGGTGAGGGTCTCTGGCAAACTCGCGGCTTAAACTCAATAAAGTCGGAACAAGCAAATATACCATCTTCCATTTTATGTTTGAGTTTCGCATGTAATCCTGTAGGCTACCCAAATTGGCAGAGGACAGCTCATCCATAAGGTTTGTGAATAGTTTTTTATCATTTCCCAACAGACGTTCAGAAAAGGACTCGGACACAATCTGTTCAACAGATTTGAATAATTCCGGAAACATTCTTTCAGAAAACATCGTTCTCAATGGATGGCTTACCTTTATTCCATTATTGTCTATACATTCAAAAAGGTGCCTTGAAGACGCCGACGACAAAATATTCACAATACCACCTACCAGCAGTAATGCGGTTTTAGTAGAATTTTGTAAAAAATGCGATTCTAAAATGACTTGGAAAAAACGTTCGATCTGTCCAATAGACATGGGAGATTTGTAAAAATAAAAATAAACAAGCAGAGCTCGAAGAGGCTCCAATAGCAAGTCTGTAAGTAAAAATTTGATAGAATTGGAAAAATAAGAACGTGATTGATCTGCCAAGTAACCAAGGGGCAAAAGACCAGAACCTTCAAAGAGGTTGGATTTAGATTCCAAGCTTATAATCGGATTTGAGTCTCCGGTAAGAGTAACTTGCTTTTGTTCATTAAATATAGGAGAAGAGCTATACTTGACAGTTGCCTTCCTCAGGTAAGTACTTATACTCCTCCATGCATCGGGTTTCAAAGATGCACGACGCTCCTTGACAGATTTACATAGACACTGTCGCAGAAGTTTAAGAGAAATTTTTTCATTAGGATTTTTCAATTTAATAGTCCCTGAGGTGGTATCATATAATATAAGAGGACTTAGATAGTCAGAAGTAGCAATTCTGTCAATGCCTCCCAATTGGGATAAAATCAAATAGTCTCTTTCTTCCAATGGAATAGGACAGGTTTCCTGGTTTTTTAATACTGTGGTAAGATCTCGACGCTTTATCCCGTCTATTGAATTTTTTAAATGCCAAAAGAAAGCCTGCATAGGATATAAAAGTAAGGAAGTAAAGTGCTCAATATCTTCCTCTATTCCTTTTTTCTCATCAATAAAGCTTGCAAGCTCCATATTTTCCTTATGTTTACGAGGGATGCAGGTCAGAGAATTCGCGTTGTTATTGGTTTCAGACAATGCATCCTCAGGGAACAGTTTCTCTTTTTTCTTTTTATTTTTATAAGATATTGATAGTTGCTTATTGATATTCTCCCAGAACTCTGGAGACCTATTTTGTCCTTGCTCTTTGACAAAGGTAACCAATTTGGGATAAACTTTCGAAGTAGATACTTGCTGTGCATTAGTTGTAGTAATAGTTACAAATCTCTTTGAATATTGAAAAATATTCTTGAGCTGCTTGGATTGGAGCATTGTTTTTAGCCCTCCACAAGAAGTCAAAGCAATATAGTTTGCCAACGGAATTGTTCGTTTTGGTATAAACAAAGATTGAATGTCTTTAACATCTGCTTTACCGCCGCTCTCATGTACAAATTGGAATACGGTCTGAATCGGTTTCAACAGTAGTGTCGCAAGTATCGTCTGACGGTCTGTGTTATCGAACATGAACGGATTTCTTTAATAAGTTAATTGATCAAGTTTAATAAATCCTCTAGTGCTTATGACTCAAACCAAACGGACGAAGTATCAATATTTCGGCTTTTGATTATTACGTCTCAAAGACCACTATAACACACAAGCAACCATCAAAAAAAAAAAAATAAAAAGAAGAGTATAATTTTTTATAAAAAGAATGATCAACAAATGATCTAAGAAAGGGCCTTTACTGACATTTGCCTTAATTCAGTTAATTCGCGAAAGGCAGGCATATACAAGGGAGCCACCCTTAGTATATAAGAATTGATCAGATAAACCTGCAAATAAGAGTTTCAATTATAAACAATAATATGAATGAAGTAGTCTTGTATTTAAATTTAATTTAATTTAAAAGCTACAAGAAAATTGGAGACTCCATCAAAAGGGATTAAATTCGGAATTTTTCAAGTTTGCCGGATTTTTTAGGGATATCAATTGAGTAGTACTATCAAAAAGGTCTCCATTTTTAAAATTTTTGCATATACAACAGGCTTTCAATAGAAGTACACACTTTTTTATTTTTTTTAAAAAAAACCCCCGAACGCTTTGTTTGTTTTGTAAAGTAAAAAGGATTGCCTTTTACCTTATCGTAAATTAATGCAAACTAAAGCAATCGCTATTTATTTTTAACGACACTCAACATCGAACGTTAATGAGGAAGAAGCAGCGTTACCACATTCATAAACAGCAATTCACCACAAACATACACCAAAAAATAACCCAATTATAGAAAAGTATTTTCCTGATTAAGTGGATTCGAAAAGCAAGAATGGATCCATCCTTGATTAAAGTTGTCAATCAACTTCAAGAAGCCTTTTCCACAGTTGGTGTTCAAAACCTGATTGATTTACCACAGATTACGGTATGAAAGTTTGTTTGCTTTAGTGCTGCTTTGTTTGTTTTCCATAGTAATAACCAATTCTTTTAGGTACTTGGCTCACAGTCAAGCGGAAAATCTTCTGTGTTGGAAAACATCGTCGGAAGAGACTTTCTTCCTCGTGGCACAGGAATTGTAACTAGACGACCATTGGTTTTACAATTAATAAATAGACCAAACCCGGAGAATTCCAAGAATGAGAACACTAATAGCTCATCGAAAGAGGGGACCGACGAAAACAACAATACCGAATGGGGTGAATTCCTCCATCTTCCCGGTCAAAAGATGTATGACTTTGAAAGAATCAGGAGCGAAATAGTTAGAGAAACTGAAGAAAAGACAGGAAAGAATGTAGGAATTTCTTCTGTTCCAATTTATTTACGCATTTACTCTCCTCACGTCTTGACATTGACTTTAGTGGATCTTCCAGGACTTACAAAAGTTCCTGTTGGTGACCAACCTCGTGACATTGAAAAGCAAATTCGTGAAATGGTTTTGAAATACATTTCCAAGAATAACGCCATTATTCTTGCCGTAAATGCCGCTAATACCGACCTTGCAAATTCAGACGGTTTGAAACTTGCGAGGGAGGTTGATCCAGAGGGTTTGCGTACCATCGGCGTACTGACAAAGGTTGATTTAATGGACAAAGGTACTGATGTCGTTGATATTCTTGCTGGTCGCATTATTCCTTTGCGTTTAGGCTATGTGCCAGTCATTAACCGTGGTCAAAAAGATATCGAGGGTAAAAAATCCATTCGTTTGGCTCTGGAAGCGGAAAAGGAGTTTTTTGAAAGTCATCCTTCTTACAGTTCAAAGGCTCAGTATTGCGGTACTCCTTTCCTTGCTCGGAAATTGAATATGGTAAGTTGGACTGTTCTCTTTGATTACTAACAAAAAAAGATTCTGATGCATCATATTCGTAATACTCTCCCTGAAATCAAGGTTCGTATCAATGCTGCTTTAGCAAAATACCAGGCTGAATTACAGTCACTTGGTGATTCTTTGGTTGGTGACAGTTCCAGCATCGTTTTAAATCTTATAACAGATTTTTGTAATGAATTTCGTACGGTTCTTGATGGTAACAGTGAGGACTTGTCTATTACCGAATTATCTGGCGGTGCACGTATAGCTTTTGTCTTTCACGAGATCTTCTCAAATGGCATACAAGCAGTGGATCCTTTTGATGAAGTCAAAGATACAGATATTCGTACAATTCTTTACAACTCGGCTGGTCCTTCTCCTAGTTTGTTTATGGGGACGCAAGCATTTGAGCTTATCGTGAAACAACAAATTAAGCGCCTGGAAGATCCCTCACAAAAGTGCGTTTCACTTATCTTTGATGAATTAGTTCGAATTCTGAACCAGCTATTGCAAAAGCCTATATTCAAGCGCTTCCCTCAGTTGAAGGACGAATTTTTCAAAGTTGCTATGGGCTTCTTTAAGAAATGCATGAAGCCAACTTCCGTTTTAGTAAGTGACTTGGTCGCTATGGAAGGTTCTTACATAAATACTGTTCACCCTGACTTTTTATCTGGACATCAAGCAATGGCTATTGTACAAAGCCAAAGCAATAAACCGATTCCAATTGATCCTAAGACAGGAAAACCCTTAACAAACAATCCTGCTCAGACTGTGGAGACACCAACAAGCAGTTCAAATAGTTTCTTTGGAAGCTTTTTTGGCTCAAAGAACAAGAAGAGACTCGCAGCAATGGAGCCTCCACCACCCGTTCTTCGTGCTTCCACCACTCTTTCTGACCGTGAAAAGACTGATACTGAAGTTATAAGTAAGTTTTTATTGGAAATGGAAAATTAAACTAACTGTTAGAATTACTGATTACTTCTTATTTTAACATCGTGAAGAGGACTTTAGCTGATATGGTTCCCAAGTCCGTTTCTCTGAAGATGATTCGTAACTCAAAGGAGCATATCCAGCGCGAACTACTTGAACAGATTTACAAAAATAACAGCTACGAGAAACTTTTGGAAGAAAGTGAAGTTACCGTTCAGCGACGCAAAGAATGCGAACAGATGGTTGAATCTTTATTGCAAGCTAGTGAAATTGTTTCTAGTACTTAATGATAACCCGATACCATTTATGTGCTAATTGAGTGTTATACTTTTTTAAGTTGTAACGCTTTTCTATGAGACCTGATGAACATGATTTATGATGCTCGCTATGCTTTCATTAGTTACCAAAGATGTTAATAGAAACACATCGTCGTAATTTTTATACGAAAATCTATATAGATATAATGCTAATTCAAGACTGCGATATACACCTATTATATCTCCCTCCAATAGAGATGGATGATTGTAAAAAGGATAGAGCGCGGCACAACTATAGATATAGTAATATGTTTAGAAAAAAAAAAAAAAAAAAAAAACAAACAACAAAAGACAAAAGGAGTTATTTACATCTAAGAAAGTATTGGTTTTCTGCGGAACGAGCGAGCATTTTGCAGAGAACCACTCCAATCCGTTATTACTACATAAGGTAATTCTTTAACGATTGCTAAATTTCAAACTAACCACCAAGAAAGTGGCGGTACGAAACAATTTCAGTAGTATATCTGCAAAGTCCGTATCACTCGATAATGAGCAGTGCAGATATCCGGGACGTTTTTGAGCTTCCCCCACCAGGAGCAGGGACTAAACAGAAACCGAAAAGCCATGGCGAAAGACGTCCAGAAGGAGTCTCTCGTGAACTTTTTTCGTTGCTTGGTGAAAATTCTGCACCATTAGCTATTTATCAAAAAAAATTTAAAGAAAAGCCGAAGAGTAACCAGAAAGCAAAGAATTGGTATGTAGAAACTGGATGTGTTATTCACGTTAAGCACTTCAAATGTGATCAGTGAGTGTTCCTGTACAAATGAAACGTCTGTAGTTTCTATATTGTTTTTTTTTTTTTCTACAAGAAATAGGGGAAAATATACTAATACTACATAGGGTCTGGCATCCGTTCAAAAACCCAACTAGAGAAGATGACCTTACATTATACCATTGGGTTTTAAAGTCAGAAGCAGAATCGGAAGCTCGTATGTGTTTTGTTGAAATAGCTCCTAAGTGCTATATAAGCTTAGCAGTTAAAGAATTATGAGCTATTATGCTAACGACTTAATTCAGCTTATAAATTTGAAAAGTTTAATACAACCCTTTTTATTCAGGACTATACGGAAGAGGAATATCGTGAATTATTGGAGGGTACGATAATTTAAGAGTGTACAATAAGTCATATTAACTCTTAACAGATGAAGACTGGTCAAAGGAAGAAACGGATTATTTATTTAAGCTGTGTAGAGAGTTTGATCTTCGATTTTTTGTGATAGCTGATCGTTATCAATGGCCAGCTAAAAATCGTACATTAGAAGATCTTAAAGATCGGTTTTACACTGTATCTCGGAAGATTCTGACAGCTCGAAATCCCATCAACAGCATGACAGCCGCTCAGAGTTCTTTGCTTAATAGCATGGAGTATAATAAGGAGCAAGAAGTAATTCGGAAAAATTATCTCGTTGGTTTGGCTTCGAGAACACCTGAAGAGGTGGCTGAGGAAGAGGCTTTGTTCATAGAACTCAAGAGAATTGAGTCTTTGCAATCCAAGCTGTTGAGTGATCGAGAGGAAGTGCTAAAATTACTTGATGAACAAAAGACAACTGAGGATCTTCAATCGTTCCACACCAGCGCAGGAGTAAGTGGGTTAATTCAAGACATGGTAAACGCTCGCCGGGTCACTAAAGCAGAAGATGTTACATCCACTTATTCGGCTCCATCTTCTGGTGTAAGTAGTTCTGTCAGCACGCCTGCCCGTCCACTTACGTTGAATGCTCCCAAAGTCAGATATGGTCCATCTCCAAACGATGCAAAATCAGGTATTTCATGGCATGAGAAGTTACACAGTGGCTGCTTCGTTCGTTCGCAGAAGATTCCTGCTGTCAAAGCTTCATTAGTTCAGAAAGTTTATGCTACGATGAATGAATTAGGCGTGTCATCACGCTTAATTATGCCGACTGCAAAAGTTTCTGAAAAATACGTGGAATTACAAAATAATATAGTCATTCTTCTTGAACTGAAAAGACAGCTTGATCGCTTTTCTCAGGAATCCGACATTCAAGGCCGATTGAATGATCCCAAAAAAAGATCTGCCTCACCAGATGCTATCCAAGATGGTCCAACCAAAAAACTTAATACGGGATTAGGTAATACTTCTTGAAGGGATGTGTACATTAATGACGTTTTGTAATAATGATAATCAGTACGACTTAGGAAAATTGAGCTTATAAGTATATTTATTGTTTCCTATATATCCGAAAAATAAAAGGCAGCTTGTTTTTATTCTTACTTTGGTTAGTGTGAAAGTATTTATTCTGTAGACTCAATTTCGTTGTCAAGTTGAGAAGGAAGATGGACAGCAAACAAAAGATAACTAGTATGGCTTTTTAAATTTGAATCAACACGTGCAACATTGCTCCACTCGTAATCCTCATCACCTTCACGAATACGTTTGTTGACCTTTTCTGTCATAGCAGGGCTTTTGGATGGTGTTTCACTAGGAGTAGAAGGTTGTGAATCAGTAGGCTCAACACCATTCTCAGCAGATTCGGCAAGCTGTTTTTCTAAACGTTGCCTTTCTTTTCTGCGCTCAAATCCTTCCGTTCGATGACGCTTTACTTCCTTCAATCTGTTGATTGCATCGTTGATATGTATTACTCTAGTTTTCCTGGCAGCCCATTGTTTGTAAGAGACCTCTAGCATCTCGATGTCACACCAACCAGAGTCTTGCAAAGCAGATGCAGAACGCTGAATTTGCTCCATACAAGGAGAAAAGCAACAAATGCGCGAACTACTATTACGACTAACGTGTTTAATTAAGTGAGGAATTGCCTCCCAAGGAGCTGGAAGATCCAAAAAGATAGCATCCACTTCTAGTGGTGATTCCTTAATTTCAAAACCATCCTTACAAACGTCCCTGTGCATAAGATGAGTGTTTCCGTTTATTCCTTCTAGCATGTTGTGGTCGCGGAACTCTTGTAGAGCCGTCTGGTATCTGGAAGCATGGTATTCATAACTATAAAGCTTTCCAGATGGGCCAACGGTCCTTGATAATGCGTGGGACATGCTTGCACTTCCAGTTCCGGCCTCAATAACCCTTGTCCCATGGACAATGCGAAGCTTTTGGAAAATAATAGATATATCAGGTGTATAAACAATCTGGGTACGATGAGGTAGGGCTAATGTCCAAAGTTCAGGAGTGGGCTGAAGAAGGTAAATGAATCCTTGTTTAGCAGTGGAGCTAATTTGTTGCCCATACCGTTTGCCAATCATTTCTGAATGGGGGAAAGCACCATATTGATTGTGGAAAGTTTGGTCAGCTTCAATTTTCAGAGGAATCAGTTTATTCCTTCCAATCCAAGCCACCACAAGATCACCGTCCTCTACAAATTCTTTATACTTAGAGAAGACCATAATGATAGTCAAGTAATGCTGTAAACAGAAAAGGAGTGTTTGAATAGGAGAACCTAGTTACCTTTTCAAGCTGATAGCCCAATAACAAAACAAAAAATGATATTTGCCAAAAAAAATGAAGGTTTATAACCTAGCACCAAATCCAACACTTGAAATCTTGATATATTGCAATATATACGAAAGCCACAAGCTACTCACTTTTTAAGGCGTTATCAAGACAAATTATATACAAATAGAAAAGAAAACAAAAGAGTTATACCTTCTCGTTTGGCCTTAAAAAAGGCCTAAATTCTAACAAGCTCTGGCCTATAGAAAAAAGTTGGTAAAAATTTCCTCAAGAGTAAAGTAGCATGCTACTTACTGTGAATTTACATTGGTGTAAACAAACAGAAAATTAAGAACATGAGCATAAAATAGAATAAATTAAAAAAGACTTACACCCAAGACGATGAATGATATAGTTTTTCAAGGATCAATTGGAACGTAGTAAAAAGATACTAATTCAGACAACCGATTTTTTATTAAATCTCATAAAACATTCAGTTTTTCATCATTACGACTAATTGCAAACTCTTGGATCAGAAGGCTTTTTTATAACAAACTTTAAAGCTAGAAGTAAAATAAATTCATAGTGGTATCGAACGAGTTGAAACAGCCCCAGGAAATATGATTGCTCTTTATACAGAAAGAAAAGGAAATATCATACAGTTTCTAGTATGATATATAGGTGTTTGTATATTAGTGCACTGCAACGAACTCATGATTGGAACAGAAGCACCTTGTTCGATTTCATAAAAGCCGCTTACCGAGGTTTTGAGCGAAAAGGACCAGCCAACAGTCCTGCTGTGGGGAGGATCTGGTTCCAGTAAGAACCGACATTCTGTTAGAACAAAGCGAATATTGAACTTGGATTGTTGCGGCCTGCATCCTTCATCAGAAAGTTCAATTAGTAATATTTATAGAAAGAAGAGAATCTGCAAGGTTTTTATTGCCAGAAAGGTTTTCAAACACAAAGAACACACGTAAATCCGCTATCCATAGAACAATTCGCGACTTAGCAAGGTTTCAAGTATTAGATAGATTGACGCGAAAATGAATGAAGACGAGACTCTATCTGTTGGAATTGCTGACTTACCTAATCAAAGACACAAAATTGTGTCGCGTAATGGTGCTGCTTTGACGCTCATGCTTTGTGGTGAATCAGGGCTCGGTAAAACGACGTTCTGTAATACATTGTTTTCCACTACGATTAAGCCTCATATGGACATTGAGACGCGCCGCTCGAAGCATATGGAGAAGAGTGTGGAAATTGAAATTACCAAAGCAGAATTGGAGGAAAAGAATTTCCACTTGCGACTTACTGTAGTTGATACCCCTGGATTTGGAGATTTTATTAATAACACCGGTTGCTGGGAATCTGTCGTAGAGTTTATAGAGGATCAGCATGAATCATATATGCGACAGGATCAACAACCAGACAGAACAAAGATTATTGACATGCGTATTCATGCATGCTTGTATTTCCTACGTCCGGTGAAAAATGGTTTACGCCCTATGGATTTGGAGGCTATGAAGCGTCTCTGCAAGCGTGTCAACTTGATTCCTGTAATCGCCAAGTCCGATATGTACACCCGACATGATTTGGCCATGTATAAGACTCGCATAGCACAAGTGCTTGACTATCATCAGGTCAACATATACAAGCCAAGTATGGATGAGGGAGACCCAGTTTTCCAACGCCAAATTCAAGGTATCATCAACGCAATGCCTTTCGCAATTGTTGGTAGCGAAGATGATATACAAACCGCTGATGGCCGTACTGTGAAAGGTCGCAAGTATCCTTGGGGCACCGTCGAGGTTGAGAATGAAGAACACTGTGATTTCAAACAATTACGAAATCTCCTGGTTCGAAGCTGTATGTTAGATCTTATTCAGAGAACTGAAGACATTATTTATGAGCAATATCGACAGGAACAGATGCAGGTTCGCCAATACGGTGAACCGAAATTGAGGACTATTGACAATTCGAAGTTTAAAGAGGAGGAAGAAAACCTAAGAAGAAGATTTACCGAACAGGTTCGAAAAGAAGAGGCTCGCTTCCGACAATGGGAACAAAGATTAATTGCTGAACGTGACTCTTTGAACAAAGATCTTGAAGCTCAGCATGTCCAAATTAAACAACTCGAGCTTGAAATTGATCGACTAAAGTTAAACAGCTCTTCTCGTAAGCGCTAATTTTCATGATCCCAAACATTTTTGCATACGTACCATGACTTTTCTGTGCCTTTTCAATCTTTCAACCGACGACTAAGATGATCGTTTTGACCGCGTTTTTCCTTCTTTTTTATTTGTTATCCCATGGTTAATCTAAAATTTTTTATTTTCTTAATTCCTACTCTCTTTTCGTTTCATTATTCCTAGTCTCGGATTTTGTAAAGACATGAAAGTGGCGGTCTAGGGTCCATGCTATCTGTTTCTCTTCTATGGTTCAATCATACATTTATGTTTTGAATTCTATGCTAATCTTGATTTTCACTGAACCCAACGTTCTTTTTTAGTCATTCTGTCTTTCCTTTTCAAGTCATGTAACCCGATATCTTGTCAGAAATGTTCCAAAGGACTTATTGATCTTTTTTGCAATAGAATTGTACGTCAACATCTTTACCATTGAGTACAGAGTTGGGAAAAAAGGTTTAGCGTATGTCCAGTAACGGTCGTGTCAAAAACCAATTTATATAAACACAATATTAGTTCCTTGTTTTACGTATAAATTTTATGATAACTAAAGATTTGATAATTGAACCCCCCCAAATGTTGACGATATTATAGTAAGTAAAAAAAAAGTGCTAAATTGTCATTAGTTATTTAAAGACGTCTAAGTAAGCACCCTTAGTCTATAAAAGAAACCAAGCAGTTATTCACATATTTTAATCTAAATACGAAGCTTTTAGTGCACCTTTCACCCTCGTAAAGAAGTAAAAAGAAAAAAAACTTTTTGTTATGTCAAAAATATTTCTGAACGGCTGTCAATATTGAATTGCATTTTTTGATCTTTCTACAATCATAAGGTTTCGCTTGTAATGGACTTTATACTGTTTAAATGAACCGATTAAAATGAGCAAGGCATATAATCGTGCCACACTTCGTTCGTGAACTCTGCCTTCTTCCAACACTCAAGTGAATTTTACGAAGAATAATTACAAATATAATTGCTTATCCAGGTTTGAATCTAGAAGGACGATATAAATATATAAATAGGGAGATTTCTGGGAATTTAGTAGTTTTTATTGCACTCATACTTTTAACTGTGTAAACATGGATTATGGCCTCTCGGCAGGACTCGAGTAATGACCAAAAAGAACCCGAATTCCCTCAATCGGTGCTGTCATTGCGGTCAAAATTTGAATCTCTTAGCTCAAACGATGTTACAAGCAATGGTACAAATACCCCGTTAAAAAAGCATTTGAATTCTCAGGAACAGAATGCAAATAATACTGAAAAACCAGTTTCTAAATATCAAGGAACCCAAATACCTCCCTCTTTTCCTTCAGTTGGAAATACGTCCACCCAGGGAGAAAAGTCGAGTGGGTCAAATTCGTTGCCAGAATCCGTGAAAAGCGAAGACGTAAACAATGAAGTGAAAAATAAACCTAGCGTTGAAATTTTACGAAAAGCATTTTCTCAAAATCAAGAGTCATCTTCTGATACGGACGCTTTTATGCCATCATCACCTACTGCGTCCAATTCTTTCATTTCTGTTTCTCCTTTGCCTAATAAACCTTCGCGATCTGTCAGTTCACGAGATTACACTGACTTAACGAATCGTCCTAGACCTGATTATGTAACAAAACCAAAGGGGGGTACAAGAGGATTCTCATCACCAGCAAAACCAAATTTGGATTCAAGTCCAAGCTATACTGAGGAAAAACCTACTGATGAGAAAGATGAAGTGGAAGAAGACTTAATATCTGAATCAGATCCTGAATCCTCCTCGACACTATCGTCTGAGCAGGAAGATGAAGGTATCCCAGCCAAGAGTTCCCTTCAGTTTTCTAAACAACACGATAATCCGTTTAAACATGATTCTGAAACTTTGGATTCCACTTCAAGTTCCATACCCCGCCCTCCGCGTTTACAGAGTCAGCATGTTGATGTTCAACCCCCGGTTCTTTCACCCAGACCACCTAAGTCTGTCGCTGCAGAAGCTGTGCATCAGTCGCGTATTGAAATGGCTAAACAGGTTCCAAGTCGCACTCCTCAACGACCGCCAAAACCTCCTGCTCGAAAATCTTCTCATACTATTTATACATCTACTTCAAACGAATTTTCGGGTAGCTTGCCAAGCAGGCGAATTTCTTCGGTATCTTCACCCATGTCAAATATTAGTCTGTCTGCGTCGGAGCCGATGTTATCTTCTGAAAAACCAAAATTACCTCCCCGACCTAGCCAAATGGCACCAGATATATCATTGAATAATATGACGAATGAAAGCGATTCCGTATCGCCTCCTCCTTTCCTTGTATCTCCTCAACCTGGAAGATCGTTATCTTCAGGCATAAGGCCAACTTCTTCCTCTGCTATGAGCGACGCCCAGGACATCTCGATATCTTCTGGTTCCCCTTCTACCTCTCAGACAGATACAATTCTGAAAGGTACTTTACCAGATGTATCATGTGTCCGTAGGAATCAACCGACTTTTATGAACGGCGCTGATTCTATCAATTTAGATTTTGAAGCACGTGCCTTTGTTGTAAGTGGTGAGCGCCTTGTTTTAGCTGGTAATGGTGCATTACGGGTTTATGATTCCATTACGGGTTTATGCAATTGGCATATGCCTTTGGGAGATGTTAAAGTAACCGCAATGTCTTTTAAACCCTCTGGTAATAAAGTAGCCGATGATGGAAGATTCGTTTGGATTGGTACTCGCGATGGTGCTCTTTGGGAGATTGATGTTGTAAATCACCATATAGTAAACAAAAGAACCACTCTTCATACATCAATCTCTCATATATTGACATGTAAAAATGAAGTTTGGACGCTTGATGAAGCTGGTCGACTTCTTGTTTGGCAAGAAGATAGGATTATGGGATTAAGTGTACAGTCTGATCCGAAAAGTGTCCGTATTGTTCCCCATGCTTCGCATGCCATGGTATTAGACGATAATTTATTATGGGCCGTAGTCGGCAAGTCTATTTATGTATATGACCCTGCTAATACTGAACGTCCATCTATCCTTCAAAAACCGATGACTCCCCCAGGACTTATTGGTGATATATCTTGCGGAACAGCTATGGCTAGCTTTCCCGACCTTGTCTTTTACGGCCATGTTGATGGTAAAATTTCAATATATTCAAAAACGCAATATCGATTTATGGAACTTGTGACGAGTAGCTCCTTTTATCGTATAAGTTCTTTGGTTGGTGTTGGCAGCACTATATGGGCAGCTTACACTACTGGAATGATTTATGTTTTTGATGCTTCTGTCAGCCCTTGGAGATTACTAAAAACATGGCATGCTCACAAAGTTAGTCAAAGTGGTGCAAATACTATCTTAGGTATAGATGTAAACAGTATTTGGAAAGCTAAACGTTTACAAGTGGTTAGCCTTTGTTCTCCAATTGTAAAGTTTTGGGATGGATTAATGATGGGCGATTGGTTATCTACAGAAATGAGAAAGCTCTTCCCGAAGTATAGCTCCTTTGAAGATATTACTGCGTTAGTCTGTTCCTGGAATGCTGGTGCTTCCAAACCGTCTGAATTCAGAAGTCAGGACGCTGGTCCTGATTTCATAAAGGCTTTACTTGAAGAAAATGGATATCCAGACATAGTGATATTCGGCTTTCAAGAATTGGTTGACCTTGAAAATAAAAAACTAACTGCCAAAAGTTTGCTTTCATCTAGCACTAAAAACAGTTCTTCAAATAGTGACAACATTTCCAGGCAGTATCGTTTATGGCGTGAAAAACTAGAATCTGAAATGACACGGTGTGATCGAAAATATGGCTATCAAGTTTTGGTCTGTGAAAATTTAGTTGGTCTTTTCTCTTGCATTTTTGTTAAAAGTGCTTTGCAAAGCAAGGTTCGAATGCTACAAACCACTACTGTCAAAACTGGATTGGGTGGATTACATGGAAACAAAGGTGCTATCGTCGTTCGTTTTCTTATAGATGATACTTCATTCTGCATAGTGAACTGCCATTTAGCTGCTGGTCAGACGAGTAAGGCAGCAAGGAATAATGATTTGGCAACAATATTAGACTCCGCAGCCTTGACCCCAGAAAGCAATGAAATGGATCGGTTGAACTTTTTTGAAGCAGGTGGTGATGGTTCTCAAATATTGGATCATGAGGTTTGTATTTTGCATGGCGACCTTAATTATAGAATCAATCTTTTAAGGCCCAAAGTCAATGATTTGTTGAAAAAGAATGACATAAAAACGCTTTTACAAAGTGATCAATTGACGCAAGAAAGGAAACGCAATGCAGGTTTCCGGTTACGAACATTCAGTGAACCTGAAATAACTTTTGCTCCTACATACAAATATGATGTCAATAGTGATCGGTACGATTCAAGTGAAAAGAAGAGGGTTCCAGCTTGGTGCGATCGTATCTGCTTTCGAGGTGATATGGACTACATACACGCCGACAATTACAGACGACATGAGGTCCGTGCTTCTGATCATCGTCCTGTGTCAGCATTGATACATGCAAAAGTTAAGCTTGTGAATGCTCAAGAACAAGCTTCGACTTGGGACGTCGTCAAAAAGAAATGGTTGGATTATGCTGATTCCGTCAAACGGGAAGCTAAGTAAGTATTTTTTGTTTTAGTATGATGATTATGCTAACTACTGTCAGATTGCACTACTTAATGGTATACGCCTCTATAGTTCGTGAAAAGGCTGAGCGTATTCTAGTAGAATCAAATTGGAATGTACAAGAAGCTATACAAAACATTTTCAATAATGTTTGAACTTTCGTTACTATATAAGCTCTTTATAAATGTATTTACTAATATATAATATGAATAAATTATGCAATTCTTTCATTGAATACGTTTCATCGTTCGGAAAAAATGTCACTAACTTGAACTTCTACGTTTATCAGTTTCTTCTAGCCATCGAGAAAACAATAGTTGAGCAATAGGTCCTCTTTTCTTTTTCTTGGCATTAAGCTTGCTGTCTGACATAATACTGTTCATTAAACGAGAAGAGGTATCTTCATCTAATGAATTGAATGTGGAACTTAATAATTTTAAAGAGGACTTTTGATCAGCGGACAAATTAGGATCTGAAATAATTGAAGAAACTATTGAGTCAAAGCACGAAGTTGCTAGACTTTTTGGACGAGAAGGTTTAGAAAAATGAGATGGAGTATAAGAGTTTTCTTTGGATGAGTATTTTATGGACTTCTTCAAAGTAGCTTCAGCATTAGTTGAATTTACGGACGAAGGATAAAAACCTGAATTGGAAAAAGAAGACTGGGGCTTTTGTGGTTTTGCCGTTTCGGTGGAGATATTCCTTTTTGTTTCATTCGGAGAAGTAATGCGAACAGTATCTTCAAAATTCCAATCATCATCAAAGGTCGTATTTTTCGATCTTGATGTAGAGCTTGGCTTTTTTAACGTATCAGTGGTATTTGAATCGAAATCATCTTCAGAATTTTGTTGTTCATTAGAGAAAATTTTGCTTTCCAATAGTAAGGGAATTAGGAGTTCAATCTTACCCGAGCGTTTAATAAAGGGGTGCTCTAGCAGAGAAGACGAGGAACGACGAGAAGCAGGATGGAGCTTTAAACAACGAGATACAAAATCTCGAAATTCCAAACCATAATCAGAAGACAGCTTTGGCGGTTCTGATTGTGGAATTTCAAATATGACACGCATAGGATGCATTGTTGCTCTAGGAGGCGCTGCCTCTGCCATCTCTATAGCCGTGATTCCTAAGGACCAAATATCTGCAGCTGTTCCGTAGCTGGTTTGTTGTATAACTTCTGGAGCCATCCAAAAAGGGGTTCCTACAAAGGTATATCGTCTGGAAGCGGCGTTCGAAAGTTGAGCAGCAACGCCAAAATCTGCAAGTTTGACTTCACCCGTGGAAGAAGACAAAAGTATATTTGCCGCTTTTATGTCTCTGTGTATTTTGTTTTGGTTGTGCAGATAGGTCAAACCTTTCAGGGTTTCTCGTAATATTATAGATATCATTCCTTCTTCAAGACCTTGCTTTTTTAGAAGCCCAGAAACAGAACCTCCATCCATATGTTCCATTAGTATCCAAAGGACATGTCCTTGGACGAAGCACCCGTAATACCGTATAACATTAGGATGACTGCAATTAGAAAGCATTAAAACCTCTTGTTCAATTTCAGCTATATCATCCACAGACGCTTCCAAATCAATCTATGTTCAGTTAGAATTATGACGATCGTAATTAACATAAAACCAAATGGTGAAGGGTGAGTAAAGACGGCTTAGCATTCAAGTTCAACTTATATATTCAAAAAAAACCAACGAGAACTTCATTCTTCGTATAGTAGCTTGCTCGCAATGGTCGGTTATGTGGATTCTTAAATTTCAACTTACCTGTTTGACAGCCAAAATAGTACCAGAGGACTTTTCAATTGCCCTCCAGACAATGCCGAAAGATCCTGATCCAATTTTCTCTTTCAAAATATACGATTCAGCTGAAAGTGGAAACATGGCATCCTTTTACAGAGTAAAGCTAGAACAAGGCGAATGAGTCAACTAAATTTACGTAAATATCTTTTATACTAAATAACTTTCAAACAAAAAGGATCATTCCTATAAGAAACAAGGCTGGCTTCTATATGAGAAAGTAAATATATATTTGAGACCTATACCCACTATACTACACCATGCTGAAAGCACCTTGTGACTAAGGAAACTACAGCTTTTCATTAGCAAAAAGTTGCTAGATTAAACTTATAGTACTGCCAAGGAAGAAGCTTGTTCTTTCTTTTCTTTTGTTAATCCTTTTCATGTCCTCAGCCGATTCAGCCAAGGAAACCATAGATATCTTACACGAAATAGGAACTTTGCTAGGCGTGGGGTTAGACAAAACAGCTCTTTCTCTTTGCGTAAGTCTATGCGAAAATAATATACATCCTGAAGCAATTGCTCAAATCATTCGTGAAATTGTGTTAGCTCATCAAGACGAGCCTGAAAGCGATACTACGTAGGTGTTGAGACTGCATTCTTGATTTGTTGGAAGTTTTAAAAAAACGAAGCTTTATCCTTGTTCTTCTGAGTTTTACGAAGCGTCGTATAGTCATTTCTTGGAATATGTCATTCCTTACAGATTGTTTGCCTTCAAATGCTCACGGTCAAGTTATTCCTGCTAAGGAACAGACATATAATGTAGTTATCATGATGCATGGATTAGGAGATTCTGAACAAAGCTTTGCACAAGCTGCAAGGAATATCCCATTACCGAACACATCCTATATATCTTTACGAGGTGTATATCGGCTTCCTCTTGACTTTGGTACACCGGAAGGAAACTGGATGTGGGGAGAAGATGTTCATTTTGACATGAAGGGGGATCTAGAATCCGAAGCAGATTTTTCCAAATGCCTTTCAGTTCTTAGAGAACTAATTAGGCGCATTGTTGACAGGGGAATACTCTCAACGCGCATTTTCTTCTTTTCCTTTGGACAGGGTGGTATGGCAGCTTTATATTGCGTGTCGCAACTAGCCTCGACATACCAGTTCGGTGGTGTTTTTTCTTTTGGAGGAAAACTGCCTTTAGCTATGACACTGCCCTCGTCTCCCTTTCCCATTTCTGTGTATTTATTTGAGAAGCGTAAAAATAGTAGCCTTGATGACTATGAAGAAAGCCGGTTGAAGAGAACTTTCCGATCAGTACAAAGGATATGTTGGAACAGAGATGAAAAAACAGACATGCCCTCTTCCCCCAGAGAATGGTATGTTTTTATAGAAACAATCAGCAAGAAACTATATGTTCATAACAGACTATACGAAGATGCAATTCAACTATCGTAATAGAATATGAAAATGAAAACTTATATTTGGAAATTTACTCACAATTAAATAATTATAGCTATTCAACAGTTTTATATCTAGCATATTGTAACTCAAAGCTCATTAATAAATATGGAAAGCTATAGCAATCAACTTCAGGAAGTCAGAAACTAAAAGCTACGGCAACGATGGTGCATACTCCGAAGCTTCTTCAGAATGCTTGCTCAGCTTTTCTGATTCATCACGAGATGAAAGAAGTAATAAATCGGTTTGTCGATCATTAAAGTTTCTTGACGATGAATCTGTTTTTGCACTCATCCAATCACCCCATTCCGTCGAAGGTATGGAGTTAATTTCATCCGTTATATCTGAGCTTTTTTTTGTGGTATTATATTGAATCAATTGTACAGGATCTGGTTTTGAAGGTAATGACTCAATATTCGCAGGAACAGAACCATGATTCTGAAGATCTAGCTTTTTCACGCCTGGTGTGCTTATCGCTGAAAGTCCTTCTTTTGTATTGTTAATTTGCCTTGCTTGTGAGTGTTTTGTATTGTCATCGGAGGTGGGAGACGAACTATCGGAAAGAGGGAGAACCTCTTCCTCACTTTCTTTAGATGAAGATAATAGATTAACTTGACGGTTCATGGGCTTGATTTTATTATTTGAAAGCGTGCCGTTTTTGTTTAAAGAGGGCTTATACATATCTGCACCTTGTCTAACGGAAGATTGATTCATATTTGGCGACAATAACACAGTATTTCCAGGAGACTTTGAAGCAGGGGAAGTAGCAGGACTAGTGAGCTGAATTCGTTCTTTAGACTTTTGTTTTTTGTAGGCTGTTGACCAGCAAAATACAGCCCCAGTTTTTCGATGAACATTTGTTCTTTCTTGGTTCCAAAAGGACATGTGCTCTCGTAGTAATTTACTAACGGCACCATGCCTTAGCTCAGGCAAGCCATGCTCAGGAGCATCCAACCGGAGTAACTTTTGAAAAACAGAATCAGAGGTAGGGGTTATCCCAACGTAGCTCTTAGAAGCCATTGATATTCTTTTTGGTGGCTTTTGAGGCCCATAGAGTTTGTCTAATTGCCTATTGAATTCATCAAAATTAAAAGGATCTAACTGAACTGCATTGTCTTTCCAACTATAAATCTCAGAAGCTGCAACTTCTGAAATAATATCTTCTGTAGGTGAAGTTGTTGAAAACGGAGTAATTTCAGACCAAACTTTGTCTGTTTGACTGTGGTTACCTGCCGCAAAAGAAGCTATCAGATCATCCATAGACAGTCCATAACCAGATTTAAATATCGAAATAAAAGAACTTGCAAAACCAACACAAGTCGTAAACCGTTGCGATGCGTAAAGATTGAAACTTAGCTTTCGACCTTCATGAACGGTCGAACAAAGGAGCAAAAATATCAAAAACTTATGAATATTCACTTAATGTTAATTACTTATTAGATTAAATTATGCGTTTAAAGAAATAGAAGAAGAAGCAGTAGTTGGGAAAGGAAGGATCACTACTAGAGTTCAAGCAGTAAGAACCGACGTAAGTATCTAAGTTATCTACGCGAATTTTATTGTAAGAGAAACTAGTACTTTTAGAATGCTTATCACGATAAACGAAGTAATAAAGCAAACGAAAGATGAATATCTAATATCGTACTTATAATGCAGATATATCAGTCTTTCGTCTCCTACTTACACCCTATGTTGAATTGTCTTAATGAACCAAGACGTCTGAGGACCTAAACCGCATTCTGGAAAAGAGTTAACTGCAAGCTGTCTTTGTCGAAATTGGAATGATTCAGCATTAATTACCTTATTTATTTGACAAGTATACACCAAGTACTTTATCTGCGCACTCTTTTGCACAAAAAAAAAGAAAACCAATGTTCGTCCTTGCCCTTCGCTTAAGGAAAGTATAATATAACTTAAAAGTACCATAACAACACCTTGGAAATTAGGTACTTCCGCAGGCTATCAACGTATACCCAACAAAATCGAAATTGGAAGCGTTTATATAGTTCAGTAGGGATGTCTATTCCTAAGCAACTTCCCTGCATGGTTCGTGCTCTTTATGCGTGGCCTGGGGAACGCGAAGGTTTGTTCAACTAGCAGCATACGTGAAATCTTTTCTGGATCCTTATCTGCAAGTAAAATGGCAGCACTAACTTAAGATAGGAGATTTATCTTTTGAAGGTGGAAATTTGATAGAATGTCAAAGCCTTGGTGATGGAAAGTGGTGGATCGGAAGGCACATCAATACAAACACGCAAGGAATCTTTCCTAGCAATTTTGTACAAGTCCTCAATATATCCACATCAAGACCCAATAGCTCTTATTCGAAAAGAAGCAGCGTAAGCTCTCGTTTATCTTTAGACGAACCCGATTCTCCTCTTACTTCATCTGGACCTGAATTATCGGCAAAGAATTTGAAAGCGACGAGTCCAAATATTATTCAGAAGCTAAAGGATAGTAGCTTAAGTCCGAAGAAAGAAGATCACGGCTCTTTCTTAAAGTCATTCTCTCGCCCGTCGTCTGTCTTTTCAAGAAGAAGCCGAGCTAGCTCGATACACAGCCGCGGATCAGAATCTATTCAGTCGAAGCGTTCCGCAAATACACAGGATGTTTCTCGAACAAGTCCTTCTCCTATTCGGAGTGCCATGGAGAATGTAATTGAGTCACTTAACGCAATGGGAGGTAAAAGCACGAACCGTTCTGGTACGCCTTCATCAAATCGAATGGACACAAATACTGATCTAGAATTGAATGGAAGGTCCAAAGAATCACCATTACCACCCGTTCATGGAAAGTCAAAGCCTTCCCAACCTGTAGCTTCCTCTATTCCCGATCAGAAAAAAGCAGACCGTTTGACTCCTGACACATCGTCTTTCAGCAATCGTGCTCCTCTTCATCGTAGATTTCAGAGTACTCCAGCACCCATTTTGAGACCAATTTCAACACTGCTCCCTCTTACTCAAACTGAGAGTAGTGCTTCTCAACTAACCAACCCTCACTTGGAAATAAAGCGGCCTTCTACCGCTCAATCATTCCGTAAAAAAAGTTCAGGATTTTTAAAGAAAACGTTTCAAAAAATCCTAAACCGAGGGTCATCGACGAAACGAATTCCATCTAGCTCTTTTCAATCTCAACCCAGCTCAGCTACCTTGTCGCCTTCTGCTCACCAGAAAACTGTTCGTCCAGCCTCTCCTCAAACAATGGCCGCTGTTCACGAAGACTTACATCGAACAATAACTTACACTCAATTTGACCTTAATAAAAAACGGGAGAAAACTTTTAATGATCTTTCTATGCCTGTTTACAAGCCATTGGAAGAACTTGAAAATACCTTTGGAAACGTATTGGCTGACGGGGAGCCCGTAAAATTCTCGGCGGGCATGGATGTACATAAAATGAACTTCGGTGCAATTGATAAGAAGACTCGTTCTTTCATTTCCCAAAGGATACACCTGGATCCCAAAGAGTTCGCAAAAGATTATCTAGTGCATGGGATTGAGTCTCCCTTACATCAATTGAGAGCTGTTTATATCTACGTCTCGGAAAATGTCTCCTATACAAATCACCCTCCAAATGGAAAATCACATCGTTCGGCTCATGACGTCTTGCTGTCTGGTAAAGGAACTCCGTTTGAAGTTTCGTTACTAGTAAAAGAAATGCTGCAAGGTTTAGGAATGTGGTGTGAAATCATTGAGGGATATCTTAAATCGTCAGATGACATTTACTATACTAGAGATATAAAAGTGAACCATGCTTGGAATGTTATTACATTCAATGATGAAGTTCGCCTAATGGATGCTAGTTTTGCAAGCCCCACGCACCCACAGCAGGTCTTAAAATCTTCAGTCGCCAATAACTTCTATTTCCTAATGAAGCCCAATGAATGCCTATATACGCATATTCCAGAGAATCCAGATCAGCAGTTTATTATGCCCGATTTACCAATGCCGATTGTTATGGCTTTGCCGTGGGTTTCGTCTGTATATTTTGACTTGGGTCTGCGTCTTCGTGGTTATGAAACTAGCATCCTTCATCTTTCTGATTACCAATTTTTGCAGATTGATATGGAGGCACCAAAGGAAATTGAGTGTGTCGCTGAAGTAGATAATTACAGTACACCCCCTTCTACGCCAGATTTTTCTAAATCACACAAACATGTTTTGGTTCAAAGTTTTTGGGAAAAAAAGAATCTGAGAGTGGTTAGGATTAAAGCTATGATGCCTTTGAATAGTAAGTTTGCTGTGCTACGTATATATGCCGGTCGCACTGGAGTAGCTAGTCCAGCAAAGTCAATACCTCATCCGATGGCTGTATCCATTCCTTTTGCTCATCATGGAAAAAACAAATCATTCGAGTTTCTTAGTCGATATCCTATACCCCAGTGCCCGAATGTTGATTTATATATCTCTTCTCCCCAATGCGGTATACTGCGAGCTGGGGTCAAATACGACTTCTATGTAACCGCTTTTTCTTCTAACGAAACTGAAGCCCTCTCAACTAGGCTCGCAATCCAAACGCCGACCGGTAACATTTTACGATTGCATGAAGAATTTTCAAACGGTCGCATCACGCGTTCCATACTATCATCAGTCATTAACGAAACTGGAGAATACCGGGCTTTAATTTTAGCTGAAAAGATAGGAAGATGGGTGGTTTATGCCACGTGGAAAGGCGTTTAACCATCGTTTTGATGATCATACTAATTCTTCCTTTTTATTCATTATCTTCACTCTTTACTTTTGAATTAATGTATTTATCTAATTTAGTATATGCTTGCGTTTTTTGATACCAACGACCTATTGAATTTTTAATGTTTCTGATAGTATCCTCATTTTTGTGTTTTTGGATCTTTTTATTTCTTTAAATAAGATATATATTTCATTCAGAGGATTATTTAATTTTCATAAATATGCTGCCAAAATTCGTAAATCTAAATTGAAAGGTTTACTTTAAAAAGAAAGTTTCCAAACTTTGACGGCTGCATCACTTCCAGTACTCACAATCTCATCTTCTGATATCCAATGAACTTGTGTAGCACCTAAGGAATGAGCATTTTTTACAGCGACGTATTTCATAGGACGCTCGACAGAGTAAACATGAACATTCGTATCAAGAGAAGCAGTTGCCAAGTGAGTTGAGTTAGAATTCCAAGACATACCCAGAATTCGACCAGTATGAAAAGCCCAGCGAGAAGTGATGATTTGTCGAGTTTCAGCATCGTAAAGGACGACTTTTCCAGAAGCATCACCGCAAGCAAGGTATTTCCCATCAAACGAGTAAGCCATTGAAGTGATCGGAGATGTATGATTTTTTAGTTGTGCTATCTCGCAAAGTTCGTCTTTTTCAAGAGAATGAACATACACACAGGAATCCTAATGAATTAGATATTTTATAACAATATAAACACTTACCTCTCCACCAACTGCGAATTCTTGTTTCGAAGGGTGAGCTGCCATACAGCTTGGTTGATAGATTGTTTTAGCTGTAGAAACACATTTTAAATCACGAAGTACTTGTATATCTGAGACAGTGGACAACACAACACAATCGCCAACAGCACACACACCCACTGGCTGATAACCGGTGGCATATACGCTTTCTGGAATAAAGGAATTCGATTTGGTGTCCAAAGCTCGCAATGTATCGTCCATTCCTACAGAAATGACATTATCTCCAAGTTTAGTCATATCCATGACTTGATTACTGTGAGAGGGCCCTTGTAAAGAAGAATCAGTTTGAGATTCAACGTCCCAGACTAAAGCTACTCCATCATAAGAAGCGGTATATAAAGCCTTCTTATCTGAAGAAAGGAAAGACGATGTGATAGAACGCTGATGTCCGTAAACTAATCGTTCAGGTTCTTCTTTGTCAATATTAAGATAAACCAATACGCCTTTCACATCAACTGATATAATCAAATTTTCAGAAGGCCAAACGTTCCCGACTTGTTGTTCATTCGTACAAGGCCATTCACGAATTAAGGAGCCATCGTCAGCATTCCAAACTTTAACAGTTCGGTCAGCAGATGAGGTTACGAACTTCTTGGAATCTGGCGACCAGGAGAGAGAGAAAATAGAACCTTTGTGAGCATTGACTTCCATCACTTGTTCACCGGTTTTTCCATCAAATAAAAATACTTTTCCATCTGCACCAACAGAAGCGAACTTTTCATCGTTAGGGGCATAACGTACATCATAAACGAATTTATTGTGGCAGCGAATGCTGCTATTGAATCGATAAGGTACACCATGGAAAAAATTGATGGAATTATCATCAGAGGCCGTAGCAGCGCGAAGCGGGCGTTGCTTGCGCATAGCGACGCTGTTGACAGTTCCAGAATGACCAAAAATCTACAATGGTTAGTTATATAAAATGAGACATTCCATTTAAAGAAGAAAAAGACTCACCTCACCGACTGAGTTTCCAGAATCTGCTGTAAAAGCATGGCCGTATCTGATATACTGAATTAGCTTTAATTACTCTTGAATTTAAAGCTGGTATTCATACCGTTCTTTTCCTTCTCCAACGGCAATAATTCTTTGATTGTCTCCGTCTAGATATAAATTAGTATTTAAATAAATTTTTTAATTCATCCTTACCCCAATCCAAATCGTTAATTCTACCACTTATAGCTGTAACATTGTTTTTTAGGATTTTGTCTTCACCGACACAATCCCAAATGCGTACATTTCCGTGTACATCTAAAGAAAGACTGGTTAATCATCCACGAATATATAATATTATATGAAAGAAGCAGAAATGCTCCTCGACTATTCATACCACCAGACGCTACGTAAAATCCGGAAGGGCTGAATTTAGCAACACTAGTAGGAGCAGTATGTTCATTATATTGATAGCATTCTTCAGGATTGGAAATACTTCTAAGTATGATAGCTTTATTTGTCTACATTCAATTAGTTTGACGGTTCTTTACATCTAGATGCCAACATACAGCATAAGCAATTCGTTCGCCTTTACGATCCGTTGACAATTTACATGGTTGTGAAAGCTTTGTAGAAGGAGCAGGAGCCCACACACTTTTCAATTCGAAAGGCATTGTCGAAGATTTAAACGAAAGGTACGCAGAGGAATGATTGGAGTTAGCAGTAATGGAGAGGTTAGAAATCGAAAGTCAAGCCATTGAATACGATACACCCAACAAAATAAGCGAAATAAGATTTTATAATAAAAGACGTTATTAGAAATAAACAGAACATAAAAGCAATTGATTACCTGTATTTACCAGAATTAAATCGATACTATTAACTAATGGATAATTTTGACTTAATTAGGCATATACTTTTATGAAACGTATCTGAAAGACTATATTATTTCCTAAATTAAAACATTGTATGGTAAAGGGGACAACTGGCTATTTGAGGTCAAATGAATTTAAAGACGTTTTATGCAACAAGCATTTTCAAAAAGAGTGGGGAATTGGATAGTGGGTAACTCATCATTTTTTCTCAGAGACCTTTTTCTTTTCGATAGCCATTTTTCGGTTCAATTCTTTCAGCTTTCTATAATGATCATTAGGTCGAACAACATTGACAGACCTGGTAGCTAGGGCCCGTTTTTCCATATCAATTTTAAGCTGATCATATCTTCCCAAAATGGAGTCTTTAATACCCTTATACATGTCACGAACTGCCTTGAAAGGATTTCGTAAAAGATTTTTGCCTGATATGGCAGAGTCTAAAGAAGGCGGAAGAGGAGCGAATCCAAGTTTCTGACGAACGGCAGGTCTTTTCAAAATGAAACCTTGAACGATGTTAAAGATACTGCTAGGAATCCAGTACAGAAAAATAGCCTATAAGTTTCGTTAGTGATTCTGATACAGTCGTTGGACGCGATACATACAGAAGGAAGTTTTATGGTGAAAAGAGGACTCAGAAGACAACAAAGAAAGAAAAAGGTACTCCAATTGGGAGAATTGCCGATGGTAGATGCGGTGTTTGATCGGTTTAATTGCATTCCCGTAAACATGAATGCTGCGTTTATCATAGGCAAAATGTAGTAAGGATCTGCTGCTGACAAGTCCTGAAACCAAGCACAACCGCCTTCCTTGAAACCTTCGGCAGGCACTCGAGCCATTTGACGGATTGCATAGAAAAAGCTAAAGAAGACAACACTCTGGGTGAGAGGAAGCATGAAGATGGACAACGGATTGATCTGATGCTTAATGTACAAAGCTCTTAGAGCCATACTGTGCTGGGTAAGGCGCATCTGGTCATTTTCTAACTTGGCTGATTTGATGGCATCGAGTTCTTTCTTCATTTCAGGCTGAAGTACTGAAAGCTTCGAGCTTGTTCGAAAAGACTTCAACATAAGTGGTAAAAGGGCAAACCGAACACCAATGGTTGTAGCAATAATAGACACCCACCAGGGAGCTCCGGCATACACATTGATTGTGTAAGCTGCATTTTGAAGAAAAGCATACGGCCACCAAGAATTACTAATACCAACTGCGTTGGCGGTATTAGTTGTAGCTGCTACCGCTGTGTCTGCAACAGATGTTGAAACACCTCGAATTGGTTGTAAGTAACTTAGAGGCAATTGCTTTCGAACAGGTAATGTCTTCAGCTTCTGAAGAGCATTTTTATTAGAAACCTGAATCCTTTTGGCGTTAGCTAACTTACATACTCAAACATCCTTATGTTTTTTACCGTACCCTTGATGATGCTTGAGAAATCGCAGACCAAAAAGGAACATCCTTAATAATTATGATTCTATTGAGTTTCCTACGATAACAAGAAAAAAAAGAAAGAATACGTTGCCTAGGTATGCATCTAATTTTCGACGGTAGTGACAAGCGGTTTGCTCTGTCGAGAATTCCAGTACAAGGAAACTTATGCGCCTTGTCATGAGGGTTCCGATAAGACTTCGACTCTTCATTTAGTTACTAAAGAATACGAAAAAAGGGAAAAATAAATTCTGCTCTTTTCATCACTTTGGGGAATCTGTTCGCATATACGTTACTATCGGAAAGTTGATGCGAAAACATATTTAATATAGTTTTCTTAACAAAAGCGAATTATTAACTATTTTAATTCAGCTTCATTGACCTCTTTTTTTTATCCATTTCCTACGACTAGCCTATACTTCCATTTCATATTTACTAATGGATTCCAATGAGATCTAACGCAGATTTCTCACATTGTTTGACTGTTTTTCTTTTAACAACAGCGATTCCTTGCTCAAACAGAGTTTGTACGTTAAACAGAACCTTTTCCGGCTCCTTTAAATTAGTTAAAAGATGTCTGCTCAAGAAATTTCTCATCCTCTCATCAAGGACGGATGGTTCCGCGAAATTAACCACATGTGGCCTGGACAAGCTATGAGCTTACAGGTCAAAAAGGTTCTTTATGCTGGCAAGTCCAAGTTCCAAGATGTCTTGGTTTTTGAAAGCGAAACTTATGGTCGTGTATTGGTTTTAGACGGTGCTATTCAATGCACAGAGCGTGATGAATTTTCTTACCAAGAAATGATTGCTCATATCGCTCTCAATTCCCACCCCAATCCTAAGAAAGTTCTTGTCATCGGTGGTGGTGACGGTGGTGTCCTTCGTGAAGTTGTTAAGCATGATTGCGTGGAAGAGGCAGTTTTGTGTGACATTGATGAGGACGTCCTCAAGGTTTCTAAACAATATCTCCCTGAAATGGCTGAGGGTCTCAGTCATCCTAAGGTCAAGGTCCACATTGGTGATGGTTTCCAGTTCTTGAAGGACTACAAGAACACCTTTGATGCCATCGTCACCGACTCTTCTGATCCTGATGGTCCTGCCGAAGCTCTCTTCCAGAAACCTTACTTCGAACTTCTTGCTGATGCTCTCCGTGAAGGCGGTGTTATCACTACCCAGGCTGAGTGCATCTGGCTTCACCTTGGCGTTATTGGCGATGTCTTAAAGTCCGTCAAAACTGCTTTCCCCAACGTCCGTTATGCCTACACTACCATCCCTACTTATCCCTCTGGTCAAATTGGCTTTGTTGTTGCTTCCAAGAATGCCTCTACTGACTTGAGCAAACCTGTACGCAAATGGACCCCTGAGCAAGAAAAGAAACTCTGCAAGTATTACAACAGCGATATCCATTCTGCTTCTTTCGTCCTTCCTAACTTTGCTCGTGAGGTTGTTGAAAAATCTCTTTCTGCTTAAGATAAGTCTCGTATACAATTTTGTCAGGTGCTTCTTTTTTACTATTCCTCCCTTAGTGTATGTTCTATAGCTTTATTTTGTGTTTGTCTCTTTTACATCTTTGTAAGTGTCTTTCGCGTTTTCTTTGTGCAATCCACGTAGGTACCTTCGTAAATACGTATATGATATACTCGTCCATGTCTTTTCTAGTATTTTATTATGACTAAAGACCAAGAAACCATTCCATCTAACTAAACATTGCTATTCTACATTTTAAGTGCATCCTTGACGACTTTCTCAAGTTCTTCATAATCATCCGTAGGAACGCGTGTTATGGCGCGACCAAAATAGTCCTCAATCGCCTTCATTTCTCGCCAGCTTTTTTCATCATGAACAAAATTGATACTAACACCTACACGGCCAAACCGACCGGTACGACCAATACGGTGAAGATAAGTTTGGGGATCAGGCTTGTTGGCAGAATCTAAAGGCATGTCGTAATTGACAACCATGTTGACTTGAAGAACATCAATACCACGAGCGATTACGTTAGTAGTAATCAATACTTTTGAGGTACCAGCACGGAAAGAATCCATAATATGATCTCGTTGAGCACCATCCAAATTACCAGTTAAACAAGATACCGTATGTCCGTCTTGAACCATACGTCGAGCAATCTCCTCAGCCGTATCTTTCTTCCTGCAAAAGATGATAGACTGACCAATGGTCAAAAGACCATATAGCTCGACAAGCACATCATATTTGTGCTGTTCACTCTGGCAATCCATGTACAACTGCCGAATTCCCTCGACACTAAGTTCTTCAGTTTTAAGACGAATTTCATTGGCATTAGGAGCGAAATGCTTGGCGAATTCTCCTACTTGCTCAGAGAAAGTGGCACTGAATAAGACTACCTGAGTGTTCTTGGGCAATAAACGCTTAATTCGCATAGACTGATCAGCCAGACCTTGTTGATCTAACATGTTATCAGCCTCATCCAATACAAAAGCATGAATTTGTTTAAGATCGAGTTGTCTTCTCTTGGCTAGATCCATGACAGTACCAGGAGTACCTATGACAATTTGAGCATTTATAACTTGACCTTTAGGAACAACATCCTTAATAGCAAATGCAGTTTGTACGCCAGTATATTTTCCCATTTCTTCTACAACATCCATGATTTGACGAGCGAGTTCTCGAGAGGGGGCCAAACAAATGGCTTGAGGTTTGGCAATAGTGGTATCGACGCGTGAAAGCATAGTTAAAGCAAATGCTGCCGTCTTGCCAGTACCCGATTGGGATTGACCGATCATGTTACGAGGAGGATCAGCGAGCAAGAGGGGCAATGCTTTCTCTTGAATTTTGGATGGTTTTTGGAATTTCATAGAATATACACCCTTCAATAGTTCAGGCTTCAAGTTCAATTCTTCAAAACTTTTAACAGAAAAGAGAGGGGAATTAGGGTCAGCTTGCAAGTCAGCAAGCTTTACGCGTACTTCATTCTTGTTTTGAATTAAGTTGGATTCTTCTTCTTGCGCTTTCGCGTTTGCCTTCTCTTCTTCATCCTTAGTAGCGCCCTCCTTTTCGTCTTTGGTTTCCACTTTTGTTTCGTCCTGTTTTAAAGGCTCCTCGCTAACTTTGGGACCAATACGACTGCTTAGATCCACTTTGGGCTCTTCATCCTTTTGCCCGTTTTCTGAAGTTCGTAAGTTATTAATATTTTCACTGATACGCTCGACTTCTTCATCTGAATCGAGATTTGCCCAGTCACTCTTCTTTTCTTGTCTCACTGCCGTCGACATCCTGGTCACTGTGTTCAATTTCTTTTTGTAAAGCAAATATAAAACAAAAAGTAGAAAATCGAAGAATAACTACCACCCAATTTGTACGTTGCCTTTTCTTGTTTGGTGTAGTTGGCTCTAGTCAAGTTGAGTTATACGTCTTACACCCTCCCAATGGTTTAATATAAGCACATACCATCTTTGTACCAACAATCAATTCGGTCTTACTTTTAACTTGAATTAAATTCTACTATTTCTTCTATCTTTGATTCACCAATTTTATCCTTTTTCGATTGTCTATAACTTCTCTTTTTTAAAGACCAAGTACATCGCGATGGAACTTAATTCCTATAAATTTAGCTCCGAATTGCACGTAAGTTAGCTCATAGGATAAGGGAAAATGTATTTAAGAGTTTCTTACTGACTTAATGATTTTTAGGACGACTTCAAAATTGTTGATAGTTGGGTAGGAGGAAGCATGCTTCAAACTTGGTTTTGAGTTGATTCTAATGATTAGGTACATAACGGAACTAAATGGCTAGATGACATTCAACAATACTATAAGGAAAGGAGCTCAATTGGTACGAGTTGCATAAGAATTATTTCACCTCGCCAGCGAACAGCCTGTAAACTAACCTATGTAACAATAGAGAGGGAATACTCTCAGAAGCTTTCAAGTCTTTCAAGAAAATTTGTCGAAAAAAAGAACAAAAAATCATCACTTCTTTCGGTCGGTGAAACCCCTACTAAATCTGCTGGCTCTTTGGAATGGTAAGTTGCATTTATGGGAAGATAAAGTTTGGGGAATGGTTCTCTCTTTCATTGTTTTAGCCATACTAACATTTGAGTACAGCGCTTCTTTAACAACGTGGTCGAAAATATTGGATGAACTTGTGCAATCATCGAAAATTCATCAGAAACTTGCGGATGATTTTGTTTATGAAACTAATGAGCAGGCAAAGCGATTAGAAACAAACATTGACAGTTTAAAGAAGTCTTATGACAACCTATATGAAAAGTTTTTGGAGCAGAGAGAATACTTATTGAGTTTGGCTAAAAGAGCTAAATTGAATTACCATGAATCTTGCGAGAGTTTGGAATCAGCAAGGCAAAAGAGAGACAAACACAATGATGAGAAAACCGAAAAACTATTTAAAACTTCGCAAAATGATATGCTAGATAAGAAGAATATGTATATTCTTCGTATTCTTGTCTACAATGCTCATATGCAGCGTTATCATCAAGAAACCCTTCCAAACCTTTTAGATCATATGCAAAAGTTGAACGAGTACAGAGTGAAAAACTTGAACGATACCTGGAAATCCGGAATCGCATGTGAAAAACGCTGTTACAAATCCTTAAGCGAGGAAGCAGATGTACTTAACTCAGAAATTGACAAAAACGAGCCTTCATTAGATTCTGTAATGTTTGGTCAGCATAACGCTAAACCTTGGAATGAGCCTTCACTTTTGATATTTGAACCTAGCCCAATTTGGCATGACACCAATGCGTTAGCTGTGGATGGTGCGAGTACAAATTTTCTTCGAAACACATTGGTTAACTCCAAATCGGAAATAGAAAAGGCTGAGGCAGAACTGCAAAACCTATCGGGTCAGTTAGAAGGTTTACGAGTTGATGATTCAACGACACTTGAACAGCCATATGAATCTAAAATAGCTGCCGTGAAACTAGGGAGCAAAGAGGTTTTAATTAAAAACACAATCCACGATCTTAATGTACGCGTTAACAAAATAATTCAAGATGCTGGAAATATTGAAGAAGGAATGAAGTTCCACACATTTAAGGATGCTAGCTTTAAAATTCCTGTTAAGTGTTACTTCTGCCGCTCTAAAGTTTGGGGACGCGGTTTGTCCTGTGAGGGTATGAATTTTAAAAGCTGCAAAAAAAGCAAAAAGTTATAATAACGTTAACATAAATTATAGACTGCAAATACAAATGCCATGTGCGATGTCAACTATATGTTCCTGCTAACTGTGGCCAATCCCTGGAAGATGATCATGAAGATGCCACATCAAGTACAGGGGATTTCGGCAGCGCTCAACGAGAAGGATCACTTTTGTCCTCAAACCCATATGACACATATAAAGATGGATACGCTAACAGCGTTGGTTCTCGTCATGCTTATGCACCTTCTTTACACCAAACACCTTCTTTGAACAATGATGAAACCCAACATCCTCAGGATGTGGAGCAAGTGGATGGGACACTGATTTATGATTTCACTGGATCCCAAGAAGGTGTCTTGAGTGCTTCACAAGGCCAAACATTTACTCTTTTAGAACCGGACAGTAAGTGTTATTGAAATTACTAAACATAATGAACTAATGTAATATTTAGATGGAAGTGGCTGGATTTACGTGAAAATTGGCAATTCTGTTGGTTTACTCCCTACGTCTTATGTAAAGTTTGATATAAACTCAGTTTATCCAACAAAATCGGCTACCGAATCTGTTGATGAACACTATGTACAAGCTGTTTTTGATTACCAAGCACAAGGCGAGTTGGAAATAAGCATTCGCGAGGGAGACATTATTCGTGTCACTCAGCGCGACGCTGGGAATGGGTGGTCTGAAGGCACCTTAAACGGTATTACTGGTCAATTTCCTGCGAAGTAAGTTGTAGTTTAAAGATTCTTTGAAATTGCTAACCTTTCAGCTATGTTATGGATATTTAAGTTGTTTTAATGTAACACAAAATACAACGCTAATGAAATGAGAAGATATTGAAAGTTTATTCTGTAGTTTAACGACGTTCGAGACTATTTAGCATTCAATTACAACAAAACTCATGAAAAGAGAGAAAACGTTCATTAAAAATTTCTAACAAAAAAAAAGGACGAAAATTACAATGGTCAAGCGACCAGAACTCGCCCTCTGTTACCGGTCCCTTCAAAAAGGTAAACAAGGATGATAAAGGCAGAAAAACAAGGTATCTGAATGGAAAAAAAGGAGGTCGAATTTTTTATTAAAACCCAAAAACAACCTTAAATAGTATCATCAAATATTCAAGTGCTTCTAACGTTATGAATATCTTGTCTAGTTATTTGTAATGGCCTTTGTAAGTTCATAAGTCTTGGTGCCATCCTCAAAGTCAGACAAAATACGCTCACGAGGAAGCTTACCCTCAGCAACACCAATGAAAGCTTCAAACTCTGAGAAATAAGGATCATCATCGGGGAAGTTAACAATACGCTCGGTGTCGGATTCAGGTGAGCGAATGTACAATCTGGGAGTGCCGTAGAGGTCGACGATACGAATGTAGTGACCATCAGCTTGCAGCTCCAAGCAAGTATCGTATTGAGTACCTTGGAGAATGATACTGTGAGCCAGAATACCGACGGCACCAGACTTGTACTTCCAAGAAGCAGCGGTAAAGCGGGGAACACGTTCATGTTCGGGAATCGAGCCTTCATCGATGGGAAGAGCAGAAAGCTTACCACATGGATCGCTAGAAAGAACGCGGTTGACTTTAACAGTTGAAATGTCTACATCACCTCCAAAGTAGCGAGACAAGTCACAGAAGTGAGTGCCTTGCTCAACTACAGGACCACCAGACTTGGAAACGTACCACCAAAAGACCTTGGAGTTGTGAATGTAAGAGGAGTTGTAGCGGGCGATGGTACAGACGATGTTAAGATTGTTGTCCTGAATGTACTTCTTCGCAGCTTCGACGACCTTCAAATAACGGAACATGTAGCCAATGGAGATAATAGCTTGGTGTTGCTCAAGTTGACGAACAACATCGAAAGCGTCCTCGACAGCAGCGGAGGTAATGGGCTTTTCGATGAAGAGAGCTGCATTGGGGAATTGGCGAACGATTTGCAATTCCATGTCGGCACCAACCTTGTTGGAACCGTGGAAGTCGGGAGGAATACCGATGACGAAGGCATTAGGTTCATCTTCGGGATGTCTTGACAAATAGTCCAAGTATTCGGTCATGGAGGTATACATCTTAGTTTCGTTGTAGGCGTAAGAAACGTTAGAATCACGCTTTGAATCCAAAACACGGTTGGTTTCATTAGGAATGGGATTAATCAAAGCGTTGACTCGGAGACGTTGGCCTAAGTTTTGCTCAATTCGTTGGGCATTATTCCAAGGACCTTCGGGAGAACCAAAGTTAATACCGCCAGCACCAACAATGGCGACCTTGAATATGGAATCTTTCGATTCATTCGCCAAAACCTTGTCAGCGGCCTGGTTTGCAGGAACAGTGGTTGTTGATACCATATTGGAAGCTATGTTAAATCACCAAAGAATGCGTAGAGAAAAAGTTGATGAAAACAAAAAGAAGAAGGAAACAAGTGAATGCTTCGAATTAATTCAATTCAAAACAAAAACAAAAGCCTATAACGTTTCTAACGGGGAAACGAGATGTCCGTAAATATGGCTAAGAGAAGGAATCAATAAAGTTGCTCGAAAAAAGGCAATCGACAAACAGTTCCTTCGCAGTCCGTAGTGCCTGTAGAAGAGTATAGAGAGAGTCCAGCTCGCTTTATCCCTATAAATAAAAATGCGTCCAGTTATGACTTCACCGGGAAGGGTAAGTCATGTTACGTGTTATCAGGAAACAATTAAGTAGCAAAGAAAAGCAACGATTTCGGTGAAAAATGCTAATGTTCTTTAAAGGTCTTGGAAAAAAATAAAATAGCATTCGTGCGAAAACTAGAAGCACCGATACGATTTGTGAGGATTTACCAGTAAGACCGTCGAAAAATCCACCAAAAAAGAAAAAGGGAAAGAAATGATTTTTCTATTTGTTTACTTTCATCGCTTGTGCTTTGTTTACGCGTTATACTTCTCCGCAACGACTCATGTTTCATGAAACATAGAATCAACCTTATTTCAAACATTTTGTGCAGTAGTATGAACCTTTATGCTTAGTCCTGAAACCTTCTCCATGGTCTGTACGTTTGTTATTAGGAGGAGGAAGGTTAAGGAGCTCGATCAAGAATCTAAAGGCAGGACAAGATCCAATTACGGGTTCCGGTAAACACCAAGCACAGGCACATTGGAAGCACGGACACCTTGAAAAACTTTAGCGTGGAAACGTTCGTAAAAATGAAAATTAATGAATTTTGATTGGTAAACGTAAGCATGGACCGCGTCTTTATTTTATTAGCGATTAATGCGCTTTTACGTTGCTCTTCCTCTGACTTCCCACCATCCTCTTACGTGGCAAAAGCGTGAGTATGGATTGCTGGATGGGACCACCGACAAGGCAACAAGACAAAGACAGACATTGAACTGTGGAATGGAGGCAGCAGCGTTTGTAGAGAAATGCAAAGGAGTGATGTCATTATCTTGGTTTATCGGATCCGACTTTTTCTTTCTTATGCTTTATACGGGAGTGCAATGGAATCCGAAGAGGAACGGAAACATGAAAAATAATCCATGGGTTCCTTGGGTGATGAAATAAAAAACGGAAAACTTATCTATAGTAAGTGATGCTTCTTTGGTATAGTAATCTGATGTTCCTATTTCCAAGCTTTCAATCCTGTACTTAGAAAGCACCGTAAATAAATATAAATATAAATATCCGTATTTTGTTTTACATATTGGAACCAGAAATTTCTTAGGGCACAAAAGAAAAGCATGTCGTTGATTCTCGATGCAACATCTACCCTGTGAATGATTCGTGAATCCTTTGTGGATCCTTTGCTGCTCTTGACTAAAGAATTGCAAGAGCACCACCACAAGTGGCCTATGACTTCTTCTTAGCAATAGATGATCTGCATTGATGGCCTTGATCAGATAACCGCTTCCATTGATTGGAGCATGACGCAAAACCCGACTCGCTTCGTTGGAGTTGCGAAAGGATCTACATTTATTTCATCAGGCTGGCGTTGAGGATATAACGACAACAATGGCTAGAAAGCATTTTTTGAGCTTTTTTTTCTTTTTAATCTTGATATTTTTTTTAAAATCAAAACTTTCTTTTCTTTTTTTTTTCTTAACACTTTCTGTCCAAGTTGGGGTTCTGAGACTCAAACGTGAGAACACAAATTCTTCTTGCAGATCCTTTCAGATCCAAGCGGACGATGCTTTTACACTCATCCGTCCCTGTTGAATGGGAATATGGCTTTCCAACTCCTATTTTCAAACCATTTTATCCTGCTCTTAAAAACGCAGTTTACTTTACAGAAAGCAAATTGAAAGCTTTCTTTTTCTTTTTTTTGGCTCTGCTTGGCTTTCTTTCGCTCCAATCAAAAACTCGCTTCCCGTTTTACTTTGTTTGTTGCATTTCGTTACATGTACTTTACCAATGTTGAACCAGCTCGGTATTCTAAATCTCATGATATTTCTAAACCATATATTGCTTTAAATTTTTATCTGATCACAATACTCTTCTTCTACCATCACTTTGCCTTTCCCATACTTTCACGGATTTTACTTCATACCTGCCTTGTGGGTTTTCAATTTATTCCAAATAAGTACAAAAAATACTCTTTCCTTTTGGATCCTTTCTTGCTGGTTCCTAGTAGTCACTTTCTTCTTGCCGAATCGTGAATACCCTTCGTTCCCGGTAATTTGATTTTGTTATACACATATAGGGTTCATTGATTGTACGACTCATCTCTTGTTTTGCAATTTCGTTGCATCGCTTTGGAATTTGACAAAAGAACAGGTTCGGTCTACATTTGTTTTCTATATCGACATAGCCGAGTTTGCCGACTTACCTATTTATCATTTGAATTTATTATTTGTTTCGTTGGTTCCTAATCTTTTTTTTTGTCATTTTTACATTTTGTTTTATAATTCCCTCTTTTTGGATTGTTTCTCTGTGCTTTTTTAGATCCAATGGCTCCTTCCCTGATTGCTCCAAAACATCAACATCTCTCTCCCAACTCCCCCTCTTCGTCTACCGTAAACCTTCCTCATTCCTCTTCAGCGGCGGCTGAGTTGGGTTGTGTGAACTGTCGCTGCTCTTCCGGTAAAGACGCAAACGAAAGTACCCATGTAGATGATCCTTCTCAAAATCTTGTCCATGCTATGTCAAACCTATCCTTAAATCCGCATTTCAAGTCTCTCAACCTCGACCTTCATCTCTTGCACGATAACATTACGATCGATCGTATTCCCAAACTTCCTCCCTGTAATATTTCCTTTGCTCCATTGACTCCTGAAGCCAAGTCCGCGGATTCCTTCCATCAAAGCTCCCTTATTCCTGAAAAGATGCCGCCTTCATTTGTCCAGCCTCATCCACCATTCCATGTCTATCCGTCTCGTGTTAGGGATATCCGCGAACTAACAAAGCCCGGTGCCTATAAGCGTGCTTTCCATTTTGAAATTGACGTTTCTGATTATCCTCTTCCTGAAGGTGAACAGTGGATGGTAGGTGGTTCATTTGGTCTCATGGCTCCCAACAGCGATGACGCTGTAAGTCATTTGCTCCATCTTTTGCATGTTCCTCCCGACGTCGCTGATGCTCCTGTCCTTTTGAAAACTAATGGTGGTCGCTGGCCTACCATTTGGGCTGAGGACATGGCTAGAGAGCTTCCTACTACTCGACGGGAGCTCTTGAAATGGTCTTCTGACTTCATGTCCGTTCCCCCTAAAAAGCAGTTAATTCGTTTATTGGCCGAATATGCCGAAAGCCCTGCAGAAAAACAAATTCTTTTGTTTTTGGTTAGCCGTTTGGGTCAACGTGCTTTCTGTGATCTTAGAGCGAATAACAATGTTACTTTGCTTACACTCTTGGAAGCGTTTTCTAGTGTCAAGCTTCCTCTGGATCACCTCTTAAGTATTCTACCCCAACTAATGCCTAGATGGTATTCTTTATCCAACGATCCCGCTCAGCATAATGGAATCTTAGAATTTGCGGTTGCTCTCGTAGAGATCGAAAAGGCTGGTGGCGGTATTCGTTACGGTATCGGTTCTGGCTTCTTGTATCGTTTAGCGAAGCAATGGATGGACGGTAAAAGAGACTTAATCCTCCCCATGTATCGTGGCTTACATAGGAACGCTTTTGTTACGCACTTCACTTCCGATGGCCCTATGTGTCTAATTGGCACCGGTGTTGGTATCGCACCTTTCCGCGGATTTGTTCAGCGCCGTCTCATGAATGCATCTTGTGCTGGAAAAGTCTGGATTTTTCACGGTTGCCGTGACTCCGAGTTGGATGAATTGTACCATGGCGAATGGGAACACCGGAATGACGACTCTCGTTCTGACTCTTCTAATTCCGTTAGCAATCAAAATAATACCGAAGTTGATGCGTTAGAGTTTCACAATGATCCCAGGGAAGGGCCTCATCACTTAGTCGTTGAATCACGTTCATGCAAACGAGTTTACGTGCAGGACGAATTACGTCAAAAAGGTGATATTGTATGGAATGTTTTGAACCACCCGAACGGTAAAATATACCTTTGTGGTGGTAAACAAGGTTTATTACGAGGTGTCGACGATGCATTGCGGGACATTTGCATGAAATTCGGGAGTATGTCTCATAGTGAAGCTTCTAACCAATTGGCGACTTGGCAGAATCCTCTTTCCTTGAAGTATATTAAGGAAATTTGGTAACATGCTTGTTTTAAGGAAAGGTTTTTTTGTTACCTGTCAATTTATGATTATAATGTGTACATGAATTTCAGGTTTAATCGTTTCAATCCCCTTCTTTTCATTTCAGTGGCTTATATTTTTGCTTTTGTTCCTATAATTTCTAGTTTTGTTTTCGTGATCCTTTGGTATCTTTGGATCTAAAAGTTTTTAATATTATACTGTCCTTGATTTCTCACGTAATCTGCCAAACAACCGGTGTTCATCCCGTCTATATATTATCCGGTCAGTATGTTATCCACTGCTTATTATTTTCGTAAGCTGTAGATATGCTTTCTCTCGAAAGGTTCTATAAGTTTGAAAGGCATGTTTATCAGTCTGATTAAACTCTAGATTCAACTTGGAAAAAGTTTGATGAAGCCGTTACAGAGATACCATAAGAACAAAGCACTAAAGTAATTCTTTCATTCTTCCAATGGTTCTAGTCTATATTAGGAAAAAGATACGAAGAAGTATGAATGGAGTTAGGATTCGTATATGTGCTGAAAAATCGCAACTGTATTTTAAATAATCCTTACTATATTCGTTGCTACGTAAACAACTAATCTTGTTCTAATGTCCTTGGTTGACGAATTCAGATGTATCAATAAGCAAGTTGCTTCGGATACCAACAAATTCTCCCTTAGAATGTATTTGTTTGGAACCAGTCTACTTATTCACAAGTTTTCTTATTCTACTCTCTTTGAATCAATATAACCCAGTCTAATTACTCAATTCACCATAGATTTTTTGTCTTGCTCAAGGTGACATGGTACTAATTATATACTCCTTAGAGTAATGAACGATGAGTAACAATTGATAAAGTCAGGACTTCCTCTGGCACCCTCCAACAGAGCCGCCTATTTGCTGTTACTAGAATGTATTCTCACATATATAATCGTATAAATCTTATGCTTATATTACAATATTTAACTCTTGTTTTTGAATCAAATGCTCGTTTAATGAGACTTTATTTATTATTGCGCAATTTGTACTGGTTCGTTATAATTAATACTCCTTAGGGAAAATACAACTATACGAAAACACAATAGAATCGCTGCTGAGTCTTCATGGTAGTAATATAAATTATATTTGAAAAAAACTGGATTTCTTATTATATGAAAATAAACAAAGAAAAATAGATTTGCTTTGGAGAAGAATTGGCTAAGGAATTGAACTTAGCGTATTCAACATTTCTAAGCAAAGATTGTTGTTTCTTAACTTATGCAAGTCCTTATGGAAAGTTCTTCATGTTTTTCCCTTGTTAGTATATAGCTATGAGACCTATGCAAAAGGGACCGGAAAGCCAACACTTTAGTGCAAACAGTAAGGAAACGAGCTCCATTATGGAAAAATTACCTGGTGTCGTAGAAGAAAATGACGAGTTAATTGATGAGCTTAAAAGAAAACTTGACAATGAATACGCAGCATGTCATAAGACTGAACAGTTATTAATGGATTTTGGTGCGAGATTTAAACATGAACCAATAGAACGAAGAGCGAGCTTAAAGGATAATCTCGAATCGGATTTGGAGTCCTGTAGGAGATCAATAGAGAAACTTAAGAAATCCATTGAAAACATTCAGATGGATATTCAAAATGAAGCTACGGAGTCTGGAATCAGTTCTTGGGATCCATCACTTCAGAAAGCCCAAAGTCATCCTGAAACACATACAAGACACCAGCGGGGTAACTCCAGACAAGTCGGTTTATCACTTACAAAAAATGACTATCTAGGTCCTTCCAAAAAACTGGATCCTATAGTCACCCAATATTCTGCTATCGACAAAGATGAAGAGAGGAGAGACAAACCTTTATCTGTTTATCCATCTTTGCATAATAGAATTCAATTCTTTCAATCCAATGAAGCACCTAATTTAGTTCTCCAAGATTGGACAACAGCAGTACGAAATGCTTGCTCGAAACTTTCCACTAGAGAAGTTATCCAACTTTCTAATGACATTTGTCAGTATTTGCATGAGCACCCTGAAAAGGACTGTCTTCCCAGGGCTTACTATATGCTTCCTACCCTTCACTTCATGCTCATGCTCAACGTACCAGACGTTTCTGCTTGTGTATATCGCGTCATAAGAAACCTACTCACTGACCCTTCGGCGTTCGCTGTCTGCCAGTCACTTAATTTGACTTGGTTGCTTTCAAAATCCATTATAACAGTTGGACCTTCTTATGAGACCGAAAGAGCTCAGGCGTTTCGATTAATACGTACACTATATGCGTTCTCAAGTACAGAAGAACATGAACATATGCTTTTAGGCATTACAAACACATTAATTGCTATTTGTGAACATTCAACAGATGCAAGTAGGGGTATCGCAAGCGAAACATTGATTGAATTAATGATTTTAAAACCACAGATTTTATTGCGAGCTAATGGTTTGAGAGTGTTAATATCCTCCCTTGTTGACGGTTCCATTTCAGAGGAGTTGGCAGCAACCGCAGCTTTGGCTCTGATTTATCTTCTAGATAACCCTGTAACTTGCCGTTATTTAAGTCTACCTCACGATATTGGTATTTTATTATCCCCATTTACTTCACCCACGCTTTATGACTTATATAGTCCTTCCGGAGGGCAGCCAGAGCAAACGTCTAGAGCTATTCGCTCAAGTGCTAAAGTCATCTCTGTTCTACTAAATTCCTGGCCTGGACTTTTGGCTTTCTCTACTGAGGATTTCCAAGCCCTTCGATCTCTTGTAGATTCCCTTCGTGTTCCGACGTTCTCTGCCCGTAATGATATAATAGATTTATTTTTGCTTATTTTTAAGGTTGATTGTTCAACAATACATGAATCGTGCATTATTGCTGGAAAGAAGCCGTTTCCAGCAAAAAGTCAAAATGTTCATGAAGACATTAGAACAAGCACGCTTAATCTGTCCGACGGGTCTTATAGAAATTTTTTGTCTCTTAACCACCATTTTATGGCTCTCATATTGTTTATTTTTTTGGAACTGGGTTTGGTTGAATCAATCGTATGTGTGATCCGTGCTAATGATGATCAATTTCTTTCAAAAAAAGCAACGTGTCTGCTTGGTGAAGTTTTACGTCTTTCAGATCAACTACTTCCTATTCAGTTAGGCGCTAAAATTCAGTCACTTCCATCTTTATTCAATATGGCTTCCAAATTTACTGCTGAAGATAGATTTGTCGCCACTTCAGTTCTTCAATCTATTGAAAGCTTGAACCGTGTAAAATGCCAGACTGAAACCGGTTTTCATGCATCCAGTATTCATGAAGGGGGGTTATCTGGAAACACGTTTCGGGGTCAAAGGCAGGTAGAACATGTTAAACTGAAGATGGGATTGCAGATTGATGACTCACACTTTAGGAATATGCTGGCGGAAACTAATGTCTTAACAACAAAAAACTATCAGAAATGGAGATGGGATACATTAGCTCAAATTATGGAAGGACCTCTGCTGAGTCATAAGAGAATAGATGAAACCCTTCGCACGACGAAATTTATGAAGAGATTGTTATCTTTTTATAAGCCCTTTTCTGATAGGTTTTCTTCTATAGAAAACACGACGGCTAATCAGAAATATATCAATGTCGGGTGTTTGGTTTTTAAGACGCTTTTGGCAAATCCCGAAGGGGTCAAATACTTATCGGAAAGCAAACTCATAAAGCAAATTGCTGAAGCTTTGTCACAGCTTGACGAATATTCTGGTCAAGTAGCGAATCCGATCTTTTCCAGCGAGCGCCTCGAGACAACTCTCGTGCATGGTTACTTTTGCATGCTTAAAGTCCTTTCCAGTCAGAAAGAGGGACATGCGATTATGGAACGATGGAGGATATTTACTACTCTATATCACATTGCCGAAATTCGAAACAGAGATGATTTGTTGATTTGTCTCTTAACGAATGTGGATTATCGCTTAGAGGGCCACAGCAGAATTATATTTTCAAAGGCTTTAAGTACTGCGCAACAAAATGTTCGATTACATGCAACACGACATCTATTAACATTGATAAATTCAGAATCAGGAAATGACAACTTGAATCATTGGGCTATATCGCTTTTGATTTTTCAATTGTATGATCCTTCTCTAGACGTATGTCAAGTTGCTGTCAAAGCGTTGGACGATGTCTGCGCTAAAAACGAAAATCTGCTTGCTCAGGTTGTTCAACTACAGCCATCTTTGGCCCATCTAGGTGAAATAGGCTCACCTTTGTTATTGAGGTTCTTGGCTACCACTGTCGGCTTTTACTATTTGTCAGAAATTAATTTTATTGAACACGAACTAGAAAATTGGTTTTACCATCGAAATGAAGCATACGTTGATTTAATTGAACTAAATGGCTTTCTGACATTTATTTCCAACATGGATATTGCTAGTGCAGAGATTTCAACTAATGGAGATGATATTCTTCCATTACATTTCTACGGAGAATTGGTGAAGTCACCGGAAGGTTGCTCTGTTTTAGAGACAAGCGGTCACTTTGGTTCCTTCATGAATATATTAAGGGAGTATGTTGAAGAAGTAGACTCATTACAGATTCGTCGTCTGAAAAGTGCATTATGGGCTATCGGAAATATAGGAAAAGCAGAGACAGGGGTTCACTTTCTGGATAAATATGATTCTGTGCCTCTTATTGTCAAATTCGCGGAAGAATCAAAAATTCCTACTGTCCGTGGGACAGCATTTTTTGTTTTAGGGTTAATTTCAAGGACTAGTCGTGGCGTACAAATTCTCTCAAATTTGCATTGGTATAGTTTAATGTCATTGATGGGGACTTCGCAAGGTGTTTGTATCCCAGTACATGCATGCCGTGTAATTTCGACTCCAGGAAAAGAGGCTGAACACTTGAGTGATAGAACACTCACATACCCTCAGTCATTTTTAGCTGACAACTTAACAAATATTGAGAAAGAAGTCGTCAAGTATATTTCCAATTTGTCGAATCATGTATTGGCGAATGAATCCGCTCGTCAGTTAACAAAAATACGATCTAAAACCCCTCGAGTCTTTTTGTCAAAGCGCCTAGCCAAATTTTGCTTCAATATTTTAGACCAATTTCATTATCGTGTTCAGATTTTGCAATTTATTTATGAACTGTTTCCCCACTCCGCTCTTTTGGCGTCTTTTGAGACGAATGAATTACCGCCGAGGTTCTCAGCGTCTAATTCCTCTACTGTATCTTAAAAATATTTTGGGATATTTGACTTGCTAATTTTGTCTTCTTGTTCTCGTAATTTCACTTCGCAAGTCGCTGCAGATTGTCCTTATAAATTATTTGTCATTTAACGTTCATTATTTTTAATTATTTCTGAGTTTATTTGGAAGAGTTTCACTCACCTTAGATCATATTCTTTAACTAAGAGTAAGTAAAATCTTGATAATTACTATTAGTTCATTTAACATAGGATATATTAAAATGATAGTAAATAAACTTCTTTAAGCTATTCAAATTCAATTATTTATACTAAATAGGTAATTGCATTCGTGTGACCGATCTTGTATATCTATAGTTGCAGACTATAGACTTAACTGGTAGACTACTACTACCATCTTCCACTTGCGAGATTGCCTTTCTATTTTGCCAGGTTCATGAATTAATTAGTATTATACTGCAATTCTAATAGAATAAGAAAGAAAAAGGAATGAAAAGCAGGTAAATAAATGCTTTCATTCGTTTTAGGATCGGTTTATCGATTTTCGTTGTCAGTATAGAGAAAGGATAAAATAACTTTATTATATCTTCATTATTCGTTATTCTTTTCCAGAGACTGATTTTTGGAATAGCTTTACTACTGAGAATTTTGGTCCCGTAATTGTTTTATAACAGTTCGAAAACAAGGCAAGGCGTCTGTTGATTGTCTTCCTTCTTTGAAGAAGTTTTTTAACTATAAAATTCTGGTTTCAAGCATTATACTATAGCCTTTCGTCTGCGGGCTTCTATGGAAATTTCACCATTGGATCCTTGCTATGTTCCATGCGAGATGCAGGGTCTACCACAGTAATATTCGACTGCATAGGCATTTTTCCCGCTTTCATTGTGTATTATATTCACATCCTTATACCACAATCTCCTCTCGTTCTTTTGCATATACCCCTTGGAATTATCGTTCCCAAACTCAAAACCAAACTTTGGTCTCAAACAAAGTAAGGCATGGACAAAATGCTTCAACAGTTGCCGATTCTTCTTCCCGTTCAAATCAAGTTTCGAAAAAGTCGAACCGTGCATTCATAAGTAAACGTAGTAATGCGCTTAAGGAAAAGAATCCCGAAAGCCGTTCTTTGCGTCAAGTCATTTTTAATTCGTTGAGTTTTTGTAATTTACAGCACACGAGAAAACTTTTAATAGTGGCTTCTGATCGAAATAAAGCATACCTTAGGCCTCATGATCCACCGAACAAAACCGCTAGAATCCTTTCGTTGTATGATAAATATATGTATAGGAGATCAAGAAACCTATACGACATATTTCAAGGAAAAGAAGATTTGTTGACCATCGTTTGGTTTCAAACTCTTCTATATCCTTTACTAACCTCTACATATGAAATTAAAGCCTACGTGAACACCGTGACTCAAGATGCAACGTTACCCGATTATTTCCGTGATAGAAGCTTCGAAGCAATTTTTTTTAGTTCTCTTTTTGATCATTTTTTGACTACTAACGAGTTTTATCTCGCCATATATTACTATTTGATTGTAAGGAAAAACCCGCAAATGACTTTTCAATTATTACGGCAACTAAAGAATCTGGCCTTACCAGAAGATAATTTGATAAAATCTGTGTTTCTGGAATGGAGTTTACAAACAGGAAGATTCGGAATAGCATATCAAATTTTCAGAGAGGAATCCCTTTCTGTTTACTATCCTTGTAAGACGTTCCTTAATGTCTTAAAAATGTATGGTACACCTGAGATGTTTGATTACGCTGTCGCTCAGGAGATGAAGGTTACAAAAACAGAAAAATCATCAAAGAACCTCAAATTGGCCAATAAAATAGATGCTTATTTCTGGCTAAGTAATCCACTCTTATAAAGTGAATGATGCAAAAGAAAAAATATTTATATAGATATACCAATCAACAAAAAGAGGTTCTGACAATTTACTGGCACGGTCTTTTAGTCTATTAGACGACTAAATACAAACCTCAAAGTCGTTTATTAATGAAATTTTTATGGATTATCAATTAGGATTTTTATTGTTAATTTGACGGTAGTAAAATTAAATCAAAAATTCTCTGAGCAACACGCAACTCACTGAAGATGGTATTTATACTTCAGAGACTTAAATAAATAATAAAGAAAAACAATAACGATAAAACAAACTCGTAATAAGTCATTAAAAATCTTTTTCTTTGGCGAGGCTCATTTCCAATCCTTTCAAGTAGATGTCCATTTCTGTCAAGAGATTGTCTAATTCCAATTTTATAGAGGACTTCATAGTATGCATGTTATAAGAACTATCATCAAATAATTCCAATGGTAATGGCTTAACAGCTGGGGGTTCATTATTTTCATTTAAAGCTGTGTTCGATTGAAGAGGATTAATAGATAATGGGGGTAAACGTGCTCGTAATTTCGAGTTAAAAGGCTTTACAGTGGGTGAATTGATAGGGTGTTTGGGAATTGTCGGAGAAGTAGCTTTTGAAGGTTGGTTATTAGATGATCTAGCAACATCTATTGGGGGTAAAAAGGAGTGCGTTTTATGGGCGCTGGTATCTGCTGAAGTGTTCAAGTGTTCAAAGGCACCCATGGAAACACTCCTAGACTGGGGATCTAGTGAGGATGGAAATCGAAGAGGGCCTTTCATAGGAGACATGGATATGCCTCTTTTGCCCATATTCATTTGTCTTTGCACCACGCGTGGTAATGGACGCTTCACATTCTGGTCTATAGAATTCATAGCATTTCCTCTGCTCCGATTGACAACCAATTCTGATTCTTCTGGAGATCTCGATTGTTTCGGATTAACAGTTGGTTTGTTTTTCAAACATTCATCTTCCTTGTCAAAACTTGGCAGTTCAATCTGAGAGTATGAAGGTTTAATATTCGATTCTTGGTTTGCAATACCTCGGCCAATGTTAGAGGGATCTTCATTCGGCATAGAGCTATTTTGAAAAAGCTGCATAAGAGGATGAGACTCGTTTTCTGTGGCAGATACAGCTGTAGACGAGGTCGGCTTGGAAGTTGGGGTTTCAGACCCTGAAGACGAGGAGGAACGTTGTTGATGTGTTTTTTTGACTGTTCCAAACTCCCAATCATCATCCAACATTGTTTCAGAAGTATCATTATCTTGGTCGCTGCCATTTTCAGGCTCGTGTGGATTCATTAAAGTATCCGGAACACCGCCAGCCGCTTGCCAATTTTCATAACGTTTTATCAGATTGTACAGCTCATTTCCAGGTAGCCGTGCGTATTGCTTGATAAACTTTGATTTTAAAAGTTCAGAGGCATCCAAACGCTTATTCGGAATAACATGTAAACAAAAAGCAATAAATTCCTTTAATAAGCTGCTATAGTTTCCTTCGAGCTTTGGTGGGGGAGTATGCGCAATAAGGAAAACTGCACGAAATGGGTCTTCTTTGGCATGAGGAGGAGAACCAGTCGCGATTTCGTAAGCCGTAATTCCTAAAGACCATATATCAGCCTAACTGTATTAGCAAACGCCGTACTTATAAAACAAAGGCTTAAGGCTGTAATACGTACCATGACATTGTATTCTTGTCCATCACGAATAACTTCAGGAGCCATCCAATAGGGAGTGCCAATAAAAGTTGTTCGCTTCCTTCGATTAATATTGATTTCTGCAGCGACACCAAAATCGCAAAGCTTGACATTACCAGACACAGAAACAAGAATGTTAGCTGCTTTTATATCACGGTGAATAATACCAGCATGATGAATGAATTTTAAGGCCTGTAAAGTTTCACGAAGGATAATAGAAATATAAGGCTCACTTAATTGACCAGCTTCCATTAAAGTACGAACACTGCCGCCCTGGCAATAGTCCATAATGATCCATAAATTTGTACCTACCAAGTATGATCCATGGTATTTAACGATATTTTCAGATTCACGTTGCTTTAATTCACTTAAAACAGTAATTTCTTTTTGGATATCTGATACTTCGTCTTCTGCTGTGTCCAGATTCAAGACTTTAATTGCTACAATCTCTTTTGTAGCATTTCGAAGACTGATACGAGTCAGTCAATTCTGCAATTATAGAATAGTAAAGAATATAACCATACCCTTTGTATACAGCACCGTATGAACCACGGCCTACAAGTTCTAGTTTTGTATAGGCGCAAGATGCCGTCTGATGTTCCATAATCCCAGCTTAGCTTTTATTAAACAAACATGAAGGTTCTATTAGCTTGTTCTCATTAACGAAACGATGCGAATGTAAGTTCACCTAGTCTTGTATGGTAGTTGGGGAAACCTGTGGTATAGCGAAATTTGTCCTCTTGAATTGCTCAGGGAAATTGGAATAGGACAGTGTAATAGGGGTTTATTAAGCTGAAATTTTAGCTCTTTTATAAAAGAAAATGCTGTTAGGTGGAATATGCAGTACGTTCATGGGATTCCATTTTTGCTATTTGAATCAAAAAAGTGCTTCCTTAAACATAAAACTGCTTAAGAGTTAAATCATATTACAATTTATTCAGAAAATATCTTTTCTTTTATCATTTATGTCTTTGAAGCAGCAGAAAAGTACTTTGGGAACGTTCATGATGAAGCAGGTGTCCCCTTTGTTTGATGCGTTTAGTACGCTCTCTTCCTAATGGTATCTTTTTAAACCCTTTTATCTACTTTATGGATCTCCTACTCTGCAAAGCATAAAAAATAAGAGGAGGCTTAAGAGCATGGGCTTCACCTGAACATTCATTGGGACAGGAAAGTCAAAAGTCGAATGGCCTAGTCAACTAATACTTAAAGGCTATAGCATTGGCATACGCTTTTTATTTTATAATGGATCAAGGTTCGGATATGGTTAAGATTCATTTACCAGAAAGTAAATTCACAATCTATAAATGAGATAGTGGTAAAGTCAGATAGATATTCTAGTAACGAACTGTGACATTAGTAGGGTTTGCTTGGCAAGCAGCATTAAAGGTGTCGGTACCATTGTAAGTAGAATTAGAACGAACGGGAGAATTAAGATACGCAGAAAGCTCACACATACCATCTGAAGAATTAGAAGGGCCATAACCACAGTCGGTCAAAGGGAAGACTTGTTGGTTAACCAGGTGTCGTACATAATACTTCTGATCTTGGCATTGAAAAAGCTCGGTGATCAAGTTTCCAGCAAAAGGAACGAATGACGAAGTTTTCAGAGAATAAGTATAAGGATTGTAAGTTAAAGGGAGAGGGTGCTCGGGAGTGATATCTGGGAAGAAACCAAGAGCAGCTTCAATAGGAAGGATTTGGCCATCGTGGGTGAAAGCAAAAAAAGTTTTTTGGTAATTGCTTTCATTATAAACGGAACGAAGAGATTTGGCCAAGTTATGGATATAAGGACCACCCAAAACATTAGCCCATTTAGAAGACGGACCGCCCCAAAGGGAAAATTCCAAGTCGTAATCGTATTCAAAATTGATGATTTCAGAAGGAGTGAAAAGAGAACAAAAGCCACTTTCATCCTTTAAAGTGAGCTCGTAAGCACACAAGTAGAAAAAGCTCCTAACGTCATCATTTGTGAGATTATAGTTTGAAAAGTAAGGGTTAAGACGGTTTCTGATAGGAACTAAGAAAATGTTTTCCCATATGGAATGAGCCTCTTCTACCTGCTTGTAGTCGATGTTGTTGTCAGAGTACACAGGACAAGAATTATAGTTGGAAAGAGAATTAGCACCAGGAGTCTCATCCTCAGCAAGGTAGACGAATTTTGTCTTGTTAGCAATTTCATTTCCAAACATGCCGTAACTGTACCATTCTGCAGACTCGACGACACGACCTTGAGCCGCTGTATTTATTTCATAAACATCGGCATCAAACAGCATGTTATACCGAGTAAAGACTTCACGGCCCAATTTAAACAATTCCACACGGCCACTACTGGAAAGCTTATCGGCATTACGAAGTTCAATGACTGGAACCCAGGACTTGATAAACTGAAAGGGGTTATCAGGCTTTGTATAATTAATTGGAAGCGATCCATTGGTAAGCTTTTCTTGCATTTGAACAAGAGATTTGGCACTGGAACCACCGTCGTCGCTAGCAGGGTTTCGTGAACCATGGCGCTGCAAAACATGGACTTGACGAATTTCACAAGATTCCGGAAATGCAGAGCTCAATCCAGTGAAATGTGGTTCATGATAAATGCTAAGACTGCCTAAATGTTCCTGAAGGTTGAATGTATTTTTAAAAGACTCGAAATCAGAAAACCGGGCCGAAACAGAACCTATGATGAAAGCCAAAAACCATAAAGAGAAGCTAGACAGTCGCATACTGATGAAAACCAAAAAAAATGAAAAAGTAATATAAAGAACGATAGAAAATTATGCCGGGAGAAAAACCCAATTTAAATCAAAAGATAGGAAAAGATAGCAACTGATAGCTTTGATAGATCAAAATGTAAAAAAAAAAAGGAAACAAAGAAAAACAGAGACAGAACTAGGAACCCCAGTTATTTTTACTACATTAACTGTAATTATTTACTGTAAATAATGGAAATCTGGTTCTGACTTAAAACTTGTTCGGAGCTTATTACATATAAAGTAGTCCGGTTATCCGCTTATCGAGTTTATATTTATTTTTGCGATATACGAATATTATTACAGGCATTATTTTAGCTCTAATAAAAACAAACAATGGGAAAAAAAATATCCCTAATACTTGAAGGCAATTTTGTTTCAGTTCAATTACTTCGTTTCATTTTACTTTTTTTTTGTTACTGTTAGAGGGACTGTACAGAAAAATCATTTAATTCAACCACAGCTATTCGTATTGCAAGTAAAAACCAGGTGTTTAGTTTGATCGTAAGCGCAGTTTTTTAATTGAAATATAAACAAATATAAGTATTCAATGACGAACAAATACTCGTAAGGTATTGTATATGAAATTCCTCTAGTACTTATTCAATGACAGTATTTCATCACTTTCATGTCACTGAAATACAAACTGTAAACTGTTCATTCCATTGAGAACTTTTACGCTTTCATTACCGTATATAAAAAAGGAAAAGAAATTTATTCTATTAAGCAATTTATTAGCTTTGTTTTGGTTTCATCTGTTCTGCACAAGCATTGTTTGTTTACAAACAGATACTCTGTACAATTATATTACATCATTACTTTCCGCATGAAAGTGATCCCGTAGTAAATCGTATAAACCTATCAAGGCTACCGATCTGCCACGGAAATACCGGGCTCAACCGATCTTGATTAAAGTATCCACAGGTAGGAACTGTCTGTCCCTCTCGTTACATACAACAGATTTCAAAAAATATCAAAATTGGTCGATATTCTGTTTATTTATTCCTTAGAAAATAAGTGATTTACGTTTATAATAAAGAAAAAAAGTTTTCATTTGCATTGTGTAAAAGGACCGGCCATCCGTGCAAGTGTTGCCCAAAAGACGTTAGGATTCAAAAACTTGGCAGTGTGACGCCTCATTCGAAGAAAAAGGAGGAAAGGAAAACATATTCCTTCCAATATCAAGTGAATGATTGAGGTATCAGCCCATATGTTCAAACGATATGGGAAAAAAATCACTAATAACCTGGTGGAAGCAATTGAGAATTCATAAAGCAACTGAGAATGAACTATTTGGATTAAGCCTTTCTGAAGCTTTGGAAGTTTCCAAAGTAGCCATTTTCCTCACCCGAAAAGATGGTGAAAAAGTGTTTTATGGTTATATACCGGCAGTAGTTGCAAAATGTGGATTTTTCTTAAAACAAAATGCTACACAAGTAAAAGGAATATTCCGAGTTAATGGCTCTTCAAAAAGAATTCAGTTACTTCAGAAAGCGTTTAGCACGAGCCCAGATTACGGTCGTAGCTTCGAATGGAATGGCTATACCGTTCATGATGCCGCCAACGTCTTTCGAAGATTTATTAACTTGATGCCTGAGCATGTAATTCCTCTAGATTACTATGAGCTTTTCCGTGAGCCCATGACTCTTTCTAATTTGACGGATAATGATCGTATTGAAATGTATCGCCAACGTATAGATAAGCTTCCTATTCCAAATCGACAGCTTCTTCTCTATCTATTAGATTTGCTTGCTGTTTTCGCTTCAAATTCTCACATAAATCTTATGTCCGCCGAAAATTTAGCCGCTATTTTTCAACCTGGTATCCTATCCCATCCTAGTCACGAAGTATACTCTAAAGACTACAAAATTTCACAGAATGCACTTTTATTTTTAATCAGTCATCAAGGAAGCTTCATAAAGACTATTCCTCTTTCTTCGTTACCTCCCTTAGTTCCCAGTCCGACTTCTCCCAATGCCTCTTCCTCGACGTTGGTAACACAATCTGATGGCCATTCTAGAGTACATCTTTATAACTCTAAAAGTGGAACCATTAAACGATGGCGTTCTTTCAGCCGTCAATCGAATAAGAACTTTTCCACAGCTGACATTCTTGATCGTAGTCCTAATATGGGTGATCTAAAGGTAAATAGTTCCCAAATTAAAGGTAAACCTAGATCCAACTCATTATCTCGGAGTGGGTCTATGAAGTTTTTTCATACATTGGATCGTCGGAGGGACACCTAAACAGGTAACGAATCATTGATTTTTTACGACGATATTATAAGTGGAAGTATGTTATTGGTTTTCTGTATATAGTTCTGTATAGATTCTACCTATCGTTCTTTTATTTACATTGGTTTCTTATTTAAGTGTTATGTTTTTTTTGGTTTTTTTTGGGATTTATATTTGGTAGCTTTTCGTTAAAGATTTTGCGCAAGACTACCATTTTCAAAACGATCGTTTACTTACCTTTTTTTACAAGTTCAGTTTTATCGCTTAATTTCTTGAACTTTCTGAAATGTTGTTTGGAAGCCTGTCTTTCCTCGTTGGCGATTACAGACCTTATATGATCGTTTGCAGGCTTTATCAAATGGTTGTCTGTTTTTGAAGTACAAAGATTTAATGGGTTTCTTTTTTTTTACTGCGGAATTTTGGATTTTTGTATATAATGTCTGTATGTGTAAGGAAAATTGTACCTTGTCAATAATTTTGTTAAGCTGTTAGTATTCAAGGTAATGAAATAAATATTATTTTGGTAATCTTATATTTTTGGGTTTTCATAGAAATCATTCCTATATATGCTATTTACTAAGTATAAGAAAGAACTTTTTTGCTAATATAATTTTAAAGATAACCTATTAGCTCGTTTCATTCACTAAATAGATCCTGTAACAGCCTCATTAAGTTGCTTTGCTCTTCTGTTAAAGGTTCCGATGAAGGAATGAGGAATAGCGGAATACGCAGCTCAGAAAGTGCCTTTCTTTGGTCGGAATACATACGTTCGGTTAATAAAACAACCTTTTTATCAAATTCAGATAATACTTCTTCAAGTTCCCTGTCGTGTTCGCTCAGAGAGTTCTTGTTGCTTGTAGAAGAATGCCTTTCAAGAGAAGATGCATGACCCAGAGAAGTCGAAAGAGGTGTCAATAGATTTTTTAATTTATTTTTAGACTGATGATGGTGAATTAGTCTTTGGCGTTCCATGAACCAATCGCGTTCTTGGCGTTCCTGCATGGTTTTCAACTTTTTTACTTTACGCAGCTTCTCCGGGTTTTTTACTTGCAATGAAAAGACATAGCGTAAAGCTGCTGGATATGATCGAATATTTTCGACAAGAGCAAGTTCCTGAGAAGCCTTTTGATTGTTGAATGAAGGATCTAGTTCGGAATTGAAAGTCTGAGATGAATTGGTATCATTTGACACTTCCTTTGATGTTGAAGAGGGTTTTGAAGAACCTTCAAGTTCCTTTAATAACTTGGCAACCGTTTCATCCATTCACGAAACTACAATTAATCGTACGGCAGTTTGCTCGTTAAATGTACATTTATTTGCACAATACAACCAAAATTATTATTTTTAGTGTAATATATAGCTGAAATATTATTAAGAAGAGGTAGAATCGGCTTCCTCAGCAGGTTCCTTTTTTTCTTCAGTACTCTGGGTAGTTGTTTGATCTTCGGTAGTAGGAGGTTGCTGGTCAATATGCATTTCTGTAGACTCAGAAGTGACAGGCTTCTTTTCTTCATTTTCTTCTTGCTGTGGAGGAGTAGAGTTATTCTCACTTTCAGACTTTACTTCATTGTCAGTCTTTACTCCGTTTTCGGCAGGTTTTGTTTCTGGTTCATTAGGAGCACCAGCAATCACAGAAAATTGACCACCGGCACCAGCAACTCGGATACTAGCATTCGTAATAGCTTTTGAGCGAACAAGCGTAGGTACTACAATTTCTTCATCGGTGTCACCTTGTCCAACCTCATAATTCTCAGACGAACCCCACGAATATACTTTACCATCATTAGTTACTGCTAAACTATGGTGAGTACCACAGCAAACTTGGACAACATTCGAGAGTCCAGGGATAATAGTGGGAGTAGATATACTGTAATTGTATCCCTTCTCATCTTTGGTAAGAGATTCAGGTAATGCATCATCGGGTATACCAAGTTGATGACGATCTTGACGACCCCAAGCCAATACTCGTCCATCTTCTAATAATGCAAGACTGTGATGTTCACCACCAGTGATGGCTTTAATTTTGTAAGGCTCTAAGGCTTCTACTAAGGTAGGTTTGGTAACTATACCTTCTTCTTCGTCTTCTTCATCAGCAATAGCGCATTGTTTTGTCATATTCAAGCCCCATGCATAAACCTTTCCCTTATTATTTATGGCAAAGGAATGGTAAGAACCAGCACCAACAGCTACTATGTTTTTAAGTGCAAGAGGCTCAGGGTTTAGACCTTGCAGTCGACGACGATCCATCATGCGACGTCCGAGCTGACATTGCTGACCATTACCCCAGGTATAAACTTTTCCGGTTGTTGTCAAAGCAAGTATATGATCAGTGCCAGCAGCAAGCTGTGCAACTTCGGGAAGCGGCATTTGCACAGGCTCTGAGGCACGCTTGCTAGATTCGCTGAATCCCAAAATACCATCAGAACACTACATTTCGTTAGCAAAGATCATACAAAATAAAGGAATGAAACCGATCGTAGGAGACGCCACGATAGAGGATATTTATAACAATATCGACAAATCTCACAGAAAGGCACTATAAAACACAGTTATGAAAAACTTACACGAAAAGTACCCCAACTGAAGCAACTGCCGTTTTCTGTGATAACACTCGTAAGGTTATCACTACAACAAACTTTGGTAACTTTAAGACGCTGAATAGCGCCAGTGACTTGACTGGGGGTTCCTTCTAATAAATCGTTATCAATTGCGTTTCCCTCTTTGTCAGTTTGGTTTTTAGTAGGACGACCCAAGGCAAAGTCGTCATTAACACCCCAAGTGAAAACGCGGCCATCATGAGAAAGCACAGCTGAGTGCATGCCACCAACCGCTAAATCAACGACGCCGATTTTATCTCTAGGTAAATTCGGGTTAAGACGAGGTCGATAAGCGACATCAACGTCCAAGTCGCCCATGCCGAGTTCATTCATGGAACCGGTACCAAATACAAAAACATTCAACAGCTCATTAGGGAGAGCGGGAATGCTGTTTAGTTTTCTTCCAGTGGTCCTTTTAGGTTTAGGACCACTAGAAACCTTAACACGCTTCTTCGATGGTTTTGTTGGAACAGGAGCTTCATGATCTTCCAATTCACGCTTATTCAAACTAGTCCCCAAGGCTTCCTGTTGTCTCTGTGACCTTCTAGTAACTCTAGTTTGTGACATTTTGAAAAAATTCGCTCCAGCAAGAACTCTAAGAGATTTTTATTCTGTGTTCCAATGTTAGTAAACATGTCAATTTGTCACCCGATAGCGTAAACAAAGCAAGCCTCAAACAGAGGTGCTCCAAATACACAGACTGCATAGGAAAGATAAAATGACATACGCTTAAAGAAGGAAAAGGAGCAATCCACAAAATTCTGCTTTTTTTCACGTTTTGATTTAGGTCGAAATGTTTTGTCCCAAATAATGAAATCATGCAAAGGAGCTCACCGCTCACTAATCCACATAGCGTACTTTTAGCGATGCGCTAAAATGTAAACAAACCAAAATATCGTATTAGGATGAACAAAAAGTAGCAAGGATTGTCAACTAAGAAGCAGGAGAAAGAGCGTGTTAATTATCGTGGTAGTGAATGAGATGAGTAGCAATATTGTTCAAGGTTCGTTTCATTTTGTACATTTTTGTGTTGGTAGTAGAAACATGGCAATCCCAATTGGCGTGCTCTCGCGTTTTAGTGGCACTCATTCTTGCTTTCTTTTTCATGGAAAGAAAAACTCAAAGATGTTTTTAAAGAAACGCCAAAACCAATGCGATCTAGCAAACGATATGTGAGGACTTGTATCTGTTCGAAAAGAATTCTAGGTTTTCTAGCTTCGCGAGGAGACTTTTTTAAGACAATACTAATCGCTACTTACAGTAATAATACGGTTCCGAAAGTTGACCTCGCAGATCATGCATGGCTAGTGAAAAGCGTCTTTCAAAAAGAAAACGAGAATCAGAAGGAACCATAAAGGAATCATATTTGAAAATAAAATTGACTTCTTTAAATAAAAACAAGAATTGCTTCTTGTTCCTACTATACAAATCGCTGATGTCTACTGGAAGAACTAGCCTAAAAGAAGATACCAAGTACGAAGGACGAACAAACAAAACGCACCAACTGCAAATTAGTACTACAAGTTGGGTTTTTAATATTTTTGAAAAAGAAAAAGAGTGAGTAAAAATAAATAGGAATATTAAATGAAACTAACGAGTAAAAGAACAACGAATTTCCATCGTTTTGCACTCCCGGGTTGTGTCCAGCGATAATTCATCCTTACTGAAAGATAGAAAGAAAGGCACAACTAGGATGTCTGATCCCGCTAGCTTTCTTTTTAAAGATGAGCTTTTGGTTGGATCGAAATATGTGGTTGGAAAGTACAATATCACGATTGAAAAGTACTTGTCAGAAGGTAAAAAGGATGCATTTTATGAAACGTTATGATGGAAACAATTATTAACTGGTTTTCTTTGTTTCAGGTGGTTTCTCGCATGTTTATGCTGTGCAAGCATTCTCCAATGCAGAAGGGTCTCCTCTTTCAGCAGTTCTAAAACGCATGTATGCCGCAGACGAACAAGCTTTGAATCACATCAAATCGGAAATCAACACAATGGTAAGTGGCTCAAAAAGTGTATCTGCCGGATTTACTAACGGAATGTTCCTCTGAAACAGAAATTGCTCAAATCAAATCCCAAGATTGTTACTTACTATGATTCTTGTGTCTTGCCTCTGAGTGAAGAAAAAAAAGATTATGAAGTTCTTCTTTTGATGGAATATTGTTCTGGTGGCGGACTCATTGATTTCATGAATCAGCGTTTGCAGACACGATTGTCGGAAGCAGAAGTTTTAAAGATCCTTTCGGATGTCACACAAGGTGTAGCAGCAATGCATCGTCTACGGCCTCCCTTAATCCATCGAGACTTAAAAGTAGAGAATATCCTTATGACTTCTTTCTCTTCGTTTAAGCTTTGCGATTTTGGCAGTGTGACCGAACCTATGCATGCCGCAGAAAATTCTACTGAAATTCATGCATTGGAAAAAAACCTGGCTACTTTTACCACCTATCAGTATCGAGCCCCCGAGATGATTAATTTTTACGCCGGGCTGGCAATTGATGAAAAAAGTGATATGTGGGCTTTGGGTGTCCTGCTTTATAAGCTTTGTTATTACACTACTCCCTTTGAAACTCAAGGACCAAATGCGATCCTTACTGCTTCTTATGCTTTTCCTCCTTTTCCTCATTATTCTCATTCTCTAAAGAATATTATTATTGCTTTGCTTCAGCCAAACCCTTGTTTACGCCCTAACATCTTCCAATTAATGTATGAAGTTTGTCGGCTTCGCGGAAAACCATTGCCGTTCGGTGATTTTTATGCCGGCAACGATCCCTCCTTTTATGATATGAGTAATAGAAAAGTAATGTCCCTTGTTAGACAATCTCAAGGATTAGCCTTTAACCAACAAATCCCCTCGTCTGCACCAATGTCCGCCTCTCATATTCAAACTTCTCGACCTCCTGTGCCTCCTATGACACCTCCTACTTACCCTTCTCATCCAGTGTCTAACCCTTTCTATGTGCAAGCAGATATGTCTGGTGCATCTCAAAAAATACGTATTCCCGTTCCCGTTCAACAGAATATGTCAATGAATCATCCAGTTGATTTGGGGTCTTCAAGGAGCTTGAGTTATCATAATCAACAAGCGATATCTCGTCCTGCTTCAGTCGTTACTGATTCTGTACCCTCTACTCCTTATGTTTCAAGTAATAGTAAGAATCCATTCCCTGTCTCCCACTCTACAACAGGTGCGTCTAGTCACTATGCACCAACTGATTTTGCAAAGACAGGTTCGAAGTCGGTACCTGAATTTACTACTGGCGATCTAGAAGATGATATTGCTTCACGATATCCAGATCTGAGTGAATTGGAAGCACAAGTAACGAATCAGACTGATATGTCTTCTCAAAAAGCTTATGAACTTTCAAAGCGAGAAGATGAAATTGCAAAGTTGGCAGATGATGCTTTTGCGAGTTTTTTGAGACCTACAGAGTCTAATAGTCAGGATGCGAATGTTAAAGATGAGTCTCAAAATCATCCACCTTCTTCTTCTATTGTCATGGATGCTCAGAAGTCAGAAAAGACTGGCTCTTCAGATGAATTACCAGGTCCTTCCCATTCTTTTAAATCATCCAGTGCATTTCCTAATGAATTTCTAAAGTTCGAAATTCAAGATCCTCAAACGACTAATCACAAGTCACCTGTGAATTTCGAAACTGATGCATTAGCGGGACCGCATAAAGCATTTCGGCATTCAAAATCGCTTTCACAGGGCTTACCTTACTCTTCTTCTCACTCTAATTTGAAGTTAGAAGGTGATGACGAGGTATTTTCTTCTTTGCGTCGTCGGAAATCAACTGCTGCTAATCAGAAGTACATAAGCCGCCCTTCCACGAATCCATATATCAATCCTGAAGAATTGAATTACCCTGGTCAAGCATTGCAAACTAACGAGAAAACAATTCCGAACAACTTCTTTGCAGAAACAGGAAAAGTCGCCTCAAACCCTACTTCGTCGTCAAATCCAAATCTGTCTGACACTGAAGACAAGTCTTTCTTCCCCTCTTTTAACCAACTCGAAAGGACAAGTAGCATACAGAGTGATTGGAATTCACACGAATTTCAACCGCCTATGCTCTCAACCAAGAATCCGTATTTGAAACAACTTTCTCCTGAAAGCTATGCAAACAATCCGGTACATAATCATGCTGAATATGGTTTAAATCCTTCTAACTCTGAACAACCTCAAATCCAAGAGATTGAAGGAGCAAAGAATCTTTTTGATGATGAGCTGCAGAAAACCACTTCGTATCCGAATCCAGGTATAGCTAGTGCTACGAATGATGTATCTCAAACGGTTCCTACGAATTTTTTTGATAATGAAACAGAACCTAATAACTACGATTCTCTATCCAGACAGCATAGCTCTCATTTCAACACTTCTTTCCAAGAGGAATAGAAGCTTTCACAAAGCTTAAATTTTGATGTACGCTTCTATAATGATCTGAATTTTGCTACTGTCTTGCATCAAGGTTTCTCAATGACTTCTGATTTATGAAATCTCTACATTCAATTTTGAAAATGTAATATCACTATTTTATGCTGCTATCTGTTTTATTGATATTGTGGAATCTTGTATATACTCGACTACTACATATGATGACAGAATAAAGAACCGGGAAATAATGCTTATATTATTATCCGGGTATATTTTTTTGAGTTTCCGATAGAAATAAACATTAATAAGTTGAGCTAATAGCATTTGATAGTTGTTTTTTGTTGTTCTAATACCGTTTGTTTTTCCGAGGTCAGTAGGAATATAAACTCGAGGACTCGTGAATAAGTAAACAAACAGTGTTTTAGGCAGAACAAACTACCTGTTTGACGCGATGAAAATCATTAAAAGGAATAATCAATTATTTCATAGAAAAAATGAAACAATAATCACATGTTCTACAGCGAATTATGCGGCCAAGGAAGTCATCTACGACCTAACGTCTTCGTCCAAGCTCAAGTCGTCAGAGGTTGTATTAACTTTCGAATTTGATTCTCCAATATTTTTCCAAGAATCTGAGTTGAATGGACTGATACACTTAGCTGTTAAGCCAAAGGAGCGACCGATTGGACTAATACGAATTGAAACTCAGATTCTCGGGATCAGCCAGTGTAAACAGGGACATCCAACAGTATTTTACTGTACAGGAAAGAACATAATGGATCGAAAGTTTACTGTTCCAAACGAATTGGCAGAACACTCAAGGAACACAACAGGAGATTATTTGATTGATATTCAGCATACTCAAGGTATACCAGTAGCTTTTCAAATGGAACTTTACGGGCAAGTGGGACCTGGAAGACAATCCACACCACAGTTCAATATAAACTATTATATTTTTGCGTACGTACTTTTCGATCTGGGCTAATTGAGAAAAGACTAACCAGAGAAGCAATGCGATTTACCAATATGGGGATAAAGTAAAAAAGGTAAGAGAATGTCAAGAAATCAACGTCCTTCCTAGGGTTCTTTCATCTACTTTCTTGTTATCACCGCCATTAATGTGTGTCAGTAAACCAAGAACAAAACTTGGATTATGCAAGCATAATACTGCCAATGGGATAACAGTCAGACTTCCAAGATCTGAATGGCTCGGAGGAGAACGGATTAATGCGAATATTAAAGTGGAAAATTATGGTGATTACGAAATCAAATATGTGAACCTTTCCCTCTTCAAACGCATTACCATATTTCGAGGACCGCTAGGTAAAAGATACCAACCAGATGCATTGTCGCGAGCAAAAAAACGTAATTCTATTCGTAAAGAAACTTGGATTTGTGTACAAAAGGAAGTGATTAATGAGAGAAGGAAGAATAACTACTATAACTGGAAAGGAATCGATACTTTGGGTACACATACAATGGAATGTCAAATTCGGATTCCGGACAGAGAAGCGACAATAAACGTTGGATCTGACTTTCAGGTAGAATACATATTACAAATTTCAATTGGATCCAGATTAAGGTAATCAACAAGAAAAGCGAATAAATAAATAGAAGAAACTAACGATTTTAGGACATTTAATTGCGTAAAGATGCCGCTTCAAATTCTTCCTGCGTACGCTTTGCCAATGGAACGAGAGGCAAGCTTTGTGGACGCAGCATTATACGATTCGGGAGATAATTCTATTGTACTATCACCAAACTCCTCGAGGGGATTTCACCGAATGTCCTATGAGGCACACCCGACGGCAGAGCATGTGAGTGCAAATAGTTATGTCTTTCTCGGTTAAAAAAGGAGCGAATTTTAGAAAAGTTCAACAGTATTTTAATATAGGACAATAATCATCGTAAACTAATTAGATGATTTAGTGCGGTTTTTCACAAACTCCAGTAACGGATCATTCATCTTTATAAGTGAGATTCCAGCATCGTGAAATTCACGCAAGGTCTTTTGGCCGCTTTCTTCTGTAGACATACAGATGCCATCTTCAATAACATATGTTCGATAATGCTCCTTCGCATGAAGAGCTGTATCACGAACACAAACGTCACCGGCAACGCCGACAACAAAAATGTCGGTAATATTACGTTCGTCTAGCATTTTCTTCAGGCCATTGTCTCTACCAATAGCATCGTAAAATCCAGAATAGGACTCTACGAGGGTATCCGTTCCTTTAGGAAGGATGAAATCAACTTTATCCATTCGTAGGTCTGGATGAAACTCGGCACCTGCAGTACCATTCACACAATGGCTTAGCCAAAGTTGTTGTTTATATGTTTTTCCATGGGCATTAATTTCAATAACAGTCCCTTTGGGCTTCACAGAAGGCCCATGAGAAGTCCGAAACGATGCGTGGTCAGCAGGATGCAAATCCTTTGTTGCAACAGTATAGTCCCATTTGAAATTATCGCTCAAGAGTTCGTTAATGTTAGGAATAATAGAAGTAGCACCGGGAAGATGGCCTGCAAATTCTGGTGTTACAAAATCGTTTTGCATGTCTACAATGATGAGAGCAGGATTGAAATCCATCTTATTATATCAATGACTTTACCTTTCTTTATACAGGTACAAACCAAACAATAAAAAAATGAAAGTAATGAAGTAAGAATGGGTAGATTGTTTAAGCTTCTAAAACAAGTTGTACGGGCACGTTATAGCACTTATATAGATGATGACAAAAACGTTAATGGATTACGTGTAGATGGCGAGAAGGTCGACTTAGAGGAAACGGAAAGAATATTCCAGAAAGCTTCATGCGAAGCTTAGTATGGACGAAACAATCAACTTGAAACAATGGGTACCATTATGTGTGGACTTTGTGTTTCATGTCATTGCAGGAAAATCGATGGAAAATTCACCTTGTTATATTGAACAAGTTAAAAACTAAAAGAATAAATAATAAATAAAATAAATATAAGCAGAAAGGGAACAGATTACTGTTGAAGTAGACACGATGGAATTTCTCTTTTGTTGGTTCAAGAAACAAGCAGCAATGAATAGAAACGAATGGTCATGCCATTCGTTTTTATTGCGAGTTAACTAGAGGAAGCCAAGCTTAACATAATCTATCAACACGTCTGTCTTCTCCATTCAGACATGATGAAACCAATTTTAGTTTCTTAACTTTCTCTTGAGTTCTTAAACCAAATCGGGTTTCGGCGCATGTCTCCAATCTACCGATCTTTGACTCATACTTCGTCAAATAACCTATATTTGAGCTCATACAAACTCTCCCTCTCCCTCTCCCTCTCTGTTATTTATTTATTTACTTAACAAACCAAACAAACATTAAACTTAGCGAAGACCTTGTTACTCAACCGTAGCTTTGTTTACGTTACCTCTTTTTGGAATGAAGAACTTCAGAGTTTTTCAACCCCCAAGGGGCATAAGCTACTACTAGCAAGGGAAAGCGAAAGTCATACCAGTGTTCTTCTGATCATAACATTTTCCCTTTACCATACTTTCGCTTATTAAAAAAGTGCCTAAACAAGTACATTTTTTTCAAAAAGTGTACATTGCAGTGTGATAAATAGGCATTCTCAAGACTGTTGGTTAGGTCTGATCATATTAAAATTGTTTTTGTGAATAGAATCATCTGATTCAAGGTTCCAAAAAAATAGACTCAGTGTAAGTTTTCATTCATTTTCTGTCTTTGATTTCTTTCCTTTCCTCCCCCCAAACGGTTTCTACAGGGATCAAAGACTTTCGGGATTCCCTACTAGGTTTTCGGTTTATTTCGCTTTTTTTTCAGGGTATCATACTCTTCGTGGCTTTCATCTGTTGAAAAAAAATTCATCCTCCTTTGCTAGCAAATATGACTGAAGTTCCAAGCGACAAACGACAAGTACTCCAAACTACTTGGTCCAAAATATTCGCCGAGATTGAACAACCCGAGTTCAAATCTGCTTTTGATTCCGAACATCAAATGTATGTTAATTTTTTTGAACAATGTGCATTTGACGATTTTGACTTGACCCTCCTTCGTTTCTTAAAAGCCCGAAAGTTCAACGTCAACGATGCTTCTAGTATGCTTACCAACGCTATTCGCTGGAGACATCAAGTGGACTTACGTGGCATTATGTTGCGCGGCGAAAAGGGTTTAAATCAAGACTTTGTGAAAGCTTCTATGTACTTTATTTGGGGTCAAGACAGAGCTGGAAGGCCAATCGTTTTCTTGAACCTTCATAACTTCATCCCCCCTAAGGACGCACAAAATATGCAAGAACTTAAGGCGCTTATTCTTTATGCCATGGAAAATGCTCGTTTATTTTTGGACTCCGAACAAAACTCTTTAAAAGGCGTCTTGGGCTTAGTCGATTTAACCTATTTTTCTAGAAAAAACATTGACTTGGAATTTGCCAAGGTTTTTGCCGAGACCTTCCAAAACTATTATCCAGAAATTCTGGGCCAGGCCTTGGTTGTCGGTTCTGGTTTTCGAATGGCCTTGTTTGAAGGTGTTTGGAGTATTGGTAAATACTTTTTGGATGCAGAAGTGCGTAAAAAAATCACTTTCTGTAAACCTTATCAAGTCAAAGATTACCTTGACGATAAATACATCCCAATTTCTATGCAAGGCCAGTTTAATGAATCCAAAATTTATGATAATGCGCCTCCAGAACCTGCTGGCGTCGGCAGCAAAGAGCAATTTAAGACTTTGGATGACAAATATGTTGAAGCAGCTAAAGAATTCATTAGTGTTACTAGAGAATGGCTTTACGCCGCAGGGAAGCCCAACGAGAAAGATTTAGAACAAAAACGCAAGGAAGTCAAATCAAAATGCAAACAGCTTTGGCGTGAAGGCCTCTCTCTTCGTCCTCCTAACATTTATCAACGACTTGGTCTTATCGATTCTAAGGGTAAAGTCGACTGGTCAAGGGCTTAAGACTATTATTACCAGGGTAATCTCATCTAACTTTTCAGCTCTACCAGGTTCCTATTAAAATCCACAAACTTTATAGATTCCCTCACCAACGAACGTCGAATGCCTCCGACATCCTACTCAAAATTTCCACGCATGTATAACCTATAAATATGAAAGTGAAAATTTTGCATATTGTCATTCTGTACAACCAGTTTCGGTCATTTCGTCTACCTTGAAACAAAATACTTTACATGTATACAAAAAAAAATAAAACACTAGCCACATATGAGCGAGCATGCTAATTTAAGTAAATATATTACTGTATAGTGGGAAGCAAGTGGGGAATATACAACATTATAGCTTTCTTTTTAATTCATAGACGAAAAAGAGTGGTGATTTAATCACCAGATGATGGGTTCTCCGGTTCTAAATTTTCAGCGTCTTTCCAAACTTTAAACATGTGGCTTGCTAAAGTCAAGATAAAAATTAAAGGTAGATGTAGTAGACTTGCAAAGAATAATGAACGAGCATTTGTTTTCTGAGGATTTCTGTAAAATTGCCAGGCTTTTGCGATCAAATAAAAATTGGCGGCTGAAGCACCAACCATATACGAAGGATTGACAATTCCAGACCAGACGAAACCATAGCATAAAGGAAGGAAGAGCAAAGAATAACGTAGAGCAACTCGAGCATTCAAAGCAGGCCTCTTCCATGATGCCATTTGGTAGCCACACTGCTTATAATCATCAGCAACCATAGTCGAAAAAGCATTGAAGTGCGGAAATTGCCAAGCGTAGAGAATAGCGGCTGTAAAGAATGCACCAGAATGGGAAAGATCACCTCCAGAACAGGCAGCCCATCCCATTAAAGGAGGCATCGCACCTACAATTGATCCGACCCATGTATTGATAATTGAGATACGCTTTATGGGGGTATAAAATCCCATATATAGTACTATATTGGTCAAACCTAACCAACCAACAACGGGGTTTACTAGAAAAGACATGGAAGTGCCCAAAATTCCGGTGGTAGTAGCAAATAACCAACCATATTCAGGACGGACAGCACCACGGGGAATCGGACGCCCTCGGGTACGTGCCATCTGACAATCAAGGGTTGGTTCCATACATTGGTTGAACGCGTTCGCACTTACACTGCAAAGGGCAGTGCCCATGGTTAACCACACAAGAGTACCAAACGAGAGACCAGGATATGGAGCCAAGGCATAAGATGACATAGTTGTTAAGACAACCAAAACCGTTAACCTTGGTTTGCCAAGCTCCAGCAAAGCGCTTGGCTTGGGGAAGCGAGGAGCCGTTTGAATACGCTTCTGTAAAAAGTTCAAAATTTGAGGATCAGGTGAGCTTGGAGATGAAAAAGGTACAGAATTGTATTTAATATTCTTTTTTAAAAAAAAAGATCGGCTTAAAGGTCTGATAGAGACTACATTTTGACTAAAGAACCGTCTCCAGCTCGACCGCGCAGAAAAGCATGATTTGTACGGCCAATGGCTGAATGAATTCAACATAAATACGAAAAAGATGCAATTTTCTTTTTAATCAATTCCAGTTTATGTGGTTTGTCTCCTACCTCATAGCAGTTGGAGAATATATAAAGTAAAGGTGTTTAGTAGATGGAGAAATATGGGAGATTTGGTAGCTCACTGAAGACAATCTGTAGCGGGAATTAACGATTCATATTTTAGAAAATAAAAAGAATTCAAAGATGGAAAGATCATGCTAACTTTTTAGGGAAATGCTTCACAAACCCATTTGTCAAATCTCTATTTCTTAAAACTAGCCTGCTTATGAAGGGGAAGGGTTCCTGAAAAAAGCAAGAAATAAATCATTTGTACATAGCTATATATTTTTCTTAGACATCGAATGCCATAAACTACACTTGATTCGACTTTTATTTGGATGATTAGGCTCACCGTACAGTATTTCCTTGAACATATCGCAAGTAGTAGAAAGGATGGAATTCGATTGCATTTGAGGAATTGACCGATAAATCTGGTTGAAAAGACACAAGTCTCATTCCCTTTTTGGAACTCCACTATTAAATATTTTCAACAAGAATATTATTCGAAATGCCAGAGATCGTGCTCTAGAGGTTTCACAGAACAACCCCTTTTCATTCAATTGAAAACAAACTTACGAATTCACAATCCCACGAGCACCCATAGTTCCATGCTCTGCTACCCACGCTTTCCTTTCCATCATTGCAGATAGATTCGACCTGGTTTTCTTCCTACAAGTTCACCGAAGCATCAAGACAAATGGTCAATGCATTCCTTGGCTTACCACTTACCTCTTACAGATCTACTACTTTCATTCTCTGTTTACACCATGTTTACTCTTTTCCTACGTATTCTAAAAGTCACTACCCACTTTCTAGCATATGTTAAGCAAAAATTTTTTTAACCATTCTCCTACAACAAATGAAGCCGTCCAGATTAGATAAAAGTATCATAAGGAGCAGGATGAAGAGTGATGGGCTTGTTGTTGTCAGTAGCGACAACGTGAGCCTTGGCAGGAGGAGCAGGTTGACGACGGAGTTGGACAGTCTTACCTTGAGTCTTAGCCTCCTTACGCTTTTCCTCGTTGACCTTGACACGGTTCAAGAAATCTTGACGGCACTTGGAGTGCTTAACGTGTTCAATACGGACGTTGACACGCTTCTCCATGTAGCGGTTGCCAACAATCTTGTAGATCAAGACACCAACGGAAGATTGAGTAACGTTGTAGACAATACCGGTCTTACCATGGTAGTACTTGTGAGGCATACCCTTTTGGACGGCACCATTGGCTTTGATGTCGACAATGTCACCAACCTTGTAGGTCTTCAAGTAAGTGGACAAACGAATTTGACCATGCTCTCTGAAGCCACGTTGGAAAGTGTAACGGGTACGAGCTCTGAGACCGAATGAGTGAGGCATGTTGCGTCCTGTTGGAGGAAAATTATGGGTTGGTAATTTCCACCTTGTCTACCGAAAATGTTTGGTGTTGAAAAAAGCAGTCACAGAACCAAACCAAACTTTTATGCACAAAAACAACATTTGCGCAAATTCAGAATGAAAAATAAACAGAAAAATGCCGATATGAGGTTCACATTTACTTGCCAAATAGTATATTTTTTTCTCGCTAATTTCTAATTTCTTCTTTTCCAATGATGCACACTGGTTTATAAAACCTCTATAGTAGAGTAATTTGTTATAATATAATTCTACACGTCATAAAAGCATCCAAATGTCAAACACTATTCTGCTTTGAATAATAAAGACTGATTTGCAATACCTAAAACATGACTCTTGATTTTCCAAGAAAATAAACAAATTAAATTGTAACCAGTACCGTATCCTCTAAATAAAATTATATACTCAAATTATCAGATTTCATGATTAAACCCTCACAGAAGCTTTCTCTTAAACCTTCCGTAGTTTTAGAAAGCACTATGCTCTTATTTTAGCATATGCAGACGATCAGGATGAATACCGGACTGCGCACCTTCTTGAACGACGGACTCTTTCGAGTGTTTAGCTTCCATTGCCTTTTTCTCTTCGCCGGCAACACGCTCCCTACGTTCTTCAGTCCACTTCTTGTTCTTCTCCTTAATTTTATTCATTCGGGTCTCCTTCTTTCCTCCTCCACCAGCAGTTAACTCGATGTTAATCTTTCGATCTTTATAAAGTGTGTGGTGAAACTTGAGGGCCTTGGATATGACATCTGAGCGGGGATTAATATACTCTACAAATGCATATCCTCGTTGTCGACCTGTCCCCTTCTCTGTGGGAATTCGTACTTGAGGCGCCTGTCCAGCTCGCTTAAAATGCAATTGCAATGTTTCTACGTCCGAGTTTTTTGGCAAATTACCCACAAACAAAATGACTCGCTTTTCCTTTTTATCAGTCTTTTGTTTTTTAAGTTTTCCTTTGGGTGGCTCTGACTCTCCTTCTAATGGCCGCTTCTTTTCTTGCTTATCCTTTTCAGTTGTCTTGGCTTCAGAATTTTTAGTTGCTTCATCTTGAGCGTTTTTGTTCAATTTTTGCTCCTGAGCAACATTACGATCTTCTACCTCTTTTTCATGATCTTCGAGCGTCTTCGATTTCTTTGCAAACTTTTTCGATCGATACTCTAAAGATTTTAACTTCTTTTTAGATACCTTAGATGACATGGTTCCAGTAAAAAACTCATTTTCTATTGCTCTCAGTTCCACCTGGTCCAGTTTCAGTTCGTTAAAATACACTAAGTATAATAACGAGAACGACGATCAACCGTGCAAAACCAAAACCAAAAATCATACAATTAGATTTGTAAAAGTAAAAGCTTCCTGTTTTAATTTATTTGAGTTTTCTCACAAATCACCTTCAAGAATAGTAACATTCTCTGTACCGGTTGGCTTCTCTGTCTTTAAGTCCCGCTGGGGGCTGTCGTCCTTTTTCGAGACATCCTGTTGACTAGGAGCAGAATCTAATGTACTGTTGGAAGGAAAAGATGGTCCTGCAGGTCGTTTCCTCTTTGCTGTCCCATCTCCATACTTTTCCAAGATGCTCTGTTCAATTTGTTTTTGATTAACAGCTTTCGACTGACGATTCTTCCGATACTCCAACTCACCAGCCGTTGGATTAGCCACTACATGCACACGATTTCCACTTCGTTCAGCTTCCCACGCAAACGTCTGTAGTTTCTCAAAGTCTTCCTTATCTCCTCCGGAAGCTTTGATGAAACCAGATCCATTTGTGGAATCGCTCAAAAGATGAGACCCTGTAGTATCCCGCATCGATCTTGACTTTGGTTCGTACTGAAGACCTTTATTATCAGTACGTAAATAACCGACTACATCTTCACGCATACGCAAACTGGGCGTTGTTACTCCAGAGTCTGCACCACCGTTAGATTCTTCTTTATTTGTAGATGACGGCGTATCTTTTCCGAAGTTATCAGTACCTTCCGTTTGTCTCTCTGTGCTATTATGCATCTGCTGTAAAGCATCCATCTTTTCATATCGTTCAATCACCTTTTTATAGTCACTAGCATCAAAACCATTCCACCGGTCACGTTTGGCGTCCCAACTAACATCAACCTCTTGTATAACTTCATCTGCTTGGATATCCTTTCCAGTCCAGCGGGCTCCACGCTTTCGCGGACGCTCCATGCAATCTTTTAATTTATGGCTCATGGCACCGCAGTTCTCACAAGCGCCTTTCCTGTATTTGGTTGCAGCAGGTCCTGCTCTTTTACCACGAGCGTACCAAGATTCCTCAATAGAAGAGCGGCCACCACTGGGTGGTTCTTTCTTTCCTAGTCGTTGATGCGCTAACCTTTCCACAGCTTGCTCATCTTGCGCGTACCAAGGAGCTGTCGAAATGAATTTAGGAATATATGGATTGTCAGCACCTGGATTCTCCATTGGCCTACTGCGTCGATTTTGTACTTTCAACTCCCGCATGGAGGGTCCAATGTCGGTCGACATAAAGTTATTATCTTTGGAGTAATCATAATTGGATTGAAATGTGTTGTTCATGTAAGACATGACGGATGCCTGATAAAATAAATAAGAATATCTGCTTCGTAAGGATTCGTTTATAGTCTATTTAACCGGACAGTAGCCTGCGCTCAATAAACATATAGGCGCTTAAATATCCTTTCACTTCCAGATTCTCTACTAATCAGAGAGAGCTGTTTAAATAATAAATTGAGGAAATAAAGCGACTTTGGTCCCTCAATGGCTCAACTTTCCTATTTTCACTTGGGTGTACGGTTTTGTTAAGTGCTTAATACCATACACATAGCATTATAATAATTACACTGTGGTTCCTCCTTAATATGATATGTACATATGAAACCTTTCTAATAACCTTCGAAACATAATAAAAACAATAAAGAAAATAAATAAGAAACGTATATCGACCTAAATCTATAATCCAGGAAATGTTCCAGGACTTTAATTTTAAACTATTATCGCACGTATTCGTTAAACATAAATAAATAGCCACGGATTATGTATGAATAACGACGTCTTACAAAGTCGGTGGACCGCGCATGAAGCGAGGAGACACCGCGGATGGATTACTGTATACACCATAAAACTTTTGACCGATATACACCTCAGTCCTTTTCACTTGGAAAAAACAAAGGAATCACAAGATGTCTGATTCACCAGCTTCGAATGTATCTAATATTGATAATGGAGCAATGACTCCCACTGGCGGCGAGACTTCTCAACAAGATGTCAAACCTTCGACTGAACACATTAATCTCAAAGTTGTAGGACAGGTAAGATTAATTTTGAGAGTAGAATTCTGAGCATTCGGGAGATCATAATATTCGTCTATGGTGTTCTAATTTCCGCTTTCTTTCAAAATCTTTGAGTTAAACGAACAAGAACAATAGAGGCTAACGCAGTAATGACTTTAGGACAACAATGAGGTTTTTTTTAAAATAAAAAAAACAACCGAGTTTAGCAAGCTTATGAAAATTTACTGTGCTCGTCAAGGTAAAACTTTGAATAGTTTGCGCTTCTTGGTCGACGGTGAGCGTATTAGACCTGACCAAACTCCAGCAGAGGTATGTATAAATGAACCATTCTTTCTATTGAATATGAATCTTACTTTGAATAGCTTGATATGGAGGATGGTGACCAAATTGAAGCTGTACTTGAGCAACTAGGCGGCAGCAATTAAGTCAAAAATCCGAGCAGTAGTGATCATTAGTCTGGCTTGGTTATGATAAAAATTAAAATATTGGGATGAAGTGATGTGGCTTCTTTCATGCTACGATACATTTATCTGGGTTTCGCTAGTTCTTATGTGAAGCACAGATGCTCTCAGGAAAGAATTGTTTAATAAAATGACGATTTTAAGATTATATGTCTATATGTTCTATGGTCGCAAACCAATCAGTATGAATTCCTTTTGCAAACTTATATACCTTGGCTCAATTTCTGGCCAAGAGATCAATTTGACTTTGGTAAAGCTGTCGCATCTCTTTTATATCCAGCTCAAGCTCAAAGACTCGGTCGCTTCGTTGCTTTAAGGTAGTTTGCGTTTCTACGTGTTTCTTTTGAAGATTTGTGTATAGCTCACGTAGCTCAATAAGTTCTCGTTCTGACGCTTCTTTCGTTTCTCGATCCACATACGAATTTACAATTTCTTGGCGTGCTTGATCGCGTTGATTAATGAGCTGTACAATCTGCTGTTTTGTAGTCTGTAATTCTGCCTCTAAGCGGCGAATCGTCGATGATAGTTGTTCCAGAAGACTCATATCTGGGCCAGTGTTATTCGCTGGCTTTTCGCCATTACTTGGCGTATATGACAAAGAAGACAAAGCGTCAAAGTCATGTGAGGCTGACATGGGAGACATAACCATGCTATTCATTGAAGCGAACCTTGATGAGGACTGTCTTCCCATCCTTTTACCTTCTGACACAGTTCGCGGCAGTCGGGGTGCTTTTGGTTCTGTAGGAGAGATCGCAAGCGTATCTAAGTAGTTTTCCAAAACTTCTTGCTTTGTAACTTCTGAGTCCTGAATAAAATCATCTTTTGGAAAAAACCCGCTCTCTTCATTCAAGTTCTCCTCCTTAAGCTCCAAAGACGGCGATCGATTTCGATTCAAATTAGACGAAGTTGTGTTTATATCTGAACGGGAATCGATATTTTGCTTCTCCTTATCTATGTCGTTCCAATTATTTGCCAGATTAGGTTTAGAAACATTTGTAGGAGTATGTTCATTATCGTCATCATCATTAGCGTAAAATCCGTCATCTTCATTGGTATAGTTAGTATCAAGAGTCTCAGATGTATCCGGGAATGTCTCAGTAGGTGCTTTGACCGCAGTAGATTCTAGTTCTTGTTGTAAGAGTTGAATCTTTAATTGATACTCTTGCCGAATATCAGAGTTAGATTTTAATAAATTCTCGATTTCATCCTTCTGAGATTTCAATTGTTTTTTGTAATCTTCTTCTTTTTCTGTAAACCCAGAAAGCTTTTCGTTGGCAGTCTTGGACTCTTCTTGAGCGGCTTGAGCCAGTTTGCGGTTATTTTCGTTTAAAAATTCTACTTCAGCTTTAAGCTTCTCTTCAGAGCGAAGCCATTGGCTTTTTTGAATAGACTGTTGAGTCGATAATGTCTCAACTTGTCGTGTTAAACGGACAACTTCCATGCTATCTACCGTAGCTTCTTCAACTTTGCGCTTTAATAACTCGTTTTCTTTTTCAAGAAGAACAATTCGATTCTCATAATCATTTTTGATAGATCCCAGTCGTTCTTGAACGTTAACTTCTGAATCATCATTTGTATCGGATGTCTCTCTCGACTTTGCAACTTCCAGTCTCTTCAATTTTGATTCAGCTTCATTCAAATTCTTCCTTAAATTCTTAATTGTGTTATTCAACTTTAATTCATGTTTGGATAAAGCATGTCCTTCTTCAACCAATTTACGAATAACCTCGTCTTTAGACTTCGGTGCCTCAGAACTTCCTCCTTCATGGCTAGGAACCTCTAAAACTTTGTCAAGGCTTGATTCAACGTTTGTCAACGTCTTTTTAAAAAAATCTCCCCATTTTGAGCCTTCCATAATATAATTTAGTCTTGGAAGACCTCAATTGGCTCTAGGAAAATAGTGTGGAAGGTCCCTGGTCAACAGCGAGAGCATATTGGGAATGAAAAACTAAAACAGTTACACTTTGGTTTAATTGCAAGAAATAATATACTTCAGTTGTTTACTGAATTTATTAGTTTGATTCATAAATAGTCTCAGAACCCTTAGAAAGCAATGGAATTCTTTATAGATATTTATAGACGGCAGTATAAAGCCTTTAAATATACTTGATTTAATAAAGTGATTTATTCATCTCGGCATGAAAAGCAACATAGCTTCGTTTGCACCATTTTGCGTATCCAGCGACATGGTGCATTTTCAGCCACCAAGCCTTTTTCCACGGCCTTTGAAAGCAGTCGAAGATCTCTCACTGGTGGTACTATGATTACTAGGTGCATGAACAGAAAACCCCGAGTTTGGTTGAAGAGAACCCAACTTAGAAACAATAAGGCCAGCTAAAATGCCAAAACCGGATACAATTAAGGCACCTAGGCCACCGGAAATAAGACTCATTCCAAGTAAGCAATAGGGAAGATACTTTCCTGGAAGCTGAAATACGAAAAACACTTGTACCGTCTGATAGGCATTGTACAATGACCATGTATAAGCCATTGCACAGGAAAGAGAAGAGAAAAGGAATGAACCTATTCCAGAGAGTAAACTAAAAGTCTAGTTCAAAGACATTAGCATAAAGCAAACCAGCAGACTGACTCAGTCATTTGCTTACGTCTATGATGAGGATTATTTTTAATAAATAAATTATGTAGCTTTTTGTATTTCTTTGAAAAACATGGTTTTCAAGGAACGATCCATGCTGATAAACTAAAGCAATTACCATTAGCAACAATTTCAGGAAAATAAGTCCAAAGCACTTCCGAACGTACGGGAATACAAATTAAAAACGAAATCGAATTTTGTTCCCACAAAGAGGAAGTTACTGATGAGTCTATAGAGCTCACGTTTGTAAAAAACAGAATGGAAGCTTAATGCATATTGACTCAGTGAAAGAAGCTCACACAAACATAGGACTGTTAATGTAATCATGCTAATTAATGCATATCTTGTTACTGGAGGAATTCTTTCCAAAAGCTGCTGAACCTGATTTATGAATTCGGATGCCATTTCTGAATTGTTGGTTCACGAATAGATTGAGCGCTCGATGAATTTGGACAACGCGTCCGGAATATAGACAGTTGGTGGATACAACTAACTGTGAATACTCTGATTATAATAAAGTAAGTTCGCTTAATTTATTTCACAGCAACAAGTTTCCTCCTAACATTCCACATTGCTTGTCATACAAGGCATTATACGTATCCAAGTATCTGTTCATCTTTTTGAATTTCATTATTAACTTGTTGACATAAATAATCGTTATATCAACCACTACTACTGTACATTAATCTAAAGAATAAATATAAACCCTAAGCTACCAGTTGCAAACAAAAGAGACGTTTAAAAAATGTCCTGTACATCCTTAAGTAGAAACATGTCTTCGCTTCTCTCGTGCAGTCTCTTGTATAATGATTTCTTCCATTGCTGACCGGGGACGTTTGGTATCAGCATCTTTTTGTTTTCTATTTGCAGAAGGCTCTAATGTCTTTTTTCGAGACTTGTCCAACGTTGCAAACACATTTTTTGATCTCGGTTTAGAAGGCACTGAAAAAAGCGGTTTTGACGAGGAGCTTGTAGGAGCTGCTAGTTTTGGAGAGAGGGAGGAAGTATCCGACAAATTATTTTCCGAAAAAGGCTTTTCATTCGTAGAAGGGGTAGATGAAGACAATTGTAGTTGAACGCCTTGGTTTTCAGGTCGTTGTAGTTCATGACTTATAGATTTGTTCTCTTCGTCTGCATGTTGCATAGTGTAAGCTTCCTTTGCTCGTTGAATTTGTTCGTTTAATAATCGTAAATGAGTCTCCTCATCAGACTTTTCTTGAAGTTCTCTCTTTCGATTAGCTTCAGCTCGACGAAGAGCCTCTGGATTTTTATCTATATAGGAAATAAAAAACCCTTTTTCCGTTTCTTCCACACGACAAATGCTCTGTCGACCCAAAAACTTGCAGAACTCTGTTAGAGTATGCCAGCGAGTCGCGTTCATATGTACATGTTGCTTATCTCGAATATACTCTTGATAAAATTTATTAAATTGAACTTTTTTCTCTCCATGAGCGGTCCGGAGAAGCGTAACGAAATCCCGCAAAAATTGGTTGGAAAAATCTTGAATGTGTTTGCCGGGATTCTCAGCAATTAAAGTCATCCTTCGAATATGACCTTCACTTTGCGTATGGCATTTGAATCCATTCTCATCTCTCATTTGTTTCTGGCAAGCAGAACAATACCAGCGTAAACGCTGCAATCCTTTGCTTTTAAGAGCATTCGATATAGCCTTTGGGGTACCAGCTTCAGCTCGTCCCATAATAATTATTGAGACTTGAAAGATTCAAATTGTAATTATAAAAACTCCGATTAATTGATTACAGATGTTATAGACGTTCAATCTTATGAGACTCAGTTTGCTACTATTTGTCAGTTTTTATCGAAAAAAAAAGCCTCTCTGACTTGTTAAATGCGTTTTCAATTCCTTTAAATAGTATTAACAAGTCAATTCACACTTTTCGTCACAAAGTGCAGAAGAATGGCTAACGGCAACTACTGTGCATGCAATTCGAGAAGTCGATTCTTCTCACCAACGAAGTGCATGAACGTGAAAGCAGCGTTTCATTACAAGATTCCAAATATCTCTAACTACTAAAACTCATTTTTATATTTAGATTTTTTTAATTCTACTTTCTGAGCTCGTCAACCCAATTGCCTGTACTTTTTCCAGATTCATTTAATTTGCACCATCAAAAAGGCTTGTCTGACTTTCTTTTGTCGTTTGTTTTCCAGTTAATTAATTATCTCAAAATTTTGGTATTGGATCTCACATACAGATTGTTTTATAGACTTACGAACTATCTTGTTCTCACTCACTGTACCCAATAGCTAAGGCAAAAGTGTACTGTTCAATTTGCTGATTATTGATATTTGACCTTGTCTATCGAACAATAATCTCTGGTTACGCCTTTTGATAAACTCTCCTTTGAGCACTTACTAATTTTGGTAATGTATCAAGGGTTTATCGGATGAATCAGTGCTTGTAATCTTTTAAATACATTTTCTGATTTCATTACTTTTTTTGCCTTAATTTCAGAATGACTGGCATATTTCATGTTATTCGTGATCCTACGTTTCCTGGACATACGCCAGCGTTCAGCAACGTATCTAACGAAATTCCCATAGTAATCGATAATGGTAAGTTATAACATTTTCGTTTGGTGTTAAATATTGAGAATTCTTTTTGATGGTTTATCAGAAAGAGCTCTTTCAGGGAAACACTTTAGCGAAGCAAATTTGAGCTTCATTTTGCCCTCACTTAACTTATTTTTGATTGATACTAAGACTGTTTCTAGGATCTTGGCAACTTCGCGCTGGATGGGGAGGAGAAAAGGAACCTCGGCTGAAATTCGACAATCTAATGTCTAGATACAGAGACAGAAAGCTTTCCAGGACTTCCACACTTGTGGGAAATGATACTTTGGTTGAAGTTGGTGCCCGTTCTATTGCACGCTCTCCTTTCGAGCAAAATGTTATCAATAACTGGGATGTGATGGAAAGTGTACTTGATTATACCTTCTTAAAACTTGGAATTGATCATCAAGATCATCCTGTTTGCATGACTGAATCCTTTATGAACCCCTCTTATAGCCGCTCCACGATGACTGAACTACTGTTTGAGTTATATCAGGTCCCTTCGGTTGCATATGGCGTAGATGGTCTTTTTTCCTTTTACCATAATGCAGGTAAGGATTCTAGTGGTATAGCTCTAAACCTTGGATATTCTACTTCTCATATTCTGCCTATCTTGGATGGCCAGAAACTTGCCCACGAAGCCAAACGTATTTCCTGGGGTGGTGCTTCCTCATCATCTTATTTGCTCCGTCTTTTCCAAATGAAATATCCATTTTTCCCTATCAAAATGCTTCCTTCTCAGGCTCAATCTCTTATGCATAACTATTGTCGAATTTCTCCTGATTATAATACTGAGGTTGCTCACGCGCTAGACAAGGATATTTTAGCCCGAGAGGACGTTGTTTTGCAATTTCCTTACGCCGAAGCAGTAGCGCAAGAAAAATCGCAGGAGGAACTTGAACAGATTGCTGAAAGAAAGAGAGAAAGTGGGCGAAGACTCCAGGCTCAAGCTGCTATTAAAAGAAAAGAAAAAGCTGCTGAGCGCGAAAAAGAGCTCAAAACACTTCGACGCTTACAGGAACAAAGTGGTGTTCTTTCGAAACGAGAGTATCAAAAAGCTTTACAAGAAGCTGGGTTTTCTGACGAAGCTCAATTGAATGCCCAATTGAAGAACGTGCAATCTAGAATTCGCAGGGCAGAAAGAGATGCTTTACGTCAACAGCAACATCAACAAGATGATTCTGAAGCTGATCTCGCAGATATTGATGTAGAGCAAGCATTCCCTTTGGTAAATGTCCCTGATTCTGAATTAGATGAAGCTGGACTTCGTCAAAAACGAAATCAGAAGCTTTTGAAGGCAAATTATGATGCCAGGATGCGTGCAAAAGCCGATAAGGCAGTTGAAGAGGCGGTTTTGCAAGAAAAACAAGAAGCTGATGAGCATTTACGAAAGGAAAGTTTTTCAGTCTGGGTCAAGCAAAAGCGTGAATTACACAAACATCTTTTGGATAAAATTCAGGAAAATCGAAGGCTGAAATTCGAGCTTAACGATCGCAAATCACACACTTCACAAATGAGAATGAAAAGTCTCGCTACATTAGCCAGTGAACCTATTCAAAAAAGGCGACGAAAAGGACAGTCAGAAGATACCTTTGGCGCTAGTGATGAAGACTGGAAAGTATACCATGACGTTCTAAATGCTGAGCAGTTAGAAGAAGAGGGAAAGCGTTTCGTGGAGGAAATTTATGCATTAGAAAAACAACTTTTAGAATACGATCCTTTATTTCAACCGGAAAATACATATGATGCCCTTACTGATCCCCGAAGTACTTTGCTCTATGCGTTTACACGAGGAGTCAGTCCCTTTGATCCAGAGAGCGTTGCTCATTCGTTTCAGCTTCATTTTAACGTAGAACGCCTGCGAGTTCCAGAAGTTCTTTTCACTCCTAGCATTGTTGGCTTAGATCAAGCTGGAATAGTTGAGATTGTTCGCGGCATTTTACAAAGACATAACTCGGAAGAACAGAATAAACTCGTCAAAAATATTGTTGTAACTGGAGGTCTCTCAAAATTTCCTGGAATTGTTGAGCGTATTGAAAGAGATTTAACGAGTGTCCTACCAGTCAATTCCCCATTGAATGTATATAGTGCATCCGATCCCCTGCTAGATGCATGGAAAGGAGCCTCTGAATGGAGCGTTACAGAAGAATTCAAGAACGTGTCTATATCTCGAGCTGAATATCAAGAAAAAGGACCTGACTACTTGAAAGAGCATGCATTTGGTAATCCTCTCCCTTAAATGTGATTCAAATTCTCTCATGAATGAAAATATATATTACATATAATATGATAGAAAGTTACTAATATATTTAACATAAACGGGGTTCTTTCAACAATACTTTTATACTATAAGAAGTGAAGTGTACATAAGAAGAATTCCAGTCATTATAAACATTTCACTATTTGTATTTGTATTTGTATTTAATTTTTATCAATTTTTAACAAAAAAGAGAGAAAGTAAGGCTTTAAATTCGTGAATATTTGAGGCTTTTGCTGGACACATTTCTGGAAGTGAAACTTCCTGGTCTCTACTATATGCTACGATGGCTACGTCCTTAGCAGTTAAGGATGATTTAGAGCCGCAAAACCAAGAAAATGGCTTAAAAGAAAACTCTACAGTCTCGCCTGCACCTTCGGTCAGCTCTTCATCGAAGAAGAAGAAAAAAAACAAGAAGAAGAAGAAAACAGTGACTACCGAAGCCAACGGTGAACACCAAGAAAATAAAGTCTTAGAAGATGAAAAAGATTCTTTAATTTCAGAATTACAGTTAAAGAACAAGGACTTCTCTGAGGAAATTGAAGCTCTAAGGAAAACGCTTGCAGAAACGAAATTAAATAATGTAGATGCTGATGAATCGAAAGGTCTCTTGTCAAAAGAAATGGAGAGTTTGAGAAAAGAAATTAAATACTTGAAAGAAACTAATGATGCTAAATCGGAGGAAACTTCTAGGATTCAAGAAGAGAACCAAAACTTACAGGAGATGTTACGAAATGTAGGAAATGAATTAGTCGATTCTCGTGACGAAGTTAAAGAATTAATACAAAAAATACAAGTTTTGGATAGAAAGGATGAGACTCTTGTACAACTTTCGGAAGTTAAAAGCAATGAGATTACACCGAAAGTACTTTTGAGTGCAGGTGAATCAAAAGCAGAACACTTAAATGGTCTCTCGAAAGAGGTTATTGACAAGGAATATGCAAGGAATGTTTTGATTCAATTTTTAGAGAATCAAGAACACCGTGACCAGATACTTCCTATCTTAGCAATTGCTTTGGATTTAGATGATATTCATCAGCAGATTCTTTTGAAAAGTGTCAATTAATGATGCTGAATTGGATCCATAGTAATTCTATCTTTACTTCGCTGCTTTGGTTTTTCCTTAGATTAATTTCATTCATAATATTTCCTTCTAAACTGAGTTTTGATCAGGTTAGAAATTATATATATTAATTCACTATACATCATACAAAAACTTAACAAAAAAAGCAAGATTATGGTGGGACTTAAACAAAACCAATTAAGCTGTTTGGAACTTTTTGGCATTTGACTCCACATAGTCTGAGGCGGATGTAGCGTACTTAGAAGCCATTTTCGGTAAATCTTTTTTTGCTTTAACAATGTCTTCTTCAAGCTTTTTCTCAGGAGTAGGACGCTTTCCAAACCCTAAATAACTGGCTGCACGTTGCAAAAATCCAAATATACCTTGGGTTTGTCCTTCACTTAGAACAGGTCCATAAAACAACAAGTCGTGATGTTTTAATTTCTCAATAGCATCACGGCGATTAAAAGGCTTTGCTGGTGGCTCTCCGTATTCAGACAAAGCAGACTTCAAATCCTCATTTGACCAGTCAGTATATTCGGAAAGGGAAGCTTTTGGGAACTTCTTCTGGGCCTTCTTAAGAACGGACTTATCGCCTTGATTTGTAAGGGAACGATAAATATTGCAAGCATTCTGAACCAAATGCTCGCGATCCTTAGAAGGATGAAGCTTGCCATGGTAGTATTTCTTGTAATCTTGGATCCAATTATTTAATTCCTTTGAGCTAAGCGTGTTGAAGTACACCGCCCAGTGAGGAATAGTTCCTTTGTTGAAATGTTTACGAACTTTGTCTATCAATTGTTGCTTGTTGCTCTTCTTTGGGACGGGTACACCACGCAAATAGAGGAATTCGCGCAGCTTAGAGTCCTTCCACTTTTCTAGCACGGTTTCATCAACCAATTCGCGAGCTTTCGAAGAAGCAGCTTCCTTTTGGGCTTTGGCTATTTCGGAACCTTGTTCAAATTTATCAGATGCGTAAGAAGAAACACCCGAAGCCTTATGCTTTAAATCCCCAGTTTTCGAAGAAACAACATGTGCATTTGAGCTTCCTGCGCCTTTAATCTCATCTTTGAGTTGGCCAGCGTTTGAAGAAGCAGCGTGGAATGCATCGGTCGCTGCCGTAGAAGCATCAGAAGCGGCACCTGAAGCAGTGTCAGTGACAGAAGATGCATGCTCCTTTGTCTTTTCTTTCAAAGCTTTGTATCCGTTCGTCCTAAGGTAGTATTGGCGACGAGCCATTGCCCATAGTTTATCAAGAGCAGATGGTTGATAAGCAGGAATGCCGCGAGCGTCCAAATATGCTTTTAATCCAGATTCAGACCACCAAGTAGCGATGCGGCCTTTGCCCTTTGAAGCTTCATGAAGCCTGTCAGCCTCTTCTTGTAAGCTTTCACTAGCCCTCTCGCCGGTTTCAGTGATTTTACCAGAGGCATAATCCACAGAGTCTTCGGCTTTCTCACTAACTTTGTCAACATAATGACCAGCTTTGCCGGCTTTCTTTGTGGCATCCTTTTTGGTGGATTCAATGATGGGCTTGCCAGAATCTAACTTTTCAGACACTGTCTTTTTGACCTTATCGAGAATATGATGACGGGACTCATGAGCCTGAATCGGAACCCCCATATTGTGAAGCCAGGTACGAAGCTCATTGTCAGACCAGGTATCGTATACCCAATCGCCAGTTTCACCTAGTTTGGAACCCAACCGCTTATACTCCTTAACGGCGAGCTTACGAAGAGAAGCAGGAGAGAGCTTCTCAAGCAAGCCTTTCTTCTCTTTAGGAGCAAATGCGTCACTGTAACGAGCTAAGAAAGCACGAAGTTGAGAGTCGTTCCAAGCATCAAAAAAGCGAGATTTCTGGTCCTCCCACACATCAGAAGTGGTATCTTTTGCATCAGAAGCCGCGTCTCCTATTTTGTGGCTAGCTTGATTGATCTTGTGTTTGGCTGTGCCAAAATACGAAGGGTTGGTTTTTTTACCGAGCCAGCTGGATCGTTGAAAATCATTTACACTTTTAAAGCTTGGAATCAAAGACTCATAATGCTCGACGAGAAAGTCCCTAAACTCAGCAGGACTCGATCGAGTACCGTATGGCACGGAATGTTCATCGAGCCAGGTTTTGATTGCAGAGACATCCTGATTTTTGTATGTGGAGAATCCATAAAAGCAAAAATACAGCCCAACTGCCGCAAGGGTGTTGATCAAAAATAATTGTTGGACCCGCATAATGCGAAGTTATGCAATAAGAGAACACAAATAAAATTGGTAAATGAAGAATGAAAGGATAATAGGGAGAACCTTAATGAAATTATGGAATTGTAAAGGGAATTAGCTCAATACTCTTTTTGATGAAAGTGTAAAAGGTGTCCAATCTTGAATCAGCACCTAGGACAAGTAAACAAGTCAAATGCTAAGGATCAATCTTACAATTTCAATCAATTCTTATTATGAGAGAAGTAGTAATGGAAATATTATGCAAGCAACAAGAAAGGAGACTCAAACTCGAAATCTTCAAGGTGATAATCGTGACCTGGGAAATTTACGTTAACAAGTGAATCCAATTCTTAAATGTTGTCTTTGGTAAGAAGAAGATCATAGGGATTATACTACATATATATATACGCCTTTGAAACATTGCATCAATGTAAGTGAACTGACGTAAAGCATCATCTTTGCTCTACGTGCAATTTCACAAGGCAAATATGTTTTAGCTGTGTAATTGCATTCATGACATAAACTAAATGTAAAAACACACTTAAAGCGAGAATCGCCATATGCCTCCCATTGAACAATTGCATAGAAGTAATATAATAACTTAAGTCGATATTATTCTCTTGAGATGTATAGACAACGATATAGGATTAGTAGTAATATAGAACACTAATGAATTTAAATAACTTAGGCGTTTTTAAATGCTACAACTGGTTTAAGTAGGATGCTAAAGGTCTGCTGTGTTTAGATTTGCAAAAAAGGATTTTACATTAGAAAAATATAGCTTCATCAGAGAAGGGTTTAGTGATTGGCATTCCAAGAAAGAAAAAAAAAGTTAAAGTAAAAAAACTTCATTGCATTCATTTTTATATTCTGAGGATACAAGGTTCCTAATATGATTTCTACGATGAATAAGAAAGACTCTTGTCAACATAAACATAGCTGTATAAACACACGAACGTATCGATGACAGTAGCTGTTTAGGATTGAGAATGTGATATGGGATAAACAAAAAAGGGGCAATAGTTTTCTCTTGAGGACAAAAGAAAAGGGGGAGAAAAGAGTGACAACAACCTTCTTTAATTCATTCTCAACTCTGATATTCGAAACAAAACAAAGAGCGTTAAACTGACTCCTTTGTCTTCTTCGCCTGTTCTCCATTACTGTTTTCGCCTTCCTTAGGGATTGCGGCTACTATATGATCCTTGAGTTGGCTCGCCGATTCGTTGTCTTTGACACGTACTGCGTACAAAACAGACTTTCCATTTTCAATGACAAAAACCTTTACATAGTTTGCAGAACCACCGCTGGATGCCGACGCAATCTGGAAAGCTTGCTCAGACATTCCTTGAAACAAAGGAACGTTCATAATGACTCGATGAACCGCATCATTTCGCATTACTAAGCGGTGGACTCCTTCTGATCCTTCCAGAGGAACGTTGACCTTTAAAACTCCATGGCCTCGCTCTTTCCAAATCCTCTTTTCTCCGTCAACGACATATAAACGAGCACGGATACTATAAAGGGTCTTTTCCTTTTCCTCGCCAGTTATCATTTCATTTTCACTTAACTGGCTAATTTGTATACCACTTTTTTCTACTGAATCTTCTGTTGCGGCTTCCTTAGCAGCTGATGGATCCTCACTAGATTCAGGAGTTGCAGCAGATTCGTTGGGAATTGCATTTGTTAATAACTCATCAAAGCTTTTCTTTTCTTGTTCTTGCTTTCTATGCTTGTCATCTTCGGCGTCATTGCTTTCCTGTTTTGTGCTTGCTAATATTTCGTTCATACTGAGATTTGCATACTTAGCACCGAATGCGGGCACTTTCGAAGGAGTAGTATCTTCTTTTCTTTCTGGTGATTGTGAAGTCGCTATAGATGCGAAAGGAGAAGAGGATGAACTGGAAAAGGACGCAAACTTGGAGAAACTAGGAAGCTTAGCACTTGGTTTTGATGATGGTTCTGCTTTTTCCTGACTTTCATTTCTTGGTTCCTCTCCTGAAACAGGTTTTCCTTCGGATTTTGAGGTACTTGTTTCAGCCCCAGACTCGTCTTCTGTTTGAGTAGACGGTTTTTTGGTTGGAGATGTGTCATCAATCTTTTTCTAAACGACATATTAGTTTTCATTCGTTCCGCGCCCTTAAATAATATAATCAAAATGCACCAAAAGTAATTGTACCGCTAATACTTACCAAATCTTTTTTCTCTTTTTGGCTGTCCACTTCCTCAACATTTTCTTCATTCTTTTCTTCTACAGTTGTTTCTTTTGGTTTCTTCTCGGGTATTTCCGCGTTTTCTTCATTAAATTCATGCTTACGTTTCGTTGCCATATTATCCTCGGTTTTGGAAGCTTCAATGCTTTTTTCTTCCACCTGCTTTTTGTTTTCTTCTTCTATATTCTCTTTTTCCGGCATGACAGGCAGATATAGCTAATAGTACCCTTTTATGTAATGTCAACAGTGTTGGTATTCTGTGTGCATGGATGGATACCTTGTGCGCAATTCTTATGTAGGGTTTACCGTGTATATTACAAGAAAACCACTTGGTAAAAAATTCTTCGAAATAATTTAAATAAAGAATTTAATACGCCTTTAATCGGTTTCTACATAATGCTTTGTCGGTAACTAGGGTAATTTGACCTTTCTTTTATTTCCTTTCATTATTGCAAGTACAAAGATAATATTTAGGAAAATAAAGGAAATAAAAAGAAAATAGAAAAGAATAACTAAATTACGTTCCGAAACATGGCCACAACCAATAATTTATTAAAAGAGAGGATCGTAAATTAACAGCATGCACAAGTTTTCTGAAAAAGAAGGAAAATAGCTCAATGGATAGTTAGAAAGAAAAAAAAAGGACACAATACTTTGTACATCATGTCAAAACGAGTGTAGGTCACGTACTTTAATCAGACAGGAAATTTTCAGTAAAACTTATGAACCCCAAGACTAATTCGTGAATTAAATAATTAATAGTATAAACAGGAGCGAAAAAAAAAACGAAAAAGCGAAAATTAAAACAAACAAGCTGAGAGCAAATTCCAATTACGACCTTTTCTTTTGTTTGTTATAGTAATACAGGCTAGAATTATTTTAAATTGGCATCAGAATTAGCCTTGTAAAAGTCAAAGCCATAAGGATGCTTACGTTGCCAATTCCAGACGTCAGCACATATTTCATCAATACTTCGATTGGTCTTCCATTTGAGTTCTTCATTAGCGCGCTTTGGATCAGCAGTCAAGTTAACAACGTCGCCATCACGTCTAGGGTCAATCTTGTAAGGAAGTTCCGTTCCGACAGCCTTGGAAAAAGCACGATGGATTTGCAAAACCGTACTGCCAGTACCAGAACCCAAATTCCAAGCACGGCATCCAACATAATTTCGTTGTAAATAGGCTAAAGAAGCAACATGAGCTTCTGCAAGATCGCAGACGTGAATATAATCACGAATAGGAGTTCCATCGGGAGTCGGATAATCATTACCAAAGACACTCAAATATTCCCGACGGCCGACAGCAACTTGCGCAATATAAGGAATGAGATTGTTTGGGACGCCCAAAGGATCTTCACCCAATTCACCAGTTGGATGAGCACCACCTGGATTGAAGTAGCGAAGAAGCGCGGCGTTTAATGATCCGGAAGCTTTGCACTCGTCCTCAATGAGGTTTTCAATGAAAAGCTTGGTTTTTCCATAGGGATTGGCAGCCTCACGAGGACATGACTCAGGAATGGGAATGGTTCCACCAGGACGAGTAGGATCACCATAAACGGTTGCGGACGAAGAAAACACAAAATCTGTAACATTATGTCTTTTCATGCATTCCAGCAAGTGAACAGTGCCAGTAATGTTGTTTTTGTAATAGGTAAGGGGGATTTTTACTGACTCACCCACTGCCTTTAATCCTGCAAAATGGATTACAGAGGAGACTGGGTGTTTTGAAAACACCTCGTCCAAATCTTTCTCATTCAATAAATCAACCCTATAAAATATAAGGTCTTTCCCTGACAACTTTTGGATTCGCTTAATAGCTTCGAATCTGGAATTACACAAATTGTCAACAATAACAACATTGTATCCCTTCTCCAACAAGACGATTACCTAGAGCAGTTAGCATTTAGTTTCGAGTGTATTTTTTTCAGCAAAAAGTCCAAAATGTTGTGTATGGAAAACACTCCTCGATTGCATATAGTAAAGGGGTTACCATTTGAAGTTTTCATTCCTGTACTCCTATGTACGAGACCAAACAAAACAGTCTTCCAACGCTAAATCAATCCAAACTCCCTATTTCTAAGTCTTACCGTATGAGAGCCAATATATCCAGCACCGCCGGTCACCAAGACAGTATTACCAGTTTCCCGAGTCTAGATGTAAGTTAATATCGCCATCTTTATTTTAATAATGATTTCTAATTATAACGCATCTTACCATCTGTAGAAAACCGTCAATATTCAATTTTTTTGTAAAAGTTGTGTTTTGCTGAGGTTGTGTACTATTACAACGTATTTAAGCGAAATACCGCTTAATTCCTCAATTGACTACTCAAGCGTTACAATTAGCAAACATTTACACTATACTATAGTTTCACATGAAGAAGAAAAAAAATCCTTTTTTTTTTATACTTTCTAAAAGTGCGAAGATAGCTAACGAACATATATCACTACAAAAGCAAATAAAACCATGCTGCATATGAGTTGGAAATTTCACTAGAAGAAACAAAAATGTATTGTATTCTTTACAACTGTTTGCATATAACAAACGAAGCAAATTTTATAGTTCAGGGTGAAAAAAATAAGCAATTTTACCAAAGGGTGAGTGGCCCTCAACAAACGAAAAAAAAAAAAAAAAATCGAGTTATCAGATTCGAGTAAACAAAAAAAATACGCATAAATACAAGAAGGAAAAGATGAATCATGAGAAAAGAAAAGAAAAAAGAAAAAAGTTAACCTTAGATTTGAATTTTCATGGTAGAAAATGTCAGCTGCTTGAGAACAAATAAAAGTTCCCTAAATGTCAGGTATACAGTGTAAACAAATAGTGAAAACGAAGAAAAAAATGACCAGCGTACATGTCGATCAATTCTTTTTTTTATTTATTAAAAAAAAATTAAAAAAAAAATAGTAGAATGCAAGTCGTTCTGGATCCTACAATTCAGTAGTTAAAACCAGTAAAAGGCTTCATTTTGTATGTGTTTTATCACATCCAAAAGATGAATTTGTAATTTTTATTCCCTGATTAATTAATTGCATATCATTTCCATGCTTCCACTGCATCTGACTCATTCTCTGCCATTTAAATAAGAAGGTCTCTATATGTTCCTTTGCATTGTATATACCTGTAAAACGATACTTTCCACCTGACATATCATCAAGCTCGACAGTGTTTACAACCATTTGTGAAACCAAAAGTAATAAGATATTACAAGAAAAGTATTCATTCTCCTACCTTTCTACATGGTTAAAAGGCATATTTTTTATTTATACTAGTAAATCTCTTATACCGAGCTTCAAACAAATTATAGTTCCTTCTATCGATTTATCCATTTAAAAAAAACTTATGGTCCGGTCAAACGCCTCTATGCTCTCGAATGAAGACGCTGGAATAGAGCCACTTTCCAAGAGTTCTTCTCATGAGCAAAATGTGTATCGGGTTTCTTTAATACAGGATGCTCAATCGCCGCTTAATGCCAGATCGCAATTAAATTATTTGTATCTTGAAAAAAATACCAGGAACCCTTCCCATTTATCTCTGCGAGACCAAGAAAAGTGTTTGATTGATGAGCTTTTAAACGCATTTATGGGGATGGAAGGGAACTATCTTCATTTACAAGATGCTTCCAATCTAACAGATTCACAAAGAATCGTTTCTCCTCCGTCTTTTTCTATATGTCCTGGTTTCGATTTGGGGCTTAAGGATGTCGTTTCTGAAACGTTGGAAATGGGCTCGTACTACTTGAGTATTGTTACATTTATTGAATCTAGAAGTCAATTTGAATATGGATACATAAACCATGCATTGTGTGCAGCTTTGAGAAGATTTATGTCGGATTACCTTGTACTTCTCATGCAATGCGAACACAGGAGCCAAGTGGATCCTGGTTTTTCTTTGCAAACTCTTCGTTTATATATTCTACCTACTTCTCGTTCTATGAGACTAGTGTATTTTATATTACGCGATCTTGTATTGTCGACAGAGCATGATCAGCAGGAGGACGATATGGGTTTGGACAATATTGACGACTTACTGGAAAAGCTAAACCAGGGAAATGACATATCACAAATTATGCATAGTTCAATATCGAAGAAAAAAGTCTGTAAAGGTGGTCGTGTTCTAACCTACTTAACAGATGCCTTAACAAATTATGCTGGTGACCCTATAGCTCGAAACATTTTAACCTTTCTTCTCCGAGAGTCCTCAAGTCCCTATATGAGATTCTTGAATTCTTGGATTCACGAAGGCAAAATCGACGACCCATATGAAGAATTTATGATCAAATCTCACAAAAGTTTAAGTTCAGAAAGGCTTGACGATGACTATACAGACGAATACTGGGAAAAGCGCTATGTTGTTCGTGAAGATCAGGTTCCTACACAGCTATCCCAGCTTAAAGATAAGGTTTTGCTTGCAGGGAAGTACTTGAATGTTGTTAATGAGTGCAAGCAGGCCTCTGGAGAGAATGCTTGTCAAACTTTTACAGTCAGCCCTGAAGAAAAAAAGTATGAATGGCCAGATTCATTTGAAGATGAAAATTTTACCCAAAACATTATGGATGCATATGTCTATGCAAACGAGTCACTTTTGCTGTTGCTGCAATCTTCACAGTCACTTTATTCTCACTTGCATGCTTTGAAACATTATTTCTTTTTGGATCAGTCTGATTTTTTCTCTACCTTTTTAGATACGGCACAGCAAGAACTACGAAAGCCTGTAAAGCTTATTTCCGCAACCAAACTACAGTCGCAGCTGGACCTGTCCCTCCGGCAACCGGGGACAATTACAGCAGTCGACCCGTTTAAGGAGTACTTGACACTTGAATTGAATCAGACGTCTTTAATTGACTGGCTGATGCATATTGTGAGCATTAGTGGATTGGAAGATTCGGCGTTGGTACAAAGTGAAAAGGGAATCATGGACCATTTAACGAATCGGATGGACAGTGGGAGTGACCAAAAGAGTCAAAGCTTCTCATCGAAAGGAGCAATGGAAAAAGAAATTGATGGATTTGAAGCGATGCAGTTTGGATATAAAGTTCCGTTTCCCTTATCCTTAATTTTATCGCGAAAAGCGATTATTCGATATCAGTTATTATTTCGGTTTTTTTTAATGGTCAAGCGTGTAGAAATGCAATTGGAAAACAGTTGGCTGCATCATAGCAAGAAACCCACTTGGAAAAACAAATCGCCATTTCCTCGGATTGAGCAATGGAAAAAGAAGGCATGGTTTCTGCGAACCCGTATGCTCACACTGGTACAGAAAATTCGCTACTACAGTATGAACGAAGTCATCGAGACGCACTGGCCTGTATTTATGAAAAGTATTGAACATGCGCGTACTGTAGACAATTTAATGCAAGAGCATGTTGATTTTTTGGATACCTGTTTAAAAGAATGTATGTTGACAAACTCAAAATTGCTAAAGGTGAATGCAAAGCTTCTAGGGACTTGCGGCATGTTTGCGTCGTACACCAGTTCATTTACAAGATCCTTGCAACTTGCAGAGACAGGCGAGGAGACATACGACGACGTAAGGATGGACAAAATGGAAGAAATTTTAAAGCGATATGAAGAGAATTTTGTCCATCATTTGCGAGTTTTGATGGACGCTTGTAACTTTTACGCGAGTACTGAGACGGCAGCATTATTGAATCTGGTTATGAGATTGTCTACCTAATTTTGGTTTTTAAAAGAAAAGGGAAAAAGGAAAGAACGGCTTTACAAAGCTTATGAATACTGGACATGAACATGAATTTATGGACCTGCAACTCAAACCGTGAGCACAAGGCCTTACTCTCTCTAGGCACAACACGACGAATGAGTGTCCAAGAAATGGAAAACCGGACAGGAGACAAGGATACAAATATTAAAAATCTAATTACCTATAAAAACTTTCCTATAATAAAAAAAAAAGACTGAGAGAATGTGTCGTCTGAACACATGGTGAGATCTACTACCCTTTCCAAGACGAATACTCAAAACATGGAGCCTCAAGGGTTGTGTCAGAACTCCACAATTTCAACTTGATCTACAAAAGTAACAAACAAGGTTTCATCGCTTCATTGCAGAAACCGATTTTAAAACTAAAAATTTTGCTTCGCAAAAGAACGTTATCAAGCATGGTATCAACCGAGAAGCGAATAAAATAAAGCCGCCAAGGAAGAGCAGAAGAGATAAAGACCCCTTATTTCTCGTATATCTCGTATGATGACATGCATGCAACAAGGTCTTAAATCAAAGGTCACGCAGTTTGCAACTAAATTTTCAAGTCGGACTTGGGATTGGGATTTGCAATGGAATGTAAGTGACGGATGGAAGGGTACCAGTAAGAATGGATGAATCACCAGCAACAATTACCAGGATAAAAGCCTACAATGGTTTGTTTGGAAGATTTGAATTAACATGCATTCGATCCACTTTTCCCTGGTCCTTTTTTCGACACCTTGTCTTGTTTTGCTGCAAATTGTTTATCGTAATAACGAAAGGATCCTCGCTAGAAGGATAGAAAAATTTTTAGTATCGGGATATTGACGCAGCAGCACGCAAGAATAAACCAAAGAAAAGAAAAAACAAGTACCGAAGGAGATAAACAAAGCGAATGTAAAGATGAAGGGAACTCTGGAGCCCAAACTGAACGCTACAAATTTTCTTGTTTTGTTTAATTTAGCTTTTATTTACTGACTATACAAACCAATCTCGCATAATTGCATGAGCAAAATAGAGCGAGCGGACAATGAGCTATACATTCATTGTCTAAATGGCTTGACTTGGTTGGCTACAACAATCCAAACTGCTCTGTTCTTCATACATAGTAAAAACATCAGATTTCTCTTAAAGAGGAAGCGTTGCAGTACGCTATGTTAAGATTGTGAAGGAATGCCATCCGGTTTTGAAAAATTTAATCTGCCTTTCGTCCAATATAAAGAGGGAAGATTCCTTCGCTTTTTTTCTCACTTCCCCAAGCGGCTTGTGTTCTGACGTGAAAGTTGGTCTGACTGATAGCCTTCACAATCCTTTTTCCTATACCGATCCATTCGTTTTTGAAGTTGGGTTTTGTTTTGGTTGCTTTTTTTTCTGAAAACAACGAACTTGATTGACTTCTTCTATCTGAAATTCTTGGTTTTCCTTGAAACTACTCCTTTTAGTAAATTTGAGGATCCTTTTGCCCTGCCGCGATCGTTAGACGAAACTTTTGTCATTGATACGTTTTTTGTTTTTTGTTAGTTGGCTTTTTTTTTTTCTATACAGGAGCTACTTTCTTTCAGGCATATTTGTTTCATTTGTTTGCTGCGTATTCTCGGGGTTTCTTACATTGCCTATCTCTATCATTTGATTGCATAGTTTATTTTTGCTTTTTTAAACTCACTTTCCAGACATCATAGAATACACTTGTCATTTGTTTTTACGTGACATAAAGATCTCTTTTCTTGGTTCGTGGAGATTCTTTGGATTCATTCGTTTTTAAAATTATCGATTTTACACATTCACGGTTTCTGTTGTCTTTATTTGTCGTTGTTACACGTCGTTCGTCTTTCACTCTTTCTTCTTCATTTCTTTGTTTATTTAAAATGGCCTTGAATCAACATCAACCTCTTCCTACCGCCAAGCCTCCCTCCTCCAACCTATGGAAACGGATCGGTATAGACGCCATGGCAGCCACCACTGCTAGTGCGTTGATTTCCCCCTTCATTCTTACCATTGATCGTTCGATCGTCGAAAACACGAGCGGCCGTAGTTCTCTCTTGCGTTCCGTCTCCCACTCCGTTAAGCGCATCCTTTCCCGTCCCCACGCATTTATTTTTAGTCTTCCCTTTGCCCTTGTGTTTTCCATTTATTCCGGCACTTATATGACCGCCAATACCATCGACACCATTGACAATGTTCGTTACAAAAACCCTGTTTATAAGGCTGAAACTACGGGCTTTGTGAAGTTCTCCTCCGTCACCGCTGCTAACAGTGGTCTATCCATTCTTAAAGACAGCTTTTTCACCAAATTCTGGGGTACTGGCTCTCCTCGTCCTCTGGGCTGGCAAAGCTACGGACTTTATGGTCTCCGTGATGCTCTAACCATTGCATTTTCTTTCAATATACCACCTATGATTGCTCCATTTTTGCCTGGTGGTCTTGTTACTGCTCAACTAGCTACCCCTTGCATTGTGCAGTTTGTTAGCACTCCCCTCCACTTGATGGCTCTCGACATATACAACCGCGGCGGTCCCAACATAACAGTTGCGAACCGCATGGTCCAAATTCGTAAAAACTTGTTGAAGAGTACATTTGCCCGTGTCATTAGAATTCTTCCTGCCTTTGGTATCGGCGGTGTAACCAATCGCAAACTTCGAACTTCTTATTTGGATGCTCTTCAACAACGTACCTATAAATCTCAACAGTTTGCTGTTGCCTAAATGGCAATTTTCTTTCTGAAAATATAATTTTATGCATTTGTTACGTATACTTCCTATTCACCTCCATTTCCTCTTTACACCTCTTTCCCGCTTGTTCTGCGCTTTAATTCTTTCTTTCTCTATCTTTTCCTTTAACGCGTTTTATCAGATGTTGCTTATAATTTAAACATTGTTTACTTGAACGTAAGGCCAGGTTCCATTGAGGATCAAGCCTACAGGTAAGGATCTCCTTACATTCTTGCTGTATCAGCGCTGAACTCTTTCAGACTGGTTTCTTCTTTATCTTTGTATAGTAATAAATGAATATAATGTCCAGCTTAACTTGCTATTGGTGTTTACTATTTGATGTAGATTTAAAAGTTTTGAAGTACAAGGACCAGACTAAAAAATAGGGTTGCGTCCTTTTCCAACGTTTTCTACCTTCTGTTTTCTTGATGTTTATGTTGAATCATTTGCGACGTAACTAATAGGTCTCACAAAAGCATACATATGTACAAAATTGAGTTTGGTTGCTTATGACTGGATGCATTACAAAAGGTATCCAGCCATAGGCAATTTCTTTTCCTTTCTTCTATTTTTATTTTTAGAGTTTCATTTACCTAATTTTACCCTCGTTAGTATCACAACTCCTTGAATAGCAGAAATCAAACTTTTTATGAGCATCCAACACATAAAAAAACATTCAAAAAAGAGCATTATTTTTTGAATGTTATTCACCTGTATCAGATTTTGGTTCTAAAAAAATCGAACTATTCTAAAAATTCACATTCCTATATATGAGTGTTTGGCGAGTTTTCATAGCACCGATCACATACCCTTTTCATCGCCTTCTCTTTAGTTTTTATCTTTTTCCATTAATTCCTCTATTTATTTCTTTCATCTCATAAAACTCTCTCAGTTCTCCTCCACCGTGCACTTGTTAATTGATTGACACGGGAACAGTAGCCGTTCTTGATTTGAGGCTGGAATTATTTAAGCAATTTATTCGAAAAGAAACATTCTTGAAAATACCCTAGAGCCTTTTTTCTCTCTTTTTTTTTTGCAGTTCCTTTAATATCCCGTTTTTGGCTCTACCGCGTTCGAGGTGCTGAGTCTCATCTTCTTTTGCGTTGAATCTTTAATCTTTGTAAGGCTCCATTTACTCTCAAAGATTTATTGTTTTGTATTGAGCAAAGTCATAGTATAGTAGCAACCATTTCGAAGGTTTCATAACTATTGAAAATCACGTTGTTTACTTGTTTTTAGAAAGCTAAGAGATACCAATTCGAACGCTGGATCGTTTGATTTGTAATACAGTTGACTTGTCTTGTTTTCAACATTGCATACCTTCATAGATTACAGTCTTAACATTCGTTTCTTTTTCTTTTTCTTTTCTTGTTTTAGAAAACCTTTTCCTTTCATTCCCTTGCTATTTCTCCGATATCGATTGAGCCTAGAAAGCATAGAAAAAATATACAGGCTGTAAATTATGAAGACAACAGATATTATTGGACTCGGTATCGCTTTAATTATCACTTTTGGATACTTCGCATACAATTTTTTCTCCAGTCGGACCAAGCACGTTGAAAAAGAAGTGGTTTCTTCCAATAATGGTGTTTTTGAAAAAATAGAAGAGGAAAACTTGAACGCTATGGTACTTTTCGGTTCCCAAACTGGTACCGCTGAAGATTTCGCTTACCGTTTTTCAACGGAAGCCAAGTCCAAGTACAAGTTTGCCAACTCTACCGAAGACTTGGATGACTTTGACTTTACTGACATGGATAAGCTTGACCCCTCCAAGCTTTTGGTTTTTTTCTTAGCTACCTATGGTGAAGGTGAACCAACCGACAATGCTGAAAGTTTCATAGAACTAATTGAGAGCGAAGATACGATTTTCTCCAGCGGAAATGGGGTTGAAGACCGCCCCTTAGCAAACGTACGGTATGCTATTTTTGGTTTAGGAAATCATACCTATGAACATTACAATGCCATGGCTAAGCGAGTTGATTCTGCTATGAACGCTTTGGGGGCTCAACGTATAGGACCTATAGGTTTGGGTGACGATGCCGCCGGCTTATTAGAAGAGGACTATTTACAATGGAAAGACGAAGTATTCCCTGAAATTGCTAAGGTTTACAATCTCAAAGAAGTACGTGAAGAGTATAAACCCTTGTACGATGTTATCGAAAAACCTGATATATCCAGTGAAAGCCCAACCGTTTTCCTCGGTGAGTCTAGTCGTCAGCAGCTCAAGGGAATCGTTTCAAAAGCACCTCCTTCTCCGGCAAATCCTTTTAATTCCACTCCTGTTGTTTCTCGCGAGTTATTCAAAAACGATACCCGTAACTGTCTTCATCTGGAATTGGATATCTCCGGTTCAAACATGAAATACCAAACAGGTGACTACGTTTCGATTTGTCCTATGAACCCATCTCAAGCTGTCGATGAACTTTTGGATATTCTTGGTTTGAAGGATAAGAGGAACATGGTAGTTATTGTGAAACCTTTTAATCCGCTAGATAAGCTACCTATTTTGAGTCCGACAACTTATGATGCCGTATTTCGCTATTACTTTGAAATCTGTGGTATAATTTCCCGTCAATTGATCTTTTTAATTGCTCCTTTTGCTCCTACAGATGAAGCCAAGAATGAGCTGACTAAACTTGGAAGCGATAAGGATTACTTCAAAGCAAACGTTGCTGACATGCATTTGAATTTAGCACAGGTACTTCGTCGCGTTTCCTCCGGTATTCCTTATACGAAGCTTCCATTCTCTTTGCTTTTGGAAAACCTTGGTCATTTAAAACCCAGGTATTATTCCATTTCGTCGAGTAGCTTGTCTTGCCCTGATAAGGTCCATGTAACAGCTGTTGTTGACAGAAAAGAATGGGTTGATCAAAATCATATTTTTTATGGTTTGACTACTAATTACCTGCTTGCTCATTGCCTTCATCAAAATGGAGAATTAACTCCTCATCCTAATAATTTGCAATATACTTTGGAAGGTCCTCGTCAAAAATTAACTGGTAAAATCCCGATGTTCATAAAGAGGTCCACATTTCACTTAGCACCTCCTGAAGTCCCTATCATCATGGTAGGGCCAGGCACGGGCATCGCCCCCTTCCGTGGTTTTGTTATGGAACGTGCTCATTTGGCTTCTCAGGGAGTGAAGGTTGCAAAGACAATTTTATTTTACGGTTGTCGACGATCGGATACTGATTTCTTGTACAAAGAAGAATGGGATACATACAAAAATTTGATGAAAGACTCGTTTGAATTATACACCGCATTTTCCCGTGAGCAGGATCAGAAGCTTTATGTGCAGCATCGGCTTCTTCAGCAATCTGCCCTTGTTAATGAATTAATAAGTGCTGGCGCTTGGTTTTACATTTGTGGTGATGCTGAGCGCATGGCCAAGGACGTTACAAATGCTTTGGCTACGATACTTACCACGGTAGAAGAGGACGGGGCTAAGCGTATAAAAAGCCTTCGTGATGAAAATCGGTTTCTTGAAGATACCTGGTAATGTATTTATGTCATTGTCAATGTTAGAATGTTCGTTTCGAAAGAATGGCTATAGAACAAAATCTGTAAAGGCAAACAGTTGTTCAATGATTGTTTAATCAATGTAGATGTAATAAAAATCTAATGTGTTCGGAAACTTATAAGTATACCAACCTCATAGAAATTGGAGGGTAGACAATTTTATTCATCAGATACAATATTCTCAGCTAAAACACCGCTCAAAAATATAGTGACTCATAGTTTAAGTAATTCAATAAACTCAGCAGATACCTTCAAATTGACAATGACATTTAAGAATTAAAGGGTATAAAGAATTAATATTTCGAAACTAAGCCATAAATGATACTGAGAGTTGTTCAAATAGTAGTTGGCAATGTTTACTGTAAATACCCGATGTGTTTATCGTCTCACTTTTTTACTTTTCGAGAAAATAATTAACTCCTATACGCAAAAGGAACTCCATATACTTTAATCAATCTATGTAGCTGAGAGTATTTACTATCACTTAAAGCGCAATACTATATGCTAAATCCTGAAAGAAAAATAGAGTAATGCGAACTTTTATGAAATACGTGCAAATGCAAATGTTTCATCGATCACAGCAATACTTGTTTCAGCAAACAGTGAATAAATGGTTTTAAACTATTTTCCTTTGTCACCATTTCACGGTTGATATATAAGCGAAGATTCCAGAGAGTGGGATGAAAAATGAAAAAGTTCATCAAATGATTTTATGGAAAACTCTCCTCAAAGTAAAATGAACTGGCTCCAAAGGAATAGAAATTTACATTAAGAATTTTTGTTGAATAAAGCTTCCTACTGTAAGCTTTCATACTCATACACTGATAAAAGCAAGAATACGAACGGAGATCGCTTATGAATAATAAATGTTATAGTATAGTTTTTAAATATTACTCTATACATTTCCCTCTCAGCTTTATAATAAGTGAGCGCAAAATAAAGCTAAAGAAACTTTCACTAATAAGCATAACTCTAGTGATTTGGAATTACACTTACTCGTAATGAAAGTCATATATTTCCTATGGAAACTGGCTTTTGTTTACAAGCTCATTTTAGCTCAAAACAACGTTCAGGGATAAGTGATTGTAATAGATCTAATCGAAGTTATTTGTTACTTTGCTAGTTTGATCCACAGTAAATTCATTAAGACATACACATCAATTGACATTGCTTTTATCCGTATAGATGAATAAAAATAAACTGACAAAATTAGTTTTTAATGTACTTCTTCTATTACTTTTTCCTTTTATTCTAAGACTGTGAGATCTTGACCAAGTAAGGAGTATCTCTGAAGAGTCCCCTTTAGAAAAGTTGATACTTCTGAAAAAGAAGATTTGCAGAGAAATTTAATACACAATTCATTAAATAATATTTTGAAAGAATCATCCTATAGAGTAAAACATGTATGCAATCGTAGTATATGCGTACAGGTTGTTTGTTTTGATGGCATTAATTAGCAAGCCCAAGCTAAACAAACTTACCAACAACCAATTCCATCTTAACCCAAGAACTGTAGTATACCTACTTTTATTTCAATAGAATATCTTAATAGTATGCAGGAATTAAGCACTCCAACGAAAGATCAAAGGCTTATGTCTTCTTCAATCCACGATCCCCTCTCAACTACTGAGTTACCAACTCCAACTAGTCAAACAACGGTCGAGCTTCTAAGTAATGATATCAAGAAAACCGAAAGTATGGATTCAGGTGTTGTTTTACTGACTCCTGGCACAAGCCCACACACGACTCGTGGATCCAGCGATATGGTGTTGTCAAGTGATCATACTCCTAGCTCTCAACGTAGACATTACCAGGGAGCACATTCCCAATATACAAATCAAACGAATGGCTATTCCATGAATACTCAAACAGAAGCATATATTAACGAACACCCTAATTATCAAACTCGCTTCCAAGAATCTAATGCTTATCTAAGTAACAATAATGTTACTACCGTCCCACAGCCTAATCCTTATTTACCTGGATCATATTATCCTCCTTATTATGCTGCCTCCCAACAAACAGCAGGTGGACGTCCTGGTGTCCCTGCTTTTCGTCCTCCATTTGGTGTCCCTGCTGCTACACCTTGTTACGGAGCACAGTGGCAGGCTCAGCAGCAACATTATCCAATGAATGGAACTCATCCTTATATGAAACCTTATGTTTCCAATGGAGTTACTCAGCAGTTAATGGCAGTGCATGCCCCTCAGAATACTTCAATGTATCCTCCAGTAACGCCCGTAGGACAGCCGAATGTCCCATATTTAAATCAACCAGCATATCTCCCGTCTGTGCCTCCTAATCCCGCTGTCGGTAACAACTCTTCCGGATTTCCCGCACCCTCTACAAATATGACTCCTTATACACATACAAAACCAAGAGAAGATGTGCGTTCTGAATCCGAGGATGCTCTCAGATCGGATAATGCGTCTAAACCGGAATTAAAGCAACAAAATGCGTATCTCACTCGTCTTGTGTCCATGCATCCAGCTATCCCTCCAGCTATTCCTAGTATGTTTCCCATATCTCAGGAAGAGAAAAAGACGGAAAATCCAGGAAAAACAAAAAACGTTTACATTCGTGGCCTTCCTCCTACTACAACCGATGAAAGTTTACTGCTGTATTGCAACCGCTTTGGTAAGGTTGTGAGTAGTAAAGCCATCATTGATGTTAATAATAACTTATGCAAAGGATTCGGATTTGCTTGCTTTGAGGAGCTCAAATCTGCAGTCTTATGCATATCTGCTATGACCTTGTGTGGTTATCAATGCTCATTTGCCAAAGAGAGTTTCAGCGCAAGATTGCAAAATCTTCAAGATAAAGATAGCACCAATCTGTATATCTCCAATCTTCCTCTCCATTGGAATGAGGACGACATTAGTAATCTTTTCAAACCTCACAGAATTGTTTCAAATCGTGTGCTTCGTGATTCTAAGAATCAATCTCGAGGCGTTGGTTTTGCTCGCATGCAGGATCGTTTCGTAGCTGAGGAAATCATTGATAGTTTCAATGATTATTGCATTGACCCAACCTTACCTCCTTTGCAAATTCGTTTTGCAGATTCTGCCGAGCAAAAGAAATTTAAAGGTCAAACTCAAAAGAGGCGTATGTGGCGTGCCCGTGAGTATAATGTTCTTACCAAGAGCATTACCGCTTTAAACGATGCATATTCGAACTTAGACCGGACGGAAACACCACCTGTGTCTATGTATCCTAAAATGAATTTGTATATGCCTGTAGACAATAATGTCTATGCCACCAGTCCAGTTTATGATAATTTTAATTGGCAAAATATGTATCCTCCAGCCTCAGCATATCCGGTGAACGCTGAAACTTCAATACCTAAGGCTGCATACTCGGGATATAAGACGCAGAAAAACATAGCTACTGCAGGTGTGAATTGATTACCATACGGAAAGAAACGTTAGTTATCTTAACGTTCACCTGATTAATGAATGTATGAAACTGAAACATGAATCTGAAACCGAATGAAGTTTGAAATTTATTAATGAGTGTTATCTGATTTCAAATTTATTATATATTAAGTCTTATAAACTACAGGTATATATAATGAGCCTTATATAGTGGTATTGATTAAATTAATAATATACAATGTTTAGTGGATATGCATTTCATATTATAGTAAGTAATGACCTATAAATATAATGTTACATGCTTTGGATCCTTGACCATATAGTAGAAAGACTAAGGTATTCTTGAATTGACATCAAGAAGAAAGGAAAGATTGAAATTCTTGTTTTATATCCCAACCATCAGAAACTGCTTTACCACGGCGAACAGCGACTTTGTTAAGCGTATCGCTTATAACATTCTTAGTGACATGAGGAAAAATTTGTCGTAGATGCTCAATTAAGAGGATTTTGTTTTCGTGAGATCTGGTGACATAACCCAGAAAACTAGGTAGATCTTCAGATGGCAATTTCACTTGTAAGCTAGATGGAGAGGTATCTTGAACAATGGAAGAAACTGACACATCAGATGATCTTTCTTGAGGAACCCAATAATCTCTGTGAGGATCAATTCGAAAACTAGAGGAGGTGGAGAAAGGGGTAATAGGGTCTAATAAAGAGATGCAAGCAAAATTAGAGAGAAAATTTAAATCCCAAGACGGTCCTTCGATAATCGGCTGTAACGGACCAACCAAACGATTTGGTTTGCCAGAAGTAATGATTTCTTTGTCATTGTCATCATCAACGAATCCAGCATCCACTTCGTCCAGATTATCGTCAGAGTTATCCAACTCATCATCTTCGCTATCCAAATCTTCTCCTTCTTCTTCATCATCAGCAACCCATTCAGCTTCGGAGTCATAACCGTAGTCTATAGTTTTGTCTTCAAGCCATGGATTGACATATATGCTTTCTTCGGTATGCTGTTTGGTAAACGTTCCAAAATAAGGAGGACGAATGTCTTGAGCAAAGTATATAAGTTTAACTTGGGCTTTAGAGACCTGTTGTAGTATTTCTTCCGGGTTACTAACGTTGGGATCTTGGAATTTATCCATAAAGTGTTTCACCCACTGAGATTTGAAGCCTGTAGGGAGTTTTGCATGAAGTGGTTCTGATAAAGCCTGAGAAGAGCGATGCGATAAAAGTAATTTTTTTAAGGTTAATGAGTCGTCGGAGGTAGAAGTCAACAGCTTGTCCAGTTGATCGAAAGAGTATAGGCAAGGGGGAAATTTTGCAAATGCTGCTTGGCTTTTAAGAAAAAAGGGACGAAACGTCTTATCAAAATCCGTTGCTGGTTGTTCTTGCTCACTAACAGGAGACTCTTTGTTAGAAGCTTTTCCTTTAGAAAAAAAACTATTTAGTCGAAGTTGCTGCTTTTCTTTATTAGCGGTTTGCTCTTGTCTAACACGCAGCGCCTCTTCCTTTTCTCTTTGCTTTTGATCACGCTCCTCTTTTTTCCTTTGTTGTTCGAGGTCTTTCTCCATTTTTTCCAGTTCACGCTTCTTCTTCGCAGCTAGTCGTTCTTCTTCTCGCTGTTTTTTCTCTATCTCTCGTTGCTCTCGTTCTCGTTCACGACGAAGACGATCTTCTTCTTTCTTTCTTGCCTTTTCCTCTTGAAGTCGTTGCCGCTCCAACTTTCGTTCATTGCCTGCTTCTGTGGATTCTGCATTCGTACGCTTCCGTTTACTGGACTTTGACAAAGCTGTGTCTTCTGAAAGATGTGAGTCATCAACTTCCATACTAGTCTTATCAACACCGTTTTCGTTTACATAGGTGCCTTCAGAGCCGTCCACTTCCATAGTAATTGGGCCATTCTTTGATTCCTGACTAGCAGTTTTAGATTCACTCGATATATTATTGTCAACATCCATGAACTATTGCTTTTCGCAACGATTAAAAATAAAGATGATATAATATAGATAGGTTTTGTATTCTGCCTCTGACGACCCCTTTCAATGCTTTATGCCTTCGCAAGGAGAAGTGGTAGTGTTTTAAATCGCAGCATTCTGCTAATCACAGGTTCATACAGTTAACATAAAGCCAAATGATGACACAGAAAAGGATTTACTGTTTCTTTAAATATATGAATATAAATAATAAAATATGAATCATTCTATTATTAAAAATCTCAAATGGAATGCTTGTTTACTAAAGAAGCCTAACGAGGTTTTCCAGAAAAGAAGATTTGGATTTGACAGGATTTTAGTAATTTGAATTTTAAAAGAAAAAATGAATTGTATTTATCTTGTTTGTTGCTAATAAAACTCATGAATGAATTAACGAATATTACCGCGACGACTGCTCACGCGTCTCCTCGTATAGGTGAAAGCGCGTCGCAATAAACAGCCTTCCTTTAACCACAACCTTGATGGGACGACTGTTACGATTAGAAGTAGAGAACTTTAAGTCCTATCGAGGACGCCAAACGATAGGACCCTTTGAAGATTTCACATCGGTCATTGGGCCGAATGGTTCAGGAAAGTCGAATTTGATGGATGCCATCTCTTTTGTACTAGGTGTGAAGTCTTCTCATCTGCGATCGTCAAACATTCGCGAGCTTATTTATAGAGGAAGGGTTATGAGTAGTCAAGGGTCTACTTCTTTCGATGACTCTCAATCTCCACGCAGTGCATATGTAAAACTGGTTTATGAATTGGACGACGGTGAAGAACGCGAGTATAAACGCGTTATTACCCCTAATGGTAGTGCCGAATACAAAATCAATGACCAACCTGCTCAATTTTCGGAATATTGCAAGTCTTTAGAAGATCAGAATATTCTTGTACGTGCAAGAAACTTTTTAGTTTTCCAAGGAGATGTTGAAGCGATAGCTTCTCAATCTCCCGTCGATCTTTCTCGTCTTATTGAACAAATATGTGGTTCTTTGGAGTTCAAAGGTGACTATGAAAAGTACAAGCAAGAACAAGATTATGCCGTTAATCTTTCAGCACATTCATTTAACAAGAAAAGGGGCATAAACGCTGAAATCAAACAATACCAAGAGCAGAAAGCCGAGGCAGAACTTTATGAGAGCAAGAAAGAGCAGAGAGATATTGCCTCGCTAATCTTCTTGTTATGGAAATTGTATCACATCGAAAAAAACGTTCACTTCAATACCAAGGATATCAAAAAAATTCAAAACTCCACTCGAGAATTAGCCAAACGCCAAGAGGCGTCTTCTGCTAAAGTTGAGTCTTTAAGAGAGCAAGAAGGTGCTATTCATCGGCAATTACTTTTGTTTGATAGGAACGTTCGTAAGCAAGAGAAATTTATTGCTTCCAAGCGACCAGAATTAATATCTCTTGCTGAGAAGGCTTCAGAATCGACCGTGAATTTACAAAAGATTCAAAGGAAAGTTGGAGAAGTTGAAAAAGATTATACTTCTCAATCTAGTACCTTACAGATGCTAGAAAACCAGCTTGCTTCGTTAAACGCTGCTGAAGAGCAGCTGATTCGGAATATTCATGAACGGGAAAAACAACGTATTCAAAAACTTTCTCCTGAAGATCAAAAAGAGTATGATGACTTACGGACCCAAGCTGACTTACAAAATTCCAAAACCCTTACAGAGCTACAATCACTAAATCGCAAAATCAAAGTTGCTTCTCAAGCAAGAAATGCATTAGCGGAAGTAGTTGAAGATTTGAAAATGAGAAAGACTCAATCTAAAGAAAAGATTCATAATTTAACAGAGGAGAAAGACGCTCTTATAACTGAGGTTAATCGTCGAATTGATGAATTGGAATCCGCTCGTCAATCCATACAACAAAAGCGTGCAAATTATTCCCACTTATGTCAACAGGAACGTGATCTTAATGATGAATTACATGTTTGTTTACAAAAACTACTTGAAGCCAATGCAGATAGAAATGAGTCGAATCAAGATATAAAGAAACGAGAAGCGCTTTACGCAATAAAACGTATTTATCCTGGAATTAAAGGGAGAGTTATTGATTTATGCAGTCCCACACAAAAGAAATACGAAAGTGCTTTGGTTGCCGCTTTAGGTAGAAACTTTGACGCCATTGTCGTTGAGTCACAGGCTACTGCTAAGGAATGTATTGAATATATTAGAGAGCAGCGCATTGGTGTAATGACTTTCCTTCCGATGGACACAATAGCTGTAAAGCCTATCAATCAAAGCTTCCGTGGTACGCATGCAGGCGCTCGCTTAGCAATTGACGTTGTAAATTTTGAGCCTCAGTATGAACGTGTTGTCGTGAGCGCCCTTGGAAATACACTCATTTGCGATAACTTAAATGTTGCCCGAGATTTATCTTACAACAAACGTGCCAATGCTAAGACTGTTACCTTGGAGGGGACTGTGATTCACAAGACTGGTCTAATTACTGGTGGGTCTTCTAGTACTAGATCCGCAAAGCATTGGGATGATCGTGAAATAGAACAGCTTAAACAAAACCAGAATGATTTGATATCGCGGATTGATAAGATACAAACTGAAAAGGCGGCATCTTTAGTTGTGGAACAGGACACGATCAATATACATAATCTTGAATCTGAATTATCCCTAATGAAAGAAAGCCTCAATGCTAAGCTAAGATCATTAGAAGACAAACGAAAAGAGTCAGATCATTTTAACGAACTTTACAGACAAAAGAAACCAGAATTAGAGTCTTCTGAACGAGAGTTGTCGGAAATGGAGGAATATCAAAGCGAACTTCTTCAACAGACTCATGAAATTGAAGATAAAATATTTTTTAACTTCTGCAAAAGAACAAAGATTACGAATATTCGATCCTATGAGGAACTACAAAGGTCTTTTACTCAGCAATACTCACAAAAACAACTTGAGTTTGCAAATCAAAAAGCTTTGCTGGAAAATCGATTAGGTTTTGAGCGACAAAGAACTTCGGATATTGAACTTCGATTAAATAGACTGAAGGAATTTATTCGCAAAGATGAATTATCTATTAAAGAATATGAACAAAAGCACGAAGTTTTGGAAACAGAAGTTGCTACTGCCGAAGCAGAATTAGACCTATTAAAAGAAGAGTCTGCCGAAACGAAATCCAAAAATGAGGAAGTATTACGAACGATATCTCAACATAAGTTAGAAAATAAGCGCTTTTTAGCTGAAATTACAAAGCTTCGAAATGATGTGACTCTTGCAGAATCTGAGATTGAACGCTTCGCTTCAGATTGGCATGCCATTGTGAGGAAATGTAAACTTGAAGACATTCCTCTTCCGTTATCCGAAGGATCATTATCTAACATCCCTATAGATGAGTTTGGACAAAATGTTGACACAATGGACATCGATAGCGACCCCAAAACCGTGCAAGCTGCTTTTGGTAAGTTTGGAATTGAGGTGGACTATGAGGAGTTGGATGACGAATTGAAGGGTGATGGCTCCGAGAGTATGGGTACAGTTCTTCAAGAGAAGTTACGTGAATACGACGAGGAACTCGAAAGAATGTCGCCAAACATGAAAGCAATGGAAAGGCTGGAAGTAGTTGAGCAACGACTTTCGCGTTTGGATGATGAATTTGGAGAAGTCAGAAAGTCGGCTAAAACCGCCAAAGAACGATTTAACAGTGTGAAAGAACAGCGCCTGAAAAAGTTTCAGGAGGCGTTTAATCATATTTCCGAACAAATTGACCCTATATATAAAGAACTAACGAAAAGTCCAGCTTTTCCTCTTGGCGGTACTGCATATTTGACACTTGACGATTCAGATGAGCCATATTTAGGAGGTATCAGATTTCATGCTATGCCTCCCATGAAACGATTTCGAGATATGGATCAATTATCGGGGGGCGAAAAGACAATGGCAGCTTTAGCTTTACTCTTTGCAATTCATTCATATCAGCCTTCTCCGTTTTTCGTACTTGACGAAATTGATGCAGCCTTGGATCAGACCAATGTTTCAAAAATTGCGAATTACATTCGCCAACATGCGTCAAATGGCTTTCAGTTCGTTGTTATATCCCTTAAAAACCAATTATTCAGTAAATCTGAAGCCTTGGTAGGGATTTACCGCGACCAAGAGCAAAATTCTTCAAAAACGCTTTCCATTAATGTAAGTTTTTATTTTTTTTTCTTGAAACTATTGTGAACGCTTTTACTAACATTTTATCAGTTGGAAGCTTATGCCCAATAATTTTTTAAATGGGTTTCTAAATCTTTCCATATATTATATGTTTATGACAGCTTTACAGGATGATTATTTATCGGACTTATTGGTGAAACATAATGTTAAACTACTTAAAACAACTGAAGATCAGAATATTTGACGCTATGATTGAAAATGTTGCGTTCTTTACCTTGTTTATTTAATACTTGAGGTTAATTGGTTCTTTAATACATGCCTATTTACATAATAGCCATACGAAAAGCAACGTTTTATTAATAAGATATTTTTAAATATAGACTCTCGTTTTTTCATAATAAATAAAAGTCTATTTAACGTATCCTAATGTATCCGTATTCGTTGAAAGTCGTCTTCTTTGGGTTCGAGAGAAAGCTTCATAACCAACTTGTCACTCTTTTAAGCTACGGCAGATGCTCCTCATACTATGGGAATAAAGGGACTATTAGGATTCTTAAAGTCCTCTCAAACTCCCTCCCACGTAGAGGAGTTTTCAGGTAAGACATTAGGGGTTGATGGGTATGTTTGGCTACACAAAGGTGTGTTTACATGTGCTCATGAATTGGCATTTCAGAAAGACACAGATAAATACATTAAATATGCAATCCATCAAGCTTTAATGCTTCAATATTATGGTGTGAAGCCAATTGTTGTCTTCGATGGAGGGCCTTTACCTTGCAAAGCACCTACTGAGCAAAAACGAAAAGAGCGCCGGGAAGAAGCTTTCAAATTTGCAAAGAAGCTATGGGATGAAGGAAAGAGAAGCCAAGCTTTTACGCAATTCTCCCACTGTGTCGATGTCACGCCGGAAATGGCCGCAAAATTAATAGCTGCACTGAAGGAACATGGAATTTCATCAATTGTAGCACCATATGAAGCAGATTCCCAGCTTGTTTACTTGGAAAAAGAAAAGGTCATTGATGGCATTATAACTGAGGATTCTGACATGCTTGTTTTTGGTGCAAAAAGAGTCCTCTTCAAAATGGATGGGTTTGGAAACTGCGTTCAAATACAACGTGAGGACCTCTTTAAAAAGCAAGAGGTAGATTTAAGAATGCTTTCTGATGAAAAATTTCGCCATATGTCCATTTTTTCTGGGTGTGATTATACTGATGGAATCGCTGGAATGGGCCTAAAAACTGCTTTACGCTATATTATTCGATATCCAGATCCTCGTGCTGCTATCCGTGCGATGCGCCTTGACAAAAGTCTGAAAGTACCGATTGCTTTTGAGAAAGAATTTTTATTAGCAGACCTTGCTTTTCAGCATCAGCGAGTTTATTGCCCTAAGCTTAAACGTATTGTGCATATGTCGCCAATATCTAGAGAGCTTTCCCCTGAAGAGGATGCTTATATCGGTCCCTTCATCGAAGACCAAATAGCAATTGCAATTGCAGAGGGTAGATTTGATCCAGTGACCAAGTCTGCTTTTACCGAAAAGAATACTATGACAAACTTCAATTCTCCCAGAAAAGAAAATTATACTGAATCTACTAAAAGAAAGGGTATCACTAAGACAGATATTTCTACCTTTTTTATGGGAACGCGACCGCCAAATAAGCGTCCAAAGAAAATTGCTAGTATGACTTGCATTCCCAGTCAAGAAAGACCGATGGATAAGTTTCTACCGTCTCAAAAGCAAGAATCTGTGGATTCCCTGACGAAAGGTGAAGGTGGAAATGAACAGATGAAAACACCTCAACGGGAACCATTGTCATCGGTAAACACCGCTTCAGAACCACGCAGGTTTGACAAATCTTTGTCAGACGTTAGCCATTTGGTGAGGAAGAGCGAAAACATTCCTCCATTTACAGCACCAGGTGGATGTAGCAAGTACTTTGCTCAAAAGCAGCCTGATGAAAAGAATGTCATTAATGAAAGATCTTTAAAAGATGAAAAAGAAAATATTTCCATCGCTTCTCCTTCACCAGCTCCGAAATCCTGGTTTTCTTCGTTTTCTTACGAGACTTCAACGACACCACGTCCCTCAACACCCTTAAGCAAAATTGGCCAGAATGCTCTAAATCGAAAAGCTAAACGTTCATTCTCTTTACAATCACCATCTACTGTGTCTTCAAAGCCATCATCCACCTCATTACCTGAACGCCCTAAAGGGGTTTTGTCATTGCAACATTATAAGTTTCGTTAAATTTGGCATGTCTTGCTATCTACGTTCATTTATACCTTTCGTGTGTAACCAAACCATCTTGTAATTCTTTGTCATTCTTTTCAATGGTTTACTTTGGGTACTAAAATATTTATATATCATTTTTTCGAACGGTACTAGTTAGTTTAAGGAATTAAAATAACTTCATGAAGAGTAGCATCCGGATAAATCATAATTATTGTACAAGTAAGAGAAAAAAATAAATTTATTATGAGACGCCTAGCCTTTGTAAAGCCGCAAAAATCGGAGACTTGTCAAGGTAGAGATTCGAAGATGCTAACTGACAGGCTTCATGTATCCTGCCTGACTGTATGAGGAAAGCTAAGAGAGTATCGAGGTATAAAGGTTCTTTTTTCGAGCTTAAAACGGAAACCATAATATCGACCTCTTCTTCGGTTAAAGGAAGTGAAACTATTAACTTGCAAGAGTCTTTATCATTCGAGTCTAAAACTACATGAAGAAGTCCTTCCCACAACACAAGCGGTTGCATGCATTTTTTCTGAGATTTGTTAGCAGCTTTATAAGTAATTATAACAATACCATAAAGTTAAAGGCGCTCAGAAAACTATGTCTTGCAAGAGCGAGAGTATAGCACTCTTGTTTTCTAAATGTATCCAAAGGAGGGTTCACAAACTGTACAAAACGAATCATTTGGAAGAACTTGTCGTGTCGATAAAACGTTTCCAAAATTTTGTCTGGGAAATTTGGTAACACATCCGGCTGTAAAAAGTGATCAAGCGCTTCCTATATTTTGTTAGCTCAATAAGCCCAAGCGATAGAATGAAAAGCCATAGGAAACTAATAAATTCACATTCTCGTCTAGCATACCTCAAAGTTCAAATGATCTAAAGCGTAATAACCATCGATTAATTGACGGAAATTGAAAGGTAATAATATTTGATTGGCATATGTTTCACTTTTTCCCCAATCTTTTAATAAGTAGTAATAAAAGCACTGCTGTTTAAGTTCATCGATATTAGAAGAGTCAATGATTAAAAAGAGATTTTTCAAATCGTTCATGGAGGATGGAGGATAATACGCCTCTGGCTCCTTAATAATATCAATGAAAGAGAATAAAACATCAAAAAAGAGCTGCTTGTCTATTTGATTTTGTCGCAATGACTTAATGTTCAACCTAACATCTTGGTTGTATGGAAAATCCTCAGGTCTAATGCTGAACAATCCTATAAATTTTTCGAACTGGGTTTCATCTAATTCCATCCTGTAAATCAATTAAAGAATGAAAATCAACTTCACCTGAATGAAGCGGTGGAAGAATGTGAAGGTGTTCTTGGAGGGTCCTTCCTTCTGACCAGTACCACCTTTCTACACCCAAGGTATGCTATGGTCTCCCGCGTCAGTTCTCGTGAACGACCAAGGCCTCTAGTATCAGAATCAATTATTGATGCTCCTAGTCAGCGACTTTACGCCATTGGCGTGCTTGTAGCGCTTCAAGCTTACAAAATTTACGATCTTTTTAGGTTAGGAACTAGTAGTTTTATAGAGGGTTCAAAAACGAGTTTTTTGGTAAAATGGATACTAATAGACGCATTATATTTGCAAATATTACCTCGTTTTCGTATACCCTGGCTTTCGTTTCAACCTACCACAACGATTTTGCAGATTGTCGCTTTTGCTGCGGTTAACGTGCTATTGGTTTCCATTACTAGTTTACGGGTTGTAACTCTTGGAAGTATAATTTTTCCATATTGGAAGCAAAAGGAGTACGCGATCGCAGAACATAAAATAAATCCTAGGTCTGTACTTCATAATTCTTCCCGGATTTTAGGTCAATATACTGTCCAAATCCTCCCAGAGGGCACTGCAAAATTAAATCCTAATAACCAACATTTCTGTTTGCCCGAAAATGACAAAAGTGGTTTCGTCGAATTCGCCGTTCAGTTTAATTCGACCACTCCGAAATCAATTGTGTATTCCTACAGAGACTTTTCCTCTGATATAGAAAATGAAATTGAGATTTCTGGCCGTTCTTTGAAAAAGCTTATCTCAACTGGTATGCGGAATCCCAAAGATGCTCGTTTGCAGACTATTTATATTAAAGCCAACAAACATGGCCTTTATAAACTGAAAAAAGTCGTCGATAAATCGAATTTGGGCGTTCGGGTTGTTCGCTCCGAAGCTGTGGTCGTTGATTGCCCTTCAGCGGTTTTTGCTTCCTCTAAACCTAGTGATCGAGCTCATGAGAAATGTGTGGGCGACGAAGATTCCATCGAATTAGACGTATTCGGTGTACCTCCCTTAAAGGTTGCTTACAAAACATGGGACGGAAAGCGATCATATAGTCACTTTATCGATTCCGTCGTTCCAAAGGATTACCGTTTGCATCCTCTTATGCTCTCTAACAATCCTCAAGATATTGCATTTTATAAAGGATTAGATGTACAGTATGCACATTCTTCTAAAGTTCAAATTCCTATCACTGCTCCTTTAGAAACATATGGGGAATGGCTGTATGCAATTGAAAATGTCACTGATGTCTTTGGAAACACTTACGTCTTCCCTTCTGTTGAAGAGTTTTTCGCAAAATATTCCACTAACGAAGATCAGCCTGACCAATTGTCTAGTCACACTTACAAAGTACTCGTCCATCAGAGACCTGAAGTCAAATTCCGTGAATGTTCACTTGAAAATCCTGCCAACCTTTTCCCCGGAAAAGAGGTTTCTTTGTCAATTGCTACATCCTATAAGTTCCCGGATGACTTGCAAGTTTCACTTAATCGATATGATTTAGGTTTAGATCCACAAAACCTCACAGTTGCCCCTAACTCTCAAAATGTATTTAAGCTAGAGCCTCATTCGTCATTTATAAAAGTTAAAGAAACTGGTATATATGTGCTTTCTGGTGTTTCTTCGAAATATTGTTCAGGAGATGTTTTAGTACCAAATACTTGTTTGGTTGTGACACCTCCTGAAACCAAGCTGCATGTTGGATTTGAGGAAATCTCGGATCAGTGTGCTGGTTCTATAGGTGCACGTGCCGATCTTGAGTTTGAAGGCACACCTCCCTTTAAGGTTGCTTATCGGATGATCAAAGACAATAAAGCTTCTCGAGTACAATATGTCACGACTGATCGTACACGCTATCAGCTAAATTTTACTCCTAAAAAGTCAGGAAAATACCGCTACGTTATTTTAGGAGTAGAAGATGCTAACTACGGATACAAAGAACTTGCTGGCGCTGCTTACAGTAAAGAGCAAACTGTTTTCCCTTTGGCTGATGCTGCTTTTGAAGAAAATATGAACGGAGAAATGAGTTCAATAGTTAAAAGCTGCTGTATTGGCGATACTATGAAAATTCCTGTTTCATTAGTTGGCTCATCTCCATGGAAGCTCGAGTACGAAATTCTTAGAAACAACAAACGTGAAAGCATTCAAGTTGTTGAGTCTAAGAGTCAACGCTACATAATAGAGACTCCAGCTCTTATACACGGATCTCAATATACTATCACTTTAGTAAGCGTTGAGGATGCGAATGGCTGTAAGCGTGCTTTGAATACCGCTGATACGATCATTAAAGTACGTCGTCAAAGACCCACTGCTACATTTTATTCCTCTGACGAAAGCTATCGTTTAGAGTCTGTGGAAAACTCTTTGCTATCTATTCCTTTGAGACTTGCTGGTGAAAAGCCTTGGTATATTGAGTACGATCATGTGTCTCCGGACAATAAAACTACTCGCAATCAAGCCGTTTTCTATGATCCAAATAGCCATCTAAACGTTAACAAAGCAGGAACGTACTCATTAGTTTCCGTAAGGGATAGCTCTTGCCCGGGATCCATTCAGAATTCCTTACAAACTTATGAAGTTGAATGGCTTCCTAAGCCCTCTTTGTCTATGCCTTCGGAGCCTTCCTGGAAAAGTTCGAATGCCTACCACTACGAACAAGAACCCGTTTGTGCTGGTGACAGTAGTGCATTTGATATTGAGCTTAAAGGTGCCAGTCCATATCTTTTGGAGTATGAAAAGTCTCTAGTAGAAGAAAATGGCAAGCATCATTCGAAGCAACGATCAGAAGTATCTACTATGCAAAGTTCCATTCTACTGAAAACAGAAACTTCACTGTTTGGTACATATACATATGAATTTCTTCGTTTGTCGGATGCCTTGTATGACAAAGTAGAGGCGCGAATAGTGGATGAATCAGGCTTGCACAGAGTGATTATTCACCAGAAGGTAAATAAGTTACCTGTAGCTTCGTTTTTGGATTCCAATAAGCTTTACACATTCTGTATACATTCTGACAGTAATTACTCAAAGGAACAACAGATTGGTGTGAAATTGAACGGCAAAGGACCGTTTATTTTAGGATTTGAAATCAAAAACGAGATGACGGGAGCTGTTAATAAAATAACAGTGAATGAAGTGTTTGGGCCCATTTACAAATTTATATTTCCCAAAGATCAATTAACGCTTGGAAAGCATACAGTGCGCTTGCTGCATGTGCAAGATGCCAATGGATGTCAATCTAGTATTCCCAAAGAAGATCCATTTGTAACGGTAAGTGTTGCAGAAAAGGCTTCCATGGTTCCAATTGAATCTCATGAATATTTCTGTGTCGGAGATCGACTTTCTTATGCTTTGCAAGGAGTGCCGCCCTTTGAAATAGATTATGAATTTAATGGGAATAAAAAACATGCAAAAAGCAACCAGCATATTTTCACAAGAATAGCTGAGTTCCCTGGTTTGGTGACTATGAAATCGATATCCGACCAAGGAAGTCCTTGCCGCGCTGAACTTGATCCTCCGATTCAAAACCAAGTGTATGACATTCCAACAGTAAGGGTTAGTGACGGTGGAGAGGTGATTGAAAATATTCACGAAGGTGATCAAGCGGAAATCTCGTTTCACTTTACAGGTATCCCTCCCTTTTCCTTTACGTATTGTCGAAGAGCCATTGGAAGGAAAGGACCTGGTAAGATTTTGGAAATGCACACAATCACTGGAATTTATGATTATGAATATAAGGTATTAAGTTCAACGGAAGGTGTATATACTGTGTTAAGCGTCCAAGATAAGTATTGTCGCTATCCTCGTGATTCATCTCCCTTGAGTACATAAATGAAAACAAACTTGCTTTATAAGCAAGCTTTGGTTTGGGATATGGTAATATTCTATGAAATAGAAATGAAATAAAAAAAAAAGGTCTTTTTATATTTTCCCGGTGTCTCTTAATGAACCTTTTTCTCATCTTACTCCTATGTAACCACCTAGCTATATTACTGAATTGATGCCTACTGAAACTATTCGGTTTTCAGAGAGAAACAGGAAAGAGAAATATAAAATACAAACAATGAAAAATAAAAGGTTTGAAATGAAACCAAAAAAAAAACTAAAAATTGCTTAAAACGTTTATTAAATCGTCAAGGATAGTCATGAAACCAATTCTCAACAAGGAATACTTCTTAAACACAATCATACAGAAAGGAGTGTCAAGTCGGTTATTGTCCACCTTGTACTTGATATTTCCATATTCAGGAAATGTAGATGGCGACACAATGAAACCGACGATTATTTCTTTTTGTTCCTTACCGTATAAACCAAGGAGACATGCCAATCCGATCAAGCGCAAACGTGGATTCCTTGCTAAATCCGTTCCAACCGAAAAAAATTGATCTCCGCGGAACATTAAAACATAAACAAAAACATCACAGAAGTGTTCCCTCATTTGTACGAATATCACTGCTTTCCCTCTTCCCTCTTCGGTAGTGAGAAATAAAGCCTCGGGTTTATGCAAGCTCCACTCGTTATGTGACCTTATTTAGCTCCAATTCATACGTCTGTTCCTGGGATTCCGGCGTCATTGTTCTTACGGAATATGAATTCTTTGTCATCCCGAAAGTATGCCGTATTATGGTCTATCGAGGCCTTTGCGGAGTTCCGAAGTTTTTCCGTCTATATATATAGATGGAAGCATGGAGCGATGCTGACAGTTAGAAAATTCTTACCGGAAAGGAATTGTACCTAAGACTAGTGTTGGGAACTGGTTGATTTGGATCCTCCAACAAAATATAAACAAACCAAACTAAACCAAAATAAATATAAAAATTCGGTGTCCTTTTGTCTTTCTTTGTTTTTCGTTTCTCTCTCTTGCGTTTTATTTATCATTTTCTATTACATTTCTTGTTAGAAAAGTCCTTTAAAAGTCATCTCTGTTTTTCGTTCAGCATTCTTCAGGTATTTGAACAACAGTAGAAGTTATTTTCTCTGCTTCATTTCGTTTGATTTCGTTATTTTCATTTTATTACCATCATAATCGTTATGCAATTTCTTCATCTTGCTCTTTCACTCTTGACGGCATCGACCACTGTCTTTGCAATCGAACCTTTGACAATCAAAGGACGAAAGTTCTTCCAAAATGATACCCAGTTTTATGTTAAAGGTGTCGCCTATCAACCCCAAGTAGATGCTGAAGTGACCAGCACCGTCATTGATCCTTTGGCCGATGCCAATAACAAGAATTGTAGCAACGACGCCAAGTTGATCCGCTCTCTTGGTGGAAACTCTATCCGTGTATATTCCGTGAACGCTAGCTTGGATCATGATTATTGTATGGAAGCTTTCAAGAATGAAAGCATCTATGTCTTTTTAGACGTCGCCAACCCCTCTACCGGCATCGACCGAGCCAACCCGACTTGGACCTTGACTCAGTACGATAGCTACAAACAGGTCATTGACGTTTTTTCCAAGTATAACAACACTGCTGGCTTTTTTGCTGGTAATGAGGTTGTTAATAATGCTACCAATGCTGCTTCTGCTGCCTACGTCCGTTCTGTTGTCCGTGACTTAAAGTCCTACATCAAGTCCAAAAATTATCGTAGCATTCCTGTTGGTTATGCAGGCGCCGATATTCCCGTTATTCGTAATGAACTCGCTGCTTACTTAACCTGTAACGCTACCAATACCCCTCAAGACAATGCTACAGAGGCTGACTTTTTGGGGTACAATAACTATGAATGGTGTGGTGACTCTAACTTCTATGCTTCCGGTTATGCTGCTCGTACAAATGAGCTCCAAAACATCACTGTTCCCATCTTCTTTTCTGAATTTGGATGCAACATCATTCACCCCCGTATCTTCACTGAAGTCCAGGCGATTTACTCCAAAAACATGACTGACGTTTGGAGCGGAGGTATTGTTTACGAGTTCTCCGAGGAGGTAAATGGCTATGGGTTAGTCAATATAACTTCTACCGGTGAGCGTGTTAAAAGTGTCGATTTTGACAACTTAAAAAAACAATGGGCTACTGTCAATCCCGAAAAGGTGTCGAAGCATTCTTATCAGCCCCTAGGTAATGCTCCCGAATGCCCTGCCAGAAACGAAACTAGCTGGGCTGTCACTTTCGAGGCCTTCCCGGTCACCCCTAATGCCTCTTTATGCGACGATGCTGTCAAAAACCTTCGTTGCTCTGTGAATGGCGACCCAGAAGGAGCCAAGATAGGTCAAGTTTTTGGTGAATTGTGCTTTTATGACCAAGAGGCATGTGCTGATATTACCAGTGACCCCTATAATGGTCGTTATGGAAAGTTTAGTGGATGCACTGGTAAACAACAACTTAGTCTTGCTTTGGACGCCTACACCAAGCATCATGGAGATGATGCTTGTAGTTGGGGTGGTATCGGCATCCTATCTTAGATCAATTCTAGCCATGAAATTATATTTATTTTAAAAGGAATTGATTAATTGATTTTAAAATTTATATAGAGTTCTTTTAATATTTTAATCCTTCTTTTCTAGTCTACATTGCGAAACTACTCTTAGACAATATAAGCCCACCAAGAAATAAAACTGTACCACCATTCATTGATGTCTGAATATGATGTAGAATTGAGATAGTAGAGATAGTAGAAAAATGGTACGGTAGTAACGTACTGCTTCACGTGAACATTGTCTATTCATCATTGTCCAACAAGGACTTTGATAAAGATACACCTGACGGAAGTTTTTTAGCAGTACTACTCATTACTGAGCTTTTCAGCTAATATTTGTGAATTATAGGATCTATGAGATGCTGAAGGTATGGAGACTTGGAGTAGAGCCCTTTAGTGTCATACATATAGATTCAAACGAAAGGATAAGCATCTCTTTATAATCATTATACGTTTTGTGGAAAACCACCTTCAAACACAAAAAAAAAGAAGACTAAACTAAACCGTTATGGCGTATTATGGGCTCTCTTCTTAAAGCAAGTAATCCAAAACTTGTGGACCAACCGTTCTCATTGAGTAACTGAGCCATTTCTTTTAACAGTCCTTTTAATAGATTAACTCAACCTGCTTCAGGAATATAAAATTTGACGGGCTATAAGTTGTAAACATCAGACAGGCGAATTTGAATTCGATAAGCTTTGAAGACCTAGCTATCGAGTTTCAAATAGCCTTTGTGTCATAACGGTTAGTGAATCATCCATGTAGATATATAACTGCATGCGATAGACAAGGATAGATCAGTGAATTTCACCATTCTTTGCTTACCAGTTCCCACTATGAATATTGAAGATTATAATATCCTTTCGAATTACAAGAGGGATTATGACCAATTTATCAGGCCAAATGAGAATTTACAGAATGCAGTTGATGCTCAGATAGATACACCAGCCGTTACTTGGGCTATTATTAGTACGGTGATTGACATCTTAGGTGACCAGGCAAACTGTTGGAATTATCAAATTCAAGGGGAAAACAACCATGTTAGCGTTTGGCCTACTGAAGCAAGCATTAACAAAGGTATCATATCCGAATTGGAGGATGCTGCTAAACGTAATCTTGGAATACATGGGTACTCTATATTAGAGCTATATAATATAGAAAATGGCCCTGATGAAGAAACAAGTCAAAACGGGCGGCCCCTTACCGCTATTTCTGATGATGTTTCTCTAATCTGCAACTGCTGGCTGGATTATACCACAAAGTTGGGGTTAATAAGAAGTGGAAACTTTATCAAGAATGAAGCATATAAAGACAGTGCCCGTGACTTAGAATTGTGGCGTTTCGGTAATGATTTTGACAGAACTCAATTGAAAGATGGAGAGATGTTAATCCACATGCTAAAAATGTAAGTGATCACTAGTCATCTTCATCGCTCAATATAGCATCTCTATCTTTTCACAGCGTCCATTTATTGCGGGAGGTGTCATATCAGGATCCTGTTTTTATAATTTTCGCTATAATCACGGTAATAACTATAAAGAATTACTATCTATTCTATATGTAAAAACAATGTGGAATCAGCGATTACTCAACTCAAATAGAAACTTATGAGACAAAGAATAGATCATGTTTACTACATTGAAATAAATATATGTAGCATTAGTCTAGTCGAAATCTTGAGATTGTAGGATTCAACTGGTCTGGCTGAATAAGATTGTTTTTCCATTTATCGATTTGTTTTACCAAATTCTTGGACGGATTTAGTATCCTTTCATGTAATATCACATCGTTCATTTCAATGTACAATCCTACAACTGTACCTGTTATTTCCACTTTAAAAACATTCCCACAACGCGTGAGGTTTCTGTCGTAACAAAAAATTAGCGCCATCCATGGACGATGAATAAGATAACCATTTTCTAATACGAGCTCTAGTTGCTCTAACCAAAATGCAGTAATATCAAGAGATATCAATTTTGATTTTGATGCAATTGATTTCCAAACCTTTTTCACGAGAAATGATTCTTCAGTCTTAGATAAGGTACACTCCAGTCAAGTTTTCTTAAAAAAAAAGGAAAACCATTCGTACGAGAAAATTCAAACTTGATGTCTCCATCAAATAAACTCTTTGAATACTCAGGAGTGCATTTCTGGGTTAATTGTGCATGGAATGCATGAAGCTGATCCATCCATGGCAATGAAAGAAATCGCGTGTTTTAAGGTGCTTTCTCGAGAAGACTCAAATAATTTTATAAACGAACTAAGGTCTTCGGTTCCAAGTTAGTTATGCCTAATAGCCCCGAACATTCACAATCGATACTAGATGATACTAGATATAAGCTGATTTTTCCATCAAACTTTTTAAATAATTTAGATCTGCTATAATGTTGTTACCATCGCCTTTCATTCTTTTATTGCTCTTTGAAGGCTTCTTCTGTCACATAAATTACAACAGACCGGAAGTAAGATACGAAACACACACACACAAAAAGGAGAGAACTGTAAAAACCGCTTTAATATAAGCATCAGAAAACTAATAAAACATGGGTAACTCCAAACCCAATAGCGCGTCCCCAAAGATTATATCACTGTATACATAACTCTGTTAAACGATTAGGAATAATTGAAACATAAGAAGATAAAGTGGATTAGCAAGATAGCCAAGGGGTAAAGAGCTAAGCCGTAGCTGGCAGATGAACCACGAATATATTTAAAATTTATATTCTTCGAATCAACTTGGCGGGCGAAAACCTTGCTCCAAAGCCGCCAGAGCCAACTTAGATTTCGGTTTCTTTGACTTTTTAGAAGATCTTTTATCTTCGTGTTGCTTTTTTTCTTCCTTCGATTTTTTTATTTTCTTACTATCAGTCGAATCACTAAAACTGTTTTCACGTTTTTTCTGTAAAATACTCGAGCCAGCAGTCTCTTTCTGTTTTTCCTCGTCCTTCTTTTCCTTAAAAGGCTTCTTAAGCTTTTTTGAATTGATCATATCTGAATTTTCTATGTCGCCGGAAGGTCTAATTTCTTTTGTATCTTTATTATGATCATTCATATCTGGAGAGGCCTGCGCATTTAGAACTTCGTGTTTCGGTTCTGAGAAAGGAGTTAACGATGGTGAGCGCTCATTACGTGGTAAAGTATCCGATTCTTCCTTTACTAAGTTATCATCCAATTTATGCTGTTCCTTAATTGACTTTAGTTTTTTCGTATCAGATTTCCAATGCAATAGTCGTTCAAAACTAACACCCATCCAACATTTCCTCGCTTTGGCGTCCTCAATCAAGTTACGAAAGACTTCATTTTGCAGTAAAGGTTCAGTACTGCCCACAATGTACAATGAAGACCTTGCTCTAGTTAAAGCAACGTTCAAACGACGTACGTCTTGTAAAAATCCTATACCATTTCCCATGGAACTCCTGACGCAAGAGAAGATGATAATGTCCTTTTCTTGTCCTTGAAAACCATCAACTGTATGTATGTCCAAGTACTTAAAAATAATTGATCCAAATTTTTTCTGAAATTGGTAGCGAAGTTCTTGGACTTGGCTTCGATAAGGAGTAACAATACCAATCTTTCCTTCAAAGTCAATATTGATAAAGTTTTGTGAAAGTTTTTCATATAATAAAAGAACAAATGATGCTTCATCAGTATTATACAATGATTTAGATTTTGAAACAGATTCTTTACCTTGCACGTTAAAAAAACGATAAACACCAAATAGAGCATCATGATGCCATGGTCGATCTGCAACAGAAACCATATTTGGTCCATCAATTAGCTTCGATTGGTAAAAGTAATGACTGGGAAATTTGCTAATTTCTGGGTGCATTCGGTATTGGATGCTTAAAAGATAGGCATTACTTGGATTCTTTTTAAACATCCGGACATAAAGTGACTGATCATAACCGTTTTTTGAAGCAGACTTCGACAGCACAGTTGGTGGTAACTGGTTCGGATCACCGACCATAATACAACGTTTGCAATCATATTTCAAAGGGATAAGAGAGCTAAGCTCGACTGCTTGAGCAGCTTCATCTATGATTACAGTCGGGAAACTTATATTGGCATTTAGCAACGTCTCATGACCGCTAGCAGACAAAGTTGCACAAACTACATCAGCATCCTGAAGAAGTTGATTTTGTATTTGCTTTTTCGCTAAATCCATACTCCTGTTGGCATTTTGTTGCGTGCTGCGCATTTCGTCTAAACTTTGTTCAAGGGAATTTTTTTGACGTGTAATTTCTCTGAGCCTTAATTCCAAAGAGGAGCTATCCTTACCAGCTTGGCGAGTTAAATCAATATTTTCTCTTAACTTGTTACGTTCCAAAAGAATAGCGTCATGTTTTTTTCTGACTTCGCCGGCATCAGAAGAATTTTCATGCTTCTTTAAATTTGTAATTTCCATTTGCTTAACCATCTGTTCTTCTAGTGTAAATTCCTTAGCATGAACATTAATTGACTCTGTGAAACCTATTCGAATTACTTTAGGCATAAACTTTATTCCTTCATGGTCGTATACGCCATCTTTTAAACGCAATAAAATTTCGTCTATTGCAGCATTACTAGGAGCACAGATCAAAACCCTATTTTTCTGATTTTGTTGAATGGGATTTGACTGCCCAGGGGCAGCAAACCGTAAACCCTGACCTTTGGAAGTCAATATCGCACCAATCATACCTAAAATAGTTTTTGTTTTTCCTGTACCAGGAGGACCCTGCACAAGTGTAAATCCATCATTACTAGAAGCTGCGTTAATTGCTTTAGCTTGAGGCTCATTAACTCCATATGATTTCACAATTTTTTTTAGGCCTTCACTATTAGCATACTCCGAGTGTTTGCTAATTCTGGCATGTAAAATATCGCTGGAAAGATTAACAAATGGAAGTGACTTCAATGCGGAGTATTCGCGCAAACTGGTGGTCGCACTAAAAAGTTTCTGTAAGTAAAACTTGGCACCAGGAATCATTTCTTGTAGCGTTTTTGCATCAGAATTAACACGAACAAAAATATCGATTGATTCTTTCTTCCTAGTTAGAGACTGAATTTTAGCAAGAGTTGACGGCTCTTTTTTTTCTGGTGAGCTAGGTTTTTTTGACTTGGATAATACGCATATGTCAGTATCGCTGAGATACTGTAATTCAGTGATTGTTCTGGAGGAAAAACCTAGCTCAACAAAGTTATCAACAGTGGTACGAGTATTCATTGTCAATTCTAACGGAGTATATTGATCTTCCTCAATAGCTCCGCGAATTTGAGCCCAACATTCATTGAATAAAAACGGCATAAAGGTTTTCTCGTAAGTATCTGGAGAAGAGTAAGCAATTTCAATACTTCGACATCTCAAATTTTTTTCATCGACAGTTGTATCAGATTGGAGAATTGGATTCCAGCTTAAAAGAATTTTATAAAAACTTTGAACATCTGGAAATAAACGAAGCCGAGAGGTATAAATACTCTGATGAGCTTCCCTGTGACGCTGTGCAGGATGTACGACATTATTAGTCTTCAAGGAATTTATATCCAAAAGTTGTACTTGACGACGTGGAGCATTTGATTTATTCTGATTAGAGACATCACGCATTAAAGAGAAAAGCCCATTATTTTCATTTTCCTTATTATTTGAATCGGATTCTGACTCTGACTCTGACTCTGATTCGGAAGATTCTGCATCATTTGAAGTCAATTGTAAGTTCCGTTTAGGTTCTATAGGCTTCTTTTTTGGAGCTACAGAATCCAACTTATTCAAAGTTCTGCGTGACTGTAACTCTGAAGTTTCTCCGATAGTCAAGTTAGCAGATTTTGGGCCGACCTTCTGAATATAATTTCGACGAGCGGGTTGTGGCTTTTCAATTGCGTCCTTCTCTTTATCAAGCAGGGACAATGTTTTTGATGAAAGAGTAAAATGGTTTGCTGTCCCTTTATCTTCATTGGCGGAAACAACCTTAGTATCACTTTCTTGAGATTTAGAAGAGAGTTTCCTTTGTTGCTTCGGTCCTTCATCTATCACATAGACATCCGGACTCGTCAAAGCCACTTGTTCTGAATTTGATGTTTCGCCTGCAGTTGAACTGAAAGGCTTTGTTTGTAAATGCTCAGGTAAATAAGGTGAAATTGCAAGAAACAAATCTTCCCGTTCGGATAAAGTAAGGATCGTAGACCCATCTCGTGCTGCAGAAGACTTTTGAATCATATCAACAGTATTTTGATTAATTGGCAAAGACAAGTTATTGAATAATTTCAGCATAGCACAAATAATTCTGACAACTGAAGATAATAAACTCGAATCGTTCAATTTAAGCCAATAGGAAAGTGTTATTAGGGAGTTAAGAACTGAATTAGCTAATGCTTTCTTAGAAACGTCGCTATCTTCTGGTTTGGAATTGGAGACAGAAATATTGATGCCAGCTATAAATTCGGAGACCTGATGAAAGCTTTTTAAAAGCATTTGACAACAGTCTAAAGAAACATGCATTATGTCAACGAGAACTTCTTTTTCATGTTTTACTGGCCAACTTGGTAAAGCAATAAAAAAATGAGCAAGAAACTTCCATAAATTATCCCAATATGTTTTCAAGGCATCACAGTTATCTTCATCTTTGAACGATATGCTAGTACCATGTAACATTCCATCTAATGGGTGGAAAAGATGTGTGATGATCGTTTTTCCTTGATAAACCAGCCGCTTAACACTGCTAAACGCCCTATATTTAACCCATTGTAAATAAATACCTGAGAGCGCTCTAAGTGAATCCGAAAACCGATATTTTAGCAACTTGTCTATGGCTTCACCTATGCTTTCAGTATCAGTTGACAGATTAATTATAGTCCATGCATTATTTGAAAATTCAGAAATTGGAGAAAAAAGGAATCCTATTAGCGCAGAAAAAACGTGAGGATTTTCCAAAAAAGATTTTAAAGATGAAAGACTCCAACGTTGAATTATCATCAACATGTCAGACAAAAACTGGCAAAACGAGTCTAGTGCTTTATTATAAGCAGACAAAAAGGCATCATCAGTCTTCGGTGGATCAAGTTTGTCTATAAGATGAAGAGATGAAATGCATCGGAAAATAGAACAAGCCAAGGTTTGACTTTGTTCGACGAGGAGAGAAAGTAATTTTCTCCAAAAAGTTGATACAGACTTTTCAGTAAGATGCAAGTTTATGTTTACATCATTACGCTTCTGAGCGTACTTTCGATAACTATGTCTTAAAGCATAAACATCGATGTTCAAGCGATATTCGAAAGCTTTCTTAAACGATGGTTGTTCAAAAGAATTGATATAATCTTTGAGATTAGAAAAAAAGAGATCGAAATTCGAGCATACAGTTAGATGCAAGGAATCCACATATGCTTTTGGTGAATCTTCGCTATGAGATATAATCTGAAAGTATTCGTTAAAAAGCAAAGAATGAATTTCACAAATACATTTGAAAATGGGATTATTCATATACGTGATTCCTTCAGATATTGTAAAAAGTACATTGCACTTTTCAAGCAACATTTGTACAGCAGGTAGGTGTTTTTCTAAAGAAATCGAGTTGAGAAAGGGTATGGTCCAATCCAAAATCTTGCTATTGCAATCTTTATTTTGCTTTATCATTTGTTCTACCCAATGTTGATGAGCTTCGCTTTCAAAAATCAAAGTAACAACTTGAGAGGGTTCAAGTTTAGAAGCTTTCCAAAACCTAAGTTTATAACATTTTAATAAAGAATGCAGACAATCTAAGAAAGAGGGATATTGACTCAACGGTGCTTTCTCCAACCCGCGTAAGATAAAGGAAATTGGTTCAAATCCATGTTTTCCTAAGGATTCAAAATAATCAAATGAGACATTATTCAAAAGAGCCGAAAAAGCATTCAAAAAGCGCTTTACATATACGTCGTCGGATGTACTTTTCCTTAAAGAATGAATTTCCTCAAGAAATGGTGCTTGGAGGTTCACAAATTCATTCGCGGGGATTACTTCACAACCGCTGAGAATACCGAACGCCCATTTCCGTAAGGCGTCATCATCAGAAAATAAAAGGTACACAACACCTGGAACCAACTTTTTAGATAGTCGAAGAAATCCAGCCTCCAAGAACCTCTTTCGAAACAACGTGAAAAGGGTTTCATTCTTTAAAAATTCTACATTATATAGAATTTCATAAAAAGCACACAAAATAGGTTTGGAAGAGGCACTAGAGTCAATCTTAGGAATACTTTGTAAAACCTTCATTAGTCTGGAAACATCCCATTGAAATATCTTCTCAAGCACTATAGCGAGAGTGTTTGGATCAAAATGGAAAATATTAAGGCATAAAGTCTTGAATTCTTCAATTAATTGATGATAGCTTAATATGCAGGAAGGGCAAACTTGGAGTCGTTCGTCCAAGTGTTTTTTAAACCACGTCAAAAAATCATTTTCATCCTGAAAAGAAAATAGAAAAAAGCATTCCCGTACAGCAATCTTCAAGTGCGATTTACAAACCCAATGAGCATCTTGGCGGTTGGCATTTAAATACGATAGAGCCAAATGAAGAACTTTATTAGAACCCTGAAATGAAGGTGAATTTTGATTATCCTGAATCGATTGTTCTAGTTCCTGGAAGAGTTTCGAATCCTCCATAGCCGCAGTGCTACTTGGGCATTATTTATTGTTTGAAAAAGTTTGGCTGTAAATAAAACGAAAGCATATTATAATAAGACGCGACACGGTATAATGAATTACGCTAGAGTATGGTAGATGTTCAATTTAATAAACAATATCACAAACGAACAATGAATTACAGGAATATAAATGACAAGAAGCAATTATTAGATTCTAAATGGAAAATTATAAGAAAAATGGGACATTAAAATCATTATAGAATGGGCTAGCAGCATTTTTTAACACGATGAGTCAACAAATCAGGTCGAACTTTCAACTTGTTTGTCAAAAATTAGACGAGCTAAGCGTTTGTAATCTGCAAGCAAAATGTTTATTTCGCCGACCTTCAGCTCGGAGGCGTCTGTCACGGTAAGAAACCGTTCTAGAGGTGGATCATTAACGGAGACAACGTTGTCTGTCGACAAAGTAGAGTTACGAAGAGCATGCCCAGCTACTTTATTGACAAAAGAGGAATAAGATTTTTCAAGAGCTACGCCCAAACCTCTTAAGTTTGAAAGCGAAGATCGTTGTTCATTATTTGTTTCAAGGTCTGCTTGATTAGAATCGGAAGACGGAAATTCATCCTTAGCAGAGGCCTCTAATGATAGAGGATCGTCCGTTGCCTGCATGGGACAATGGGTCAGTAGATTTGGACACGCACGGAGGATGAAAGAAATTGCAGCTTCAAACGTTGTCAAGCAATACTTTTGTTGCCCAGTTAAGTAATCTGGGTTTCGAAAACGCAAAACAAAATTCAAATGAGACACTAATTGTAAACCCTGAAAAGATAATATGCAGAAGATAGTTAGATTTAATAAATTATCAGCATTTAATTCTTGTTTCGGCAAATTTGATGCCTCAACGATTTTTTCACTAACATTCATAAACAGATTCAGTTTCAGCAAAGGCGTTTTTAGTCTACTGAGAGCAAAGAAAGTCTCTGCGACATTTTCAAGGCGCTTCTTTATCTCTGCTTCAATGGAAAGACACTCCACTAAACCGTTTTTTTCTTCAGAAGAGGCGAACTTTTTAAGAAGGTCATCTTTATTTTCATCGGTGCTAGTGCTCAAACAGAAAAGTCTAGGTATGCATTAGAATCAATAGCAAAGTAGTATTAAGAATAGAAAACTCACCTGTCATATAAATACTCGCATACGATACCTTCAATAATATTCATCCATTCATCTTTTTGTTTTACAAGGTGTTGCTTTGCCATCTTCTGGGTTTCCATTTCCTCAGGGGAAAGTAAAGGCACATCTTGACTTGGAGATTCAGGATTGGGAATTAGAGTTGAAAGCATAAATTCATCTGTTTTTCTGTAAAAGTCATGAAAGGTTTTCGTTATTTCATCAGGAGATAATAGTTGGGGATGAACGGGGCTTACAAGAGATGAAATAAATTCCTTAATGCAAAACTGTACAGTTACAGGAAGTACGGAAGCACTCTCGGGAAGCTCAATGTCGTCTAGTTTTTGCTTAACTGTATATTTTGACGCTCTCCAGGAGTTTAAAAAACTCATAATGCAGATGAAATTACTGACCTAAATTTTAGGTTTCTTAACATATATATCTGTATGTATAGAAAAAAAAAAAGGACTGAAAGCTGAAAGTAAGGTAAGAAGGAACTAATAGAATCAAGGTTATATATAGTTGATAAGTAAGCCGTTCGATTCAACTTATAAAGGATAAACCTGGACGAAAAGAAAGTTATAGGAGATAAATCCTTAACTGTTGGAAGCTTCCGTTATAATGATTATGAAAACTCAAAATACAGGGAACTGAGATGAAGTGCACAAATTTAAGAATGGCAAGCCAAACCTGATAAATACCGTTGGAATCCTTCGAAATTTACTACACCGTAGAGAAATATTTTCACAAAAATGAAAACAAAACTTGATTCTTTATGTTTTCGATGTTTGAGATATGACCAAAGAAGATTCAAGGAATCCACAACGCAGTATCGCTATTTTACATTATTAAGTTGATGTAAACAAAGGCAAGAAAGGTATCAAGAAAGAAAGCGATCATTCTTCATTGAAGGTAGAGTATATGGCATTCGTTGGAGTTTTAAGCTAGCGATAATTTGGTAAATAGAAAGGTAAGACTGAGCGTCAAAAGAATCAGTGTTGTATTTTGCTTCCTCAGTCAACTCGACGGTTTTAGCTAGTCTCTACGAAATGCCTTCTTTAAAATCTATCTTTTTTATTTTTCATTTGTTTTCACAAGAAAAGAAGGAAACATCATTTTTATACTCGAATATCATATTTATTTAAATGTCTTCCATTTTATTATGAAGTGTATCGTTGTAAGTTGCAGTTACATCGATATTGCTACCCTGTATATGTTACCTGTCGTTTTTGGATTGTTCAATTTAAGCTTGGGAATATGAGCTCAAAAAGGGCTTTTGATCAAAAAAAAAAATGAAAAGACTCTATGTGGTTTCCTGAGATTTCAGCCCAATCCCATTGCTTAGCTAAATTTCTATGTAAGTACTTATGCCTTTTTTCATAGCATTCGTTTCATTTAGCATAGGAAAAACATTAAAAACATTCTCAGTAGACTTGTTTCTCTCTGACGATTGTTTCACAGGTAGTCTTTGCTTGAGTAAGGTCTTACTGGGGCAAAGAGAAAAATACACTTTCACCAGAGAAAACAAAAAATAAAAAAATAGTTTTATTATTTTATTTCATTTATATAATTATTCAAAATCTTAGTTTAAAATTTATTTGTTACTAATCAGATCATTTGTCTATGAAAGACTTCCATCTAACGAATCGTACGTACTATTTGAACTTTTTTACATACCACAAACAATGGGAAATCCTAAGAAGAGAGCAGAAAAGGCAGAAGCTGCAAAAGGCAGGAAGGACGAAGTTGACGCAAAAAAGAAGGAAGCTGAGGAAAGTGAAAAATGGTCGAAAGGAATCAAGAGTAACAATAAGAAGGAGCAAGAAGAGGAAAAGCGACGTTTAGCAGCTCAAAAGAAAGCAGAGCGTACTCGGTTAGAACAAGAAGAAATGGCTAGCATTCCATCAAAAGGTGGAAAGGGTAAAAAGGCTGGTGCTCGTAAAGATTTATCTTTGGATGCTTTTCTGGAGGAACCTGCTCAACCAGCCTCATATAGCGCAAGCAACATTGACGATGCTTTGAACCTACTTAGTTTGGATTCTGGGTCCAAGGAAAAAATTGATCGCCATCCTGAACGCCGTTTTAAACCGGCGTTTAATGAATACAAAGAATCACGACTTCCCGAACTTCGTAAGGAAAGTCCTGGTCTTCGTCTTAATCAGTACGAAGATGTTATGTATAGAGAGTTCCAGAAGCACCCCAACAACCCTTTTAACAAGGTAAGTTTAGCACAATCATCGGTGTACTCTAACGCCTATTTTTAGCTCAACGTAAGTTACAACACCAAACAAGACGACATTAAAAGTCTTCGTGCTGCTCGTAAGGCTGAATTGGAAGCTCGCCTTCGAGAATAAGTTTTTTAGTTCTTTTTGTTTTTATTTTTTGTATATGACGTTTTCCTTTTTTGGTGAATTGAGTTGGACGGAATTCCTACATGTTACTCGTATTTAATATGTTATGAAATATGAACTCTTCTCATAAATTCTATATTTGTTTTATTGTTCAGCCCGTAGATGACTGAAAGTGGATTCAGATAGTTCATCCTCAAATCTGATGTCTTACAGACTTATGATTCATGAATTTGTCGAAAGATGCCGATCTTTCGAAATGTTTCTCGTTACTGAATAGTCATATACATATGTCCATTTTAAACAATAAGCTATCAAGTTGAGAAGTGAGTCGAGAAAGGAATTGGTTTGCTCGTGGAAGGTTATTTGATTAAGCTACACATTACTTTATTTCGCTTGCAATACTTTTCTGGCTACAGAAAATTTGTTTGTGTGATTTTGATATTTAAAAAATGTATTTGCTATAGTAGTAAATCTATGGAAATGGACGAAGGGAAAGGCTATAAGGTGGTTACCTCAATTAAAAAGGACCAAATATTTTCTTTTTGTTTGAAAATATATTTATTAATGTCAAAAGATGAAAGTAACGTTTCATTGGTTTGTAAATATTTTGAATAGTTGACTTCCTCATTATAATCATAAAATCAGATAGTATCCTATAATATTACAAAAGTGAAGTCGAGAAGGAAACTGCTTTTTGGTTATTTGGATTAAAACTAATCGTATAATATATATAAATTTAATAGGTATCATATTTTACGTATACTTGTTGCATATACTAATTGTATTCGCTAAATCTAGTTCGAGCCTAATTAAGAAGGGACCTGCTTCACGCAACGGTAACTTTCCCTCTCCCCCTCTCTCATAAGTAGTCTGTAATTTGTGTTTTTCGGCCCGTCGACCTTATAAAAAAACATTGTTTGCTGCTTAATTGTTTTAGCTTTACAAATTCGCGATGTCTAAATCGGTTAGTTCTGCTGTTAAAGCTATAGATTGGGCAACCATCCCTAGCAAGTTGAAATTGGACGCTAGCACTGCTTCTGCTGTTGCCAACTTCCGTTCACGTCATGCCCAAGCCGCTGGAAGACTTGGAACCCTGAAGGAACAAGCTACAACGGTTGATTTTGCATTTTACCGTCAGGTGCTTAGGAACCAAGAAATCGTGAACCGTATTGAGTCTTCTATGAAATCTTTTAAGCCTGTTAAGATCAATTTGGCTTCTCAACTGAAGGCAATTGACGCCTTTGAAGGCAAGGCTGTCGAAAGTGCTAAGAAGAACGTTGAAATGGTCAAGACTGAATTGGGAAGCTTGAGTTCTACTTTGAAAAACATTGAACAAGCTCGTCCTACCAATGAAATTTCTATTGAAGATATGAAGACTGCTGTCCCTGAGGTCGAAAAGATTGTTGAGACTATGGTTACAAAGGGTAAATGGGTTGTCCCTGGTTACCGCGAGAAGTTTGGCGATTTGAGCATTATGTAAACCCACTATACTCCTCATTTAGTTGGTTTATGTCGATCAAGACATACTTTAGCTAAACATTTAGGGAACCATTTCTCTTTGATTCGTAAATTAGCACGTGAATCGCTCCTTTTACATCTCTATGTTATAGTTTGATTCAGCTGTGAGCACGTTAAGCTAATTCCAAAGTCAATGAAATATATTAAAACTACAATTGGCATTGCACAAGAATGTACGATGCTTCAAGGTTAGCGAATCTTCCTGTAGAAAACTAGTTCGAAAGTCTTACAGCAAATTTCAAAGGTAACTCAACTCACATTTACAATATTATTTGCAAGACTAATGTTTATTTCTGATTCTCAATGAACTGCCCAAGCTTGACTTATAGGAATGCACTCAAATACGTTATATTCGATTCGTTTTATAGAATTTGTACTGGGCGGACGCGTTTAACCAAAACCATGTTTTATGATCAATACGTCCTGACAAAAAAGAAAGGGGGAATGGGTGTAGTTTGGTAAATAATTGCTTTAATTGATGCTAATACTAATGATTTCAGGCTCGCAGCTACTCTGGGGTCAAAGCACTCTCTCCGGAAACTTCATAAAAAAGATATAATGTCTGTTAATATCGATGAAGCTTGTGAATTTGTCGCGTATTCTCCCGAACCGCTAGCTTTACGCCTTAGTAGTAACTTAATGATTGGTGTTGCACGCGTTTATGCCCATCAATATTCTTTCTTCCAATGTACGATACGCGTTTTTCGACGTCAACAAATCCCAAAAGTCCGGTTTACTTACATTTTTTAGCACAAGTTTCTTCACTGCATTCAAGACTACGCAAAGAGCTTGATAATATAAATGGCAAGCTTTCTAAGAGTATCGACGCGCGCGTAGAAAAATCAAAGTACGCGACTTTATTGTTTAAAACATAAAGTTAAGTTACTAATGATATATAGTACTGATAATCTAATCCTTGCTGATGACCCAGCCTTTGTACCCGAATTGACATTATCGAACGGTCTCAGTCTTCCCTCTTTGGACCTCAATTTTACCTTGAACAATGATTCAATTTCATTTGATCATACAAACTTGACGTCGTTACAAACACTTCCAGAAGCTTCAAATACCTTTGGCAACGCGACTCAATCCTTTAGCCTTCAAAACCACGCCCCTATGTCGAGATTTGATTATGAAGCGTCAAATAATCTTTTTCCAGATGAGGTTTTGGACTTTGAATTTGACGAAAATGGTGAGGTGCATGATATTTCGACACAGGACAAGATGCCTCAACTTACGCCTGCTAATTCTCAAGACGAAGAGGATCATCCCGATGCTCAATCCCCCATTGAAGCGCACGACGAAGAACAAGAATCTCGGATTCGGATATATGAATTAGACGATGATGTTTTACCCCTTCCGGTTCCCTTGGAATCTGTAGTAGACCCAAATCTTGAAATTCAACCTCAGGAAGAGCCTGTTAAACGTAGAAGAATTCAAAAAATTGAACCTGACGAATCTATCGAGCTGAGTACAAAAACCCTTTCCCATTGGAGGTCCACGTATGTGGAAAGGATGAAAGCCCTTGAAACTGCCAAGCATATGCGACGAAAAGGAACCTCACTTGAAAAGAAAAAACAGCTAAAAAAATTGTATCATTGGGAATCATTCCATCCTATTATTCAAGAATGGGTTGGTAAACTTCAACCAGAACCAGTTCACAACCAAACAGAAGCTGATGATGTTGAGTTGCCAATGCCTAACTTGGAAAATTCAGATATTGAAATGGGTCGTGATGCTCAGGGGTCTTTAGAGTTAAATATGCCTTGGAATACTTCCTCTCGTTCAAACAGTCTATTAAACTCTTCTAAAAGTCAATCTCAAAATGGTAGTGAACATTCAACTCCATTGCTTGACACTCGCTATGGAAAAAGACTTACACCTAGTCCTTCAATGAATAACCGATTGCAGTTCTTGCCTGCTTTGGAATCTAGTCAGTATCATGATCACTTAAACTCTGAATTATCTTTGCAACTTGAAGATGACTTTTCTCTCTACAAAAATACTCAAGAAGAAAATATTGGAAATTTCTTACATATGGAACGAGAGTGTGCTAATTTCTATGAATACACAAAAACAGCAATATTTGAAAACGGTGGAGAGATGACCTTCTCAGAGCTCTTACCCTGTACATTACAACGCTCTGTGGCCGCACAAGCTTTCAGTCATCTTTTAGGTACGATTTATCATACGTATTTCTTACTTACCTACTTAGCTTTAACCACAAAATCTGCTGTCTCAGTGAAACAAGAAGCCCCGTATGATGAAATTGTTCTCTCTTTAAATGCCCTTTAATTATAAAACACGTCTTTGTTAAATATGAAAACCATTAAACCTGATGAAATTATCTCTAACATTTATATCTGCATTTGCTTTGGAATCTGGCTAAATATATACTAAAGTTTAAATTCGTTGTTATTTTAACCACAATGAATAAATTACTAATTTTGTAAATAGCTAGCAGGTCTGAACCTGTATGTTGGATTTTTGGTTTGATAAAAGATTTAGAATTTTAAAGTATTTATTGTATTTTTATAAAAATTACAACAAATAGAAGCGTAAATGCCTTTACTAAAAATTTTACTTATGAACATCTGTTGTATATTCACTACTGGCTATACGAATTATATTTAAGTAAGTTCCCAATTCTGCCTATAAACACGTTCATGCAAAAAGCAAAATTAGTTAAAAATGGGCCGTAGAAAATCATTAAGAAGCCAAATGTTAATTCGAAATTTACCTCAAGAAGAACTTGACTCAAACGATGAATCAGATAGCAGCGACATCGATGAAGAACAGGTGCATGGTATATGGATTGAGAAACCGTTTCAGACTGAAGCAGGACGATCTTATTATCGAAAGCTACAGAAGGATGGCATTATATATCGTCTAGGTGATGATATTACTGTGAATGATGGGGATTCTAGCTTCTATGTTGGTGTTATTACAAAGTTATACGACAAGGCAATCACTAAACATTCGGGAGAGAAGTATTATGAAGCTATCTGGTACAGTAGAGCAGTTGCAAAACGCATGGAAATTAAGCCAGAGTATTTATTGCCAGATCGTCATGTAAATGAAGTTTACCTGTCTTGCGGGCGAGATGAAAACCCGACGTCTAGCATTATAGAGCATTGCAATATCTATTCTAAAGAAGAATTCTTCAAAAGATTTCCTCAAGGCATACCATCAAAGAAGAAAGACCATTTTGCTCGAAATTTTTTTGTATACAGAGGAGTCCATTTGAAAGTCAACAAGTATACAGAGCCCCTCAATTGGTCCGACTATTCCCATAATTTAGACAAAATAGAAGATTTATTAGTTGAGATGGAAGAAACCCTTAGACTACCAAAAAAGAAGGCTGGTTCTAGAGGCAGAGGCCGGCCAAAGAAAAGATCGGTTTCAAAGAATGTTGAAGGAGATAATGATGAATACGAGCTAATAAAGGAGGTTGAAAGTTTATCTTCCGATGATGCTTCCCCTGTAGTCTCCTCGTCTGATGAAGAGTATGGGACACCTAGAACTCCCAGACGAAAAATCAAACGGTCAAGGAATGCATCAGGCAGCGCAATGTCTACACCTAGAAGAACGTATGATTACTATTTTGTTTTTATTACCTTACTAACAAATGGGTAGTGGCTACAAGCAACCTCTGCAAATCACCCCCCTTCCAATACGAATGTTATCAATGAAAGAATTTCAAAATTCGCCTCATAGAAAAGCGAGAGCTATGCTTCATGTGTCAGCGATTCCAAATACTCTTCAATGCAGAGATAATGAGTTTACTACCATCTTCACTAACTTGGAAAGTGCAATTGAGGAAGAAACCGGTGGATGCCTATACATATCTGGAACACCAGGCACTGGAAAAACCGCTACTGTCCATGAAGTGGTATGGAATTTGCAAGAAATGGCCAGAGAAGGGCAGCTAGCAGAATTTACGTTTTGTGAAATAAATGGAATGAAGGTAACGAATGCGAACCAAGCATATTCGTCTCTATGGGAATCCTTAACTGGTGAACGTGTGACCCCTCTTCATGCTATGGAATTACTGGATAATCGTTTCAACCATCCTTCACCGAATCGATGTTCATGCGTTGTTTTAATGGATGAGTTAGATCAACTTGTAACGAATAACCAAAAGGTGTTATATAACTTTTTTAACTGGCCATCCCTTCCGCACTCACGACTTATTGTTATTGCTGTAGCTAATACGATGGATCTTCCTGAACGAATTTTGTCGAATCGCATATCCTCCCGTTTAGGTCTTTCAAGAGTGCCCTTTGAACCTTATACCCATAATCAACTAGAAACAATTATAGCTTCACGTCTGGAAGAAGTTAAAGATGAAGAGTTGTTTTCTTCTGACGCTATTCGATTCGCTGCAAGAAAAGTGGCTGCAGTCAGTGGAGATGCTCGTCGAGCTTTGGATATTTGCCGGAGATCTTCTGAATTAGCAGAAAGCAAGGACGGAAAGGTTACTCCTATCTTAATTCATCAAGCTATAACGGAAATGACAGCTTCTCCACTTCAGCGTGTCTTGCGAGATTTATCTTTCATGCAGAAGGTGTTCTTATGCGCTATCGTCAATCGTATGCGTCGTTCTGGATTCGCCGAATCCTATGTCTACGAAGTAGTTGACGAAGTGGACCGTTTGATAAAATCTATGACCACTATAGATGCAACTGAGCTTGGCCAAATTTTACAACGTCGTCCAGAGTTTCATTATATTCTTAGTAGTCTGAGTGAAACTGGTGTTCTGTACCTTGAGAATAAAAGCAGTAGAAACGCTCGTGTTCGCCTTGCCATAGCTGATGATGAGATAAAACTTGCTTTCCGCGGAGACACTGAACTTAGAGGTATAGCATAAGATTCCATGCATACTTTTATTTGTATATTAGAGAGAGAGGTTTAAGGTATTTACATGAAGTATATGAATGAATCAGAAAAATGACTGTTTGTACATAACTGATACTGAGCTAGAATAGGAAGCTTACGATTAACATGGTATAATAGTTTTAATCTAAAGTGAAAGAATCCTTTGAATATAAACATCTATGAAAAGTCCGCAATTGGTTTATTACAAACATTACTTACACACTACCATCGAGAACCTGGAAAGCACCAGCATACTGAAAAAGCACAATTGTTTAAAAGAGAGCGAATAAAAGCCTTTCAATTAATCTTCTTTGCTTTTTAGTTATTGTTAAAGTTAATAATGGGAAATTGCTGCTCACGCTTTGGCAGTTCTGATGAGGTTTGAGAATTCAACATTATTAGATGGAGCCTAACAAGGACGTAGATTGATGAAGTTACTCCACTTCTTCCTAATGAAGGGTAAATAATAGAATGACCTTTTGAGTTCTGCAATCGCTAATACCTTAAGAATTCAAAGGACTGCTCCTACTGCTGAGGCAGATATGAGCCTAAGGAAACGTCAAGAAGAAGAAGAATTGGAAACTAAAGTATATGAAAATGCAAAGTAAGACTGAGGAATTTGAAGAAAAAAAGCCAGAATCGGATTTTTAACCTCTCAAGGAACAAATTCATAGACGTATTTTCTATGCGACTAAGGACGGAGGCTCCTGAAAGAAATCAAGATGAAAACACTTATGAGTAAGCTTTAATTTGTATGAATTCTACTTATTAACTGTCTAATTAAGGGAGCTGATGGATCAAATGAACTCACTGGATCTAACGCCAGAATATGAAAGGAGTACACCGACAGAACAGGATCAAGAGTATATCCAAAAGAAGTTGGACATTTTTCTTCGGGAGATAAAGGCTATGAAGTTCAACACAGACATGATTCAAGGAAAAATGATTGTGAATTTGTCCAAAGTAAAGCCAACGATGGGTGAAAGCCCGTCTTGAACATATTACATTCATATGGATTAACCTCAAGGAATGCAATGTTTCCAGATTAGAAAAACTTAAACTTTGGGACTCTATACAGTTTTTGGAATATAATTTAATACTAATGAGCATATTAATTTAATATGTGATGTCCAATGCTACATGAACTCATACTTTGTCGTTAATTGTTATAAAAGATCTTAGTAAAAAAGAAAGCAAAGTCATTGTTGCTTGATGCCTTGATTACAGTATGCATCTGATTTTCTGAATCATTAATAATATAAGGATATTCATAATCCTGGAATAGTAAATCCTTGTCTAACCCTTGAATTTTACATAACCAATTACAGCTAACGCAGGGATGATAAGCAAAGCAAGGATCATGAAGATACTACAACTTTGTTAGAAAAAAGAATAGTAAAAGAAAAAATAAAACGAGGCATACAAAGAAGCTTTCCTTTTAGTACACACAAGAAAGCTTCCTTATGATGCCAGATGTTATAACACATACGAGGGAGCGTCGTTTTCCTCGGTACGAGGTTGCCTCATTTCCAACAATTTTTCTTCTGCCCCGGGTTTTAAATCACCAATGTACATTTCTTCAAGTAACTCATCGGCAGCGGCTGAATGGCCAACATCGCGATATGCCTTGGTACAGTCTTGGCCTAAACAGGAAAAGGAAATTAGCATAAAAAATGAATATAAACAAAATGAATCGGTAATTAAATCTGGCAATCATTGCACCGACTGCTTGCAAACTGAATGACCATATTCCATGCGAGATTTGCAGCTCATATAGAGAACATATGCCCACATAAGAAAAGCGGTAAATTATTCCTGGCCAAATTCAAATAAGCAGACACATATACGGCTACTAAACATAGAAAGGGTTTCTCATATACTTTGAACGGATTCGTCCAGCAGCATTGCTTTTCTATCCTATCACGAAAGAAATAAGAGGCACTTACCACCGTAATCCAACAAAATGTCTAAACCACCAGGATGATCCTCGGCGAATTGGGTCACATCGTACACTTTTCCCTCAAAAACCATATAGAGGTCCTTAGGACTATTGTGTTCTACGACTTCTTCGGCCTCGAAAATTCTGTTCGACATGTTTCTTATGAGATGGGATTTGCCAAGTTTGGACTTATATGGAATGAAAAAAGGAGGGTAATGGAAAACGGGAAATTTTCAGAGCAAGTTCAAGAGTCAATGGGGTTTTAACTTTTGAGCTGAGCTGGACTGCAAGCTATTGGATACCATAGTTCTCGCTTAGATAATCTCCATTTTAGTATTATCGGTCTGGTCCCATTACTATGAATAAACAAACATTACGATAGTCATTGGATTCTTGAATAAGAGATACTATATTTGTATGTGTTTATTTCTATATACATTTCCTTACTGATTTTACCATAGTTCAGGTTTTATGATTTATAAGAGTCATGAAATGGATCTTCAATAAAATATTTTCATCTGATAATTCTAATAAAATATTAGTAATATACTTTCCATCTCTTGGGAATGGTGGTATTATGGAGAAGTATGGCTTAACGGTAAACAAAACCTGTATTCATGTTGTTCTTTTATTTATTAATGAAGGAGTAAGATAAATATGTTGAAGAGAGCTGTTGCAATTGAGGGATGCATATAATTCTACAAAAAGTACTTGTTTAAAGCAACAATTGGAGGTCTTGTCTTTCTTCTCCCTAAGACATTCAGTAACTCATATAATTGCATCTTGCTATAGAGACCAAATCCCGCACTCATACAATGGGTTCAGTATTGTTTTGTAAGATGATGTACTGGGAGATGTCAAAGTGTTTCACTCGCTTGGTTTTTCAGTCCAAAAAGACAGATAGAAACGATTTCTATGGCCTCAGAAGACTTATGATGCAACAGCAACTAACTTTGTTATACGTTCATCACTAGATAGTGCACTTTATTTTTGTGTTTGATTACAACAAGACGTTCAATTTGCGAAGTCGAAAAATCAGAAAAAAGTGTCACGAACCGGGATCGAACCAGTGACCAACAGATCTTCAGTCTGTCATGCTCCCAACTACACCACCGCGACTTTATTGATAGATGCAGTTAATAAGCAATTATATAAGCGTTTAGGAAGTATTCAAAGATAAATAAATTTGGTATTCTGTAAACTCATCTGCTGAATGAACAAGCACTACTATGACTAGGTGTAATGATTTTTGACTATGGATGAAGATTCCTGTTACAATAGAAATATGTAATTCAATAATACCCTGGTTGACTAGGAAGCATGCAAAAGGTGAAAAGCTATATTGCTGAATCGACCATAACTTTCTAAAGAGATTCCTGTAGAATTTTTTCCATGTCTAAATTAAAAGAGCCAAACTTTATAATGTAAAGGCACGCTTCATCAATTGAGCTCGTCTGTAATCTAGCATAACGTTAATAGTTTCCTTCAACTCATAAAGCAAAAGTAGCATGTCTTTTCGTATTAACTTTATAAAGCGAACTAAGCAGCTGCTACAGCATTATTCCTCATATAAAAAGCATGTCAAAATGACATTTAGCGATCGCATATTTGTTTCCAGATATTGTACTACACGAATGTTACCTCAAAAACTGCCGTTATAAAATAACAAAAACAGACAAGAGAAACAGAGGAAAAAAATAAAATAAAATAAAATAAAATAAAATAAAGAAACACACAATAAAGACAAAGATGAAATGCAATGAAGCTAAGTAAATAAATTGGTCTTGATTAAATAGTTAATGTTTCCATTTTGAACGGTATAGCGCTTCGTCTGAGAATACTTTGCGAGTCAAGTCAGTGAATTTGTTTCACACAACATAAAGTGGTTCATACATAGTACATAAGAACTTTTGATATTATTTTTATAGACTTTTAAATATGAATGAGTTATTCTTCCACGCTGTGATACTGTCGAGAGAGGACCCAATACTATAGATGTTACCTAACATATACAACACTATAGTAAATAAACATGAATGCAAGAACAAAAGAAATGCGATAATGAATAAAATAAAAATTCTTTTGTCCTTCTAAGAAATTACATATAAAATCTTCGTAACTTTTTACCTCTGAACGAGCCATTGAACTTGTTAGTAAGCGTTGAGTAGCTTCATTAGTCAACCACATGTGTTGGAATGTTTATCAAAAATTTAGTACACAAAACCTAATTGAATTTCAAGTTCCTGGTACAATTATCCATCACTAGTTCTAAACTCAATTACAATACACTCGTCAATGATTAATCCCCGTGAGATAGGTATTGTACTATTTCGTACCACGTTAATATATTGCTTATTTTTAGAACACAGTATGAAAGCATTACGAACGGGCTTCTGATTAAACTTCCGTTTCAACCTCATAAACTATCTTCCAAAATAAATTTTCTTTTGTTTTTTCAATCTTCTTCAGCTTCCTGGTCTTTCACATTGACTTGTATTGAATAATAAAAAGCAACTCCTTTTTTTTCGAATGTAATATCATTCCCTTCAAATATGTTTACGTTATTAATAGTAAATTAAATACCATCCAACAATTATTAAATTAATATCAAAGTGGAAAAAACAGGAAAAAAGTGTCGCGAACCGGGATCGAACCGGTGACCAACAGATCTTCAGTCTGTCATGCTCCCAACTACACCACCGCGACCTTCGTTGAATTCTTTAATAAAGATAAGATATATAAAGAACTATTTATGCATTGACCACTAAGCATCTAAAACTGAAAACTCCACTTTCAAAGAGCGTTCACCTCCTTTCTGGTGTTAACATTCTTTCCTCGGTGAACCTTAGAAAAATGAACCAAAGGTGGTTACTCTCTGTTTTAGCATTCATTTATGGTGCTTTGGCAGAAGATGAAAGCACGGAAGAGCCATATACAGAGGAGGAATTTGTCGACGCTGAGAAGCCTGGAATGCTTAGAAAGGTTAGCTGGCAAGATTTCAAAATTGAGTTAGTCATTTTGTCTTTGTTTGCTTTATATGTAATCTCTTTTGTTACAAAAAAGCGTAAAAATGCCGACTTTGCTTCTCGCTGGTATAACTCTTTGCAATCCATGTTTCGTAGTCAGTTTGCGCAATATGGTCCTGGAAGAAATATGTCGCCCATTATTGATGTCTCTCCTACCGAGTACTCTTCGTATCTCACAGGTAGAGTGAATGTAAAGAATGTTTACACTACTTTGCAGCTCTTTCCTCGTCAAGATCTGTTTACCTATGGTATAAATCAACTTGTCGAAATAGTCTTAGGAAATGTCATGTCTCCAGTTTTACCTGTTGCAGACCGCTTCCAAGTGTTACTCAACCTTGGCAATCATAGCAAGCCTTGGCAACCATTCGTATTTGCCATTGTTCGTAAAGATTGTATGCGTATTCTTCGTGAAACTAGGTTCGATCTTAGTTTTACTAGAATATCTTCTCATCCATCGCTTCCAGAAACTCATGTTCTTATGTCCGAAAATCTTGAATGTACTGAACGCGTACTTAACCTCCCTCAATTTCTCCCTTCTCTTCAGTCTTGCTTGAAGAATCTCGAGTATCTTATCATTACTGATCAACCTTCTGCTCCCCCTGCAAATGAAAAAGAATATGTTGAACAACCTCGTATCGATGCTTCTATGCGTGTCGATAATGTGGCTTCAATTAGTGAGCTTCAAACTCTTCAGGCTAGTGATTTATTTACTGCTTTATTGTCGATCGCTGATAACACGTCTAAATTCCAATGGCGACCCGAGATAACCAGAAAATTGACTTCCTCTCGTAAACTGGCCCTTGAAGAAGTTGTTCATGCTTCCGCTGCTAAGAAAGCTGCAAAAAGTAAGAAGTCCACTACTTCAGATATTAACAACCTTCCTGAAGCTGAACAAAAGAAGCGTATGGATCGAGAACGTCAACGCAAAATTAAGAAGCGCGGCAAGCGCGTCTAGACGAAATGATTACAGTCCTGACCATTGATTCTCTTTTTTAGTAATAAAGCTAATTCTACATATTTTACGATATACAATAATACACACTATATATCCAAAGGCTCATTTTATTAATTACCTGCAACAATCACGTAGTTTTCCGGATCGCGAGGATTAGGTTATAGTATAAAGCCTTTCCATCCTAAAAACATTTTGTAATTAACTTTTGATGGATTATTATTATCCACAGTTTTTAAACAACACCTTTAAGGATATGTTAAATAAACCAACTCAATATAAACCCTAAACTTCATTTTGGTAAAAAGCAAAAGATAAACATAAATAACCCCAAAAGTCCTTTTACGACCGTACTAAACTTTCCATAAGTCATTATTACGACACATGAAAAGCTACTGAAAACTAATTAAAACAAAGTAGCCATTATGGTTTTATAGAGAAAGGTAATAAGGTATAATAGCGGATAGAAAGGTAACGTAGGCGCGGTCAGACGAAAAAGGAGAAATGAAGAGCGTTTTTTATAATAACATTATCATCATAAGAACTAATCACTTTCACTTTCACTTTCAGAATCACTATCACTACTATCGGTCAAATACATGCGTAACCAGTGCATTCGAGGGCCGGTTTTACTGAATTCACTAACCTTGAATCCGTAAATTCTGGGCTGGTAGATTTTACCGCATGGAATGGCCCTTTTAGGATTAAGTTCAGGGTAGGTTTCAAAGAACAGATGAGGGAATGTCGTACCAAAAAAAGATCCATCAATATTTTTATATTTAGAGCTAGATGGCGCATATAAATCCAAGCAGTTCGGACAAAACAGTACGACAGGCATCCTACCGACGACATCGGACCGGCCAGCAGGAAGAACGTGCGTATAACAACAATTCACCCGAGGACAGCAGCCAAAGATTCCTGTGCTATATTTTTCGGCCATTTGATGTAAGCCCATCCGGGTAATAATATAACGTTGATGTATCAGACCGTAAAGAATTTGCGCACTAGTTTCAACGACACCCATATCCAACTTTTTTAAAGTTTCAGGATTATTCCTATCAAGGATAAGGTCCAGCGCTTCATTATAAAAGGGTACAGCGAGATTTAAGCCAGTTAAATTAAACAAATCTTCAATAAACTCTTCTCGAACTTCAACAAAATATTCTCGGCCTGGTCGAGAACAGAACCAAGAGATCCAGCTAACGTTCTCATTCGCTGGCGATGGAGTTGGGTCTTCAATAAAATCGTCGTCTTTAGAGCTATATGTAATAGCTGGATTATGACTTAGAGTCACGATGTTTCTTGCTGACATGATGTTAAAAATCTGAAAGATTGAATCCAAGAATATTTTTGAACCAAAATAATATAAACACCTGAAATAGGGAAATAAACGATGAAGCAATCGGCAAGAAAACTAAAATGCAGTTAAGAACTTGAAAGGAAAAGAAACAAATAAGAACAGAGAAGTATGGAAATGTCAAGCGTAAACAACGGATTAATACTTAATAAAAATAAAACATTCAATGGTATAAAATGGGTTTGAAATAAGCTTAAATAAATAAAAGGCTTAGATATGATGGGCAAGTTCAAACCAGAGCTCTTTTTTTCTTTTTTGTAAGATTGGAGTCAAATAAGAATGAAATGGGAAGTAAACGAAGAAGTGTCCGATGAGTATTCGACTAGCAAGGAAAAATACCAGATTCTATATGATTCCAAGAAAGCAAGAAATTCTTCAAATCCAAAAGACTCCTGGGTAATCCAATATTCAGGAAAAGAAATCCAACTTAGTATAAAGGATGTAAAATGCAGTCAGCAAATATTAATTTGAGATTGCAAAGAGTAGGATAAAAAGATATGCTGAGCAAACTTTTCTTCTGAATTACCAAGAAAGAAAGTCGTGCTATTATGATTGAAACCAAAAGCTAAAAGGATCAAAATATAAGGTTTCCGTTGATTATTGGCACTCTCTAAAATCAGACTTTGTGGCTTGGAAGTTGAGCAATAAAAGTGAAAAGACTTAACTTTTCAAGGGAAAATTCAGTTGCTCCTTTTTTTTTTTGTTTAAATAAAAACCCGAATCGAACAGGAACAAATATTCGTTAATGTCAAATGCCTAGTTTCCGTCCAGTAGAATCCGAGGATAGCCTCACAGTGAAGGCAAGCAAGTCTCTAACCTGCAAAAATTTCCAACTGTCGAAACAAACGTTAAGAAAAGGATATGAAAATGATTGATAGCCAATTTTAAAATAAGTACGATGCTTTCTCGTAGCAAAGCACTACTCGATAGCAACTCAAGTTTTGAGAATGCTAGAAACAAATCGTCTTTTGGTAGCTGTTGTGGTTACCCTTTTTTTATATATGAAATAAAATAAGGAGTCGGCGAGGGTTACGTGCTAAAAAGTTCAATGTACCCCTAGCGGTTCCCTAAATGTTGCTTTGTATGACGTATTGATGCGATGGCTCGTATGCAAGGCGCTGGATTGTCAAGGGAAATGTACCGAAGTTTCTATGTGTATGTTAACACTAACAGTTTAGAAGGTAACCATTTATGATGTTGTTGCAGACGAAAGCAACTATGTCACAAAAAAAAATTTGTGAGTCGTAGAATGTGATAAACAACAGCAAAATTAGACAGAATACGTAGACTTCGAAGCCAGTGATTTCAAATTTAAGATACGGTTAGCCGTCCCTAACAATCTCATACACGAGGCGTTTCCCCAAATCTCCCCTTGACGTGTAATTAAAGTCGAAACGATAAGGGAGCAAGGAACGAAAAGAAGGGAAGAGCGTCGAAAGACGCGTCATAAGTCACAGTAAGCTACATCTGACCTTTTTGGATTCTGTACCTAAAAAAAGAAGTTTTAATTATAGTAAGTAAGTACGAATAGATTTTTCAATGAAAAGGAAAACAAAGTTGGTGATTATCATTGTTTGTTTTGTCTATGAAAATAAACAAAGAAACCGAAACATGCTCTTTCCAAAAAGGATACCTTATACTTGGAGAAAGAAGAAAGCATACTACCGCTCCTTTATATATATATAAAATACCTATCGCCGGTTTGGAACATCCGATGCCTATACTCATATACCCCGAAGGAAAATGAAAGCTCTTGTTATATGAAATAAGAAAAATTAAACATTCGAGTTTTATTTTTCATTTGTAATGTTTGTGTTTTCGACCCTTCTGTGATCTCAAGTCGGTTCGATTGTACTGTCCTTATTTATGTTTAGCGTTTCGTCGCATTCTTTCACTTCCCCACAATCTGATCTATTAAGCTCCGATGATTTAGCGTTGTTGATGTCTAGTAGTCTACCCGCCTACGTGTAAAGAAGACAACTTGTGAACGTTTTCTTTGAAATCTGCGACTATTTCTTCCCGTTCAGTCTTTTTGTATTTATGCCCCATGGCTCCTTGGAAAAACAGCAGTCGTCATGGTTTAAGGGGAATTCCTTTTGTGTATCATTTCAAAGGTCAAGCTCTATAGGTGTATTACTACAGTTTTCTGTTTAGTTCCATATAACCCACAACTTCACCGAATATGGTTTGTTTATTTGTTATAGAAGTCGATGGTAACTTCTCTAAGTTCGGTAAACCATAATAACGCACTGTTAGGATTATCCTTATTCTCTTTATACCTGTGCTCCCACCATACGGCGAGAAAGCAGAAATTTTTAACAAAAAACCAGCAAGCTGTCTATAACAATGCGAAGTAAGTTATGTGAATTATGTGATACCAATCGACCTGCGCTAGTGCGTCCCAAGACAGGTCAAAGGATTTGCAAAGATTGCTTCTACTATGTGTTTGAAACAGAAATTCACAATGTCATTACCGAAAACAAACTCTTTCATCGAGGGGAAAAGGTTGGTATCGGTGCTAGTGGAGGAAAAGACAGTACAGTTTTGGCTTATGTAATGAAACTTTTGAACGAACGATACAACTACGGCATTGAATTGCATTTAATTAGCGTGGATGAAGGAATTCGCGGATACAGAGATGACTCTCTGGCCACTGTGAAACGGAATCAACAGCAGTACGAACTTCCAATGACTGTGGTTAGCTATGCCGATTTATATGACGGATGGACCATGGACAATGTGGTGGCTCGTATTGGAATGAAAAACAATTGCACCTACTGCGGTGTATTTCGCCGTCAAGCTTTGGATCGAGCTGCGCTTAGTTTAGACATCCATCACCTGGTTACCGGCCACAATGCTGACGATATTGCTGAAACTGTTTTGATGAACTTACTACGAGGTGATGTAGCTCGTCTTCCCAGAAGCACCGAAATCACTACTCAGTCAGAAACTTCGCCTACAAAGCGCTCCAAGCCTTTCAAATACACATACGAAAAGGAAATTGTTTTGTACGCTCATTATAAAAGACTGGATTATTTCTCTACCGAATGTACCTATTCTCCCGAGGCATTCCGGGGAACTGCTCGAGCCATGATCAAGCAATTGGAAAGCATTCGACCGAGTTCGATTTTAGATATTATCTATTCTGGAGAAGCTATGCAACTTTCTCATTCAGTTCAGGATAAGCTTCCTCAGCAAACTCAGTGTGAACGATGTGGCTTTATATCCAGTAATCGAATTTGTAAGGCCTGCATGCTTTTGGAAGGATTGAACACAGGTATCCTTGGGTTGGGTTTAGGAAGCGACCGAAAGACTCGTAAGTTGCAATCCCAAACACCGGAATGTGCTAAAGGGTAAATTCACGTGAAAAGTTTCTAGTTGTAAGCTTATATCTAGAAATGATGATTGGGTTTTGGGATTTAAAAAAGTACTTATTTGGGTTTAGTTTTAGTTTAGGTTTAATTTGTCATTTAATTTCTTCCATTGTTTTTTTTTTTTTTTTTTTGTTTTCTTTATTTTGCGACAATTTCAAAAAGCCTCGCAACAATCGTAGCGAAGTCTATTTGAGCTATGCACATTTAGTGTATATAGAAGGAATAATGTAGTCATACGGTATCATAAACAATCGACTGATGCAAAATTTTTTTAGTTCACCTCTTTACCAAGTAGTCCAAGCATATCGTCCTCAGCCTTTGCAGTCGGCCGACTACTATAATACTTATCCAGCCAATCCATGACAATGTAAAGCCCGCCCGAAATGGATAAGACTCGTAAAAATGATTTTAGGATACTAGGATATTTATCAACAATTTCCACACCTAGAGGCTCTATATCATATTCAATAAAGATTCCAGGTGGAATGGAACGGAATCCGAGTTGTCTTGGCACAGAATTTTCGGTTAGGGAATATTGATTCGTTTCGAGAGAGCGAAATGAAGATTTGTAGCTTGTAGGCAAAATCGACAAGTAATACTGAAAACCAAAGGCTTGTTTATCTGTAAATCCATAATGACCATCTAGAGAATTTAAAATAGCTGGATAATAGTCACCAAAGGACAATTCTTCAAAATAATGAGTAAAATTGAGCGCATGAAAGGGTATGTTAGAACGGCCGTAGCCCCATCCGGGGGCGGTAATGTGCAATTGGCCGTGGACACGATTCACGGTAATCTTTCCATAAATTCTACATGCGCTGCCAGCTCCTGTAAGGGGCTTTTTCTTCGTGCGAAATTTACCAGATCGCACCCAACGGTATTCGGAGTTTCTTCCAGGGCGATGCACAGTGGATGAATGTTTCATGGCACTTAAATCCGTTTCTTCAAGGGTCAGCATATCGGTAGCCATAACAATGTCGTTGGTTTTGTCAGCTGCGTCAACGCGAACATGGGTACAAGGCATTGCAATCGTAACATCAACATTGAGATCCATTAGTTCAGAAACTTTGTCGGAGACCACAATCCTTTGCTCTCGAACACCTTTCACGTAAGAAAAACACTCAAGAAGGAAGAGCAAGAGAATGAAAAAACCTACAGATAACGAAAAGGCTCCTCCTCGGGAAGATCCTGGTTTTCTATACTCATTCACTACTTTTGGAAATGCATCAAAAGCTTCCAAACGCTTTGGAAGCTTTTTGCGCAGCATTACGGCTGGGAGTGGAGTGGAGTTGCGTGTAGGAGAGAAGACGTAGCAGCAACCGCTGTGAGTGTTTTTTGTGTTCTACACTTTAAGAGTCTATATGTGCTTAACTTCCGTATTCAGTTTTTTTTTTTTATTTAGCTTAAAAAGTCCCTATCCAAAAATCAGTGTGAGAGATCAACGCGTCACATGAGACTTTTCCTTTGTTGGAAGAATCAAGTCGTACCTAGTACAGAGATCAGTCCAAGTTTTAATTGAATTAAATCCTTATTCCACTATCGAAAAACAGCAAATTTTGCTGCTATAGTAGGCCCCTTGTTTTAATTAAGTGTCAACTGTTGACACTTTGATTGTTTATAGAATAGCGAACGGGAATATATCGGTATACCATATATAGCGTACCGCATTAAAGGCCTCAAATAACTATAATGAGTTACACAAATCTGTTTTCCGATAGTAGATTGCTGATAAAATTTAGGGTTCAGATAGTTTCTCCGAAGAAGCATTCAGACGACAGAAGCGACGCGTCAACGTAAAAAACGTTCAGAAACTGCGACGAAATTGGGTTAAATTGCCTCCATGCGGGCATTGAGGAGCCTTAGAACAAAGAAAAAAAATAAAAAGTTACTCCTTTTTACAAAAAATTCGACTCAATTCTGTTGTTTTTTGTTTGTTTTAATTAAATTTTCAATGAATTTCGTGTGTCAGCACGGACGTCGAGAATTTCTTCGGATCTGTCCGTGCGAGGTGGATTTTCGCGTAACATCAGGGGTTGACGCAAAGCTTCGGATGATCACAAGTTCAACTCCTTCTTCGAAATTCTTTTTGCCGGACCCGGACTATATATTCTCAGAGTCCCCACTTTCGATCAACGCACCCGACACATTGAAGAAAATACCAAAGTAGGGATCGCGAGATTTATTTGGTACTTCATTATAGACGACCTGTTCATTTTATTCTTATTTTTTTTATATCCAAAGTTTATTACTATAGACATTCACGACATATAAGCATTCATCATGCCTTACTCAGAGATTGATCAACTTGCCATTAACACCATTCGTGCTTTGTCCGTCGACACCACTTCCAATGCTAAGTCCGGACATCCTGGTGCTCCTATGGGTTTGGCCCCTGCTAGCCATGTTCTTTTCAGCCGCATCATGAAGTTCAACCCTTCCTCCCCCAAGTGGTTGAATCGTGATCGTTTCATTCTTTCTAATGGCCATGCTTGTGTTTTGCAATACGTTATGTGCCATTTGCTCGGCTACCAAATGTCCATCGACGACTTGAAGAAGTTCCGTCAAGTTGGTAGCAAGACCCCTGGTCACCCTGAGACTCATGACCCCACTTTGAACGTTGAGACTGGTGCTGGCCCTTTGGGTCAAGGTATCGCCGCCGCCGTTGGTCTCGCCATTGGTAAGGCTCATTCTGCCGCCGTTTATAACAGACCTGGTTTCGATATCTTCGACAATAGCACCTTCTGCTTCTTGGGTGATGGCTGTCTTCAAGAGGGTATCTCTTCGGAAGCTTCCTCTTTGGCTGGTCACTTGAAGCTTGGTAACTTGGTTGCTATCTGGGATAACAACAAGGTTACCATCGATGGTAACACCGAACTTTCCTTCGACGAGGATGTCGAAAAGCGTTATGAGGCTTACGGCTGGCAAATTTTGCGTGTCGAAAATGGTGACTCTGACCTTGAAAGCATCGAGAAGGCTTTCCGTGAAGCTGTCGCCTGCCAAGACAAGCCTACTTTGATTAACCTTAAGACCACCATTGGTTTCGGCTCTCAACAACAAGGTACTCACAGTGTTCACGGCAGCCCTCTCAAGCCTGACGATGCTGTTCAAGTCAAAAAGCTCTTCGGTTTCAACCCCGAACAAACCTTCCAAGTTCCTGCTGAGGTCTATGATTTCTATCAAAAGCGCGTTGATGAAAACCGTGCTGCTCAAAAGGCTTATGATGCTATGTACGCTGAATATGCCAAGGCTCATCCTGACCTATACAATCAATTGGAGCGTATTCTTAACAGAAAGCTCCCTGAAGGCTGGGAAAAGAACCTCCCTCTCTACAAGCCTGGCGATGCTGCCGTTGCCACTCGTAAGCTCTCTGAAATTGTCTTGGATGCTCTTTGCCCCGTCATTCCTGAGCTTGTTGGTGGCTCTGCTGACTTGACTCCTTCCAACTTGACTCGCTGGCAAGGCGCTGCCGACTTCCAACATCCCAGCACCAATATCGGATCTTATGCTGGCCGTTACATCCGCTACGGTATTCGTGAACACGGTATGGCTGGTATCATGAACGGTTTGGCTGTCTATGGTCCCATCATTCCTTATGGTGGTACTTTCTTGAACTTCGTTTCTTACGGTGCTGGCGCCGTCCGTATGGCTGCTTTGAACAACAGCCGTGTTATCTACGTCGCTACTCACGATTCTATTGGTTTGGGTGAAGATGGTCCTACTCACCAACCCATTGAGACCTTCGCTCACTTCCGCGCTATGCCCAATATCTACTGCTGGCGCCCTGCTGACGGTAACGAGACTTCTGCCGCTTACCTCAGTGCTTTGACTCATGATAGCAGTCCCTCCATCTTGGCTTTGACTCGTCAAAACCTCCCTCAACTTGAAAACTCTACCATTGAGAATGCTAGTAAGGGTGGTTATGTACTCTACGAGAACAAGAATGCTAACGTTACTCTCGTTGGTACTGGTTCTGAAGTCTCTCTTTGCCTTGAAGCCGTCAAGGTTTTGAAGAGTGAATACAATTTGGAGGCTCGTGTTGTCTCTTTGCCCTGCTGGGAAGTTTTCGAAGAGCAAACTGAAAGCTACCGTCTTTCTGTCATCCCCGATGGCATCCCTGCTATGTCTGTTGAGGTTTATAGCGCTTTGGGCTGGACTCGTTATGTCCACGAAGCTTTCGGTATGACTTCCTTTGGTGAGTCTGGTACTGCTAAGCAATTGTACGAGAAGTACCAGTTCACTCCCCAAGGTGTTGCTCAACGCGCTCAAAAGACCCATGAAGCTTACAAGGATACTCCTTTCATCCGTTCCCCTGTTCGCCGTGCTTTTTAAGCTGAAGGATGTTAGATAGTTTCCTTACATATTGTATATTCAGAATTTTGAAGTTGCCAACATGTAAGAAGGTAGTTTACGAATGAATAATGTGTGTTTCTAAGTGATTGGTGAATATTTTTGGGAAAGAAATTGGTGGACTATGAACGGACTGAGTACTGTAAAATGTGTCGTATTTTCACGTATATATCACGTACAATCCTACAAACGATATAATTGAAGAATTTTTAATAAAATACATCTCATTTGCTTGTAAAGATGCGTATTTATATATGAAAACGTACAATAAAAAATCTATGTTGGATGGAAATCAGAAAATGTTGAGCAATATCATAACATACATAGAAACATATAAACAAAACCAAATATCTAAGAAAGTAAACGGTTATTCAGATAAATAATGTTCTTTTATCACAAGGGGAAAGAAAAGTACTGCAAATTTGCAGCAGAAAAATTTTAAGTAACCTCAATGTTTACCAAAGGTGGGAAGAGCGAGAGATCGACTGTAAATACTCACGAGACAGGGCTAAAAACAAGTGTTTACTCTCAACTTATTTTAAGTCATGATTAATTTAGTTGATGGGGAAGTGAGGAGGGAAGAGACCACGCTTACCAAACCATTGACCATTACGCATGGCAAAATTCCAGTAAACAAAAGGGAAAACATCCTTTTTGAGGTAATAATAAGGACGACGAGGAACAGATTGGTCGAGGAAGCGAGAGTATCTGCCGAAAGATTCACTGGGTACTTGATTATACTTGAATTCAGCCAAAATAAGTTTGCCGTAACTAGTCAACAAGGGGCAAGAAGAATATCCGTCGTAAGCCGCAGTCAGGTTTTTGCCATTAACTAAGCTCCAGAGGTTGTGAACCATTACAGGTGTTTGAGAAGTAATAGCAGCGAACGTCTTGCTAGTAGGAAGGCCAGAGCAGTCACCAATTGCAAAGACGTTAGGGAATTTGGTAGATTGAGTGGTAGCGGGATCAACAGCGACGAAACCAGTTTTGTCGGCAAGTTCACTCTTAGCAATGAAATCATGAGAACGCATGAAAGGAACGGCGTGCAAAAGATCAAAAGGACGTTCAAAGGTGGTATTATCAGCGGTGTTTTGGAAGATGGCCTTGCGTTCCTTACCATTTACTTCGATGAGATTGTTGTTGTAGTTGAGATGAACGTTACGGTGAAGGGTTTGGTTTTGACGTTCTAAGGCATCCGAGTAACGCTTCACGGAGAAGAGAGTGGGACAACCAGAGTAAAAAGAGACTTGAATATTGTTGCGTACATTTTGACGGCGCCAGTAATCCTCAGCCATCCACATAATCTTTTGAGGGGCACCAGCACATTTCAAGGGACCGCTGGGTTGAGTAAAGATAGCAGTGCCGGATGTAGTTTTCTGGATTAAGGGAAAGACAGAATCAGCATGCTTAGCCGAGTAGATGGTAGTAACAGGAACAGAAGGGTCGTCAAGAGCTTCGCTCAAACCCTTGATGCGATTGAAGTCAGAGTGGATACCAGCAGTCATAACAAGGTAGTCGTAAGAGATTTCATGGCCACCCTGGGTAACGATTTTGTTGTCCTTAGGGTCTAAAGACTGCACAAATTCGGGGTGCAATTTGAATTTGTCAGACGGTACCAAGCTACTGAGATCACGCTGATTACGAGCAACAGAGCTAAGTCCGGCGCCAGCCAATGTCCATCCTGGTTGATAATGATGGTCTTTGGCGCCGTCGACAATACCTATTTCACCAGATTTGATAGAAGTATCTTTACCCTCGCCATTAGCAAAACGATACTTGGAGAATTTGTTATAGATCTGATGGGCTGCAGAGATACCGGCCGAACCACCACCGACGATTAACACTTTGTGGTGAGTATGAGCCAGACGGGCCAAAACAAAAGCGCCCAAAGTAGAAGCAGACGACTTGGACGTCCTTACTGCTGGAGAAATCCGATTCGAAAGCATGAGCAAAAAGTTTAACCAAAGTTGACAAAGAAAAGAAAAACGAGAAAAATATGCGGCTTATAAAATCAAGTTAAACACAAATACTGGATCCTATCAAGCTTCTTCTACAACAGATACAAAAGTACAAAAATTAATACTGTTCAGTGCTAAAACCAGTAAAAACAAAAAACTGCCGCTGACAACAAAATGAAGTAGTTGGAAGAAGGAGAAAGAGAAAACCACAGTTACGGAAAGTTCTAAGTAATAAATGCTGGCAATTCCAGTTTTGCAATACGCAACTTGAAACAAAGTCTCCGAGACACCCGAAACTTTCTAAGCTATGCAAGGACAAATCAGAAAGACGAGAAGACCATTTGTTTATATGGGGAAGGCAGATACGTCAGTAGCACGGATATCGCACAAATGAGATGCCGTGTTGCGCAATTTTACCAATATGTTGCGAGCCTTCCTCTACAGCGATTGGAAATTTTAATTGGTCATTATCGATGTGGTTTGCAAATACCGAATTTTGTTAAGTGGGTCCACAGTATATCGTACGATTACGCTAATGATGAATAAGCTTTCGAAATGTATTACAAAGTGAAAGAAGTTGTAAGGAAGGTGAAGGCATCACAAAGGATTGTCTACGAATGGAAAAAACGATGGCTTATTTTGGTATAAGGGCTTGTTGAAGCTATGCTGTTGATAAACAAAAAACAGAAGAAATGAATTGGACAATGAATAAGATCGAAAACAAGAATGCATGTCAAAGGATTTGGAAACAAATTTTCCTTTTGAATTTTACTTTTTAAACATGATCTAAGCCCTCTCCTTTTGAATGGAGTGTCCGCTTATGAACCGCCGACCAGCTTCGATAAGTTGAAGGAAACATTTAAGACATCAGCCAATACTTACTTGTGAATTTCATTCAAGCGATATGCTAGCTAGCCTGTCTACTTCCACCAGACGGGAATACCGAGACCATCTCGTGCACAGGAAGCCTATATATAGTTAGCTTTCTTCCATATTTCGAATATTATAGACTGATATACTTGAAAAACTTACAATGATGGTATAGGGAGCCATTGATTCGAGTGCTTCTGAACCAGTAACAGCTGTTGCACCCTTATTTCTCTTGGGTGAAATGTCGACAAACTCTTCAGATTCAATTTGAAATCTAATTTCTTCGTCTACATCAAAGTACAACTCTGGCCCAGGCTGTCCGTCCTCGCCTTCTAGTTTCCATACCCATGCACGCTCTTCTGGTCGATACACACATGGGTCAAACAACATGTCTTTTGGAATAAATAGATCATCAAAAAATCCAAGCGTTACTATACATTGTCAGTTGTTGCACACCTGCTTATCCTTCCCTAGTTAGCATGCACCATACCTCGTATACCATCTTCGCTGCAAGATTTGATTCTACCTAGCATCACTTCTCCACGGAAGGGCCGAAATACAATCAGCCGAAACGTGACTTTCCTAAAATTAGCTCTAAAGATCTCGAACACTGCTTCTGTTTCTCTGGACTTCTGTCCATCCATACCATTCATAAATGACGATCCATTACCATACTTGATGATTCCTTCTCCTACTTTCGTAAAGTCATACACGCAAATTGCAAGCCCAACTTCTTGAATCACCTTATTTGCGTATTTTTTATGTATCTCCTCCGCCAATGCTTCTTTTGTGGGTTTCCAGAAATTTGATGGATGGATGCTTATAATGTCCGAAACTTGACTCAGCAAAAACATCTCGAATTATGCTTTTTTCTTCTCTTTATTATTCTATCCGTTTGATTCCCCGAATTAACCCTTTTCGCTTCTATGAATCGCGTGTATTATATCGTTTCTTGTTTTTTTTTGTTCTTCTTTTCGCCTAGCCGTTCTCCCTGTTTCTCCTTTATTGTCTCATTCAACAATCAAAAAAAATACCCTAGACGTCTATTCGAATTTAAAAAAAAAATCGATCGTTTACCTCACCACAATTTTGTGCCTGAACTTTTGCAGAGCAAGTGCTAATGTTACTTCCTAGCTGTTACTTGAAAATATAAACAATTCAGTCTTGTGTGCTTTTGCCAAAGAGAAAAGCAACTCGATGCCTGCCGAAGTTTCATATATGGTTGAAAACTGAATGAAGAAAGTATCTCTCATTAACCCATCAATCCAATATCAGCTGCAAACTCTACATTTTTTTTTTTTTAATTTATTTTAACGACAACGTCCACAAACTACCAGATTTATTTTTTACTATGTTTATCGTGTTTAATGCATGAAAAGATTAAGGATAACGTACAATGAAAATGTGTTTGAAGTCCAGTAAATGAAATTCAACCTAACTGTAAGCTCCTAGCAGAATTATAGTACAGTTGCCAATAAATATTTTTAAAGCAAATTTTGATAGAATTGCTAAAGAGTTTCCCAACCTCCTGTGTCATTAACACCATCCAGCTTCCTTGCAATGAAAGAAGGTACAAAACCATTTAGCCATATGTTTCTGACGGTTTCATCATATCGCTTTTGGGACAAGTACTGAGAACGACCTCGTCGTAAACCGAGATCTGGTTCACCGTAGATGTCCAAAAAAGGAGCAACTGCAAAGCTGCCGAGTGGCGGATTTAGATATAATATTGCACATCTCTTGGCAATGAGAAAGATTCCAACATCTCCAGCACATTGCTGCATATGTAAATTGCACTCACCAATACCATTTAATGCACAACAATGGCTTTGGAAACACAAAAACTGTCCACAGAATAAACAGATGGCCGGCTCTAATGGCTCAGAAAGGCACCTGGAGCATTTTTTCCCTAAAAGAAGTTCGAATAACTTATCGTGCTCAAAGGGTAAGGGAACTAACTCTGGAATAGAAGGGCTATATAAACGAGGGGATTCGCACAGGCTGTCATTTAACGCAAATGATTTACACCAATATTCCACGATAGACCATTCCTGGGAATCATTCGTGTTCAATAACTTATTTGATAAGTTTTCTACATCATCCAAGTGAAGTCGATTTTCTAGGCGCTTCTGCTCACAAGCCGCATCGTCCCCTATTGATTGCTCCTCAAAAGATACTCCATAACGACAGTACCATAGCAATGCAGACTTTCTTAGAAAAACAAGCTCAAACTTTTCCACAAAGTGGTAAAGAAGAGATAGAAGTCGATAATCATTTAAATCATTGATATTTAGATACCCAGGATTATTAGGATATCTAGCCAATCCACTCCATTCCCAAACACGAGATACCAGTAATTGAAACCCTTTAAGCCTCGTCGAATCTACTATTCCACTAGACCGATTATGCATGAGTTGTACCAATGCCACTTTGCTTCTAAGTAAAACCCATAAGTTCCTAATAATGTCGGACAAATAATAAAGTTGAGTCAAAGCATGAAATGACTCTTCACAGATTATAAGACCAGAAACACTTGCTTCTGCAAATTCGCGAAATGGATCCTTCTGTAATAGAGGTTCAACTCTATCATCACTTATTGCATTTGTAAGAGGAGAATCCAATGAATGAAAAACTTTTCCGAATACCCTTTTTTGTTGGCAATAGCTAATAAATTCATATTCTTGCATCAAGCCATCTATGCTTTTTTCGGAGTCATGGGCGCATAAAAGCGTGTACGTTTTCATTGTTTCTGATAGGACGCGTAAAAAAATTTGTTGTTTCTTACTGATATCGTAAATCCAAACGTTTGACAATGTACTGTTGCTCCCTTTTACGTTCCCTCGAGCAGCTAATTCGACTTGAGTCAATGTATAAGAAAAAAGCTTCAAGATATTGGTTATCTTACCATTTAAAGGAAGATAATCGCTTGAGTAAAGTGAAGAATTTAAGTCCACCACTTCATTTAGTCGACGATATAATTCAAATATGTCTTCAGAAACAATGAAGCGATCTTCTAAGGACCTTCCTTCATGCGGAAGTGATTTAAAAGGTGAAGACTCTGCTGCGCTTGATAGATAACTATCTGAATGCGGTGTTAGGCTTTCTGTAGAGTTATTTCCAGCGTTAAGGGTATACACGTCTTTCAATGAATCTTTAAATGTGTTCTGCAAAACATCCAAAAAGTTGGGGTTATATGAACCAGTATTTTGAACAAAGGTTGTAGTTGAAGGATACGATTGATTTTTCGGCACCAACTTGTTTTTCACAGAAGTAGAAAATAACCATGATGTTAAAGCGCAGTCATTGACTTTGACTTTTGAGAAATCCAGTTCTTCCTTTGGCCTCCAAAGAATGGGTAAAATTGTATTACAAAGTCCCTTGCATAATGGACACAAAAACTCTTTCATGCTTAAATTATGAGGGTGATTTCGATAAGGGTTTGATCGGGTAGTTAATGTTACAGAAGTCATTAAATTTTTGAAACAATCAATATGCATTAAATGTCCACAACTATTAGCATACAACCCTCGATCCAAAGAGTCCGAAGGAAATCCTTTTAGAACATCTTTTGATTCTAAATCGTCGAGGCCTTCAGATTCTGAGTAGGAATTCCCTGAAGTGTGTGAATGATAATTTTCAACACTATCTAGATTATGTTTATTGTAAGCAGCCATACCATACGGACGAGATGAGACTTTGCGGTCCAAGTTGACAGGTAAATCGTAGATCTCATGTGAATAATCAGTATCGATAGAGGGAAGAAATCGAATTACAGAACTCCTTTGAATGAATGCAAGTGTGCCATAAGGACGTTTATCCTTAAGTTCCTCTTGACACAGCAAGCAAGATTCGACTGGAGGTTCCAAAAACAACCTTGTACTAAGTGAACTGGTAATTGAGGAGGTATCAGCGTCATCCATTTCTGAATCAGATACTTCAAAGTCTGTATTGTTTTCTAAGAACTTAGTTTGTTGTAAACGAAATTGTTCCATAATACGCCGCTGGCGTTCTTTCGCTAAACGAATCTTTGCTTGACGTTGCTCTGATTGTTCGGCCTCCGATAATGACTGAACGACTTTGGAAGAAGAAACAGTTATTGTCTCCCGATATAACTTCTCGTAGCATGAAGGGATCCGCTCTTTCAAGATAGACAATAAGTATTCAAGCTTTTTTCTTGCGAAATCAAAGTCAGTATGATCTTTTAACTGATACAGCACTGTAAATAGGGAAACATCCGGAGAGTTACAATACTGCTTGAGCCCTGTAACCACAGGAAACTTTGTTTCACAAAGCTTCAAGGCGAACCTTGGTTCGTCATCTCTTTCAGCAATTAATGCAACTAAGCAAGCATGCAAAGTTGTCATTAAAAGACCTTCACATTTACCTTGATCAGATGGGTATAAGTAAACGTAATTTATAGAATGCCATAAAATCGACAGGAAAGCATCACTCTGAAGAACGTGAAGAGTTGTTGTAGATGTAATTATAGGGTAATGGGCTTCATACACAACATCATCCAATTGTTCATCATGTCTTTTTGCGTATTTTTTTCTAAGTATTGTTTCCGCTTCTTCACGTTGATTTCTTGAGTAATGAATACTAAAGGGGTCTACCAAGTTATAGTACTCATCCTTCAAAGCAAAAGTTCCAGTATCGTTTATACCCTCGGCTGGCTTAAAATCTGTTATTTCATGTAAAGTCTTCTCAAAATCTTTGTGATTTAAAAAGTGTTCACAAACACGTTTGGTTATTTCCGAATACGATAAAGACTGAAAGCAAAGTAGATGTGCGATTTCATATTTTATGCAATAACACATACTCCACTTGTCCAACACGAATGTATGACTCACTAAAGATATAAGCAAAAGCATAAACTCTTCAAGCATGCTTGATAATTGAGGCAGATCATAATGCTTATGTGGAACAAAATATTTACCGATAAATTGATCACAAAGTTGAAATCTTTCTATGTATATAGGAAGAACAACATCAGGATTACCATATACCAAGACGAGTTGCAGCAAGATAAGATCCAAATCAAATGTATATTCATGGAAACTTAGATTCCTGTAGTGATGTGCTTGATCACGCAGTGTCGTTCCATTCCTTATCCAGAGTTTCGAACGCATTTGGCTAAGCCAAGCGCAAACCCTTAATGGGTGATCTACAACTCGTAAAAGATCACTTTCAGACCAGACTTTCTCATAGTCAACTTTTTGCATATGGAACGATAATAGATAAGTTAGTAACCAATGTAATGGATGGTGAAATGAAATAGGTTGGAAAGAAATATCATATTCAATCAAGTGAGTAACCCCAGTCGTATCCTTCCACGTTCCGGTCGTTGACGGTTCAGTGTTACTCCAAGAGTCAGCAGGACGATTTCTTGGCTGTATTATCGCCTGAATTAAATAATCAATTGCGATCTTAAGTTTATTAGAATCTAAATCAGCGAAAACATTTCCTACGTGTCTACAAAGCTTTGCTACTTGCAGACTAACGTTCAAAACGTACATCCATGAATCACTTTCCCATTCAACATGTTGTGAAATTGCACGAGTATAAGGACTCATACCTTGGAAAAGAGAAAAAAAGTCAACATATTGCTTCAAAAAGCGATCGTCCTCCCGGACTGTTTCGGCAACGCAATCAATCCCCAACATAAACTGTATGTGATGAAAAATATGAATATACCTACGAGAATGAAATGCAGCGGAATCAAGTCGTATGATAGCCCGGTCATCAACAAAGTTTGGGGCAGTCAAGACTTTATACGTAAAAAAAGTATAAAGAGTTGCATTTACAGTTGTCAAAAAATCAAAATCGCTAATCAACACTCTTGCTATTCCAAAAACAGTGAATATTTGCATTGAAAAAAATATAACTGAATGCTCAGGTTCTCTGTCTAAAAGCAGGAATAGCTCGGCCAGCCTCCGATACAAAATAGCGATACGGGCACCCATGATTTCTTTGAACCCTGGCACATTGATAAAATAACCCAAGTAAAGTTCTTGCAATTTGTATCTTAAGCTTTTCCAAAGCTTCAGGTCATATAAGAAAAAGTAGTCAAATCGGGTTTTTGATAACCCTTCATGTTTGTTATTCAGTACATAAGAGGGTGTCCAATGCGAGGTACCATTCTGAAAGGGATCCATATCTATTTCGTTTTCAGAATTCTCGTTACTGGATTGTAATAAACTTTGTACGGAGCGATCAAGAGTTTCACTAAGGAATGCATCTGGATTATCTATTGCGACTATTTCGGATCCTGTATAGGATGAAGATTTCAAATGAAAATTTGATTGTAAGCCGCAATCCCAAGGCCTTAAAAGTTCTTTACAGATTACAGTTCTGAAATAACTTCCATCGCCGCATACTTTGCTTCCAGCGATATCAGCAAGCCATTCTAATAAAACACCGCAACATTCCTCGCGAAAAGTATCCCTCATAGATCGTATAGTTACGGTCAAATTAATTTGTGCGAGTCTGTGACCAATTCTTAATAATTCTTTAATATTTGAGTCTGTCACCACACAAGCTCTTCCGGTATCATTAATTATATTTGATAGTCGCTGTCCAAATGAGTCGTTAGGTGCATCAAATGCGATAGTTATTTGTTCATAAAATTGCTTGAAGGAGTGTTTTTCGTCGTTCCAAAGTATTAAAGAATATAGATTACAAGAATCATCAACATCTCCGTATTTGTCTTCGCTCAACCGACTAGAGCGTTCGTCTTCAATGATAGATTCATGAGTTGGCATCTTTTTCAGGTTTTCAGGGCTACAGCGGAATACGTCGAGAATAAAATCCAGTACGCATTCTACTGTTGTTTGAATACTCGATGCCACTTTTTCATTCATTTCTGTTTGACTGTCACTTTGGATTTTATCTGAATTTTGTAAACGATTGTGGATTTTGCATGGCATGTCACGAATCCAAGCAGCGGAATTTCCACAATCGCAGCAGCCTCCGCTTCCAGCGCTAATCGTAAAGGAGGTCTCATGTCCATGATGGTCTGTAGCGCGGAAACATTTCACACAAAGTGCAGAATTACTGTCAACACTACAAGTTTTGCACCGATAAAAGACCTCACCTTTCTTGAATATACGACCACAAGAAAGACCGCATACACCAGGACGATATTCATCACCTTCTCTATGTCCCTGAGCATAACGTAGCTTAAAATCATAGTCGATAACAGGCTTTTCTGGTAAGAGAGCTTGCCATAGAGTATGATCGTAACCCAGAAGTGCAGAAAATACTTCGTTAAGTAGAGACTTTTTAGCTGATTCAGACCACATAAAAGAGTACATCAACGCATGGGATTGAAGAAACAGCAGCAACCGTCTGCGTATTAGAGCACATCGAGATAAAGGTCGGTTCGTCTCGCTCGGTACCATGGCATGCTAATCGACAAGAGAATTGATCAATGCTTTATATTTAAAAATACATAAAAATAAAAGATAACAAAAGTAGAGCTTTAACGATATGCGAAAGCAAATAATGGTCTTTTTGGGGGACAGAAGATTTTGGCACTGCAACACTTAAACGACAAACCAAGAACCGAATTTAGCCTTTAGAGATTGAGTAAAGGTAAAATATACACCCTAATGGAGGGGAAAAAGTCTTTTTCTGGGTTTGTTTGTGCGGAATTGCAGAATTTATTACTAATCGATGACAGAGCGCGTTTGGTAGAAGGCAAATTCGTTATCCCAGAAAGCAGAAGGAAAGATGGAAGTGTGAGGCAACAAATACAAGTGAGACCAGGATATGTTGCTCCAGAAGATATTCCTCGGTATAGACCTGGCGGCGGTAGAATTTCTTTTCTGGAAAAGCAGATGCAAAAATTGAAGTTGGAAAATGAAAGCAAAGCTGACAAAGGAAACCACCAGAAGAAAGAAACGAAGTTTAGTAAATCCTTGGATGAAAAAAGAGATGAAAAAACAAATAAAAGCACGGAAAAACTAGCCGAAATTGAGAGAATTGCAGGAAAAGACGATACGAACGCACCTAAAGAAGGAATTCCTCCAAGAGAATCAGCAACAACAAACAAGGATGAAAATCAAAGTTTTGTACCGAAATCTTCTAAGAAACCCGGCGGAAACTCAACTCCCGAATGGCGAAGATCAGCTCGACCATTCAACCAGAAAACCTCTGAACAGCCTCCGAAATCAAGAGTAGCTGATATTGCTTCACGAAATACAAAAGGAAAATGGAAGCAGAGTAAAGTTATTCATAAGGCAACAACGGACGGAGGGAAAAGTAAGTAGTATCTTGTGGGCGGAAAAAGAATGAATGGTTGAAATTACATGAATACAAAGAATGACCGAATTTTCTAAAAAAGCAAGGGAGAAGTACTCTATTTCTGAATAGCTTGATGCCTGATCTGCAGGAACGATACTATTGAAAACCAGCGATGAATAGACAATTACTTTGTGAGCACTGAGACTTTTGATTGTACTAGAGATATTCTAGAATATGAAGGTTGAATCAAAAAATAACAATTATTGGCGTATGAGAAACAGAGGGTACCACTTAGGTTTTGTTGACGGTCGTGAACAAGCACGAACCTGATTCATAGAAAATTGAAATAGAAAACTTGACGATACGCTACACTTTTCTCCTTCTAATCAGGATCGTTTGTCCTGGTGGGGTGTTTCGGGATGTTTTGTTTTCATGAACTTGTTCACCAACACCCGATATCATCTTCAAAGAGAATCGGTGAGACTACAATCTGAAGTTTAGATGATTCTCAATTCATGATAATTGAAACATACATAGTAACTTTGTGAACACATCAAATGAAATTCTCTGTTTCTATTTATCTGATCAGATAAGCTCATAGCTTAAGCGATCAGTAGTGATGCGGAAAATGAGATACGAATGATTGTTCGACCTCCTTAAATGGAACGAACAGACAATGTTGTGGTATTTGGAGCAAAGTGTTTGCGCTTAGCATAATCCTTAATTCAATATGTTTCAGTCTATAATTTTAGATCGAATGAAAAGCACGTTTTTCGGAGAGCTTAAGAGTTGGAATTTCTCGTATGTGGGACTTGGATGGCTGGAAAGACGTATGCTAACAAAACTTGCAGAATTTACGCTCAATGGCTCGGCATTCTTTCGATTCTCTGTAAGTAAAAGGAAATTTAGGAAGGAAACCAAATGGAGATTGTAAAGGAAAGTATGAAAAAGTGTTTTCTTGTTTGAGAACTGCCGTCTTGTGGTTTTGAAATGTGTCCTGGTGAACTCAATGTGCAAAAGACTAAGCTATAGCTCATACTTCTTTGCAATGCGCAACTGTTTTGCTTTTCTCTGATTTTACTTTCTAACATATGGATGAAGTGTGTATTATATTGGGAATTGTCAACTTGTTTCATGTTACGCTAGTAGTCTTGTTCTCGGCCTTAACCATCGTGGAAGGTGTGATGTTGATTTTTATTGAACTTCCCTTCTTGACTCGCATATGTCCGGTTTCAGAGAAATTTCAAGCATTTACGAGTATCTTTGAAAGCAACTATTATCGTGGGGTAAGCTTCCTTCTGTACTGTACTGTTCAAAGTGCCAATGACTAACATGAGGAATTATAGCTTATATATTCTATTTTTGCACTGGTGACCTTTTTGGGGTGCATTTTCTCAGCTACCAGTTTAATCGCCGCTGGCGTAGTTTTGAGTCTGACAGGTCTTTGTTACACGTTTGCAGGAATCAAGGGCCAGGCATTTACTTCGAGCTCTACATTGGGTGGGACCGGTGGAAACAACGATGCCCCCGCTGACGCAGTGTAAGAAAGTTGGCGTTCCCATGACTTGGTTTGACTTTGACATGGCCTGATGCCTGATGCATCCACATCCTTTCTTAGGTGGAGAACAGTATACTAAACCATCTTTTGAGAAATTCGGACAGTAACAAGAGGTTTTGCTAACTTTTTTAACGACTACAAATGGTCGGTCGCAGAAAGTTTGCCTTATAGAATAGATAATATAATGAAAAGATTAAATCACTCATTTAAAAAACCAAAAAAATTAATCTTCAATTTGATAAGTATTTTCTTCAAGGCGACGCTCTAGTTCGGCCTTGATTTGTTCAAGACGATGCTCGTTCACCAGCAGACGCTCATCGTCAATTTCTTCAATAACAATGCCTGGTGACTTTTCATCAATGTTAAGAATGAGTTGCTTAACAGTTGGGTCGCACTCCACCAACAACAATCCTTTCTGTGCTCTCGGCATGGATGTAACAACGTGGTTGGTAAAGTGTAAAATTAAAAGTACCCCAAACGAATGCAAATACTTCCGGTCCGAATGTATCGTCGTCCATAATAAACTACAAAATACCACTTCAAAACACTACGCAAAACTACAATTACTCATCCAACTTTGAAAAATTAGTTAAAGACTACACCAAATGAATAAGGGATTATTAGGAGAACGTTTTATATTCTCGCAATATTACATTACTTGCTCTGAATTGTTTTTTTTTCAAGAGAATAGTCAAAAAATCGTTATTTAGATTATATGTACGTTAAAAAAGCGTGAAAGAACTGAGTGAAGGCATCAAAAATTCGTAGGTGAAAAATATTTCTTCGTTAAAAATAAAAATGAAAACTCCTAAACGTTCACTCGTCGCTTCTTGACATCCGGCGTGCTAGCTAGTTACTTGTCCTTGGAGGCAGTGTAGGCAACCAAGTCAACAACACGGCGAGAGTAGCCGTATTCGTTGTCGTACCAGGCAACGAGCTTAACAAACTGGGGAGAAAGTTGAATACCAGCGGTGGCATCGAAGATAGAAGAACTGATGTCTCCAACGAAGTCTTGGGAGACAACAGCATCTTCAGTGTAGGTGATGATACCCTTGAGGGGGCCATCAGCAGCGGCCTTGACGGCCTTCTTGATGTCTTCATAAGTAGTAGGCTTAGAGAGCTTAGCGGTCAAGTCAACAACGGAGACATCAGTGGTAGGAACACGGAAGGCCATACCAGTGAGCTTGCCGTCGAGAGAAGGAATAACCTTACCGACAGCCTTGGCAGCACCGGTGGAAGAGGGGATGATGTTGTCACTGGCGGTACGACCACCACGCCAGTCCTTCTTGGAGGGACCATCAACAGTCTTTTGGGTAGCAGTAGCAGAGTGGACGGTGGTCATCAAACCCTCCTCAATACCGAAGGCATCGTTAATAACTTTAGCCAAGGGGGCCAAGCAGTTGGTGGTACAAGAGGCGTTAGAGATGACCTTTTGGTCAGGTTTGAAAGTCTCATGGTTGACACCAACGACGTACATAGGAGCATCCTTAGAAGGAGCAGAGATGACGACACGCTTAGCACCACCCTTCAAGTGAGCAGAAGCAGCTTCTTGGGTGGTGAAGACACCAGTGGATTCAATGACATATTCAGCACCGACAGAGCCCCACTTGATGTCGGCAGGCTCCTTCTCGTTGAAGACAGTGATGGGATTACCATCAATCACCAACTTTCCATTCTTAATGTCAACTTCACCCTTGTATTGGCCGTGAGTGGAATCATACTTGAACATATAAGCCATATACTCGAGTTCAATGAAGGGGTCATTGACAGCAACGACTTGAACAGACTTTGCTTGAATAGCGTTACGGAGGACAATACGTCCAATACGACCGAAACCGTTAATACCAACCTTGGGAATTGCCATTTTTAATAATTACTAATAGATCGATTCAGGATTTGAATGAGCTGTAGTACCACAATTCCATTTACCTGCCTGTATTTATACTTTTCGACCCCCTTGATCAAGCATCATAATGATTTCGTGGTATCCATTGGGTAAGGGTTCTTTCGATTCACACCTTATCGCATACTTCATCCCCGTTGTTACTGGAGTCACCCCTTCTGCTTTTGATTGGCCTATTACTTCCCCAATGATGCCTTGTTCTGTTCTTTAACTTTCTCCGATCTTTCTTTCTTCCATCACGGTACCCCGTTTCATGACTCGGAAGCCTCAAGTTTACGTCATCTTCCATTGAACGATGTGAAATCCATGACGTTCCTCCTTCATCGAATTCGCAGAATCTTTAGTCTCACAGTCCATGATCGCATATCGCGTACCGTCAGGCGCTTAGCAGAGAAGCGTAATCCCATCATCCGTTGAATATGTTGTTCCACTCTCTTCTTGATACTTCTTCGTTGTTATCTAACAATGTTCTGTCCCGTTTCTAACATTTCCCTTTTCTTCCCGTACCCTGCATTCCCTCAAACCTCTTGTTTTTTTTTCTATAATTCTCAATTGCTCCCCTTCTCAACTCTCAATACCCTCTCGATTCCATATCAATCGTTTCAATTCCATATTTTATCTTCTTTTCACCATAGATATTGTCTTTTTCTCTCTCTTTTGTTAGAATCTCCCGTTTGTTTACCTATCCCGGCTTTTTCGCTTTTCGCCTATGTGATATCACCCTAATTTTGCTCTTTCGGAAAATCAGCTTAACCGACCCTTACGGAAATTTGAATTTACCTCATGGTGAACGATGTTTTTTTTTTTCTAATTGGTTCGTAATCTTCACCACCATCTTTCGTTACTCGTTCCTTTATCCTGAAAAACTTTCCCTCCATATATTTTCTTATTACACACTCTATTTCTATGACAGCTATGAAATTTCCTAGAAAATAAATGTCTTATGCTCTGTCCTTTTTTCTTACATATTACATACTTATTTGACAGTTTTATATTCTTTGTTCAAGTAATATAAATATTAATTTATGCTTAATCTATCCCTTCTCTTTAAGTAATTACTGTAGGCTCCTTTCGTCCAGTCAATGCTTCTAATGACAACAAGTTCAATGCCACGTCTATCACCGGCTTCAAGGCCTCTTGTGCATTCAACTCAAACTTTCTAGAATCCGATTCATGCTTCTCAATGTACAATCGCAAAGTAGCACCACTGGATCCTGTTCCTGAAAGGCGAGTCACAATACGACTGCCATTATCAAATTTTGCATACAATCCTTGGTGCTCACTGACACTTCCGTCAACTGGATCACGGTAGGCGAAATCTCCTGCCTTAGCAATAACAAAACCTGGTAAGACTTCCTTGCCAACGATATCTTTGGCTTCTACAACATCTCTGAACTTTTGAATTACCTTGCCTGCAGCTTCGCTGTCCAATTCTTCATAATCATAGCGCGTGAAGAAAGTTCGTCCATAGATGCTGTAGAAATCTTTCATAACATCCTTAATGGTCTTGATCTTGGGGTTTTGAGCATTCAAAGCGGCTAAAATGTTCAACCAACTCAAAATACCCCACATACCATCCTTCTCACGGATGTGGTCACTGCCTGTACCAAAGGATTCTTCACCACAGACAGACAAACGTTTGGCATCGAACAAATTGCAAAAGAACTTCCATCCGGTAGGTACTTCATAGACGTCTTTACCCTTGTATTTACCAACCAAATCAATGGCTCCTGATGTTGGCATCGAACGGGCATAACCGTGAATACCTCCCTCGCGGAAATAGGGAATTAAGTCTGCGTGGTGTGCGATTAACGCAACACTATCACTAGGGGTAACGAACGATTCGTATCCATAAATCATGTTACGATCACCGTCACCATCAGACGCAGCGCCAAAAACAATCTTTTCGCGGTTAACGCGTTCGACCAACGATTTGGCATAGGTAAGATTGGGATCAGGATGACCACCACCAAAATCAGGCAAAGGCTTGCAGTTGTCACAAGAGCTTTCGGGTAAGCCGAGCTCCCTGTGGAAAATTGCCAATCCATAAGGACCAGTTACACCGTGGAGTGCGTCAAACACAAATGTAAAGTCGGGGTTCTTGGAAATAAAGCTGCGAATCATATCAAAATCAAAAATTTGCTTCATAAATTCCACGTAATCTTTGACAGGGTCAATAATTTCCACAGTCAAGGGCCCATATTTGCGTTCACCAACAGTACTCAAGTCAACTTGGGGAATCTTAGCTGCCTTGTATTCTGAAATAGTTTTGGTAATCGAATACATCTTTTCAGTTACTCCCTCGGGAGCAGGAGCACCATTGCCAAGGTTGTATTTGATACCAAAATCGTTGTTGGGACCACCGGCATTATGAGAGGCAGTTAAAATAATACCACCGTGTAACTTGTATTTGCGAATGACATGACTAGCGGCAGGAGTGGACAAATAGCCATTAACACCAATTACTAGCTTTTCTACACCGTTTCCGGCAGCAATAGAGCAGATGACTTGAATGGCATGGTCATTCAAATATCTACCATCACCACCCAATACCAAATGAGAGCCTTTCGAGGAGGGTTCCACAATATCCATGATGGCTTGGACAAAGTTCTCCAAATAGCCAGGTTGTTGGAAAACGGTCACCTTTTTACGCAGACCGGAGGTACCAGGGCGTTGGCCTTCGAAGGGCTTCGTAGCAATCGTTTCAATCATTATGTAAATGCTTTAAAGAGAGATCGTCAAACAAGTAATTCGTAAACGTAACTAATTTAAGCAAGGATTTCTATGCTTATGAGGAATGTAAATTAGAAACTTCGTTAACAATAATTTAACTTATATATAACACGTTTCAAGAAAGTGGGACTTTCTAACTAATCTTGCCAAGTCTGAGCTGAGTATATGCAGAGGTCAAAGTGGAAGCCCTAGGCTTGTATGTAAACCAAGAACCCGCGGTATAACGTATATTAGCGCAATAGCCCCACACATTTTGTGACTCTAATAATCTCGGTTGCTACCTTTCAACCAATTTAACGTCACATGAAAACAAACAACCATTTAGTAAACAAGCATCTTATACCTTTATAGATTTATTCCATAGGTTCAAATTATTCGGAGCAAAAAGCTAAAGAACTATCCCTGAACCTTTTTTTTCCAATTATGAGAAATTTAGTCTGTGCAAACAGATCATTCAGACACTTTTTTGTTTGGAGTTTTAGGTTGGCAAAGTACCTAGACCAGATGATGTTGCTGACACAAAACAAGGTTTAACCAATAGTGCAACAGTATTCTAGACGGAACAATTATGATTAAAGTCTCTCAACCTCAGATGGGTGATATAGTAAGGTCTAAATAAAGTGAAGAAAGTAAACAAAGCATGGAAACGTATTATAAAAATTAAATCATATTATTAGAAATATCTACTTAATTCTTTATCTATTCCTATTGGAGTAACTATGTTTTCAACACAAATAAAAAACATGAAAACAATAAAAAAATGGGGGTTTGAACAAGCCAGTCGTGTCTAACTCAGTGATGGAATAATAAATCTCGTAAACCTTAGACTTTTTAGGAAGCCGAGGTCAAATCGATTGCTTCGAGAAATGCAATTAGATTAGGGAATTATTATAGGAATCGGGAAAGAAAATCATCAGTATGTGAAAAGGAAAGGGTATAGTATGTCTTTTCTTGGAACCTGCCATAAAGAATACAATACTAAGGGAAATCTCGTTGAATGAATGGATCATGCATACATCAACCGTAAAAATATTCATAGAAATTTCCTTACGGTTGCCAAAGACAAGCATTACCAGCGACCAGCACTGAAAGAAAATATAAAAAAAAAAGAGAGAAAGAAAATTATCTTGCTTAGTTAAAGCATACGGATATTATATAATAAAAAAACGAGGGAACCGAACGATCAAAGCCTCAATCATAAAAGGTAGCTTATGTCTTCCAAAGCTTTCCTATTACCTGGGGAGCTGTCGAGTCCTTCCACTGCTAAATGAAGAAGTATGGGAGGAAGGCGGATGGGAACCACGATTTCGGAATGGTAAAGACGTAGCAGTAGCCGTGGTTGGTCCAAAAAGAGAAGACGATCCATATAAGGACTTTTGTTCACGATTATACTCTGGAGGAAGAACACCGATATGAGGATGTTGTGAAGAATCAATCCTATCAGATAAAGGTGTTGCCGAGGAACTGCTTGCGGCTTCCGGAAACAATCGCCTGGGTTTTAATGATGACAAGTCGGTTCCTTCTGAAAACACTTTTTTGACCTTCTTTCCACGGAAAATATAAAATAAACCGTCAGAAGGTGGTACTTCCATTTCACGTTTCCGTTTCGCAATCACTTCAGCTGGCGCAGGCGGACCCAAAAAGGGATTATTACCAGCATCTTCCTCGATCGGTTCATTTGTTTGATTGTTCCGTTCTCGGAGTAAAGAAGGAAACAGTCGCTTTTTAGGAGTTTTTGCAGGGGTGGGTGGTAGCCCATTGCAAGAAGCTTCAGCATTCGGTAACCCAGTATAGCTGGCAGATGAGTCATTCGCTTCTGAATCAAAATAGCTTTCGAGGTCGAGCTTAGAGTTCGATGGTGATTCTGGAGTGGTGGGAGTACATACGGGCCGCAAGGGCGGAGTAGTAGGCTCCATTTTTCTTGGGTTAAGTAGAACAGTGATTGAAGATAAATGGAGCAACAGTAGAGTGAATCTCTAATATACAGTAACCCAAATAAACGAAATGGATAGAAACTGGGTAATTTTGAGATTGTATGTGATATAGAAAGTGGTCCAGGAAGAAAGAGCCTTAGGTACGGTTCCTTCCTTAACGGTGAATAATAACAAAGAAAACCAAGATTTGCGAATCACAAAATGAAAATGAAATCAAAAAATCCAAAATGACAAAAGGGATTTATAAAAAGTAATTCAAAATAAAAAAATCGAAATGATGAGGATAAAACCACAGACTGTATAATTTTTCTGGTGCACGAAACTTTTGCTGTACTATAATAATGAAGATAATATAATAGAGGTAGTTAAACCTGTTGTATCAATAACAATTGTTATTGTAAGCAACTAGATGAACTCCTCTACAATCTCATGAACCTTTCGTTTTGAGCTGAAGGTAGATAATAAGAGTATATTGATTAGAGAATAAGATGAAATATGAATATCTGGCCTAGGGAATTGTAGGGCTTCTTTTTATCCAAGGAACGATGAATTGAGCAAAGAAAAACTTCTTATAAAAAGGAATAAAGTTCAGGAAGCCTGCAATTCTTAAAAACTCGCGTTTTTTATGTTTTACTTACAATGGAATGGATGGGTGTTGTTGTTAAAACGCGACGCGCTACTCTGAACACTCATTGCTTTCATAAGTAGCAATCTAAACAAACGGAGTAACAGTGTAAACAAACAAGGATGATTTCAAAAATCCCATGTTGTTTGTAAATATTTTCCTTTTTTCTTCTTGTTATCGTTTTCATTTGAGAAAAAACCCTTGTTGGCATTTTATTAAAGCATAGAACGCTGGTTTCCTTAGTATGCAACTTGTAAACAAAACAAAATGTAATCATCGCGGACCCTAGGTGGGCTGAAAGACAGACAGCAAAAGGTTTTCAAGTACGATGGTTTTGAATCGTTACGGTAGTTTGATTTCAGTTTTTGGTGGATTTGTACTTTGCTATTTCAAAGCGATCCTTCAAAATTCAATATAAAGATCAAGATCAATTTTATTTTCAATGTTCTTTTTCTAATTACTGTTGGCTATGGATAAATTTACATATTTTATAGAAAGAAAAAGTATCGCACAACAGGCATACTTTCACTTGCTTTCGTGGAATACTTTCAAAGGAACGAAACACTTCTACAAAAAGGAAATATCAGCACAATAGTCGGTATTTATATTTATTAAAACCTTTTTCCTTCTTTCATTCAATTCTGTTTATAAATTTATTCCTGAAACTTCACGGTTATTTCCAGCATTCAAGTTTCCTTACTGAAGATTTCATACTAAAAATCTGTCTGAATCTAACATCATTCTATGAAAAAAATTGATTCAAGATACTTTTAGGAGTTATATTTAAGAATGTCAAGCGACTTGCGGCAGGAACTTCAGCTACTAAAAACATTTAACCAAGTGATAGAAAAACTTACGGGAAGTCTGAAGATATCATCAGAAAAACTTCATTCTTTTGAAAAATCCATTCAGTCTGCTAATCAGTTAGTAAACATATGGTCTTCGGTACAGGGCCAAACAGATCACACGCAACAGTTACTATCAAATACGGACTGGAAGGGGCCTATGCAAGATCTTGAGGAGATTGAGGTATTACAGAAGGAAAAACTACAGCAAGAGCAGGAGTTGCAAAAGCAGCAGCAACTTCAATTACAGCACCAACGAGAATTAGAAGAGCAGGCTCGCAGAGAAAAAGAGGAAGCTTTGACAGCTCAAAAGAAACGCTCAAGTATTTTTCGTGGAAGAAATTCAAGAGTTCCTTCATTTTCTTCTCGAAACCCATCCTCCATCCCCCCTCCTCGAACTTCTTCGTCTGGTGGTACAGGTCGTCCTTCCGTTTTGAACCCTTCTGCGAATAGAAGAGTTAGCTCTTACTCTTCTGTTCCCAAAACTAGGTCTTCCGTGCCAAATCGAGCCATTTCTTCTTCATATCCCACTTCATCCTCGGCACCCACTCCTCATGATCCTCAGGTCCCTCAAAGGACATCGAGCGCTTCAAGACGTAGTTTATTTCCTAAAAGTTCTTCACGTCTTCGTCCTCCGGTAAGAACTTCATCAGCATCCATGACTGGTACGCGACGGCCTTCCGCCTTACCCAAAAGGCCAAACTCCATATTACGCTCGTCCACACATTCAACAAATACCCAGCGCAATCACCCCAATTGACTACTTATCAGCGTTTTATAATTTCTTTTGTTTCTTTTAGTTTTTATTTTCAACTTTAATTTATTTATTGCTAAAATTTTTGGTCCATTGGAACAACTTCTTACTCTTCCAATTCAAATTTCGAAGGATAGCAAAACCCTGTAAAATTCGATTTTTTTGATAATTTTAATCAAAGGAAACATTTTTATCCCATATTGAACAAAAAAATGCAACATTTTGCCCAGGATATTCACTGAATTCTATTAATTATTGGACGACTGAATTCAAACTTGTAAGGTAGTAATGGAAAACTCCTGCGTTGATAAAAGATACCCTTTACGATGCTGGATTTGCTATGATGAGTTTGACGGCGTGCGCAATCCTAAAGATCCCTGGAGACGGCCTTGCAAATGCTCATTAATTGCCCACGAAAGCTGCTTAGTCTCTTACGTTACAAGCTCAACAAACACTAGATGTCCTCAATGCCTCAATGAATATATAATTGCTCGACCCATGAAAGCCAATTGTCGGGTCTTACATGCTGTTGGTCTTTGCCAAAACATCGAATCTGGATTAGTGCAGATTGCACTTGGGACAGGTGTTTGTCTCGGTATAGGCAAGTCTGTGTATTCGATCTTCAGAGAGACAGGTCTCTGGGTGTGCCGGCAAGTGGCTGATGAAAGCTCCATGTTATTTGTGATGCAACGACCTTTGTTTTCGTCGGCCATCCTTCCGATTCTTCCATGTATGCTCGTTCGATTTTGTGAAGCTCCTTCTTATGACATAGTTTTTAGTTTATTTACACACTGCTCTGTCTATTACTGTGTAGATCGGTTTTCCACTACGCAGATATTATTATGTGCTTTACCATGGATACGTTCTATTCACAAAGAGCTAACAAACTATATCAAAAAAAACATTTCAGTCTATACACAGGAAGACGACGAAGAATTAAGAGAAAACTGGCTCCGAAAATTAGATGATCAAATTGAACAGCAAAACCTAGTGACTAATGAGGATGCAGAAGTAAAACATTCTGAATTATGGACTTTTTTTTCTGTTTTCCATACATTTTTAGATGGGTTTACAACTGAAATCCTTCGGATTCTACGACCAATTGTCTTACTTCCTTTAGCAGGAAAATTTTTGGGACGACTCTTCCCAAATAGATTAACAAAGGTACAAAAAAGTATTTTAGGTGCGGTTTTTGCCCTATGTATAAAAGACATATGTAGATATAGTTTTCTGAGTTGGAGAGCCAAAAGATCCCAAAAAATACGGATCCTGGATAACCAAATAGAGAGCAAGCACTAAACTCGAAAACTGCTTATTCGCTTTGCTTCGCCTGTTGCAAACCCAATTGTATAATACTATTATTGTTAAATCTTACATAAAGATGTAATATTGAAAAATTAAGAGGAATACAAGGTTCATTGTATCTTTTTCTAGCTAGTTTCCATCACTCCCTGGGTTTCTTCTTTTTTGTCCGCCTCAGCAGCACGCTGTTCTTGTTCTATCTGCCCACTTTGAGGAGTGTTAAGGGAGTCAGCCTGAGAAGGAGGGGCTTTTTGCCCTGTTTCAAAGGAGAGCTTTGTAATAGCAGGTTCAACTTGCGGTGTTGATTGGGCAGAGCTTGCAGCCATTGTTGAAGGAGTACTGGATTGAGACGGCATCTGCGAATCTGATTTAACTTCACCTTGTGGAACGGGCTTTCCACTGTTGATTTGTCTGTACAAAGAATGGATTAAGTTCATGACAGCTATTGAGACGATTAGTATCATAACTTTAAAATTTAACACTTACCGTGTATATCATCCATTGAAATGTTATTTTCGATTAACCATGAAGGAGTGCCTGCTTCATTGAGAGGAAGTGATGTTTTGGTTTTTTCAAGGCCGTACTGAAAAGCTGCTGCTGCAATCACTTTCCTTGGAAAAAGCAAACAAGAAATACTTCTCGTACTGTCATTGATATAGGTCCAGGAAATTTTCGTGAGGTTTTTGTGATCGGGGACATAATGTTGGATTAAACGCAACAAATCGTTGAAAGGGTGGTCTACTTTAAAATCGAAGCATATTGCTTCCAGTAAAATTTCTTCTGTGTAAAGAATAACATCCCTCCAGCGCCAGTATTCTTTGGTCTGCTCATCTATAAGGATGTTGTTATTCTTTTGAGCAACCTTTGCGCAATTGATGATGATATCTCTCAGCTTCCTGTTCGAATCTTCTACTTTGCTTGCTAAAAAAACACAAGTCGCTGCAATATCATAATAGTGATATTCCTTCAGGGAAAATCGAAGGTAAAACCGATGAAAGTAAGCATTTGCTGTCGCTAATGTAAGTTGAGGCCTAGTCTAGGTTAATTAAACAACCTTTATTTAAGAAAAAAAGAAAAAAAAACTTACAATTTTAATCTCAAGCCCACGTTGATGATAAAGTTACAGCCTTTGGACCTCTGAATTTCTTCTTGTACCAAAGGAATTCCGTCGAGAGCAGAGGGCGTATAGTCCAAATCCTCTTTTTTTATTATCCATTGAGAGGACGTTTGCCAATCGACTTCCGGAGTACTAAATGTTTCCTTCATAGGAGAACCAAGCGCATGTGGATCAAATTCACTGTACTTTTCAAAATTCCAAACGACCAAAATAGAACTCTGGTATTCTACAAGAAATAATAAATAAAATCCTCTTTTCCCTCTGAATTTCCGTGTTTCACAGATTCCCTTGCAGACCGTGAACTTTCTGTTTAATGTCGTTTGCTTTAAATTCGCTAAATGGTGTTTAAACTTTCATCGCAGCCGTTTAGCAATGAAGACGCAGTGTAGTGTACTTCACTATATTGACTTTGCGTGTCTAAAGATCAATACGAAACCACCAGAAATTGGTATAGTATGGAAGAAGCCGTGTGAAATCTTCTATTGAAAAGCACTGTTACTATTATACTTATTCCCTCGATTGTATATAATAACTATAACGAGAACATCTTGTAAGTGGAAGCAGATCATAAAGGTAAACGACTGCCTTGGGAAAATAGGGGAAGCAGAGTTTGCATATGCGTAGCAAAACAATTGCCTTGTAGAAATTATTTGTTTGATTAATTTTTATGTGTTTCACGTTAAGTCGAAGTCTAAGTCTGTGGTTGGTAGTGAAGTAAACGTTTGGAAAAAGTTGTTATCATCATGTCCTCAAATCAGGTATGTTTGGGAGTCGCATGTATTTGAAGCGCTTGCTGGCTAACAACTTAATACTTAGTATGTGGTCGGAAGCAAGCCTGTGGAAAAAAGACCTAGGAATATAAAAAACATAAATTCAGTAGCTACCTGTGAAAAACACCGACAAAGTGTCATTAAAGACCTTTCAAAAAAAATTAATAAGATTCAGAGTGGTAGGTACAACAAAAGAAATCAATTTTATCGATACTAACCACAACATAAGCTCAATTGCCGGACTATCAAGTTCGAGATTTGAATGATGCTATTAATCAATTGATGCGTGAGAAGCATGCTTGGGAAATTCAAATTCGCGATCTTGGAGGAATAAATTATATATACAGCAAAGCGAAACTCTTTGCGGATGATGGTGAGAAGATCGGTGAGATCGATGATTATCGCTATTATGGGCGTGCTAGAGAATTACCTGGCGTAAAAGAGTTATTTGAAGCTGATATGACTTTTGTACCTGAACGCTTGCGAAAACAAGAGATGCAACAGCGACAGCTCGATGCTTGGTATTATGGTTATACGCCTTTGGAAGAAGAAGCCTCGTTACAGGACTACGAAAAAACAATATCTGATCAAAGAATGGAACGATTATCTCAAGAAAGAACCCATTCGTTGGAGAATTGGAAGCCCATCGTAATCGAGCACATTCCTGCACGTGAAGAGGTAGAAAGGATTTTGCTGGAGAGACGTAAAAATGCTTTACTTCATAGGTTGGTGTAATCAATGTCTGTCTATATAAATAGGAAATGTTTGGTCTTATATATTCATCGAGTTCATTCGCTAAATACTGTTTGCCTTGGGTATGTATTTTTTTTTGGTAAAAATAAAGTCTAGATCCTAAAATATCATTACATGGATAGATAGTTGGGGCTTTCACAAGCCTCGTACTCTTGAATCAAGTTGGAGACAACCTCTCTGTTTGCAAATGCTGTAAGCTTCTTGAACAATGAACAATAAAAGGATAAATGACATACCTTGAAGAATCAAATTCGTCTAAATTATCTTCAAAAATTGACTCCTTTTTGTATTGGTCAAGAAAAGCATTCCGCTTTCGTAAACGATCGTATTGATCTAAAGTCCTCTTGAACAGCTAAATTAAAATTAGATTCTGAGTTTCTGATAATTGATGGTTTCAACTGCAACCCATAATACTTACCGATGCGATGCTTGTATGATTTGCCAGCATCAGTCCGCTAACACGATGATTTGTTTTTATATACGGAGACTTTTTGGAAAGTGCAACTTGGATACTTGCGGGTCCCCATGGTATAAAGGTTGCAAGCTTCCTTTCACGAATACGGAGAAGAGACTTGTGTACATCAGTGGGATCAGCTTCTCCTTGAATGATGTTCAAAAGACTGATAAAGCAACTTTGTTTACTAGGGTTAACAGAGACCATTCGGTTCTTTGGTTGGAGTAACCTTCTCATGACTTCTAAAACTGTAGTTTTTCGAATGGTTTTAGCTTCTTCCACTTGTTGGTTCGTAAAGGGGGTATAAGATGTAGAGAGAAAGTGACAGCGAGGAGTTGGGATCAAAGAAGCTATAATACTGACCAAATCGTTGTTCATGTAACCAGGATATCGAAGGGTATTGGTACTAGCAGACATCACAGTAGAAACCTACGTGCTGTCAGAACAAATAAATTCAAATTAAACTTACCAATTGATTTTGTTGATGAAAAGTGGGATTTTGGATGTGGAGACGGTCGGCAGCAATATGAGCCAGTGCAGCATTGTCCAAAACAACAACTGCATCAGCGTTGAGAGTTAACCTTTTGAGTGTAAGAAGACTGTTATATGGTTGAACAACAACATCCGAAACTGACTGATTATTAGGAAATACAGAGTAGGTTTGGACAATTTTCTTCGGGAATCTATCATTTAACCGTTCTAACAAATATGATCCCAATCCTGATCCTGTACCACCAGCAATAGAATGTAAAAGAGAAAATCCTTCCAAAGAATCGCTTCCGTCAGCTTCACGGTCTATCATGTCCATGATATCTTCGAAGATCCGGTCTGCATAAGAGTATCCATGAGCCCAATTATTTCCAGCACCACCACCGTTTTTTGTTACTAAAATATTTTCCGGGTTATATAAATTCCCGTATGTATCTCCAAGGATGTTGGATACCACCTAGAGGTATTTGTGGTTAGCGTGCTTCGAATTAATAAATGTAATTTCTCTTACCCTTGGTTCAAGATCAATTAAAAGTGCTCTTGGAATATATCTATTATCATCTGACTGGGTGAAAAGGTTAGTTAGTCTTCAAGTCGATCCTTATTGTTCATACTTGATAAAAAAAGACATCTTTTCGATCTACACCATCCGTAGCATAACTTTCTAATGTGCCATCAGGACTAATACCATGTTCAAGACACAGTTGTTGCCAAAACTGAGAGCCAACTAAAGAAAAGGTGAATTAGCAACAAGCTTCAAATTACGAAAGCCACTTACTTTGATTACCGCATTGTCCGGCTTGAATCGTTATGATTTCTCTTCCCATTTTTTATTTAGTTTTTATGAAGTATCAGGAAGAGAGTTGCTGAATTGAACCTCCGTAAAAGTGTGAAATGTTGATGCTAGTGCTAGGTGGTTTTTAAGAAAAATTTGCTTTCATCTAGTAATATTTCTAACAATATTCAGCTTCTGGTTAAGTTGATTGCTTTTGGAAGATGAATATTGCTATCGATTTTTCGATATCAATGATAATATAATGAGTGTTGGTGTATGTCGAAAGCGTATGCAAGCTAGGACAGTTGAGAGACTGACCTAGCTAATACTAGATGCGTTCTTCTTTTGTATTTTATCTTCGTTAATATTCATTCAAGGAAGCTTATAACAAATCAGACAAGTGTTTGTGTACCGATATTAAAGACTTATTCGTGGGGAAAAAGAATGAGGATATTTGAAAAAGTGTAGAAAAATATGTATCAAGATAGATTCATTTACTTATGCTGAAATTTATTCCTTCTTTCTTAGGGACACGCTAATAGTTGCTATGATTTGAAGCCAGTACTTTTTTTTTATTACATAGGTCTGATCCGATCTATGGCTTAAGTTGGTATTTCATGGAAATAACAATGACATTTTTTTCATATTCTTATTCCTATATAAACAAACTTCTTTCAGTAGCATTTAATCCTACATAGTTCACAAAAAGTTCAATGTCACTTACATTTCGTCTAATGTAAATAAACAAGAGTAGAATATACTCGATATATCCAAGAAGTCGCTAGTTATAGAATCGATCCCTATTTCAAAAGAAATATCCTTTTCATTCATGAACAAAAACAATGAAGTTTGACGCTGATTGAACATCTATCTTTCAAATGGCTCAACCAAGCCTGCTCTACAACCTCCACGTGCAAGAATGTTGGATTAAATTATAAAGATATATATTATAAAAAAGACAGTGAACTGTCTACGCCCATACCTAGGTGAACACCAGTTCCCGTCCGATCACTGCAGTTAAGTGAAAACGTCTGAGGGTCTCGTTCATACTATGGTTGGAGACAACATGGGAATCCGGGTGCTGTAAGCTTCTTTTTGCTGCTCTTTTTTTCTGATCACTCACTGTTCGAGTGCGTTCATAAAAGCTTGCAACTCTGAGACTATACAAGGATTCATTTGCTTTGGCAGATAATATGCTACATATCTTGTCTAGTGCTAACTATGCTTTGGTGGTTTAGTGGTATAATGCTTCGTTGCCATCGAAGCGACCCGGGTTCGATTCCCGGCCGAAGCAATTTTTTTACCAAGCATATGAATCTATTCCAACTACTAGTATTACAGCCTTATTAACCTTCATGTTCATTTAAATAAACAAAAATAAATAATCTAGAAAAACCATAGTAATGGCATAGTTTTAGTTTTCTATAATTCAAATTATTGCACTTCTCTTCCAATTAGCAAAAGTCGTTTCGTCGGCATTAGTACATGATTATTGCCCCATACTAACAGTTTCTCCAGGGTGGGTTTATTTTCCTCAAACTCACAAACAAGTTTGTCATTCATATCACGGATCCAGCTTACGTCCAATGTTTGTAATTTGGGAAGAGGGAACGTTGCTAAATATTGAAGAGAATTATGCGTGACATATGATAAACCATTTAAATCCAAACTAGAAAGAGAATGCCCCGAGTTTACCAAAACAGCACGAACAGTTCGATCGCCGAGCCCTAAACATCTTCGTAGAGATAGGTTTTCTAAACCAGACTGTATATTCCAATTGCCAAACATCGAAGCTGCTTCGTCATCCGTTAATTCAGATAAAGCTGTTAAATCCAGGTTACGAAGACGACCACAACAGGGGCCAATGCCTTGTCGTAATAGTTCGTCCGTTAATTTGCAGCAGCCAGCCAAACTAAGAGTTTGAAGACCACTGCCAATTTGATTTAAAACATCCAATATGCTTCCATCAGTAACGACATCGCCAGGTGACTCAATCCGTAGGGTTTTGAGATTTTTACAGCCCGAAAGTAATCGGACACATTCATCATCCATGTAAAAGATTCTTGATAAAGTCAGACTCGTAAGATTGGGACAATAATCCACAATCGTATTTATAACAGGAGGGCGAACTTTCGCTGTATCTGTAATTTCAAGTCTTGTCAGTTGTGGACCACGTTTCTTTAAGAAGGAAATCCACGTATCAGTGGATACAAGGAAAGCACCTTTGATAGAAAAGTCCTTTAGTTCAGTCAACTTTTCAGAATATAGTTCAAGCACTTCATCTTTCATTTGTCCACAATAAGTCAAATGTAGGGTATGTAAATGAGGACAGTATTGAACAATTTGCAACAGAGCTTCAACTGTTAATTTGGAGCAGTCGTACAACTTGAGTTCCGTTTGGTCTCCAGTCAAAAATAATTGCACTGTTGTATCATCTAAAGATCTGTTTTTAGAAATGATCTGGCTTATTTTGTTCATGTTTATTTGTCCAATGTCTCCCAACGCTTCGATATCGTGAATATATTCCGCAATGATGCGAATACAAAGGTCTTGAAGCTTCGGAACATTCAGTTCTTCATCCATGGTAGCCGCCGCAGCTTTCTTCCTTGTCATGGCACGTCGCTTTCGAGTGTGAACTTCAGGAACTTTCTGTTCTTCAACACCACGACTACAAGGGTAGCAAAGCCATCCATTTTCTTTCTCACTATATTTACTGTAAGGCGTAATTGTAAAGCGACACTGGCAGTGAACACAAAAGTCTAATTTACCTGCGTTCTCACGCGACTTGTATGAAAATCCAGCACGACCAAAACCAGTATTTGTGTTATACTCACTATCATCATCATTATTATTATCTTCTATGGGTTTTTTCTTCTTCTTCACACTTCTACCTCGAGACCTGGGTGGATTCTGAAGTTGAACAGTTGTTGTCTCGATGAGAGGCGATTCTTCCGATAATGGTGTTTCTTCAGCTTCAGTGATTGATGCAATAGATTCTTGATCAGTTTGTTGAGACGTGGATTCTGATCTTGGAGGGCGTGCTCTACCCAAGGCAGATGTATTGATCCCTTGAGACTATAAATTCGTTAATTTTTATTATAGACACTAACATACCCTTAAAAATTCAGTCAACGCTGAATTGGGTCCTCTTACGCGACTTCTTGACATTCGCGTCTTTTTTTTATTTGGGAGAGGATAACTATGGCTCTTAATTAAATTTTGAGGGCGCGTGGCAAACTTACCCAGAGCGAACTACAAATGGACGTTCTGACTGAAAAACCGGATATATCAAGGGAAATTGTTGATGAAAATGGTTTAAGGAAACCAATTGGTTCTTCAGAAAATCAAAACGCCCATAATTTGTGTCCTTTCAACGGGCCTAATGTCATTAATGACACACCCTCAACTCAACAAGATTTGCCGCGAAAGGGAAGCCAGACCTTTGTTTCTGTTTTATTAGGTAAAAAGGAAGACGAACATAGCAATGAAGACATAAACCTGGTTGATTCATCGTCGCCCATTGCTGATATAATTGCCGCAAGTGATACAGAGGATGAAAGTCTAATTAATTCACTGAATGCCGGTAGAAAGAATATTTCTTTTGACGAACAGTCTCCTCTTTTTAAAGTTAGTGATACCAAGGAGCCTGATACCAGACAATTGGATACTGAGGATCAGAGCGGATCGTGCAATGAGAACATGATAAATGATGATTTCTTACTGTCAAATAATAAAACCTTTATAGAAACGAAAGAGAATATACCCAAAGTTGATACAAAGAAGAAAGGTTTGCAACGTTTGGAGGGTCAAGAGAGGAAAAGGAAACTTGAATTAGATCCAACTAATGTTAAAATGAATGAGGGACGTGTATTAAGGTCAAGAAAATATCAATCTAGTCTGTCTTCATCTGTGGAGACCTTCTCGTCTGGCCCTTCAGATGAACCTCGAGGATCTCAAGAATCTGATGGTTCTGAATACGCTGATGAAAGTGATGAGGTTGCTAGTGTAATTGAACTAAACGAAAGTGATAATGAGGATAATGTTCCTGTGAATACTTCCTTAAATTCTGTGAAAGAAGATGACTCTTCTACTGAAACGGATGAGGACATAATTCCTCTCGCTCAGGCCAAGCGGAAAGGAAAAGGAAAAGGACGACCCATGTCTCAAGTATCTTCGTCTCCTTCTAGAACTCCTTCAACTCGAATACCACCGTACGAAAGGACCCATCACCGATTAGTTAGAAATCACCCTGAGCTGGACAATGTATGGGAAGCTCTCGAGCGGGAAGCTCCAACGCAGGTACAGCAGATAGAACAACCAAAGGAGTTAGTATTAAATCTTTTACCATTCCAGCGAGAAGGTGTATATTGGCTCCGTCATCAGGAAGAATCTTCCTTTGGAGGAGGAATTTTGGCAGATGAAATGGGTATGGGTAAAACCATCCAAACAATTGGTCTTTTACTTTCTACACCTCGAGGGGAACCGACGTTGGTTGTAGCTCCCGTAGTTGCTATAATGCAATGGAAGGAGGAAATTGATGTTCATACTAATAAAGCATTAAGCACATATCTGTATTATGGCCAATCCAGGAACATTTCTATGGAGAATTTGTCAAAATTTGATGTAGTTTTGACAAGTTACAACGTGATTGAATCGGCTTATCGAAAAGAACGTTCAGGATTTCGCCGTAAAGAGGGGCTTGTCAAGGAGAAATCCTTGTTACATAATTTAGAATTTTACAGAATCATTTTAGACGAAGCACATGGTATAAAATCCAGGACTTGTAATACGGCAAGAGCTGTTTGCACTCTTAAAACGAAGAGGCGGATTTGCCTTTCGGGTACACCTTTGCAAAACAGAATTGGCGAGTTATTCTCCCTACTTCGATTTCTACGCGCTGATCCATTTGCTTTTTATTACTGTTTGCAATGCGATTGCAAGTCTCTTCAGTGGCAGTTTTCAGATAGAAGTAATTGTGATCATTGTGGTCATAAACCGATGAGTCACACTTGCTATTTTAACGCGGAGATGTTGAAGCCGATACAGAAGTTTGGAAGCGAAGGACCTGGAAGAGCTGGCTTTGCAAAAGTTCATCGACTTTTGAACAACATTATGCTTCGACGAACAAAATTAGAGAGGGCCGATGATTTGGGACTTCCTCCTCGTGTCGTAGAAGTGCGACGAGATTTATTTAATGAAGAAGAAGAAGATGTTTATCAGTCACTTTACATGGACTCCAAAAGGAAGTTTAACACTTATCTTGCACAAGGTGTCGTCTTAAATAACTATGCAAACATTTTCCAATTGATTACTAGAATGCGTCAAATGGCAGATCATCCTGATCTTGTCTTGGCGGGTAAGACGAAAACTGTGGACATCGACACCCAAGAAAATATAGTTTGTAGAATATGTGATGAAGTTGCACAAGATGCCATCGAGTCTAGATGTCATCATACATTTTGTCGGCTATGTATTTCTGAATTTTTAAACGCTGCTGGTGAATCAGAAGATGTTACATGTCCTGCGTGTTTTGTTCCGCTAAGCATAGACCTCAGTGCACCTCCCATGGAAGAATTTTCAGAAGAGAAATTTAAGAATGCGTCAATTCTTAATCGTATTGACATGAGTAATTGGCGTTCTTCTACCAAAATCGAAGCCTTAGTTGAAGAATTATATCTTTTGAGAAGAAAAGATAGGACCATAAAATCAATTGTATTTTCTCAGTTTACTTCAATGCTTGATCTGATTCATTGGCGACTTAGAAAAGCTGGGTTTAACTGCGTTAAGTTGGATGGTGGTATGACTCCAAAAGCAAGAGCAGCAACAATTGAGGCCTTTAGTAAAGATATAAACATCACCATTTTCCTTGTTTCTCTAAAAGCTGGTGGCGTTGCCTTGAACCTTACTGAAGCTTCTCAGGTGTTTATGATGGACCCATGGTGGAATGGAGCTGTGCAATGGCAAGCCATGGATCGAATTCATCGAATTGGGCAAAAGCGACCAATTCGTGTTACTACTCTCTGCATCGAGAATTCCATTGAGAGTAAAATTATAGAACTTCAAGAGAAGAAAGCACAGATGATCCATGCTACAATAGATCAAGATGAAAAGGCTCTCAACCAACTCTCGGTAGATGACATGCAATTTTTGTTTTCCAACTAAAATTATTATCAAAATATTAGATCTTGCTGCATATTATTTATTCATCTAATGATGAATTTGTCTTAATGACATGTCCGTTCTTGTTTTACCTTTGTTAGCCCTTTCTTTACATACAAGTTTTGAATCTTTGGAAAAGTTTATTTATCTTTTATACCATCTTTATTTGCTATTATTTTTTTTTAGAAAGCAGTGCATGCAGTTCTAAAGATTGAATTTGGTTAAAGAATTTTAGATTTTGCTATTTATTAATTTATTTATTTAGATGTAATATAATAAAAGCTTTTTTTATATTTATAAACGTTGGACTAGTCTATTATCAACATAAAACACTAAGGGTATAAGAGAAGATATATTTAAATTGTGTTTTATATAAGAAATTACTACCACCTCTTCCTACTGTTGTTACATATATTCAATAGTAAAGTAAAGTCCCCTGTAAATAGCACACAAAAGTATTTATTCATATTAAAAGATTTCTCAAGTTGCTTGTTTTGAAAGTCAGCGCTAATCGTTTGGGTGAATAAAAACATTACTAGGATAAATCTACGGTAATATAGAATACGACTTCAAAATTCTTGTTTAATGGCATGAATGAGGATTTGCCATCGGCGAAACGACTAAAAGCTTCAACTGACTGGAACAATGATTTTTTACAGAATACAGGATTTGAGAATCAATGGAGTGATGAAGATTTAGAGGATGGGTTTGCATTATATGATCCTTTCGATCAAGTACAAATTCCTCGTGGTCGTGTCTCCCAACCTATTAAAGCGAATTTAAGAAAAAAAGAAACAAAAGATATTAATGAAGATGAGGAGTTGATGTTGCGTTTAAGTTCTGGCGTCTACTATCCTAAATCTCGTCCATACTTAAGTAAAAAAGCCAGAGAACATTTGGATCTTTTATATAACACGCCGAAAGATGTATTAAAGCCTTCTATCCTTCACGTTGATTTCACTCCTCAAGAATGTCAAATCCTTAAAGAGGCCAAAGGGGTATATGGACCTGTTAACAGTGTTCGGTTCCACGATGCCTTTCCATTTTATATTTCTTCACGATTACTAGGACGAACCTATGAGGATTGTCAGAAATTCGAGGTCGACTGCCCAAATCTAACACCTGTTGCAGATTATGGAGCCTTGCAGTTGAAGAAACAAGAACGAACTCACTATCTATCAAAGTATTTTGAAAAGCTTTACAATGCTAAAGCATCTTATTTTCATCGAGGAAATTGTATCAACCTGATGCTAAGTGAGTCCATTCTATTTATGACACCTTGGAAATACTTTAACGAAACAAGTGGTGATACAGTATGCGTCGATTTTAATCCTTTATTCGGAAAATTTGCTTTTGGAAGTACCGCTCAGGATGGTGCATACAATAGACTTGGCAATTTATGGCTGGGTGATTTCCAATTGGATACCGTTCAGGCGTTGGAAGGTCACTACAAAGTAAATATCTACGGAGAGAACGAGTTTTCAACCATTTCTGATCTTTGCTTTTCCCAAAATGGACACTTTTTGTATACTGGTGCATTCGATAATACGGTAAAGGTTTGGGACATGGAGGGAACCCTTTGTGGAATATTTGATGAGCCTAATGATCGTATTCATAAACTTTCTTTGTCTAAAAATAATGTACTTGCTGTGGCATGCAAAGACGGTCTTGGTTATATGCTTACAACCGACAAAACCTCAGGCAGTATTCTTTCTACTCAAAAACTTATATATCCTAAAGCATTGAAAAAAAATTACTCTGCATCATTAATTGAATTCTCTTCTTCGTTTGATAATTCCTCTCCTCGTGTTGTAATAGGGTATGATAGTTTTCATCTATCTGACTCGCGCGGAAGTCTTGCTTTATTTGACGCTAACAACGGGAATTTTATTCAAAGGTTTAATACGAGTGACGAAGCATTTACTTCCCTTTATATGCATCCATCGCACATTGGATTTGTAGCCAGCAGTAACAGCTCTCAGAGAGGAAAGGTTTATTACATCGATACACGGATTTACCAACCTGCCATTGTGTTTAATACCTCACAAAGAGATATCAATCATGCTACAATCAGCAACTCCGGGTTTCTTGTTTCATCTAGCGGGACAGACAATCAGACTTTTGTTTGGGATTCTCGTAAACCAAATAAGGTTTTGAATGTTTTAAAACATGGAAGAACAAAAATGATTCATTTTGATGATGCTAACCAGGAAGAAGTAGATGCAGGCGTTACTATGGCCCAATGGGTTCCGAGTGGAAACCTATTTGTTACTGGAGGTAGTGATGGCCTCGTGAAAGTTTGGGACCTCCGATTGAATGAGCCATTCGTACAAAATTTTGCAGAGCTGGACTTTGCGATCACTCATGGAGTCTTTAGTTCTGATAAAACAAAACTTTCAGTCTGCTGTAACGGAGGCGATGTATATATGTATAATATAGGAAACGATAATCAAAACGAATTTGGAGGGTTTACATTCAAAGAGCACAAACCTAATAATGATATTCAGTAATGATACAGATTCTACGTCTAAAGATGGTACACATGATCTTTCTTTTAATGGAGCTAGAGAACTAATTGATATAAAGCGAATCACTTTTTGCTTTTCTTTCTTTTTACGCTGAATTTGGGCTTAATGGTAAATAGATTTATTTCATGGATTCGTAGTCAAGCTGATATAGAAATTTCCTAATGAAACAATCGTGTTTTATTGAATACCTTTGATGGAAAAAACCATAACACAGCAATGCTGTAAAAGAAAGTAATTCCGAGACTCGTCGAATATTCTGGTTCAAATAATAAGACTTGGAATTTGAAAAAATTATCAGGTACTGTTTGAGCTATATCAGAATGCTGTTCAATTTAAATACTAAAAGAACAAAAAGATTGAGGATGACTTTAAAGCTCATCGTAGTAAGGCAAGTGGTTAAGCTTACCAACTGCGACGGTGCTAGCAGGACGAGATAATAAAGTAGAAGCAGTCCTGGCGACGGATTCAGGTGTGACAGCATCTAAAGCAGAAATGAAGGACTCAGGTTGATAATTTGTGGCAAAGAGAGAAGTGGTAGAGACAGGGTTTAAGACACTGGGTTCGTAAGAGGTAAGATACTTGGTCTTAGCATCGGCAACAGCAGCCTTAATAGTTTCAGCAGGAATAGAAGAAGTTAAGGACTTGATTGCTTGAACGGATTCGGAAGCAGTAGCCCTGATAGCCTTAGTGCAAGTACCGGAAACAACAATGGACAAAAGGCTAGCATCGGAGTAAGGATGCAAGTTAGCGGCAGCGGTGGCTTTGAATTCAGAAGCCTTTTCAGAGGCTTTAGCAAGCAAAGTGTTACCGTGAGACCACTTGATAGAGGAGTGTCCACCGAGGATAGAGGACAAAACGTAAAGCTCAGCAGAAGGAGCAGAGTTGGTAGGGAAGCCAAGCAAGAAATGGTTCACAGGCTTGCTAGAGTAGATACGAGATTCTCCAGATGCAACCTTACTAGGAGAAGCGGGAAGAGGGTTTCCGTCACGGATAACCGAGAAATACTTTGCGACTGAATCAGCAGCCTTTTGGACATCAGGGCCGGAAGAAACAACGGTAAAATTGGACTTCACGTAGGCAGCTTTAGCGTAATCAGTAATCTGCGAGATAGAAGCGTTAGCGCCCACTGGGAGATAGGGCAAATCGCCAAGACCTCGATGGAAAGCCTTCTCGTGGAGTTTGGCCATGGCCACGTTCAAGAGGTTACTCCTCCATAAAGAGCTTTCCAATTTTGCGGTCGGTAGAACTTCTTCTTTTAGCTGGAAGCCAAGATATTGAGAAGCATCGACAACTTCGGCAAGTAAACGAGCATAATATTCCAAATACTCATTTAAGAAACGTGCAGTCAATATAATGTGTTCGCGAGTCAATTGAGTCGAAAGCTGACCTCCTAAAATTTCTGATTCACGAGTGATGCGCAAAGCGGAGCGATCCTCAGTGTTTTTAAAGGCAAACTTCTCCAACAGGTGAGCGACACCAGCATCAGGTTGAAAACGACTACCAGCACGAATCACAACCGATAAGGATCCAGTAGGACTAGCTGTTTCTCTACCAGCGAACGAAATACCTTGTAATTTTTGTGGGGAATACGAGACTCCATGAATGCCTCGATTTTGAGAGATCTTGTTCAAGTTTCTTGTAAATGATCTCATATTACTGATTGGCATCCTAAAACTTCAACTTTCTTATTCTTTTGTGAGGGTTTGCTGTGAATGACAGAGTTGGGAGTTGGTGACTTTGATATCCGTATGGGCTGGCTTACTACTGCTACTCAAAGAACTGCTGTTCTGAAAAACACGTTTCTTAATCATTTATATAATTAAAAATTAAAAATTTAAGTTGTTACTTTCAAATTATTTAAAGATTTGCTTTATTACTGCTAATAGCGTCGGCAATTAATTTTCACAAATTTTGAGAAAACCAAATGAACAGTTCAATTAATAAAAGTACAATAATATTTAGATTTGCACGTTTACCCAAAGAAAGCATGCATTCATCTCTTTTAAAAGTGATATTTGAAACGGACTATGCCTATTGAATTGAATATTCGACCTTTTCAATAATAAAATGCAAAAAGTTTTAATAACTCCCTCAACTGAAAGAAATCATTTCCTTTGATCATTGAAAATGCTGTTTCTATATTGAACATGATGAGTAGAACTGAAACTCTCCTCATGGACTATAGGGTACTTTATCATTGAATTAGTTGAGCATATAGATTTCAAATTGAATGCTTCTATTTGAAATGAGTCTCGCTTCACTTAGTATATAATAGGTAATCATAGACAAAAGTCATTGACTCTTCTGAAAAGAAGTGTCTGATGAACCGACAGTCGATGTAATTCTTTTTTTGGACTTTACCAATCATACATTAGAGGCTGAAAGGTAAACAAAAAGGAAAATATATCAATTACCTCTATTGTAATTATTGTTTATTAGTCCCTTTCTGTTTCCATCTCCTTTTCCGCGCTTTCTTGGTTGCTCAAGAAATAAGTTTTCATTCATACATACATCAGAAAATCGAACATAACTAACGACACCACAGTCAACAACAGCAAAAATGACATTCCTAACTCCTTCTTTTAGTCTTTGCATCATATGCTTAGACGTATTTTCTTGGATAGGGACTATGCCGAAGAGACGATTAAGTTGCGTACACGTTGGCACGATTGTACTTTGAGCATCAACGACACAGATTCTAAAATCTGGTTCTTTCAAGGAAGATTTTTTAAAAATTTGGGATGGTTTATAGACGTCAAAGGTAAGTTGAAAGGGAGCTTCAGGCTCTTTCTCACAGCTAAATGATTTTGGAGAGTATCCGGGGACAACTTGAATTTCCTCGTATACTTGTCTATAGTCTCTGTACGTTTTGTCCGGTAAGAGGCCGTGAGCTTTTTTGCATTTTGGCAACCAGAGTTTCATATAGCTCATATAATGAAAAGCAGACAAAACCTTTTTCATCCCGACACTCCATAAGCCTATCCTTGCATTATCCATAGATTTAGATAAGTTATCGTAGTTTCTTTGTATTTGTCTTGATCGTACAACTGAAAACCCGCATCTTCGCAAATGAGCATATACAATGTAGTTTTCCAAAGAGCCACAAAAAGGTATAGTTGCTGCGTAGAGAGATTGTAGGCTCATAGGGACACCATCTGGTGCCCAGCATTCCATGGATCCTCGTTCTACCAAATATAGTGTTTCTTCAGGGAGAAGCCACATACGATTTTTTGAATCACCTTGTCCCATTGTTTTAAAAAAAGGGCCATGCACTTTTTCAACACACGCCATTTTCTTTTCCCAATTCCATACCCCAATAATAACATGCTTACTTGAACGACCAGTTAGCAAACGCTTCTCTATAAGATTAAGGGGCCAGCCATTGCAAACTTACAAAGATATAAGTCTTTCTACTGATAATGCATCGTACATAGCCTTACGGCTGAGCTCTAAAATTCCCTCTTGTTTCTGCGTTCCATCTGGCTCAAAATCTTTTTCTCCCCTCTTGGGAATTGTGTAGTTACCTTGCTCTCTAAATTAATATTAGAATATGTCTCTAAAACCAAAAAATTGCAGAACTCTGTTGACGGTTTAGACAGTCATTGCATACACTTTAGCATTCGACAAAAAGCGCCAATCTTGAACATCTTCAGTAACGTCTACAGCATCTTCAAAATTGGTGAAAGGATTTTCGCCCTCTTGAGCATTCATGAAAAATATTTTTTCGATAGATTCAATTGCCTTTAAAGAATTCTACTTCGCTGAATTTTTTAGCGAGGTTAATAAAGAGAAATCCCCGAAGGCACTTGGTAAATGATCTGAATAGAGAAAACAAGATCTAAAAAATAAAAAAAGGTATAAGAAAAAGTATATTTTAATCAGGCTCTCTTGATGCAGATTCGAACATGTTCTGTGTGCTATAAGAAATTTTTGATTACAATGGACAAGTGTAAATTAATTGAGCGTAGGGCGATACATGGAGATTGAAATATGTTACGACCGTCGACTTTTGATACAAATTATTTTGAATATGAATATACTATTTATTTATCCAGAAAAAACCTAAAGATCCAAATTCCCAGCAAAACCAAAGTAACGAAATCAAGTAAAAGATGTTTTTGAATTTTTAGGAGGCGTAGTCGTATGTATCAAGCACTGTACACATTTAACAGTTGAGGTACTAAGGACTTGAAAGCGTCATGTGACAGCAAAATCAATTCTCCTTGAGGTTTGATACCAGCATCCTGGAACACTCGGTTGGCATCAGGGTTGAAGTCCTGGTTGGCAAAAGGATAATCGGCAACGGACAATGCAGCTTGACGAAATTGTTCATCCTCTGGATGGAAGTAACAAATTTCTTGTTCTCCTGCCTTTTTACCTTTCTTTTTGGGTCGTTCATCTTCGTCATCGAGCTTGGAAGCGACCTCGACGTACGTCCTTGACAACGAGAGATAATGAGTAAAGTTGTAAGGTTCATTTTCATCGATAGCCCATTGCATTTCTTCTAAAAGCATGTTGTACATAGGAGGGATAACCTGAACGGGCATGTTGATCAACCGTTCGTTGACAATTAAACCAACCTGTGCTTTCGATTCTGGAGACAATAACTCACGAACTTGCTTCTCCATGTTAGGGTTAGAAGCTGAAATTCTAGATAGTACATAGGAGGTAAGTTCCTTTATCACCGGCTCTTCCTAATTATATATTAGCATTGCCATCATCTTCATTGATTCATGTAATTTTCAGGCTTATTGCAGTAAGCCGCTGGTATAGACTTACTCTTCTGCTGTTAAGATTAATGACAGAAAGCATAGCATAAGGGTCAGAATTATTTCCATCGACCTTGACAGTAGATCCTAGTAAAGGTTGGCTTAAAATTAAATCAGAGAGAGCACTAATGTTAACGTTTGTGTGATCATAGCCTAGCAACTGTTTCAACAAATTTTTAAAGGCATGAAAGTCAATAGGTTGAGGGTCAAAAAATTCAAAATCTACAGTTCAAAGTCAGCGTTGTGTTCTACCCTCCAAGAAACTTCCTACCAATATTTATGAAATCCATATCTGGAGCTTTCATAATCTCATTCATTTGAGTGTCTTCCGACTCATCATTATATCGTTTTGCCATGGTGCTGTAAATGGGCAGTAGGATAGAGGTTTGCAGAGAAGTACAAACGTTTTGAGAAGAGAAAATGATGTTTATGAGAAAGAATTCAATAAAAATAAAAATAAAATAAGTAAAGGATGAATTGTAAGAAATATAAAAGAAGAAATTTATTTCGATTTTGTAATACAAGGTAAGCGGTTCAGATTTCTCAAGCTTGGTTTTGAAGAAAGAAAAAAACAAAAAAAGGTGTAGTATAGATACTTTTTCTATTTAAATTGGATTCTAATTAAACAGCTCACACCAGTTCGTAGTTTTACAATGGCAGAAGAAAACAAAAGGCAGACAACTAGAACGATTTCCATTAAATTGTTGACACTAGGACTTGAGCAAATATACATAAATGAAAAGCTGTCGTTCGCCTATTAGCAATGTTATTTATACATGTTTACAAGGTGGTTAATTGTATGTGTCACTAGCATAGTAGCTTTCTTAGTTGTATCAACATAGGCTAATACTACTACGAAAGGCATGATAGATCACCTACACCCTTTGTTTAAAACAACATAAATAATCAGATGTTAGCAACCTGCTTAATAAAGCATCTTAATCACTACAATTAGAACTATAGTACTTCACAGTATCGTCCAATACCTAAGTAATGTAGTTGTGAAGATTCTCTGGGAGAGTGAACGATTTCGAGTGGCGGACCTTATGTAGATCAAGCGGGTCTATCGTTTGGTAATCAACCCCTCTCATATTTGATATATCCTCTTCAGTAATAGCACGATCATACTCGTTAGCTTGGAGTATATCTACCCATTCAGTAACAGGGCAGCTTTAATGTCACCATTACTCACCAAGTACCGTGTAACATCCTGTAGTCTTGGCAGTATATCATCATTAGACCAGAATTCTGATTGTTGTAGCACTATGTAAGTCGGTGTTCCAGGCTATAGAGCTGGGAGTGACACAGGTTCAGTCTCATTCAATACGGTTCTATGTCGCTAGCATGCAGATGAGGCATAATTGAGAAATGATGAGTGGTTCTGTAGAAGTAAACGTAAACGGAGTTCTTCAGTGGACCTTGTTTGCTAAAGGAAGAAACGAGCGTTGCAAATAATGAAATAAAATAAACTAAAAATGAATTCAATATCATGAATATTATTAAAAAGACCGCCGTATTTTACAGAAACTATTAATCGAAACCCTTATTGTCAAAAAACCCTAAAAAATTCAAAGATATAAGTTATGCTTTATGCTTTTTGAATAAACATTCAATCTTTCTTTTGGAAAAATGAACCGAATAGAGGAGGAAGACTCAACGAGTCTTCAATTATATTTAATTCCGCTTTATTTGAATCAAGTACATCAGCAGAACGAGCATCTGGTGCATTACTTTGTGAGTCTTTTTTTTTCTCTTTATTTGATGAATCATCCAAAGTGGGAATTGGCGTTTGCTTGGGGCTTCTTGAAGATTCTCCATCTGAAGAAGCTGAATCTGATGTTTCACCATTACTTTCTTTGTCGTTGTTATCGGAAGAAGACTCACTATCTGAGCTTTCACTACCTTCCTCCTCTTCTTCTTCTTCTTCTTCAGAAGATGTTTCGTAATCAGAAAGTGTGATGACAGAAGCATCACTAGGAAGAACATGAACCGTTGGAAACTCAAAAATCTCTATTTGTTGCAATACAGATGATAATGGTATGAAAGGTGGTATTCTTTTGTAAACATCACCGCGAGAAACCGATCGCCTCGCCTTCATGACCCATTGCGGATGGTTTTCCAGCTGAAACTTTGAGAGATCCACAGATAATTTATCTTTTTGTTCTTGAAGGAAACTATCCCATAGTTTATCAATAGAGTTCATCTCACTATTATGATGCGTCAAGCAAACAGCAATTGGAGATCCCTGAATGGAAGTATCATGGAGTTGCCATTCGATGGTCCAAACTACATGCCTTCTTTTTCTATCAAAATGCGTTTTATTATCCTTTCTTTTTTTTGTTGAAGCAGGTGCTAGATGAATGTTAATTCCTGTCTTTTCGATCGTCCGTTTTAGCTGTGCCCGATTTCGATCTGCACGGTGAATAGAGGTAGTTTCATCTTTCTCCTTCTTTTCTATAACCTTTTCCAAACCGGAAAGAAAATTATAATCAGAATTTAAGTGGCTGACAAGTTGGTTTTTAGGAATAAACTTTGTGGGGTCTCTTTTGCCTGAACAATTTGTCTGCTCTTTATGTATTTTATTGCAATTTAAAGAGCAATAGCAAGATTCACATCCAGGACATCTATACTTGCTAATACTTACTCTGCAGACAGAGCAAATTTTGGATCGCCCTTCTGACATGCTCAAAGGTAGAAAGGACTAAATGGGTACAGGCAAGTGTTTACCACAAGGACTCTTGATGAGCTGAAAAGAAACATATCAAAGAATCATGAAATAAACGAAATTATAAAATTGAATGTTAGCGTTAAAGACACGCTCGCATACTTTGAAGTGATCCTACAAAGAAACAGGTATTTTCTACTTGAAACAACTAAGAAGACATGGTTTTTTGAAATTGATATGTATATTATCATATCAATTGTAATAAGACATGTTACTGATATATAAAACTGAGCCTGAAATGGGGTTTCTATTGCATATTTACAAAGGATACGAACGATGAAAGAAAATTAAGTTGTTGACTTTGCAATGAGACAAAAGAAAAAAAAAAGAATAAAAAAAATTCCTGAAAACTTCCTTTACTTCCTTTTCATAAACCAGAAACTTCGTTTTTTTACTCTTTGATTTGTTTATTTACTTCATCCTAGCGTTCAAACAATGTAAGCAAACGCTGAAATGAAGCTTATTAAATGAAGTAGTGAGCCGAAAGTTGCACAATAAAAAAAATAAAAACAAGAAGAATAGAGGTCTTAAATTAAAAGCAAAGTTAGGCTCTGTTCTGTACTATGGCTGATCCTGAATAAACCCTTTGAAATGATATACCAATTTTGTTGTCTTTTCTTTTGTTCATTTTCATTTCTGATCTTTTTTTTTGTTTCATTCTTCTGGATACTTCTTAAAAGGCTGTAACTACTCAACATATTGTTTCGAACGTAAGAAATATCAAGTAACCTACTACCCACTACGCATATATTAAAATTGATTTGAAGACGAACAACATGATTGCAAAGTTATCAAAATGTTTCGTTTTTATTCTTTTTTTAAAAACAGTGCTTGCTGGATGGATTGAAAAACATATGAAAGAAGAGCATCATATCGATAAATTTACAGACGAATCCTTTTTTCGTCTGCATGATTTAGCAAACAAAGGATACTGGACTGATCGGGATATTCTTAATATTTACGGTGTTTTTGAAAATGATGATGTTCCTTTCTCCAAGAAAAATGAAATTTTGGTAGATATTTTAAAAAAAGTTGATGCTTCACAAAATCGAATTGTCACTTTGGACGAATTTTTGAACTTTCGTAAACAAGGAGGAGAATTTACTGATTTTGGTTTCCCAGGACATCATGGAGATGAAGAAGAAGAATTCGAAATGCATCATGTGGAAAAGTATCATCCTGCCGGACTTGACGAACCTGACGAAAACTGGAACCATCCTGAAGATATTGAACATTTTCAAAAACATGATGAGCTATTTCACGGGGAGAAGCGTCCCGAAGAGAGACGTAAACATTATTTAAAGCCAAACAACATTCCAACCAAGTTCCGCCGAGTGACCATTCAAATGTAAAAGAACCAAGCATTGATTCGATTTCCGACATAGAAGGTACCAGTTCAATTTCTTTTTTTTTTTTTTTTTTTTTTTTTATTCTTTTGCATATCCTGATTCTGCAACTTACAAGTCATTGCACCATGCGGATAACATAAGTTTTGGGTCCTATTATTTATATTAAGAATCTAATATATGTAAATTCATTAACTTTACATTACTGTTGTCTTTAGATTTTTTTTCTATTGTTCCCTTCATTCACGTTTTTGCTAAGCTTTCAATCCTCGCAAGAGCTTCTTTCTTCAACATCATTAGCTCTCTTTGAGCGGACTTATATGTTTTCACTGCGAGTAAGGCTCGAGGAGTCTTTTGAAATGCTGCAAAGATTGCTTCATCATCAGAGAAAACAAAATTGCAAATACAAACTAATGCACGATGTTGGACACCAACGTTTTCATCCTTCAGCATACGAATAACAAATTCAAAGTTCGAATAAATGTCCATTATAGCTTTACAACCAGCTTCGCAACTACTAATTTGCACTAAAGTCCCACATGCTGCCAACTTTGTCGCTTCATCGTCAGCATCACTTAATGCCATGAGGATCTTCAGACGTGTCGCTTCGGATCCTGAACTGTTTTCGCCAATGAACTTAATTAAGCAATATGGAGAAAGTGACAGATTGTTGACAAGTTCAACAGTTGCTCTTTGGATTAATTCATGGTTACTAATTAATAAGTTGTCGATGGCAGCCCATGATTTCAAAGTAATAGCTTGGCGACTATTTTCGTCCATGGATGCTAAATTTGTTAGTGCCAATAAAGATTCAAATTTTGCTAATAAAATAGGATATTCGTTGTCCGTTTCTTCACTAACAAGAAGTACTTTTGATATAGGATCAATTGCTCGATTAGACGGTAAAGAGCCAGTAAATACACTTTGAGGCGCTGTACTGATGAGAATCTTTGCTAAAGCATGACCTGCATTAAAATTTGACCTTTCTGTAAAATAAGGCTTAGTTAAAAACTTTATAGCACCATATTGCACAAGTTCGGATCGATTTTTTTGGACACTCGCGATATGTACTAGAATTTTTGAAATAAACTCATTCAAAGAGGGATGGGTATGAGATAATGAATATAATTTTTGTAAAACCTGAAGACGGAGTATTACTTGTATTCTATTTTCAGTTGGTCCTTGCTCATCTTCGGGGGAAGCAGTGTAAGATGAATCTGCTTCAGCCATTGTACGCAAACGTTGCAACTCTTGCTCATTTTCTGCTTTTTGGACTTTAAATCTGCAAAGATTGTAAAGTATAACAGCTGAAGAGTTAACCTCAGTTAAGGATGAGTTTATGTTTAAGCCATCTATCAGTTGTTTTAAGACGTTCGAATAGTCCATAACCAATTTTTTCACGGAGCCCAAAGTAGACGTAAGTCGCAGCACTTCTAAAAGAAGCGAGTCATAGACACCACATTCGAGAAAATCTCGAACTCGAGGTACTATACTTTTAGGATCATATTGAATAGCCAGTTTGATGCGAACCATCTTAGCCGTTCTTGAATGAACTTGTTCCTCTAAAAGATCAGCACAGTCTTTATGAATGACTGCTCTGCATGACTTGAAGTTGCAAATTGTATTTAGAAGATAAAGCCACTCTTCTAGACAACTATGTCTCTCAGCTAGTTCAGTCCATTCAACACAAAAATCTTTATTAATAATTTCTGGATGCCTCGGAAGACATAAAAGGAACAGTGAGTTCATTCTCTTGAGCGAAAGACGGACAAACTCGTGTGTTCTAGCCAACAATAAACATTCTTTCGTAAGATCGTACACAAGATCTTCTGGGTTTTCTTGAAGTATAATGGCGCTTAAAAGGTCATAAAATTCTGAAAGGAGGAATAATCTTTTCAATGAGGAAGAATGACAAAGTAACTGTACTAACTGAGAACGATTGTCATAGTTTTGGCAAAGCCGGGCAAGCTCAAATGCAGCAGAGAATGAGCATACTGATAGAAACTTGGAAAAAAGTAATTCTTTGGAAGAATATTGAATTGTTTCCCAGGTTCGAAAAAACAGCTGAACACCAAGAGGAGATTGGAAGAAAAATACAACAGGGAAATCGTGTAAATTAATGGTTGTAGAATTGCAATACGATACAAATTGAGAGCTATAGTATTGGACCCATATTGTCAGCTTTGGAAGAAGTGTGGAGCCAAAAACTTTTTGTGCTATAGGATGTAATTCAGAAGGAATAGACTTTTGTGAGCATAAAGCACATGAAAAGCAGTCAGTCAAGGAACAGAGATATCTCCATTCATCATAGCTTGTTTGTTCTGGATTTAACAATGCAATTGTCGTTGCAAGAGGTGAATCTAGGATCAGCTTAACAATGAGACATTGTGCAGTAGTACTTGTTAAACGGGAAGAATCAATATTTTGTAGCTGTTTCAAAAGCCGAATTTGTCTTTGAGTTGCCATTCAAACCAAATAGAAACCACCTTGTATGGAAGAATCAACAACCTGAGGAATGGAAACGGTGAACGAAAACGATGCCTATGTTTTAGCGTTACTTGTTATATTTATATACAAATGAACTAAGGAAAACTGATCTAATTGAAAGGTACTTGCCAGTCAGCATCGCTCTACAAAGATAGTGAAAAGACTACTAATACTGTACAAAATACTATTAAAAGAGAGGTATACAATTTAATGGATGCAGGAGCAATTACTTTATTTTAATCAGCCTAACCAATTTAAGCCTTGAGGGCGTACTTGCGGAGAGGGAAGTAGCGATCCTTCTTGACTTGCTTAAGGGTCTTACGGCTCTTCTCATAAGGAGTAAGAGCGCGACGGATAGCACGAGTCTTCTTTTGACGAAGATCAAGAGGAAGGTACTTCTTGTTCTTGTAGGCCTCACGAACGGCAAGACGGTTGGATTGGTTGATAACAGTCAAGATACGAGCAATGTCCTTACGAGTGGTCTTGCTACAAAGAGGTTAGTTATCAAATATGTTCTGGAGACTTATAAGCCCGAAACGAAAAAGTAGCCACGATTGAGTGCCCGTACTCACTTCCGAATGAAGATTTCTTTCTATCTTCTCGGTTTCATTTTCAAGAGGACTTCAATGTACAAGACACAAAAGCAATTTGTTTATGTATACAAATTGCTTTCAATCATTCCCAATCCTAATTTCTTCGGGCTTTTTCAAACTTACATCTTGGATAACTTGGAACCAGAACCACCGGCAATCTTTTGCACGCGGAGAGAGGCGAGCTCTTGACGGAGCTCTTGCAATTGCTCACCCAATTTCTCTTGAGATTGCTTACGAAGTTCAAAGGTCTTTAATGCCATCTCGTCGTTCGTCGTTGGTCAAGAGTAAACTAGTTGTGCGCTGAACTGTGCACCCACTTTTTCAGGGAAAAAAGCAGTCACGTGGTCTTACCCTAAACAGACCGAGGGTTGAGTCACCCGTGACTGCTTTTCATGAGTAAGTAATCCACAACAAAACTAGAACTTGCTGAGTGCCGTGCATACGAAAAAAATCCAAAAGAATACAGGATGGGCCGCGACCTTTACAAGGACGAAACTTTAGCTATTCCTAAGGGAGTTAGCGTCGATATTAAAGCTCGCGCAGTTACTGTGACTGGTCCTCGCGGTGTTTTGAAACAGAGCTTGCGCCATATTGACTTAGAGATCAAGAAGCAAGGTAATGTTATCAAATTTATTGTCTGGCACGGTTCTCGTTTGCACAATGCTTGCCTCCGTACCGTTCATTCCATCATCAATAACATGATCGTTGGTGTTACACAAGGCTTCCGCTACAAGATGCGTCTTGTTTACGCACACTTTCCCATCAACATCAACTTGTCCGAAAACGGTGGTGTTGTTGAGATCCGTAACTTCTTGGGTGAACGTATTACTCGTGTCATCAAGTGTTTGCCCGGTGTTACCGTTTCCATGTCCGCTAACGTCAAGGATGAATTGATCATCGAGGGCAACTCTTTGGAAAATGTCTCACAATCTGCTGCCAACATCAAGCAAATCTGCAATGTCCGTAACAAGGATATTCGTAAGTTCTTGGATGGTATCTATGTCTCTGAGCGCGGCAACATTACCGAGTTGGAATAAACTTAATACAGAATGAATGAAAATGGTTTTGTTGGCATCCTGCCTATTGTCTTCATGGTAAATCTGTAGAATTCATTAAATAAGCTTCAGTATTAACAAAGGTGGAAGTCAGTCATCGAATTCCTGAGAAAACTCAGGCTCTCGACAACTTAACGTTACACATGGGTTGCTTTCTTTGGTGTTATATTCTGGCAAACTCAGCTTCTGGCTAGTTTGAAGAACGATATTGAGAAGCGCGTTTTATACACCCAAAATATACCGTAGTTACAATTGTCAAGGTTTTTTTTCAATGAATATTCAACCCTTATTATTTCTTTAGGTCCCTCTTTAATATTATGTGAGAAGTAATATTAGTATTGTGTTGTTTTCTTCTAGCAACTACCGTTTTCATAGATTATTCATATATCATTCATTTAAAGGGATCGGAGCTGGTTTAATTTGAACTTCTAGAAATTCTGAAAAGGCTTTGTATATCAATAGCTCTTCCGGTAGATTTCGTTGTCATTCTCCCGCGAGTCTTACTAACAGCTTGGTAACTCCTAGATTGGGCTTCCTTCTCTTCCTTGTTTTCCCTCTTATTTATCGTTTACTTTGTTTATTGTTTCTTTCCTGTTGAAATTTTATAAACTCTTTTAGTAGCTATACATATGTTGTCCACGCTTTGCATAGCTGGTGTAATTGCGCTGTTGGCAGTTCATCGAGAACTTCGTCGTTTTGTATGTCATGCCCTAGGGCGACATCTTCTGCAGCGTGTAGCAAAACGTAAAGCCGACGTATATGAAAAATTGGGTGTTGTGCCTAAATTTGCTCGTACTGTTGGATTTTTCCATCCTTATTGCAATGCCGGAGGAGGCGGAGAGCGTGTATTATGGACGGCTGTAAAGTCTGTCCAAACAGATTTTCCTAATGTCATTTCCCTTATCTACACTGGAGACCCTGTTTCTTCAGAAGAGGCGCTTCGGAGGGTAAAAACAACATTCGAAATCGATTTGGATTCTTCAAAAGTGATCTTTGTTCCCTTAAAGCTTCGGTTTCTTGTTTCTCCAACCGTTTGGCCTCGTTTTACTTTGCTTGGACAATCCGTGGGTAGTATGATTTTGGGATTTGAAGCAATTTGCCGGTTTGCTCCAGATATTTTCATTGATACGATGGGTTACGCTTTTACTTTTGTAATCGTTAAAGGATTTCTTAATATTCCTGTTGGTGCTTACGTTCATTATCCGACAATTTCTAGTGATATGTTGAAGTCTCTGAAGAAGGTTTCCATTGTTAGTAAAGTCAAGGGTGCTTATTGGAGATGGTTTGCTAAAATATATAGTCAAGCAGGTCGTCATGCGGATTTCGTAATGACTAATTCTTCTTGGACGCAAAATCATATTGCTTCCTTATGGGGTAAGGACATCAACTTATCTGTGGTGTTTCCACCCTGCAATACTTCAGAACTTGAAAAGGTTGATATTATTCGTTCGCGTGAACCTAACATACTTTATCTTGCTCAGTATCGACCTGAGAAGAATCATAAAGAATTACTTCACAGTTTTGCCCTTTATATAGGAAAACACCCTGATTCTCCTGCAAAGCTATTACTCGTTGGCAGTGTCCGTAACGAAATAGATATGAAGCTAGTAGAATCTTTGAAACAACTTGCTGGAGAATTGAAGATATTGGACAAGGTTGAATTTATTGTCGATGCTCCATGGCCTAAAGTTGTAGAGTATCTCGGGACCTGCTCGATAGGAGTTAACTATATGTGGAACGAACATTTTGGTATTGGTGTTGTTGAATACATGGCAGCTGGTCTGATCCCTGTTGTTAACAACTCGGGTGGACCAAAGTTTGACATTGTGATCCCTTGGATAGGAAAACCCACAGGATTTCATGCCACTACCATTGGTGAATATGCAGAAGCTTACCATAAAGCTTTGACCCTTAGTCCTCAAGAACAACAGGAGATGCGAGTTAATGCACGATCTGCTTGTGCTCGATTTGGAGAACATGTGTTTATGCGTGATTTCGGTGACGTATTTGCTAAGCTTTTACGAGAGGTTTATGCAAAAGATTAAGCTTCAGTTGTTTTTTCTTTGGGGCATGTATACGTTTTACACTATCTATAATTTAAAGCCGTTTTGAAATCTTGCTCTCTTATCTAATCCTAATGGGCTTTATGCCTTTTCTTCTGTGTATAAGCTTTCCGATGATCTTTTGATTGTTTTGGATATGCGACACTCATTAATAATGAATAATTATTTATACTTTTAACTGTCTTAACCACTTGGCCATGATCCTTTCTTCGGACCAAGTGCTTTCGTTTTTTGTTTCTATCTATCTTTTTTTGCTTTCTTTGTTTGCGCCTCTCCGGCTTAATTTCTTTTGTGCTAATTAACTGTTTGTTAAGGAACATATATGTCTGTTTGGTCTAAGCGTATAGCGGTAATGTATAGTGCGAAAAGGAAGTGTACACAAGAGACCAGTTTATTTCTTGATAATACTATACAGTTAGATTGTGGTTTACTTAGAACACGAAAAAAAAAAAAAAACTGAAGAGGTTTCCGTTAAAATATAAATCTTAAAATTATGACATTTATAATATAGGTTTTCCCTTCTAATTGCAACGCTACCAAAATGAATTCTAGGTGAAAGTTAGGGCAAGCAAAGAGTCTATAAAATTAAATTTATAAAGCTGTAGTGTTATTTTTCGACAGACTTGAAGTGAATACAAGTAATGAATTTTTGACAAGTAGAGTATAAGTAAACGAGATAGAAACAACTAGAAAAGGGTGAAGAGATCATCAGTTTAAAATAACCCACGAAGTTCTGTGTTATCGAGCAAAAGGCTTGAGAATGCGCTTCTCTTACAATTCTTTTAACTTCTTTAGTAAGAAATATAGCATACATTTTTATTATCCGAATTGATGGTTTGAATGTATAGCGCGGCTGTATTGCCAATACTTCATCTGTTTACTTTGAAAACTTGTGAAGAGCAAAGGAAATCAAATCAAAGCTGGCAGCATAGCTGTTTTGAGTCGTTCATATTTTAAGTTTATTTGCTGTTTAGACATTTGATAGAAACGAACTAGCTAGAAACAAAGTATTTTCAGAAGAAATTCAGCATTCCATTCTTTTTTGTTTACATTTTATCTATAGAGTGATATCATAGTATACTTCCACCGTTTCTTCTGTTGCGTTATTCTACATTTACGCGACGCCTTGTTTTAAAAAATACGCCCATTGGTACCAACGACCTTTTTGAAGAGAACATCTGTAAGAGTCTTCTAAAGGAAGAATCTGAATCTGAATATATTTTTATTTGCTATAATGCCTGTAAGTGCCTTTCCTTATCCTTTGTTAGACCTTCTTTTTCATAAATGAATTCTCACTAATTATAAACGTAGGCCGTTCAAACTCCATCTCAGCGTCGTGCAAATGCTCAATTTCAAAAAAATGTTACTCGACGCGTAAAAACAAACTCAAAAGACCACAGCGTTGCTAAGCATCCCCCCAGCATGGTTCCCCGTAATATAGCCCGTATGTGTTTCCGCTAGTTTGCTCAAGCTTCATCTAGTAACCAATTCATTTTAGTTTTCTTTTTAGTTCTTATGTGCGGCGGTGCCTTCTTGACGCTCTTACGAATTTTTTTCTAAAGACTTAAAGTTTACGTTCGTTTTATGCACTCATCATGTACTATTTTCTAGGCAATGAAAATAGATTCCCATTTATAAATTCTTGATTCTATTCGTCTCCGCTTGTTTCTTGAATACCTTGACTTTCCTTGAAATTCTACCTGATATGGATTAGCAACAAGATGGGAAGAGCTCTCAACATACTTTGCGAGGTTATACCCTCTATTGGTTGAGAAGGTGAAGGAACGAGGATTACTTCCTCTGTCTAGTTTCATCGAATAGGTACATGTAAGTTCTTTACATTGAAATTTCCAAACTTTCAATCGTGATATGAAATAAAGCTATAGACATTTAACAAAAAAAAGATTACTATTATACATCTCATGGTTCCATAGAAAAATACCCAATTTCATCCATGTTTGAGACTCAATCCAAGTATAGAATCAAGTTGAAGCTAACCAAATTCATTACTTTCCACTAAGACGTTCTTGATAGGCATTCCATCCTGCTTGTTTGTAACGTTGGGCTTCGACCACGGGGTCCCGACCAGCTCCATAAATTCCACGGCCAACAATGATAATATCGCTGCCACAATTCACTATAACTTCATGAGGTGTACGATATTGTTGACCCAAACCATCGCCCTTTACATCCAATCCAATACCAGGAGACATTGTAATAAAGTCATGCTGAAGGTTGGGGAAACGACGACCAGCAATGAAGCCGATGCAAAAATCATTATGCTTTTCTGCCCATTCTAAAGTGGTTTGAGTGTAGGATCCAGTGGCCAAGCTCCCCTTGGAAGACATTTCTGCCAAGAGGAGCAAACCGCGACCAAGAGGTAAGCCAACTTCTTTCAAACCCTGAACAATGCCTTCTCCAGGAACGGTATGACAGTTGGTAATGTGAGCCCAAGAAGCAATTTTGTAAACACCAGAAGAGTACTGAAGTTTGACTGTATTTCCAATATCGGCAAATTTACGGTCTTCAAAGATATAGAATCGATGTTTCTCAGAAAGAGCAGTTAATTGTTGAATAAAATCTTGGTCAAAATCTTCAATGACATCCACATGGGTCTTGATGACACATACAAAAGGACCAATTTTATCTACGAGAGCAAGGATGTCAGCCTTATTTGTCAAGTCGACGGCAACGGACAAATTCGTCTGTTTTTCCTCCATTAAAGCAAGTAATGCCTTTGCAAGCGGGTTCTTTAACCCATTTGCTCTTTGTGAAAACTTATGATTGAGTCTAGCGTCCATTTTGCATACGTCTTCAAAAATGTGTTCTCTTTGGGGTAGCTGGAATTATCAAATCGTACACAAGATTGGAAGCAAAGGAAGAAAATGAATTCATAGAAAAGGAGGAAAAAAAATCAAATCTTTAAGGTGAAAAATACAAAAAAGGAAACGTCTACTGAAGATTTGGTAGACTGGGTTACTGTTCAATAGAAAATCTCATTTTAACATACTACTATTCTATGGAAGGACAAATTTTCCATCTACAGTAAAAAAACGAAAAATAAGGCATGTATCTTTACGTTTAAATCCATCCTCCCACGGATGAAGGAAGGGAGATGCTGAATAAAGATAGAAAACATTCGACATGCCAAGCAACCCAGCTGTCTTGTAAAAAGCAGATTATACACACATGCTTCCGACAAGAAAGCGGATACGATGTTATGTCGAGTTTCCTTTCGCTTTTCGACAAGGGTGGATGGGACGACAATCATTTTGTCTCAGCAAGAACTGGGCGTTTGTCTCCTCAATCCATGTGTCGTACAAGAAGGAAGCCATATAGAGGAAGATTTAATAAAGCGTCTTTTGTTTTTATATTTGTTTAATCAGCAACGGTATGCGATTTTTGGTGCTGCTCAACACGGGAAAGTAAATCCAAATAAGAACCGGAAGTTTCTAACCCATTTCTTTCACAATACAAAATCAATTGACGCTTGGACCAGGATTTTAAATGAGGTGGTCTTGTGGAGGGGGAAAAAGCAACGACAAGAGAAGACACGGCTATGATACCAGCAAAGGTAAGCGTCAATGCCTTGGAAACTTTCATGATGCAGAGTAAAAGATCCATAAACAACAAAGAAATGACAAGAACAGGAAGGACTCTAGAGAAAATCAGAAATTCCAAAACAATCCGTTTTCTTTTGGTAGTTGGATGATATTAGCTTACAAAAGGAAATCACATATAAAAGAAATAAAAATATGGAATTAGTGGCTATCCTATTTGACTTCAATTAAACTCGTTACATGGAAACATACATGCTCTGTGTGAATGAGTAATGTGTGTGTGTCGCCTTTAATGGGGAGTGACAAAAGAAAGGCGAAAGGCTTGTGTGAAGGACAAGTATAACACTTTCAACGTTTTTCAACATCTTGTTCAATTGAATGGCATAAATTAAAAAAAATAACTTAAAAGCAAAGAGAAATAAGCAGGATCTGATGGTTTGGTCCTTTTACAAGAAACGGCTCTCGTGGATACAAACTATGCTGTAACCCAACTTGATTAAACCCAAATGGATCTTTTCTGCTAAATAACCCCATCTCCTCTTACGAAATCAAAGACAAAGCAATAAACCAACACCACTAACAGTGAAAATGGATTTCTAAACAGTATCATATTACGATTACCTTACACGACGATCTATCATATTAATCGGAAACACTAAGACAATTTTCATTCATTACATCTATTCGTCATCAATACATCATGACATGACACGGTGTTACCATGCATCAACGAGAGCATCTAGTTTCGTTCCTGAATGTATTGTTCATGCTCTTTTTCTTTGTAAATTCTGTTGTTTACGTTTTGATTTAGAGAGACTTGAGGACATTGTCAGCAGAAGTGACACCAACGTTAGTGACCTCATCTTCAACAAAAGATTTGGTAACCTTGCCATCCTCAACAACGGCGGCATAACGCTTAGAGCGAAGAGGTCCTAAAAGGCCGCTGGCGTCAAAGGTAGCATCGAAAGCCTTGGTGAATTGACCGTTCCAGTCAGCGAGGAAGTGAACCTTGCTTTGTTCACCGCCTTCAAAAGACTTCTTCCAGGCAGCAGTGCAGAAAACGTCATTGACAGCAACAATGTAAATACCGGCCACGCCCTTAGCTTCAAAGGCCTTTTCGTTGGCGACGTAGCCAGGGACATGAGAAGAGCAAGGAGGAGTGAAAGCGCCGGGGACACCGACAACGATAATCTTGCCTTGGCTAGGCAATTCAACGTTTTGGTTGGGCTTGTCTTCCCAGAGAGTAACTTTAGGTAAAGAAAATCCGACAGCGACCATTATTTATAATTCAAAAAAGTTCAAATATGTTTATTGTGTTGATTAAACATAGCTAGTCGTCTGCTTATATACCTTTTAAGACTTCAAAAGATATTCTTGACGTTTCTTTTCTGTGACGTAAAATCGCATCAACGAACGAGTTAGGAAAATGCCGTGCTTGTTCTCTGCTCTTCTTCCTCCATTGCTCATGCCTTTCACCAATCGATGATGCATGGGCTGCTTTTCCACTAGATTCATTCAAAATTTTTCACCAAGTATTGATCTGATAGGGTGACGGAGATTCGGTGGTTTCAAGGAAATAACGCATCCGTTTTTGAGGACGGTAAAAGGAATCACGACGTTAGTTCCACTCGCGTTGAGATTACATTCAAGGAACAAATATATTTTCTTATATCGTTGAAAGAAAAACAAAGACCGAACCCTTGCATAACGTAAATAAACAAAGGTTTACTGATGAGGACAGAGGGATTCCACTCCCTTGGAAACATGTCAACTAGAGCAAAAATCTAGATGGTAAAGGATAAAATTGTAAAGGAAAAGACTTTTCCAATTCGCTGAATTTTTTTGCGTCCAAGCGAATATGTCATTTTATGATTATATCAACGAAGCAGACGAAGCAATGAAAAGTAGATGAAGATGGATGGTTGAAAGACTCCAAGCTCTAAAATTTGTTGTACAGACATTGAATTCAAATTAGAAAACTTTACAATTTGACATTAGGAACCCCACTTATAAGTTTCTATTATTTTCCTGTTTCCTACCTACTACTGAAACAAGGGACGTAGAAAAATGAAAAGTTATCTAGTGTCAGTTAGGAACTGGCTATTTTGGTTGTTTTCACTCTGTTTCTTGCTTACAGTGAGCAATGCCCAATTATCTATCATTGTCAAGGACCCTAACAAAAAGAGTTTCATACGAGAGTAATCTGTGAAAAGGTGAACGTGCAAATGCACCCTTTGTATGCCAATTTTTTTTATTGGGGTGATGATAAACTGTCGCCATAAGTTTATTTAATGTAAAGAACCGGGAATGTACTTTAAGTCCCTTAGAAAGCATGGAAAATCTTTTTTCTTATTATTTACACTCTGAGACAGATGAACTTATAACTTCGGTTTACTTCCCATCGGATAAGCGAGAAGAGTGGACGGGTCCATTCGAGTGCAACAGAAGTTCTGTTATTAACGATATAGTGTCGACGTCGACGGGTAACGTTAGTTCTTACAGAATAAACGATTCGGGCTTTTATTGTGTGGCAACGAGGTCATTGACAAGCTTGGATTCAAACATTGATATTCATTTTTCGAAGTATAAATATGAATTTCAAAGAATAGAAGACCCAAAGACGAACAAGAACTATACCCCACTGGTTACTACTGTTATTTCTCTGCTATCAGCTGGTTACTGGATCTACGCACTCTCGTCCCAACCTGAGAAAGTACTACCTATTCAATATGGATTATTGCTGCTCATTATTAGCACGGCTATTAATCCCTCATTGTTTTCTTCGGAAAGTTGGAGATTAGAGCTTTATCGTTTTCTTCAAATCAGCTTTCGCATGTTTGTGCATCGTTTGCTCCTTTTTCTTGCCTCTTTTGGTTTTGGGGTTTGGCGACCTGTTCAACCCAAATTCATTATCAGTGTCGGTACTGGATTGGTTTTCCCATTTCTCTTTCGCATATTTCTTAGACTATATATGTTAGAAGGTCGTGATTATTATCATTATGAACCTCTGCTATTAGTTGATCAATGGTTAAATGAGTCTGCTTCCAGAATAATCTGGTTATTCGTCATTCTTTTGCTGTATAAAGAAAGGATCCAAACGAATTTTAAGTCTGAATACTCTGCGAAAGTTTGTAACCGTTCACTGACTTACTGCATTAGTATCTTCTCCATTGTCCCTCTCCTTTTTGATTTTAATGGTTTAATCATTGATATGCTTCCGTTTTATGAATATGTTAGCAAAGGCAGTCTAGTGCAGTGGCTGATTCGCTATTTTATTGAAGTCATCATTCCTTGTTATATTTGGAACCCCTTCCAAAATGAGTATGTTGTTTACCGAGAAAGCGTGGAACTTTGAAGTGAACCAGCGATATTTTGCTTTTGATCATCACAATCCTTCTTTTTTCCAAATTTACACATAATTAATAATTTTGCTAATATACTTACCTCACGCAGACTAATTTCAATGATAGTTCAGTATTATTTGTCTCTACTAAACTACAAAAACCGTCAACTTACATATTTTTTAAGCACGAAGATGTAATATATAAAACTAAAAACAGTGTATCTTTTATTTATTTTTTTTTATATATAACCTGTAAACCATAACCAAATCCTAATGAACCCCATGTATATAAATTTTGCTAAGTTTAGCGGCCTCTGCATTATTTTTTAAGGCTCCATGAACCTATAAATCATCAACCATGAATCGCCTGATTAAAGACTTCACATGTAAAAGAAGGATAGATGATACGTGTGTTATGCTCACGTCCCTTATTGTAACATGATTTTAATTAGCGGCCTCCTATGGATATGATAATAATTCTACTTCGTCAACGACACATGTTTAGAAATAGAAAACGCTTAGGCAAGAGAGCCTTCGTTAACTGCTTCAGCTTGGAAAATTGTACAAACCCGAAATCACAAACAACCCTTTCATTTCAATCGCGTCATATCCCGACAGCCATAGTGCTATGATGTATGCATCAAGTAAATGTTTGTAAATATTTTTTTACTTCCAAAAACTTTTTCCTAAGCCATATCTCAACATTAGCCAAAGGCTTATAAAGGACAGGATAATCACAATATTCTGTCAAACACGTAGATGACGAGTCATACTTAATGCAACTTCAGCTTCATAGAATTCCACAACGTTAGAGATTGTAAAAATGCAACAACAGATAACCCGATACAAAGACCTATGAAACCGACCGTCGTCATACTGTATATAGCACCACCACAGATTGCGCCTACGGTGTTGGAAAGCGACAATCCCACTTGAAAAAGTACACTGCTCAAAACATGATATTTAGGCTTCATCTGTTTGGAAGCTAATGAAACTAGCGGTGCTGAACCTATGCTAAATCCAAACATCATAATTGAAAAGAACACAAAGTATGCTTGAACAGGTATTCTGTGGAGAGCATCCAAAACAAGATGTAGAACAAGAGCTATAATTCCAATCATAAACCCAATTAGCATAATATGTCGGTCTTCTAACCATCGAGAGAGAAAAGTGCTCAAGAAGACAAACGGGGAAATTACCAATGCTGCCAATGAAATAAAATTACCAGATTGATAAGCATTATAATTGTAGAGATTATTCGCGTAAATGGGTATACTGGTTTGATAGCCAGAAATGTTAAAATAAGACACGAAAGCAGCTAGTCCCAAAAAAGACAGTAAATAAATATGTTTCAGTGACAATGGACCAGTGTTTTCCTCAACGTCAACAGGCTTTTCCAAAACTGTACGATCATCTTGCGGGTATACTTCTTTGTAAAAAATGACCAAAAAAACACCAAAAATAATCCATATATACATCATGAACCATGAGCCACCAGTGTATTGGTTCCAAACTCGATTTTCCAAATTTTTTGTACCTTTTGCTAAAATACCACCCAAAAATGGACCTGCCATAAAACCCAATGTTTGAGCTAGGATGTTTAAAGTAGCAAGAAACGTTCGCCGATTGGGTCCAACAAGTAACTTATCTGTTGTGTACTTTTTGTGATATAAAAACATGGTGAAACCTATACCATTCATCATACGGCCAATAAGGATCAAATAAAGCCAATTTGCTTGATCTGCCATACAATACAATAAGTGTCCGATGCTATGAGCGAAGACAGAGACCAACATTGGTCGATAATACAATGTATATCCCTTTGCAGACTTTGGTGTAGCAAGTTTTAGCATTGGATACAGCATCAATAACGAAATAAGAGTCGGAATCCCAACCACTAAACCAGAGAATGCATCCGTACCCCCAAGTTTTTCTGTATAAGACGGAGATGTTGGTAAAGCAACGCCAAAAGACATATCTGACATGATACTATTAACCAAAATTAAAGCGATAGACCGCTTAGGAGGAATCATATTTGCGTTGTCAATTTTTGAGTCATTGGATACATCAGCAAAACTAGGAGCCCCACTATTGTCCAACTCATTTGAAGAAATATAATATTCGTTTTTCTCTTTTATATCATGATTCGATTCATATTCTTCTCTGATAGACTCTATCTCGGGCCTCAATTCATTCAGGAATTCGGTAGGGCGATGCTCAATTCTGGATCTTCGACGACTGATCCCAAACGTCCCATCTTTTTGGTTTGGATTTTCCACTGGTAAAGACATCTTATCTATTCGTCTATGCTAATATTTTGGCTTTCCATAAGTGAAAATGAGCAAGAAAATTTCTGATCATAACATCGTTACTTGATGAATGTTACCCGCGTTTATTTATTTTCCCTTCTTTGTCGTTATAAAAAAATTTCAAAATTTCAAATTTGTAAATTCAATTGAATCATGAACACAGATTTAAAAAAAAAAAATTAAAAAATTAAAAAAATTAAAAAAAAAAGAAGAGATAGTTTGTATCGTGGAAAGATTCCTGAAATGGTATCAGTTTGATATTTTACAAACATAAAAGTATTCTCATACAGTTTCGTAATAACAAAAAATGTACTTTGAAATTGGAATGTAGTGAGGGCTGATTTTATTCATCATCATCATTATTATTGTTATTACAAGTATATACTTTCCTTATATTGTATGCTGTATAAAAATTTGAAACTCATAACATAAACATTATGAATTGCTTATATTCTCGGGCTTCATTCGTAAGGCAAGAAAGCTTGCTTCAGCAGTGACCTGCCTTAGCGCTCTTAATATACAACACAGGAATCAATGGCTATAATGAACATATTTCGTGTAAATAGACTATAGACTGGATGGCCAAATAGTGTAAACAGGTAGCATTGCGACTTTGTAATGTTGGTAAATAATCATAGTATCGTTCTATGCAAATCATTCGCCATGTCTTTTCCTGTATAACTCTTTATTTCTGACCAATATGTATTGATAGAATTAAATTTATCTAGTTAAAAGTATTAATTTATATATCTCTATGTAGAATAAAATGCAAAAATTTCATTATAAATTGAGATGCGCTCGCCACCGTTTTTATAGTCTGTGATTTCATATCTTCCAATCGTGACGCTTACAATTCCAATTGTTTACATTATGTAAACAATAGTTCAGAGTTACGTCTCCAATTTACGAGGTTATGTGCTTTATATATGGGCTGTTAACACGCATGATAAATTATTCAAGATTTTTAGTATCAATCCAATTCGGAGATGCTTGAAGAAGTTAAGAATTTAGTAGGAGGCGAAGGCCCGCCAGTGTACACAACTAGTACAGGATGTCCCATCTACAATCCACTAGCTAGTGCTCGTATTGGCAAGGGAGGTCCTGTCTTATTACAAGACTTTCATTTGATCGATGTATACCAGAAATTTGATCGTGAAAGAATTCCAGAGCGCGTCGTGCACGCAAAAGGTTCCGGTGCTTTTGGCCTTTTTGAGGTCACCAAGGATATAACAAAATACACCAAATTGAAGATGTTTAATAAAATAGGAAAGAAAACTCCTATGCTAGCAAGATTTTCCCAAGTTAGTGGTGAACAAGGTAGCCCCGACACTTTCCGTGATCCGCGAGGATTCGCTCTGAAATTCTATGCGGAAGATGGTATTTTCGACATGGTTGGAAATAATACCCCTGTTTTCTTCTTGCGAGATCCTGCCAAGTTTCCTGTGTTTATCCACTCACAAAAACGCAATCCTCAAACGTCCCTACGAGACAACACCGCCTATTGGGATTATCTATCTCAAAACGAAGAATCTATTCATCAGGTCATGATTCTTTTTTCCGATCTCGGTGGTACACCCTATGGCTATCGATTTATGGATGGCTTTTCTAGCCATACTTACAAATTTGTCAACGATAAAGGTGAGTTTCACTACTGCAAATGGCACTTCCTTTCCGACCAGGGAACAAAAGGTATGACTCATGAGGAGGCTACTGATATGATTGGATTAAATCAAGAATTTGCACGTCAGGATCTCTTCGAAGCAATCGATCGCGGCGACTATCCTAGCTGGACTCTTTACGTGCAGGTATTAACACCCGAAGAAGCCGAGAAATTCAGATATAACTCCTTTGACCTTACCAAGGTTTGGCCCCACAAAGATGTTCCTATGCAAGAAGTCGGTCGTTTCACTTTGAATCAAAACCCTCAAAACTTTTTCGCTGAAATTGAGCAAGCTGCTTTCTCTCCCTCTCATATGCTACCAGGTGTTGAAGTTTCTCCTGACCCTGTCTTGCAAGTTCGTACTTTCAGTTATCCCGATACACATCGCCATCGCTTAGGTGCCAACTTTGAGCAAATTCCTGTGAACAGTGCTAGATGCCCCGTTTTTAATTATTCTCGTGATGGTCCCATGAATGTCACTGACAACCAAGGCAGCATGCCAAACTATCCTTCTTCATTACAGCCCTTAGCAAAAGAGTATCATGAGCCCAATGAGAAGCATGAAAAATGGGTTGGTGAAGTCACTTACCACATGGATGAAATTACCGACGTCGATTTTGAGCAACCTAGAGCATTCTGGGAGAAGGTACTAGGAAAGCAACCGGGACAACAAGACAATTTTGTCAAAAACGTTGCTTTGCATTTGTCCAAAGCAATTCCCGTAGTACGTCAAAGACAGTATAAGGTATTTGAAAAAGTAGATCCTGAATTGGGAGCTCGAATCAAGGAGTCTACTGAAAAAGCTGCCGAAAAGCTTGCTGCAACCGAAAATAAAGTTATAAATGAAGGCAATAAACACATGTTCGAACCAGCAAATTAAATATGATACGAACAGTTACGATATTAATGACAAATAACGAATCTAGTTATTAATCAATGAGCTTAATTCATTATAAACCTTCACGTCTTGTAGAAACCTTTGATGACATTGCATTCGTATTGTTTCTTATTCAAATCACATTAGTCGATGAAATGACCCAAGCTGTGGTTACAATTAATTTAGCGAGAAATGCGATTTTAAAAATGACAATATAACTTCCAAAAATAACTTCAGCCTCACTCGTTTCGAAAATATCAAGCTATTAATTTTCCCAACAAAGGTTAAGCTGTTTCCAAAAAAAGCATAAGAAACAGAACGTAACACTTTGAACAATCCTAAATTGCTTTCACCCAGTGTTTTTACTCAAATCGATGTCCGTTGGATATATGTTTTTAGCATAGTTCTATACTTGATCATCTATTTGACTTAAAACACTTGAGAATCACAAAGGTCCTTTTCAACCAGAACGCTAAATGCCAAATCTTTCAGAGCATAGTAAACGTTAATAAGAATTACCATTGATCACCATAAAAAAAAGAACAGCGTTTTTGGAAAGCGAATTCAAAACAACCGGCTTACTGGAAGTTCAATCATATATGTATTTATAAGAAAATCAAAAGACCATTTCATCTTTCAATAGAAAGCCTGTAATTTAACCATAATCCATAATCTTGTTTGACGGGGTTTGTGCTCTAGAAAGTCTGATTGTTTAAATTCTGGCACGAGGTAAACTTCGCATTCGTTTTTAACGTAGGAAAATGGGGATAAGAATTAATTATTCTTTTTTTCTTTAATAGAATCAGGACTCTTCGTAAAAGACAAAATCTGATCATCTTGAGAGAGTGGATCGTTGGTACTCCAGGAATAGACGACTTCACCTTTGGTATTCGGTGACGGTTGCACTGGTGGTAAAGAGAGAAACCGAGTGTAAAGAAATGTATCAGCGATTAAAACTAAAATCGAAGAAATGCCGCACATAGCGACTCTCTATGAAACAGTTAGTATTCAAGTTGAACATTGCACAAAGAAACCACGCATATTACCTTTTCGACTTCAAAAGAAGAGGTACAGCACCAAACTGCAAAAGCACTTCCTATCACTGTGAAAAGAATGTTGATTATGGCACTTAATTGATTCTTTATTTTCTTGTTTTCCGCTTTTTCCTGAAGCTGACTATCGAAGGATACACCCGCCATAGATGGCAATAGCTGAATTCCGTCATATAGATTCTTTTCTCTTAGATCATCTAATTCCTTTTTCATCAATTCCTTCTGTCGAGCAACGGAATCATTTGGAAGAGGCGTACTAATTGACGACAATTGTATCCCTCGTAGAAATGGCTTAAAATCAATATCTTTTTTTACTTTTTTAAGTTTTAAAAGGCATTCTTTTAGCTCGTTCCCCTCAATGACCGAATCTTGCGCTTGTAATTCTCCCTTTTGCTGGTCAGTAAGCTTATATGTCACCATAGGATTGACTATTCCAGTCGTTGACTGTCTGTAGTGTATTAAATCAATTCGTTTCAATTGACTTTCCAATAATTAAAACAAAAATTCATCAATGTTCAAACAAAAGGAAAACTTTGGGATATTGATTATCTATTGTGGCAGAGAGAACCTCTGTCACACGTGTAATTCCAGGTCACCAAACATTTTCATCAGCATAAACGAAGGACAATGTTGTTTTTTTTTTCTTTGTTTTTTATTTAAAAAGCACAACGACTGTAATTTTGCTATCCAAGCTTTCGTGTAACGTCGGTATTCAAAAAAAATGGTTTACGAGATTTTGAGGTGGGTATAATACATACGAACATTATATATATATATAAGTATAATTTACTTTCTGTTTCGCTAGTTTTCAACAGTTTAAATTTTGGTGGACCGAATGTTATGTTTGTCTGCATCAAATAAAAACAAAAATGAACCCATTTTGCATAGATCTATGGCTGAAACACTAATAAAATAAGCTACTAAAACTACTAAAGTCTAATAAAGCAGCTACACAATCCAGAGCAATCGACGAACAAACTCTCTAAGGTTAAATTTCTTGTTCGAAAAAAATCGAGGAGCATATTAGAACACCACCTTGAACAGAAACCTCTAATTGAAAGAAAAAACCAGTCATACTTTATTTTTTTTTAAAACCTTTGGTAGTCTAATTTGGTATTCATTTTCACGAATTGATTTCTGTTGTTTATTAAGTCTTCCAGTTAAAATAGGGATACAAAACGCTTCTAGGATACTTGTCTGCAAGTCAAATACTGCATTACAAGCCTCGGTCCTAACCTTTTAGCGAAACTTTTAGGAATTGCGTAATAATTTTTAGTGGCCTTTGCTATTTCGTTTCTTTGTTCTCCAAAAGGGTTTTAAGTCCGAATGTTTCTTGCTTCTTCTGTATTATATTATATGTACTAGTCAAGTTAAGTACTCGGTGAAACAAAACATTACTGTCAACGCAAGTTTGACCATATGGAATCAAGATTAAGCTTCAGCATCATCACCTAAAACCTTTTGTATCTCAAAAGAAACCGTAATACACTATGGATATGTTTTACTAGCCTAAGGAGAATCTACTTCGGGAATGTTCAATAGCTGCTAGGCGTAACGTGAGGTTCTTGTTTACATTCTAATTAACTTTATGCATTCAACGAACGATATGCTCAATATTATTGGATTTCTATGACCCGTTGTTCTTCTTTCTGATATGGCAGGCTATTCGGTTAGTATCAATTTTCCGAGGATATAACGTCGCTATGGAAATAGGGAAAATGCCGTTGCGTAGTACTGAGTTTTTTCCGACTGTTATTCTTGTTCATCATTTTCTCTTACTCAACATGTTAAACATGCAAATTTTTGAATTATCAGAAGAGATTACGCTTGTTTCTCACTCAATCATTTCTTTCTAATATCTTCCTACCTTTACCTAAACTACACTTACGAAGATCATTCCGGGTACTAATAATCAATGAGACCCGGCAATAGTCCGGTTTATACGAACCCAATGATCCGGGCGAGTGTAGTTCTTCCTTTGCTTGCTTTAAAGTTCTGGATTGTGTCATCTTGTTTACGCTTATGTAAACATACAAGCCTCTTTTTACCCACTGTCAACGAGATTAAATTATTCCCGAAGCCTATAAAAGAAAGCTTTTTCTCTTTGGAGCGTGACTTTGTTCTTCACTCAACCGGCACATTTTACTGCACTGTACGGAACACCGGCTGATTTTGTCCTTGGGACGCTAAAAAATTGTCCTACTTTCTTTTTGTTATTTTCCTTTTTAAAGATACATGGGTTCTTTTTGTTGATTTTTTTTGATACTCTCATATTTTCAGCGAACAGTTCTTTTTAGTATTTTGCATTTCTTTTCCTTCTTTGCATCGTTTCTTCTTTTTTTTTTTTTGTTTTTGCATTCGCATTCCTTTTTTTATTATAGCATTGCATAGTTTTGATTCTCGTTTATTGTATATCCATTCATTTTGAAATCATTCATTCTCTTGTGCATTTCCGTCTGTGTTTATAATCATTTTTATAATGGGATTATTGCAGATTTCATTACTTGCTTTAGGTGTGCTCAGTAAGCTACACCAAGGATGGGCAAAATCCAGTGAAGAATGGCGAGACCGCGTCATCTATCAAGTTTTGACGGATCGGTTTGCCGTCAACGATACTTCAAACCCTGAGTGTGAAAAGGGTTCTAGCAAGTACTGCGGTGGTACTTGGAAAGGCATCCAATCTAAGCTAGATTATATTCAGGAAATGGGCTTTAACGCTATTTGGATGTCTCCTATTGATGAAAACGTTGAAGGAACATATGGAGAAGACGGTGAGGCTTATCACGGATACTGGAACAGTGATTTTACTCGTATAAATGAGCATTGGGGTTCCGAAGACGATTTAATTGATCTTATTAACGATATGCATAATCGTGATATGTGGGTTATGTTCGATGCCCTTGCCAACTCAATGGCCATTCCCGGACCCCCTGATAATATTACTTACTCTCATCTTCATCCTTTCAATTCATCTGAATACTTTCACCCCTTTTGCTGGATTGATTATGCTAGCACAAATGATTCTGATATCCAAGATTGCTGGAGTGGTGATAATGAAATCATACTTGCAGACTTAGATCTCGAGTCCGATGTAGTTTCTAAATATTTGAACGAGCATGTTCACGATGTCGTTCAACGTTATGGTATCGATGGTATCCGAGTGGACGCTATCAAGCAAATGAACCCCAACTTCTTTCCGGATTATCTCAAGGCTGCTGGTGTTTTTTCCGTTGGTGAGATGTTTTCGTACAACCCTAATATTTCCTGCTCTGTTCGTAATCAAATTGATAGCATTACTAGTTATCCAATTCGACAAGGCATCGAATTTGCTTTCAACAATACTGGTGCTGCATTCCAGTATCTTCATGAAATTGATACTCAGTTTCAGGAGGCTTGTTCCGGTCAAGATATGTCCATAGTAGCCAACTTTTTGGAAAACCATGATTTGCCCCGTTACCCTTATATTACAGATGATGCCTCGCAAAATAAAGGAGCCATTGTGTTTCTCTTACTTCATACTGGCATTCCTATAATATATTATGGACAAGAGCAACACCTGACTGGTGGTCCTGGTACCTCGGATAATCGTGAAGCTTTGTGGAATTACGGTTACAATAAGAACTCACCTATTTATCAATTAATTCGTTCAACCATCGCTCTGCGTAAGCAAGCTATGCACGACAACGATAAATGGACGACTACGAACCACGAATTTCTTGATTACGACTTACGTTATGCATTTGTTCAAAAGGGTGATGTTCTCGGTGTCTATACAAATTACGAGTCGAATACTGACAAAGTTGCTTACGATGTCGCTTCTAAATTCAAGGAAGGAACCAAGGTTCGCGAAGTTTTGAGCAATACAACAACTACCGTAGGTTCTTCGGGTACATTACACGTTACAGTAACCACTGGCATGCCTCAAGTTTATTATCCAGAGGCTAGCTTGAGTTCATTTGAAAACTTTATAGGGACTCCTACGAGCTACTATTCTTCTTCTGCATCATATCCGACGTCTTCATATCCCGGGTCACTTTCATTTACTGGTTCTTCCAGTTCCTCTTCTGCTCCTCCAAGTACTTTTTCTTCTGTTAATACGCATCACAGCACCTATACGAGCGGCTCTTCGACCTATACTAGCGATGTAGCAAGCACTGCTTATTCTACAAGCAAAGATAGTGGATCCAATGAGTCTAAGGGTTCTAGTACTAAACCTTTGTCTTGCATGATGGCCTTCACCTGCTTGTTAGCCGTTGTTTTGTTGATCTAATTTATTTTGGATTTCTATTAGCATAAACGAAGTTATATTATACCGTATCCTATGGGTCTCAGATGTTAATATTAATCTTGATGAAGATAGATATAAGAACTTGTAGTTGATTCTTAAGTGTTGTACATTTTCTGTATTTTGTATTGTCACCTTCAGTAAGAAGAATATAATAGTAAACCGACCTCGACTCCAGAAACTGGGGTATTTTAGTCCTCACTTTACTATGATATTCATCCTCTGTAAGAGAAGACCATCTGTATTTCGTCTTTGAGAATTCATCTCATAGTAATCCATTATCGTACCCCTCCAGTGCGTAGAATTCTCATGTTGCTACGCAAATAATGCTTTAATTCTTGATTTAATAAACAAAGGAAAACTCGTTACGATAATAGATATAAAAGTATTTTACAATATGCGAAAATGTCGAATTCTCAGTGACAGAACTAATTTTGGAAATATTGAAATAAGCTCATTTATTGGTAACTTTTATAGAAACTTTAACCTTTTAGATTCAACCCTTGGCGTTTAGATTCTCCTCTTGATGATAAAGAGATGACAGATAAGTCCTCTGTGTTATAAAAAAGCTCCCGAATTGATCACACTGGAATCATTTTAAATGTATCAAAAGTCTTGTTCTTTTACCACTCGTATTGATAGGAAACTCATTAATACAAAATGGTTGTAAAGGTAAAGGGAGGAAATATAATAATGGCTTCCTGAAGATAAAGGTTGTTTATTATTATTATTATCGATCATGAGCTCAACTTTGTCATTGTTTTATATACCCTATGATCAAATGATTTTTTATCAATGATTGTTAAAGAACGATAAGCAAGTGGCTGCTTTATCCAAGATTATGCGGGTATAAAGAATGATAGAATCTACTATATTTGAAGAATGAGAATTACTAAAAACATGAGTAATTTAGGTAAATTGGGGATACTAGCTAAAAGTCTTGCTTGTTTTTCTCCGTTAAGTTGAAGATTCTACTTGATGATTAATCCGGTTGTTCTTGTTATTTTCTTAAAGTATCTCTATTTATAATCTATCAGGAGTAACTGTACCATTTAAAAATTATTGATTGTTTCTCTTTCACTTACACTTAAAATCGACTTCAAGATGCCTTCTTCAGAAACTGCTCATAGTCGTAGTTCAATTGAGAAAAGCGCATCGTCTTCCGAGCTAAAAGCCGAGGCTAGCATCAAGGATTTTGCAACTGAAAAACCAACAACAGAAGGTGTAGGAGCTGTGGATGTCGTGGCAGATGAATTGCTCGTTGATGATGAGTTTACATTCACAGACAAAGAAGCCAGAAAGGTTCTTTGGAAGATCGATTTCGTAATGATGCCAGTCATGTGTATTACATACATGATTCAATATTTGGACAAGACGGCCTTGTCTTATGCTGCTCTATACGGTATGAAGAGTGATACCCATATCGACGGTCACATTTATAGTAGTATGACTACGTTATTCTATATTGGTTATCTTGTGGCTCAATACCCTGCCGCTTATATTATGCAAAAAGTTCCCCTTTCCTTATTTATTCTCATTGATGTGATACTTTGGAGCGCCATGGTTTGCTTGATGGCTGCTTGTCGTAATGGCTCCTCTCTATTAGCTCTTCGTTTTCTCGCCGGTGTGTTTGAAGCTTCTATTACACCAGCATTTATCAATATAACAGCCATGTGGTATAAACGTGACGAACAACCGATGAGAACTCTGTGTTGGTATGCATTTAATGGCGTCGCTCAGATCATCGGGTCTATTTTATCTTATGGTTTAGGTCATATTCACCATAAAATTGCTTCATGGAGATACATTTTTATTGTCATAGGCTTAATGTCGCTGGTTTGGGGCCTTGTTTTTGTATATGTCCCCAGTAATCCCGCAAAAGCACGTTTCCTTAGTCCTCGTGAGCAACGAATCGCTTTGGAAAGGGTGAGAGATAATAGAACTGGTTTAGAAAACAAAACTTTCAAACTCTCTCAAGCTTGGGAAGCGTTTCGTGATCCCCAAGTAATTTTGATAACTCTGTTTACTGGTATATGTATGATTACCAATGGTATCGGTGTTTTCAGCACTTTAATTATCAATGGGTTGGGCTATGGTGAATTGAAATCAGCCATCCTTAACATGCCCTTAGGTGCTATTGAAGTTGCTGCCATGATCGTCAGTGGTATTCTCTGTAAGATTTGCAAGAACGGACGTCTGTTAATTGGTGCTTTGTGCAGTTGCTTAAATTTGGTTGGATGCCTCATGATTTGGAAAATCCCTCAATCCAATCCTTATGGCCGTTTGGTGGGTGTATGGTTCACAATGTGGGTACCTGCAGCTAGTGCATTGTTGTTGTCGCTCATTTCTTCTAACGTTGCTGGTTACACGAAGAAGAGCGTTACTAATGCAACTGTTTTTGTTTTTTATTCCTTAGGAAACATTATCGCTCCCCAGTTGTTCAAATCTGGCCAAACCCCAGAATATATTGAGGGGATTCAGGCTATGGTTGTTGCTCTTTGTTTAATTATGGCGATCGCCTTTATATTAATTGGTTATTATCTTTATGAAAACAAAAGGCGAGATGCTTTGATGGCTAATGATCCTTCTATAGCATATTCTGTTAAGAATGAAGAGTTTATGGATCTTACCGACCGCGAGCAAATCAAGTTTCGGTATCGTTGGTAAAAGTGGATTGGTTCGTTATGTTTGCATTTTTTGTTAATCATTGAATTTATTTATCTTCTACAGACATTATTCGAGCTTTCCTTAGTCTTTTTTTGTTTTCAATCTCAAATATGACTTGTGGTGTGCGTATTGGCTGTGTACACAATGTACTGCTCTATTCCTAATGAATCTCATGACCTATTCAGCCAACTCATGGAGAGGAAACGGCTATACCTTTCAACGTTAAATTGGTTAGCTATATCACCTATGCAACTTTTGACCATCTCTCTTCCTTTCCCCTTTTTTGTCTTCTGCATGTACTTTGTTTACTACTAAGATTAGTGCTTACATATTAGTCTTCCCTCTAGGTAACTTTAATATAATAAGGGTTTCTCGTCGTATTTGTGGGCATTTTGTTTTATATCTGGTTTGTTTACATAAAGTATTCATTGTGCACATAAGATTATTTGGCTTGGATGTAAATTTTTTAGATAACATTTGTATCAAATATTTCTTACAGTATATTGATTTACATTTCGGTCAAGTGCACACACCATGCAGCTGTTAACTTTCAACATACTTGAAAGTCCTATATTAAGTAATGCTAATTGGAAATGATTACTACTATTTCTACTTTCTTTGTTAGCATTACTTTTCAATGCACATATAGTGATTATTTAATCTTTGACTACACAGAAAAGGCTAACCTCAAGTTATCTAATATGGACCAATGTCATTTTTGTTACTTGTATTTAAGGCAACAAAGACGAAATACACTTGAATCCCTTTTGTGTTTACAGTGATTAAGTAGCTACTAATATAATATACCGGTCTCTCTTTAATGTGAAAAACCCCTCACCTTTATAGAAATGCTAAAAAGAAAAGCTTAAGTGAGTATGCGCACCCACCAGTAATGTTTATATACTTATACCGCCATTTTTAAAGAAGATTAAGTTTTAGTTTCAAACTCCCATACTCTAAATACTTAGTAAGCTGTTTTATTCGTAAGGTTGACATTTATCACCAATCAACTTATTTTCGCTTTCTTTCATTCAGGGATGCAGGAAAAGAAAATACGAGGATCGGTAAGCTTATCTAACTTACCCGGACGGTATCCTAGAAGGAAACTGATTAACGTTGCCAAACAATAACTGGTTGAAAAAATGATTTCTAGTACACAGCAACAGTTACGAAGGTCCTACGAAAAAATGCTTTGGTTACAGTCCACATTCTTTATTTCAATGCTTATTGTCGGGTTTTAATGCAAGTATATAACAAATTTCCATTTCTTCATATTCAAGTTGTACCATTGTGTTCTTTAGGTGGAGTTTTGATTATTTGGAAAATCCCTGATTCTAATCCTGAAGGTTATTTAATATGTACCGAGAAAGATTCTTTTCGTAACGAATACATTGTAATTTTCTTTTTCTTTTCATTAAATATTGCTGTCAAACTAAAAGAAGTTCCTGCTGCTATCTTCTTTGCTTTTCCACAGCTATTTTGATCAGGGCAAACCCCTGGAACTAATTGAAGGAATCCGATTATGATTGTGCTTGATTGTCTCTTTGTTCTTTAACTAAGTCTTGATTTAACACTTTACATGGGGAAATGAAAAAGTCATCCTGCTGCAATGAAGAAGAATCCTATATTCGATTAGACCATCAAATATGAAGATTTCATGACTCGTAGCGACCGTCAGCTTCGAATGATTGCTAAGAAGTATCTGTCAACATGGTTTTCTTCGTCTTTCTTTTACAACCTTAAAAACTTGCTACCTTACAAACAACCGTATCATGTGCCCTTTACCCTTTGATCCACCTAGTTCTCTATCAACCAAAATACTACGATATAAACCATTTAAATGGGAGCCAAAATATATTATTAATCAATCTTTTCCTTACCATTTTTAAAAAAGTGATCGGAAAAATTGCTTATTCCATAATTCAAAAAAACAACATCCATCCTTTATAACAATCTCCTTTGTTTATTACTGCAACTTTACCAGGTTAACGTTACGAATTTTCCTATTCTGACTACGAAAACGTACTTTACCATTCGTTATACGAAAATAGCGGATCTGCTACAACGCTAGTTCCGAACAATCCAGATCCTTCCCACAGCAAATTTTTTTCCCTCCTCTTCACTCATTTTGCTTCCTTCACCATAACCGTGCTCCTATCCCCGTTTTTCCTATACGTTTGTAAAGTTTCAAAGCTTTTTAAATAGGTGTTTTTATCTAAATAAAAAACACTTGAAAAAAGTTTTGTTTCAATCGTTTTCTATTGACCGGCCCTTGAAATCCCTTTCACGCAGTATCCTATCGCTTTATCCATCAATTCATATCTTGGCCGAAAGCTGCTAAATATTCCAAGGTTTAACACATATACGGTTTTTTCAATTGCATTCTTCCTAATTAAAAACGCATATGTGTCCTATCCAACTTTCCAATACTGTACCTGTATCATCTATGGCATATAACCATTTTGCAATTCCAAAGTCAATTGAAGAAAAAGAAAATTCGTTTTTCGACGTGACTTTCCAAGACGAACCCGAAGACGCCTCTGCACCCGCCGTTGCTGCTTCCTTACCCAAAGTACCTCCTACATTTGCAAGTGCTTCTTCTTTAGCTACTTCAACTACTTCAACTCCTCTTTCTACTATCCAGAACAGCGTTACTCCCGGACTTCAACAATCCATGCAACAATCACAACCCATCCCCGCTTCTCAACAAGAACTTCCTATCACGACCACCGCTCCTTCCACTAGCTCCAAGCCCCCCATGGATGATACAAATTATGCTAATCAACAACTCACTTTGCGTGCACTGTTGTCCACCCGTGAGGCTGGTATTGTCATTGGCAAAGCAGGCAAAAACGTTGCCGAACTCCGTACCTCTACCAATGTAAAAGCCGGTGTCACTAAAGCTGTCCCGAACGTCCATGACCGTGTCCTTACTGTCAGTGGCAGCTTAGAAAATGTCGTAAGTGCTTATAGATTCATTGTTGATATCTTTGCTCGTAACAGCACGAATGCTGATGGCACTCCTATTGACCCTGCTGCTCCTCGGAAGCTTCGTCTCCTAATTGCTCATTCCCTCATGGGTAGTATCATCGGCAAGAATGGCTTGCGTATAAAGCACATTCAAGACAAATGTAGCTGTCGCATGATTGCTTCCAAAGATATGCTTCCTCAGTCTACTGAGCGTACTGTTGAAGTTCATGGAACCGTAGAAAACTTACACGCAGCAATCTGGGAAATCGGAAAATGCCTTATTGATGATTGGGAACGCGGGGCTGGCACTGTATTTTACAATCCTGTTTCTCGTATCACCCAACCCCTACCATCCCTTGCTCAGGGAGCTCCTCCTCCACAGCCAGTCGCATCTGCCACACCACCCGCTGCCAATGAAGGAGTCCAGGAAAACTTCGTTTCCTATGGTGCTCAAGTATTCCCCACCACTCAACTGCCTTTCTTACAACAACCTAAAGTCACTCAGAACATTAGTATTCCCGCAGACATGGTCGGCTGTATAATTGGTCGAGGAGGTTCCAAGATTTCTGAAATTCGCCGTACCAGCGGTAGCAAGATTTCCATTGCCAAAGAGCCTCATGACGAAACTGGTGAACGGATGTTTACTATTACGGGTACCCATGAGGAAAATGAGAAAGCTCTTTTCTTGCTTTACCAGCAACTTGAACTTGAAAAGGATCGTCGCTCTCATTAATGGGTATTCTACCTAATACTTTCATTCATATATGATTATGTATATTCTGAATATAAATTTTTGGTTCGGTCTTTATGTTCTTGTTTTATGTAAGTTTTCAACCATCCTGATTTTCTATACATGCTCGTTTCGTTATCTAAATGCGCAATGCATGGCTATCATTATCACCAAATGTTAAAAAAAATAGGGTTGTTATATTACTTATTGGTTTCGTTTTTTGTTAGCTGTTTACTTCGTTTTTACTTTTGCTTATATATTTTCAGAGTCTTTGTGTTGTTTAAAATATATAAACATGGTTTTGCTGCGGTCTGTTTTGTCCTTGTTAAACAATAAACATTATCCTTTTCCTGTGGAAAATAATTTTATGCTTACAAAACAATACATATCTCTGCGAAATAGATAAGGCCAATCTGGCAGTTGTCTGCTCTCTTGAACAACGTTCGTCCTCTCCAATCCATGCAGCTGTGCTATGTCACACATGTGTTTTTTACCTTCCCCTAAATCAAATTTTTCTGTATTAGCTAAATGCCCTTTACTTAAACTTGTATCCACTGTTTCCTTACCGCTTGCTTGTTGTTGGTTTTTTCTTTTAACTAGTAATACAATAGTTCCCCTTTTGTTGCCGTTGCTGAATTTACTTGTGGTTTTATACGTATTTTCTTTCATTTTGTCTTAGATAAGTAAGCATTGGCTTGTAATATTTTGTGTATGAAAAGGGAACTATGATTTTTCTTATGAAGAATTTCATGATATTAACAAAATCATTAGGATTCAATCTATAACCAGTAAGCAGTATCAAAATACATCCTTTTTTAAGACCGTTGATTTTCAGCAGAGCCTCCAAAAAATTGCGTCTCTTTTTTGGACAAATCCTCATCTAAAGCTCGTTGAATTTCGGAAATGATAGACGTCGTTTTTTGGAAAGCAGTATGAGCACATGCAACCACACTAGAAGCCTCTATTGTAACACCACCAGCCTTAAAGATTTGACAAATTTCGCGGTTCTTGTTAAGAGTGACGGTCATACTACCAGTACGCAGCTCTTCTTCTTCAAGAGATGCATCTATAGCTGACAAACTTCCATCTTCAAAAAAGCTAAAAGTTACACAAATTGGGGTATGGAGAACGGAAAGAGGAACAGGGACACGTTCTTCAATAGAATGCACCGTAACTTCGTCACCAAGAACGGTAATTTCAGGCCTTCGAAAATGACAGAGTCCCGTTATAACCGCAATACAAGCAGCATCCACTAAATTTCCATCATGATTTATAAAATGAACACTAGCTCGAACGCTCCAGCACTTTTGCCCGGAAATGATACAAAGAGATTCTGTATCTAAAGCGTTTGAACGTCGAATAGCTTGTTCAATTAGGCGGGATATGATAACTTCTTGCTCAGATACCCTATACATGTTAGTAATCTCTACATCAAAGAGTGCAAAATTTCTCATACCTTCCTGTCTCAAAAGCAGGACTAGCGAGAGGCGTAAGCTCGGTTGTAATTGCAAATATTCCATCAAAAGGTCGATCCGAATACGGCTTTGTAATTTCAGCAGAGATACGTGCCATAACCCTATAAGGTAAGCGTGTGTTAGCAATATGTATTAAAAGAAAGAAATAATATAACAAAAAAAGTCTAACTTACCTAGTAGAACCCAAAGAAATGTCTACCTGACCATAGTCCTCACCAAATTCGATTTTAAGATCTCGAAAGTCAGTCAAGGATCGACCATCTAATCTCAGTTCTTTTTTTAAAGCATTGACAATAAAGCCCTTATTATTTGCTGAAGGCTCAAGACTCTTCGACATGCCAACAAATTCGATAGAAAATTTTGGGCTACTTCGAATTGCTATTTCTTCCCTATGCGATTTTCAAATTCTCAGCGAGGCTTCCTGCTTGTTTTTCCCCAAAATTTATTTTTCTAAAAGCCTATAAAAAAAACAAGCCTTGCTTTCGATTTCTTAGGTCGGCTCGTCTGTTGTTTCTGTTTCAGCATTGCTGAGTGTTAAAATAGCGAGCACAGTAGCGTTCTTAATCAGCTGTGTTCGTACTGGTTAAAAGTGCGTTAACAGAAATAGCGAACTTTTTTTTTTAGGAAAAGCAACGGATATAGAATAAGTGAGTCGCACACCACGTGTAAACATAAGCTTATAATAGATACATTCAATAGAAAAAGCCAAAAAATTATTTTTTTTTTTTAAAAACATTTTTTTGATAATACAAGTGTGTAGGTTGCTTAAAATTTAAATATACGCTGTGTTGCGTAGAAAAATATTGTACTGCTCTCTATTCTGGTTTCATGCCAACTCAATGCAGACCGGAAACGGTAGCTAGATCACATTCTTGGGTGCCTTCCAGAAGTCATCGTATAACATCTTTTTAATCTTTTTTTCTTTACTTTACAGATATCCTAGGGCAATTTTGTTTTCATACTACTTTTTGAATTGATAGGTAAGCAAGTGATTCAACGGTCGCCATCCGTATGACGGTGATTGTCTATGATGATGGGATATTTTGAGTAGTATTTAAGAGATCATCTTAATGTTTGTATTAGAATGAATGCTAATTAATTCTAGCCTTCAAAATGAATCGTGGCCGTATTTACGACTTCATCCAGAAAGGATCGGTTTCCCTTTTGCTATTTGGAACTGTTGGTGGTACTGTTATGCTTGGTCAATCTTATTTTGCTCATAGAAAGCGCCGTTTGGCTGCTTTGGCGGAGCATCAAAAGGTATGCAATCTCTTTTGTCACAACATGTTTGCTGAAAGTATTCAATCTAACCAGTGTTAGAATTTGCAAGATGAAAAGTTTGCTGAAGATGAGTTTAACCAATTGGACTTGAAGTAAACAACTGCGTTTCATGGTTTTTGTCCCTTACCTGCTTTATTCGCAAAATCCCCGTTTCATACTTTTTCTCCTCTTCGCTTTCTTTTCTACTATTTTTCAGGTATTATGCTTTATTTTCTTAGAAACTTAAAACTTTTTTTCTTTGGTTTAATCAAGTTGCATCGCAAGGATGAGACAAGGATAACTATATTTTGATATTCATAATAACATCGATAAATTATTGTGAAAACAGGAAGACGAGTTTCGTTCATACCTTCCATCCACATGCTATATATCTTTTTACATGAAATTATTGTTTCTTACACTTTTCATACGTCTTTACCAATATTAATACTTATACTTTACTAATCTTATTGAAAGATTATCAAGAGCATTAACTTGCAGTAGTCATACAGAATTATACATAAACATAAATAATAATAACAAAGAATATTATTGCAGTCCTTTACCAAGGAAGAAAACTAAAATTCATTGTTATGTATGTAGTAGAATCCACAACAGAATAGATTTGTACACATCTTCATCTTTAACCGTTCATCCAACAAATAAAACGAATTTATAAGCAAACATTCTGTAAACACTTTTTTCTTTCTTACAGCATCTTTTATCTATTTATTTTTATTTCTTTATAAGTGTCGCTTCAATTTTTAGCATGTTCTAGACAAGCCAATTTTTGTTCTAGGAAAATGACTTACATAAGGATTAACAGCCGATCACTACCAACCTCTCTCGCATAAGCAATACTTAATGTTATAGAACTATTGTAAGCTGTTTTATTGGATCGTTAAACAGTCTACCACAATTACGTACTTGATGACAAGCCAATCGTGCCTCGGCCAATTCTATATGTAAGAATATGATTCATTGATCTTGAATTACATAATTCTAGACAGTGCAGGAATACAATATAAAAGGAGCTTTATTTTCTTTTCAAAATGTCGCCGTTCATATCCACTGCAATTTAAACCTTTTCACTCAGGATTCTACAAGAGTGAATTTCTGTATATTTCATTCTCTTTTATTCTACTCTCTTTTATTCTGAGCTTACATGACATTTTCCAAAGTGTCATCGTCTCGCGGTTTTCGAGTTTGTTTTCCTAAAGTAACTACTCCTTACATTAGCAAGCGTAACATTTCAAGATCCCCCAGAATTATGTCACAAAACGTTTATAGAACTAACACGGGCTGCCCCATTTTCAACCCAATGGCCAGCGCCCGTGTTGGAAAAAGTGGCCCTATTCTGCTTCAAGATTTCCACTTGATTGACGTTTTCCAACACTTTGATCGTGAGCGTATTCCAGAACGTGTTGTTCATGCTAAAGGCTCTGGTGCCCATGGTGTTTTTGAGTGCACCAAGGATATCACCAAGTACACTAAGCATGCAATGTTCTCTGAGGTTGGAAAGAAGACTCCCATGTTGGCTCGTTTCTCTACCGTGGGTGGTGAACGCGGCACTCCCGACAGTGCTCGTGACCCTCGTGGTTTCGCTCTCAAGTTCTATACCGAAGACGGAATCTTTGATATGGTTGGTAACAATACTCCCACTTTTTTCATTCGTGACCCCGCCAAATTCCCTTTGTTCATTCATACTCAAAAGAGAAACCCGCAAACTGACATGAAGGATGCGACCATGTTTTGGGATTATCTATCTCAAAACGAAGAATCTATTCATCAGGTCATGATTCTCTTTTCCGATCTCGGTGGAACGCCCTATGGTTACCGTTTCATGAATGGATTCTCTAGCCATACGTACAAGTTTGTCAATGATAAAGGCGAATTTTACTACTGCAAATGGCATTTTATTTCTGATCAAGGTACCAAAGGCTTAACTGATGAGGAAGCTAAGGCCTTGGATGGATCTAATCCTGACCATGCTCGCAAAGACCTCTTTGATTCCATTGAGCGCGGTGACTATCCCAGCTGGACTCTTTATGTCCAAACCATGACTCCTGAGGAGGCTGAGAAATTCAGATACAACATCTTTGACCTTACCAAGGTTTGGCCCCACAAAGATGTTCCTATGCAAGAAGTCGGTCGTTTCACTTTAAATCAAAACCCTCAAAACTTTTTCGCTGAAATTGAGCAAGCTGCTTTCTCTCCCTCTCATATGGTTCCTGGTATCGAGATTTCCGCTGATCCTGTCTTGCAAGTTCGTACTTTTAGTTATCCCGATACTCATCGCCATCGCTTAGGTGCCAACTTTGAGCAAATTCCTGTAAACAGCCCTAAATGCCCCGTTTTTAATTATTCTCGTGATGGTCCCATGAATGTCACTGACAACCAAGGCAGCATGCCAAACTATCCTTCTTCATTACAGCCCTTAGCAAAGGAGTATCATGAGCCAAATGAGAAGCATGAAAAATGGGTTGGTGAAGTTACTTACCACATGGATGAAATTACCGACATCGATTTTGAGCAGCCTAGAGCCTTTTGGTTGAATGTTCTCGGTAAGAAACCTGGCCAACAAGACAATTTTGTCAAAAACGTTGCTGGCCATCTTTCCGGTGCTCTTCCCGAAATTCGTGAGCGCCAATATAAGGTATTTGGTCGGGTGCACCATAATTTGGGAGAACGCATTCGCGAAGCTACTGAAAAGGTTGCAAAAGAGACGGCTGAAAACGTGTCTCCGCCTATGAACAAAGCCGAACCTCATATGTTCCAAAGCAATTAGGCAAATTTATCCTGAAGAAATACCTTTTTGAACCATTTTTCTTATGAATATTTATTTTATTGATTTTTTTGTTTAAGTAGATATAAGTAAACCATTTAAGAAATAATAATTATTTTCTAATTATATTGCAAAGGATAATTGCTTAGGAGTAGGGGATTGTGACATATAGCATATCTAAGGCTTCTCAGACTAAACATAAGCAAAGTCATTCAGATTCTTTCGAAATAATAGGAATATTTACGTCAGTGTAATTTCTTCCAAGAAAAGAAAAAAAAAAAAAATATGTAGCACTACTTTGTTATATAAGTTATTGTGTGACATATACGCGTCATCTAACGTTAAAATTAAATATGCAAATGTCAATGAAAGTGATGTTCTCGAAATAAAGATTGACGTTTCTCAGACTATTCTTGCCACTTAAAATAGTTATAAATAACTTAAGTACCATCTATGGCTTATCAAATAAAAACAATCGATAATGGCAGATTCAAAAAGAGTTAACGCAGGACATAAAGCTGCTTTACATAATCCAAATGTCTCTGAAGAGACTAAACAACATGAAAAAGAATACCTAGAAAGTCATGGTGCGGAATACAGCGAGTCCGGATCAGGAGGTAAAAACCCAAGAAATGTTGAAAGAGGATATAAGGCTACCACGCACAATCCGAACGTGTCTGAAGAAGCTAAGGAACACGCAAAGGAAGAACTTGAGCATAATGAAAGGCTTCATAATTACGAACATTGAGGATGAAGTCCTGTGAAAAATTGATCTTTTAACTCAAATTATCTCTGAATGGAACGACGAGATAAATTACGAAAATATAGTTATGTCAATAATGAATTACTATGCTTAACCTTATGATTTTGACTATTTTGTATGTTTGTTCGACTGTAAAAGTATCAATGTAGTTTCTACTGTTATGTTCAAAATGGAATAAACAAAAGAATGGTTCACGTACTGTAATAATATAAGAGGCCTGTTAGTTAAATCTTAGTAATCGTAGTCTTATAGTGCTTAAAAGCATGCTGAAACGTTTCTGAGCGTCATGCGTAGGAAAAATAGTAAAGTGTGATCGTTAGAATAAGGCCTCCGATATTCTTGGATTGGATATTCAAACTTAATTAAAGATGTATTACCCAAAAAACGCTTTGCTTTCGTCTTTCGTGACTCATCTTATATTACACCTTTTTTAGTTATTTAAATAAACCTAACTTGGCTGGCTGTCTATGTCTCAAAAGGTATTAATAATTATAGAGCTTCAAACCTAAAACCACGAATTTGTTACACTTAAAGCGAAGTGAGAACCTAAGAAGCTTAAATTCTACATGTAACATACTTATTGATTCAATTCAGTCTCTTGAACCTATTCTCCTGCTTGTCTTTGAACTTTTAATGTTAGTGTAAGAAATAGTTCAGCTAATAATTCTCTTAATCGCAGATTTTTTTCCTTTTCCCCTGAAAACGACTGTGGTATATGCTAAATATGCCAATATAAGAGTTACCTCTGAATTGTTTACCCTAAACACTCTTCGACAAAGCAAAAGTATCAAGTTATAAATTAACAACGTCATTAATATTATTATTCGTATATTATCTCATACAAATAGGTGTTGCTAATATTTGTATTAAGATTATTTCCCGAGAAGAGCTTGAACACTTTCGGCTGATTTTCTCATTAGACTAGTGTAGTAATCATCATTTAAAATGCTTGAAGCATGATCTTCAATAAATTTTCGTAATGCTGGAGGAACCTCAACAGGCTTTGTTTCAAGTTGTTGAGGATATGGACTAACTGGTGTTCTGTCAATAGGGGGCATAAATTCGACAGCTAATCCTCCTTTATATCCTAATTCATTCAACATATCAATTATTTTCTTCCAGTCCAAGCTTCCTTCTCCAACTGGAAGTCTATTATTGTCTGAAACATGTACGTCAACAATTCTTGTACCAGCCGATTTAATTGCTGAAAACAAATTGGCTTCTTCAATGTTTAAATGAAATGGATCTAACGCAATACCAATCTCAGGGCCGACCGCATCGGCTAAAGCAAGCGCTTGATCGATTCGATTCAAGAAATATGTTTCGAAACGGTTCAACGGCTCCAAACCTATTTTTATCCCGCGAGATACGGCATGCTTATGAACTTCCTTCAAACCTTCAATCACCCAATTCCATTCATTCTCTGGGGAGGAGGTTGGTGCAAGCTTACCTACCGTTACCGGCACGACACTTGTGATGCTCCCACCCAAACCAGCAGCCATATCTACAACATCTTTGACGTATTGTACTGTCTTTTTTCGTTGCTCAGGGTTAGAAGCCGCAAGATCATGATCACCCATTTGTAAAGTCACTGTTCCCCAGCATTTTAGTCCATACTTATCGAGTAGCTTTTTCGTCTGCTCAATTGGATACTGTTCAGGAATACCAGCCAATTCGATACTTTCATAACCTAATTCACTAGCGCGTTTCAAGGTCGTTTCTAGAGGCTCAGGCCTCATCCACGTATGAGTTGACAGATGCATATTTTCTTCGGTATTTGACAATTGGCAGATCATTTTACGCGTTGTCCATCGTCTTTATATACCACACATCGTGTCATATATTTTTACCCGTCTGAATTTCGGTATTTCCTTCGCTGATGTTCTTAAAAAGTACTAAATATTACGTATGGGACGGGTTGTTGCATCATACCTTTTTTCAATATACAATGTAAACTATTCGAATATCAGACATGACAATCGTTCTCAGTGAAGTCGTTTTTATTCCGTTTTTTAATCCAACTTAGTAAAATGCTTTTTACTCAAAACACGTAGAGAATAAAACATTAAGCATGCAATAGCAGACGCAAAAAGGATTTATATAAGAAGGACTCCATGTAAATAACTTGTCACTCGACTCATCGAATCTGGCCTTTTGGTATTTGGAACTACGGTTGTATTGCGACAACAATTGATGACTAAAAGACGATATGTGACAAAAAATAAAAGAACGATAAATGATGATGAATTGTTGAAACACCTCAAATTGTCCATATTATATTTCAGAGAAGCTATCCTACAAAAGTTTTTTTGGTTAAGACAGTTACCTCTTCATATAGCTTTTTGAAATTGCTAGCGTAATCTGTTTCTTTATTTTAATAATTCCGTGGTTTATAAACATTTTGAAAAAGTTTCCATGCTTCGTTTACTATTTGTAATATCTCATCCTTTAGCCTTATGGCATTCACTAATATTCGTCAATCCGAATAGTAAGCGTACTGTAGTCTTTGATTTTAACAAAACACCTATCATGATAATGACAATGACAGACATTTACAAAGAAGTGACAAACCTGTGTAACCTTTAATCTATCTGCGTTCCGAAGATCGGAGGACGCAACCACAACCATGTAAAATGTCAGAATACAATCTTTCTCTTCAAAACAAAGTAGCAATCGTTACAGGAGCTTCACGAGGAATTGGAGCAGCAATAGCTGAAACTTTGGCACGCCGTGGTGCTAAAGTAGCCATTACCTTTACCTCTGACAGCAGCATTGATGCGGCAGAACTATTGGTGAAAAAAATTAAGGGTTTTGGCACCTCAGCAGATGCAATCAAAATTCAGGCAGATTTACGTGATGTTTCAAGTGCTAAACATATTGTTGATACCACAGTACAAGCTTTTGGTTCCACCATCCATATCCTTGTCAACAATGCGGGATGCGCAGGTCAACCAAAACCTATAGGAACAATCACCATAGAAGATTATTCGAGTATTTTTGATGTAAATGTTCGTGGCGTCTTTTTCATGACAGAAGCAATTGTGCCATATCTTCCCAAAAATGGAGGAAGAATCATTAATATCGGAAGCTTAGGTGGAAGGATGGGATTTCCTCAAAATTCTGTATACTGTGCAAGCAAAGCAGCAATCGAAGGTTTTACAAGATGTTGGGCCGCCGAATTAGGCCCTCAAGGCCATACCGTAAATCAAGTTAATCCAGGAGCTGTTGAAACAGATATGTTTAAGGGAGTTCCAGATGAAATAATTCAGTTTGCAAAAAAAATGACTCCATTTGAAAATCGCATTGGATTACCTTCTGACATTGCTGAGGTTGCTGCTTTTGTTGCTGAAGATAGAAGTCGATGGATCACTGGGCAGGTAATTTCAGCTTCTGGTGGATGGGCCATGTATTAGATGGTTTAGAGGAAATTAAGTAGACCATCACATAAGCAGTATTCAATCTTTTGAACTAATTGCCGTTCTTTCACGTGTTGGAATCTTTTGAAAGAGTTTTTAATAACGATCGATTCAAGCCCTTACTTTAGTAAATAAAGGATGTCGTAAATGAATATATTTTTGGACATGGAGAGATATTCATTTGCGATTTTGACGTTGTCGTTGCAGACGTTTTATACTTATACTCAACTGGATTATCTAATATTCATTATAAAGAAGGAATCAACTACACGATAGATCTTGTCAAGTGTATATATTTTTCACTATTCTCTTCGTACTTAATTTAGTGCCGTGTTTAAGCTCTTTTCTGAAATGGAAATTTCTTCCGTAATGCTTCTCAATAATTATTCTATTGTAATTATAATTAAATTAAAGGTCCTCCAAAGAATCTCGAGATCGAAAGATTCCACCGATATGTGTATAAAATCGCGTTTACTGTCATCCATTGAATTTAACTAGATCCCTGGACATTACTAGAATCTATGTATGTTGTACAGCAGCGTTCAGTTTCCACCTGAAAATATACGGCGTGAGATTGCTTGTGACAGACAAGCCTACTGTAATATTTCAAATGTTTACAAAACACCTATGGTGACATTGACTTAACACCACGCAAACATAAGTGACATAAATTTCCTTGTTACTCGAGAAAATACAAATAGGACTAACCCATGGAATGATTACTAACGAAAAAATTATGATGACTAATACGATGATATTACAAATCTTTGTCTATATAAGACAGAATGACAAGCCTTTCAGAGCTTAAACCACTTTCCCATTTAAGATGTCAGAAAATAGCTTGCCCCTCCAAAACAAAGTAGCAATCGTTACAGGAGCTTCACGAGGAATTGGAGCAGCAATAGCTGAAACTCTGGCACGCCGTGGTGCTAAAGTAGCCATTACCTTCACATCTGACAGCAGCATTGATGCGACTGAACAGTTGGTGAAAAAAATAAAGGGTTTTGGCACCTCAGCGGATGCGATCAAAATTCAGGCAGATTTGCGTGATGTTTCAAGTGCTAAACATATTGTTGATGCCACAGTTCAAGCTTTTGGTCCTACCATCCATATCCTTGTTAACAATGCAGGGTACGCAGGTCAACCAAAACCTATAGGAACAATCACCATAGAAGATTATTCGAGTATTTTTGATGTAAATGTTCGTGGCGTCTTTTTCATGACAGAAGCGATAGTGCCATATCTTCCAGAAAATGGAGGAAGAATCATTAATATCGGAAGTGTTGCTGGAAGGATAGGATTTCCTCAACATTCTGTATACTGTGCAAGCAAAGCAGCAGTCGAAGGTTTCACAAGATGTTGGGCCGCCGAATTAGGCCCTCAAGGCCATACCGTAAATCAAATCAATCCAGGAGCCGTTGACACCGACATGCTGAAGGGATTTGGAAGTGGAGGCGTAGAGCTCGCAAAAAATACTCCATTTGAGAATCGCTATGGGCAACCTCAAGAGATAGCAGAGGTTGCTAGTTTTCTTGTCGATGGTAGCAGTCGATGGATCACTGGACAGGTGATTTCGGCTTCTGGTGGATTGGCTATGTATTAGTTAACATCGAAAATTAATATAAAAAAGATGTTAATGATACCATCATTTCTTTATTCGTTCAAAACTGAAAGGTACTGCTTCTTAAACTTTTTAGGTAACCATTCCATTGTTGGAAACTTCTTGCTTTATTAGTGACACGAGTCTTCAGTCAAAATCTTCAGATTGGAGTATTCGACTGGTATATAAGATCGCCTTTCACATTTTCAATTTAGTTAACCAGACCCTGGACATTACTAGCGTCTATACACGTAGTACAGCAGAGTCCAATTCGGTACATGAAGTTACAACTTTTGTTGATTATTCCACTTGACTTAACACTAATTTTACGGTTTTTGATTTCTGCCGTGACAATTTATCTTCCAGTTTTGCTGAGAGGAATCATTGAAATTAAAATAAGCAACTTGAAATTTAATGAGGATGGACAGGCAAATTTTGAACTGAAATAAATGTGGAAGTCATACTCGCACAACCAAATCAATTACTGCAAAAATACAGGCCATGACGATATGAATATTTTCACAAAAAATCAGCAAACGAGACAATCAAATCAATTGGAATTAAATGAAGACTATATCCCAGAAAAACCTTGGGATATTATGAGCGTTCGTACATGAAGCATATGAGCCAAGAACAAACTCGTATTTGAACATGATCCACCCGCTCAGTCCTGGAATAATTGAGCCAGCTGAACAATCTGTAAAATTTTTTGAATACATACCTAAAGTATTTTCATCTGACCACGAGAGAATTGCTTTTTTATATTCCAAATCCCCAGAACTTTACCAAAGACAGATATGAGAATTTGTAAAGGTACCAGGCCCACAGAGGACCTTTAAGATTGTCTCTGAACAGACGTTTCTGAAAGGAACGAGGGAAAAGTTGATTTCGTCCCGTTCCTATATATTTAGCAAAGGGAAGCTCGTGGTGAATTAGACGTTGATGTAATTCACAAGTGGCTCGACGGATTAGATATGGATACAATCAAGAAAGTCGTGGCATTCGCATCCATTCAAATTATTTTGGAAACGAGCCCCTCAAACAAAATTACGAGCATGGAAATCACGTTGCGGTCGTAACAACAATACATAATCAGGTTTTGCAAAACGAAATAAGCGTAAATCCAACAAAGAAAATCGAACTTTCGGGATTCAACGCAAGATAAACTTGATGTCAAAAGGTTTATGAGAGTCCATATGTACTACAATTCTGAAGATGAGTTCTCATAGGATGGGCCCTCCCTGAAAAATTGGGAAATTGGATTTTTTATACGCCGGCACGATAGCGGAGGAAGATCAAAAACATAGCAAATTGATGCGAAAGTTCAAGAATAAATAAAAGCCATTTTTTATATGTATTCAGAGAATACCAAGATATCGTTGCCTCCGTACTCCGTTACTACTGATTCGAAGATTGGATTAACAAACGCACCAGAAAAATCTCAAGGATATATAAACAAGATATTTTTCCTTTGCTCAGCATTTCCATTATACTTAGACTATCAATCTTGATCGGAAGAGTAACGCAAAGTACATTTGCAAGAAGTATTCCAGAAAAATAAAGGAGAAATCATAGAGATGTCAATTTTGCAATGACAAAGCTAAATCCTTTGGCCACATATTTTCTGAAAAAGGAATCGAAATTATTCTTATGCTAAGGCATTATGACCCAAAAAGACAAACTAGGTTGGAAACTGATGCTTCTAACTTTGCTCCCGGAGCTATGCTATTCTAACAACAAAGACGATGGAAATCTTCATCCAGCCGCATTTTATTCCAACATCGTTAACAGATCAGCAAAAGTTTAACGTAGGGAAAAGAAGCATATTTTATAATATCAACCATTAGAAAATGTTCCAGCTTGCTTACAGATCCAGATGAACCTTCCGAACTTTAAACATATCATAAAATTCTAACGACAATGTTTACGAAATTCGTACAGATATTGACGAAAAAATGCAAAGATGGTCCGCGAAATTAAATCTAAGTAGCTTTGACATTCGTTATTGATCAGAACGAAAGAGTGACCCATCTGATGCCGTATCTCGCCAAGAAGATCTAAAGACTTCAACGATCTATTATGTGATAGAAGCTGATCATTTGACAAACATTTCGATTACATGAGAGATGAACACCCTCCTCACAGAGAATTTCACAATAGTTTTACGGGTATTGATTCTGACTCTGACTTCTCAGTCAAAATTGGTTTTACTCGAAGGCAGATCTTAATTGGGATAGAGCTGCTACAACATATACAAGCTATGTTTGATAAGTATCATGATCAACCTACAACAGGAAGCAGTCGAAGGAAAGTTACTAAGAGACGTGCAGGTATATATGAGAAACTGCTACATATCACAATGACATTATCTAGAAATCACTAAAAATATGGAAAGTTACAACCATTACCAATAACAAAAAAGCCCTTATAACATCTTTTTATGGACTTGATTACAGGATTGCACACATCGTAAGGAAAAAGGGACTCGAATTTAAAAAATTATCAAATATTAAACGAAAGAATTGTAGGAAATAACGGTTTCTGAGAAGACATTGTGTCAGACAAAGAAAAAGTGTTTTTACTTCCGATAAATGGAAATACAACATGCAAGACCACAAAACCACAAAATACAACGTAGCCTATCTTCAAAGAAATGGCAATACTGAGAATCGATTAAACCCTCGAAAATCATCTTACTACTCAAGAACATTTGAGTAATTAGACCCTTGTTTCAGTCAAAGCTCGATTTTATTCTGACATCTCACAATATATAACAACAAAATGTGGCCTTCCTTCGATAACAGACAGACTGGGATTTTCCCTATCTACATCAAGTGCGGTTTTATTATGTACCTAATCCTTCGTTTTGATGTGAGACAATACGCAAGCCAGCGACTGAGGAAAAAGAACAAAAAATACGCTGCACACTATAACAGGGACGCTCATCCTCAAAATAATTCAACTATGCTATTGTGTCTTAGTTAATAAGGGTAATCGGATCCTTTTAACAGAACAACAAACTAGAACCAATGTTCGAGGGATCTTATACAGTAAAACAAATATGGATTATGATGCTTAAGATTCCAACATCGCACTATGTCGTACTACGGTCTTTGGTTATCTCTGCCATGTCAAAGCAGCCTATACTGGCATATAGCAGGCAGTTAATCAGTTTAAGATATGTACTGATCGCAAATTTTCCGGGTTACCCTATTGGCAAACCCTGTATTCATAGCCTTGGCTGACTGCTACTAATCTTATGTCAGGTATCTGAGTGATCGCTGCCGTCAGGGCTAGAGGGCATAGAACATAACAATCCTTAGTTACCTCGATACTGTCACAGGAAATATTCCGTATAGTTAGATGAGTGTAAGTGGAAAACAGTTGTAATTGCTTTAAATGTCAAGTTGAATACTCTAAAAATAAGTTACTAAATATCTGGAGTGATATATCTTTAGTAACGTCCTGGTTATACTAATGAATATGTTATTAAACAAGTTTATTAGGTCTGCCAGCAAAATCTTCGTAACTGAAGATTTTGTGTGATAAGAACGGGCGTTTATATAGTAATCTAAAACTAGGAAATAAAGAAACAATAAACTTAATTATTATTTAATTTTTCAGTCTGTTTTCTCAGTTTGTTTGTTTAACATTGATGTACAGTAATATACTCCATAGCATAATTATTGCAAAGTGCTTTATTGTCACGGGAGAAATTTCACACGTTATGAGAATGTAAATCGAGTGGAAGTAATAAATACAGTTACAAAGTTGTCTATTGGAATTGGACGTGTTAGTGCTACTTAGAGTAATAGTAATATGTCCAGGGATCTGATTAACTAAATGAAACGACTAAGTGTCAATCTTATTTAGCCTGATCAGTCAAATCTTCCGATCTAAAGATTTCGCTATAAAACTTCAAATGTTACTGATTTATAAATAGTACTAATTATCATACGTTAGTAAATCTTTAATCGTATGTTCTGCTTCAAGGAGAAATTTGCATTTTCAAATTTTTGTTTACTTATTATCAAGCACAATTCTTTTAGCTTATGAATATTAACTGATATTAGCTAATATTCCATTCTTATAACGGATTGTTATATTATGAATGCTAACGAGGGACCCAATTATGACACCTCCCTGCCTAAGAGTCTTTCACTTCCTTGAATTGGAAGACTCTTATTTTCATTGCGGTTCTTCTGTTGGAGAAGCGCGACGAGTAAATTCAATGAGCTTTGAGTATGCCTTTTTTCGGACGATGTCTCTAGGAACCCAGGTGACTGAGCGTTAGTCATAATCTGAAAGTTGCGATCTATATAAACAATTGTAGTGAGAAGGCTTTTCTAGGTTATCAGCTTCTAAAATTTCATCAATAATGATGTTTTGCATAAAATTGTTTGAGCTTAAGTCCGCGTTGTAAGGTTCGAGTTCGGATACATGAAAACTAGCAGGATAGCGTCTTCGTATCGTTTCAGGAAAATTTAACTCATAGTTATGTTCTCCTATTTTCCTTTTTACTGAAAATGGACCAACAATGTTGGTTCAAGTTTATTTGATTGATGGAAAAATCCCACTTTGCCATTTTTGACTAATACCTGATCGTTAGGTTGAAAAATCGAGGTGGAATTGTCTTTTGGTTGTAATACTTTGCGTATTTATCATTTGCTCTTCTGATACGTTCACGTATTTCATCGATGGATTCTGTTCTGTCCGGTAAATAAGGAATATCTAGTTCATCCAGGATTTGCGTATCCCAAGCGGTAACTATAGCTTGAATACCAAAAGCAGCATTAATCGGAGCTATTTTTGTAGCAGAGTGCTGTGAAGAGTTATAACATAACTGAGCTTTGAGAAGATAATTGACCCAATTTGTTAAATGTTTGTTCACGTAGCAACGAAGATATGACTCCAAGATTTGATTGACGCGCTCTGTTTGTCCGTTTGTTTGTGGATGATATCCTGAAGATAACATAAGGTGTATGTTATGGTCTTTGGCATATTGTCGCCACTTTTCTGAAATAAAAACAGGTCCTCGGTCTGAAACAATATCAATTGGATATCCAAAACTGGATATGATTTTGTTCTCGAATATTTCAATTAACTGATCCGTGGTTGTTGTTGTGTTACAAGCGATAAACCAAGCCATTTTGGTAAAACGATCTACAATGGTTAGAATTGCATCTTTACCTTGAGAAGGTGGTAATCCTGTTATAAAATCCATAGAATAATGTCTGAATGGTTTTCTGCAATGGGT